ATTTCCAAGGAGGACTGTGGCAGAAGCGACAAGGAGATGAAAATCCCAGATCCAGATTTGGTGCGAAACCTTCAAGCTCTCAGTCTCACCCTAAATACCCCGGCACAAGCCCTTTCGTGAGAGAGGAGGATCAGAGCGGCTCGAAATCCTTTCTCGGGCCGAGGCAAAAGAAGGCCTCGTAATCCGTTGGCCCAACGAGGCATTTCTGGGAGACGGCTTTCTGACTCACAAAGGCTGGAGACACGGATTAATCCCCCCCCCCCCTTTCCTGCTCGCCCGAGGCCAAAACATTTGCTCTCTAGCGTCGCTCTGGCTACAAGTGTTAGTTATTAGAAAGTGCCCCTGCCTCTTCTCCCTTTCATTCGACTTAATAGCACAGGGCAAGAGGCTAGCAATTTTAAGCAGCTGAAAGTTTCCAGAGTCTCTTTTCTTTTGGGGGGGGGGTAGGAAGGAGTGCAGAGGCAGCCCGAGAAATTGTACTTCTTTTAATTGGCAGTAATTAAAGAGACACTCCTGATATACCACTTGCCACCCCATCTTCTGGCACAGCCCCCAGGTTGGGTTTAATCCTTGCGATTTTAAGGCCTTTCGCCGCCCCTTCTTTGAACAGAGAAAGCTCCAGGAGGAAAGGAGGAATCCTCAGTGGCTAATTCTACCCCCCACCCCACTCCTGAACCTGCTCCAATTCTTTCTGGGCACGAGAAACGGTGGCGGTGAAATTCGGGGGGAGGTCCCAAGCAGTACGTTACTGTGGTACCTGGTTCTCAAACTTAATCCGTTCCGGAAGTCCATTCCAAAACCAAGGCGCGCTTTCCCATAGAAAGTAACGCAAAACGGGTTAATCCGTTCCAGACTTTTAAAAAGAACCCCTAAAACAGCAATTTCACACGAGACCATTAATCCATAAAATGAAAGCAATAATCAATGCACTGTACTATAAAATAAATAAGATGGTACAGTGGTACCTCGGGTTACAGACGCTTCAGGTTACAGACTCCACTAACCCAAAAATAATACCTCGGGTTAAGAACTTCGATTCAGGATGAAAACAGAAATCGTGCACCGGTGGCACGGCGGCAGTGGGAGGCCCATTAGCTAAAGTGGTACCGCAGGTTAAGAACAGTTTCAGGTTAAGAACGGACCTCCAGAATGAATTAAGTTCTTAACCCGAGGTACCACTGAATTGTAGATGATTAAAAAAAATAAATTCTTACCTGCACTGATGATAGTCATTGTTTGGATCGGGGGCTTTTATCCATTTCTGCAGTCACACAATCAATCAATCAATCAATCAATCAACCAATCAGTAGCTGAACTGGGTTCCACAGTGTCACAAAAACTAATTAACCGAAAAAGCCTCAAAAACAAAAACGCAAAATAAATAGCAAAAACAAAAGCGCCAAACTTAATCCATTGCAGAAGTCCGTTTGACTTCCGAAATGTTCAAAAACCAAGGCACAGCTTCTAATTGGTGTAAGTGCCCCGGAAACAATAGCCGACAGCCACCTCGGATGTTTGGCTTCTGAAAAACGTTCAAAAACCGGAACATTTACTTCCTGGTTTTCGGCGTTTGAGACCCAAAGTACCACTGTACTTGGGAGTTGAGGACTCAACTGTACTGGAGGTTTTTAAGCAGAAGTTGGGATATCCAGCGACTGCAGGAGATTTGAACTTGCTCCCCCAGGAGGCAGGGAGGGCCAGAAACTTGGATGGCTTTAAGAGGATTGGATGAATTCAATGGCTACTAGCCAGGATGACTATGCTCTGCGTTCAAGCAGCAATGCTTCTGAAGACCAGTAGCTGGAAACCGCAGGAGGGGAGTGTGTGTCCTGTGTTCGAATCCTGATTGTAGGTTTCCCACGATGGGCATCAGGCTGGCCAATGACCCATCAGGATGCTGGACTAGATGGGTCATTCGCCTGATCCAACAGCCTCTTCTTATTTTGGATCCCTTCCAACTCAACGATACTGATTTTATGAGCAGGGTAGGCAATGTTTGCTGAGAGTCCCTGCAGAAAGCAGGCCTCTTAATATTCCTGTTTCAGCCAGGACAGCCAATTCCTCACCCCCTCTCCCCAGGGCCCTGCCTTGCGGGAAACCCACCACCCCATCACCCACAAAATACTAGAACTCATCGGTACGCAATGAAGCTGAACGTTGGAATATTTGGGACAGATATGAGAAAGGCAATGTATAGTTTGTACTACACATTGTACAGGAGGGCTTTGATGGCCAACAACTTGGATGGCTTTAGCAGGCATGGCCAAACTTGGCCCTCCAGCTGTTTTGGGACTACAACTCCCATCATCCCTAGCTAACAGGACCAGTGGTCAGGGATGATGGGAATTGTAGTCCCCAACAGCTGGAGGGCCAAGTTTGGCCATGCCTGCTTTAAGAGGATTAGACAAATTCAGTGAGTATAACGTCACCAATTAAGATTGCCGGAAGAAGTATCAACAACCTCAGATATGCAGGTGACACAACCTTGATGGCAGAAAGTGAGGAGGAATTAAAACAACCTTTTAATGAGGGTGAAAGAGGAGAGCGCAAAATATGGTCTGAAGCTCAACATCAAAAAAACGAAGATCATGGCCACTGGGCCCATCACCTCCTGACAAATAGAAGGGGAAGAAATGGAGGCAGTGTGAGATTTTACTTTCTTGGGTTCCATGTTCACTGCAGATGGTGACAGCAGTCACGAAATTAAAAGACGCCTGCTTCTTGGGAGGAAAGCAACGACAAACCTAGACAGCATCTTAAAAAGCAGAGACATCACCTTGCCAACAAAGGTCCATATAGTTAAAGCTATGGTTTTCCCAGTCATGATGTATGGAAGTGAGAGCTGGACCATAAAGAAGGCTGATCGCCAAAGAATGGGTGCTTTTGAATTCTGGTGCTGGAGGAGACTCTTGAGAGTCCCATGGACTGCAAGAAGAACAAACCTCTCCATTCTGAAGGAAATCAGCCCTGAGTGCTCACTGGAAGGACAGATCCTGAAGCTGAGGCTCCAAGACTTTGACCACCTCATGAGAAGAGAAGACTCCCCGGAAAAGACCCTGATGTTGGGAAAGATGGAGGGAACAAGGAGAAGGGGACAACAGAGGACGAGATGGTAGGACAGTGTTCTCAAAGCTACCAGCATGAGTTTGACCAAACTGTGGGAGGCAGTGGAAGACAGGAGTGCCTGGCGTGCTCTGGTCCAGGGGGTCACAAAGAGTCGGACACGATTAAACAACAAAACCTCACCAATGGCTACCATGATGGTTCTGCTCTGTCTCCACAGCCAAAGGCCGCCATGCTTTTGAAGACCCCTTGCTGAAAACCTCAATAGGGGAGAGGGCTTTTGTGTTCGAATCCTGCTTGCTGGTTCCCCATCCAGTCAGCCTCTTTGAGAACAGGATACTAAACTAGATGGCTTGATCCAGCAGCCTCTTTTAGCAAATGACTTATTTTCCGCTCCCATCCCTTGCTTTCTTTTCTTCTCCCTGCCTTCACTAAACACTGCTGAAGCCTAGAAACTAGTTATTTGTCTTACCTGCACTCATCACCATGTTACTAATACCTTTGCAGGTAAGGAGAAGGGGGAAATGTACTTTCCAGTTTTAAAATGCATTTGCCATTCGGTGTGAATCGGGACATTCGCCTCTAGCAGGGCATGACCCACAGAAACAGAGGAGAGGGCCCTTCCTTTCCTAAGCAAGCCCATATAAAACACTGGCCTGCGAGTGCTCCAGGTGGAGAACAGCCTTTACCCAAGGTGTCGTGGGCTTTGAAGACACTCGAACTCAGGACGCAAGGGAGAAAGGTGCTAAGAGGAAGGCACACTTGGCAAATCCACACCGTGATTAACTCCTACCCGGAAACCAATGTCCCCACTGTGGAAGGACGTGTGGATCCAGAACTGGCCTCCACGGTCACTTACGGACTCAGTGTTAAACCATGTTTATGGAAGACAATCTTACTTGGCTACGAGGGATCGCCAAAGAAGCAGCAGCTCCCAGATCTTGGGTCGTACCTACAGCATGCATTTAAAGCAAGTGGCTTTCCCCAGAGAATTCTGGGAACTGTAGTTCTACCCTTGCAGTGCCACAATTCCCATCAGCAAGCAACAGTTCCTAGGAATGTGATGTAGCATGAGGACTAGGACTAGAAGCCTAGGGTGGAATCTGACGTCTGGTTATGTTGAATGTCCCATCTGTACAAGCATATATCAGTTTGCCAGACAGAATGACAACCTTCCCCTCACAAACTGTACTGGGGGAATTCTCCCGACAGCCCCAGAACCATAGCTGTCAACTTACAGATTTGAAAATAAGGGACCAGCAGCCTCGAAAATAAGGGATCAGCAGCCAAAATAAGGGATTTTCAGGGCACAGGTATGTTCAACTTCTGAGCCCTTCCGAGCCAAAGGCAGAAAGCCCAGCCAGCAGCCAAACAAAGCCTCAAGCGGTGGTTCCCACAGCGCAGCAACCCGGCAAAGGGGATGCAGCAAGGAAAACCACCGTCACCTCTCCGCTGGGAAACGCTGAGCAAAGGCGAGTCCCCAGGCAACGCGGCTGACTTGATTGGCACAAGGCATGCAAGCTCCACCCCCCCAGTCGTTCTTAGACTCCTTATTGGGTGAGCAAGGCAGCCAAGCAACACAGCTGGAGCCTCCCTCCTCCCTGGCCGGCAGGGAGGGAGGGAGAGGAGCTGCTTCCTTTGAAACCCGGGAAATTTAAGGGACATCATCAATAAGGGACACAGCACTGGGATGAGGGACTTTCCCACCAAATAAGGGACGGTTGATAGTTATGCCCACAACCTATTTCAGGAGGTGGGTGGAACAGCCTCGCTGTGGAAGTACTCACACAGGGCGTTCGTTGGTGAATCTTGCCTCCTATTTTATTTAAGAGAAAGGCTAAGGTAAAAGCCGTCTCAAGGATCGTAAACTTCCACTGTGGAAAAAGACACCGCTTTTTTTTTTTTTCAAACGCTGCACAAAACCCCAAGAGCGGCTGTTGTTCTTTCATTGCCGTTTTATTTAATTTTTTAATTTTTTTCTTTTACATAAAAACTTCAGTAAAAATTGGATAAAGTAAAATGATTTAAGCAGTAAAATCAATCTTATCAACATAGCACGCGGCTTGCCAGAAACCCTGAGGCAGCCTGTTCGCAAATATTTACATGATAACAGAGTAACCTTGCAGAGAACGAAAAAAAGAAAGGAAAACGGAAACAAACAAACAAAACAAAAAAACCCCCACCCCACCCCTTTCTCAAAACTATTCTTACAAAGTGTTCCCATGATATCAACACGTTTCGGGCTAAAGGGGGGCGGGCAGGGGGGTGAGAGAACTCAATATATTCACATATACGTTAAAATATGATACAGATCTCGCGGGGGAGAGACGAGACGCGCTTTCGAGTTTGTTGCACTAAAACAGCACCAAACAGACCGGAAGTTCCGGCTTTTCTTGCAGAGAGGGAACGAACGATGGGGTGAGTGAGTCACAACTGTACCATGGGGTGGGTGTGTTTGTGCGAGTTAGTTTCTCCCCCCCTACACACACACACACACTGCAGTTTCTGCCTGGCCTCCTCAAACCCGACTTGGAAAGATCGAGAGAGAGTGAGAGAGAGCCGGAAATCCTGTGGAAAACAAAAGGAAAAGAAGAAGTGTCCTTGTTAGGGGAGCTCCTAGATTGGAAGCAAAGATGTCTTTCCTGCCGCGACTGCTACTCCAAGTCCGTGTCCTCTTTGGGCTTGTAAACGGACCCAAATTTCTGCATGTATTTCTTAATGTACTCCTTCGTCTTGTGTTTCACGTTCTCGTTGCACTCGAGGTCTTCAGGGTTTTTGCAGTACTTCAGCTCCTTGTTCATGACTCCGTGGGTCAACTGCGGGAGAGGAGAGGAAACAGAGAAGCCGGGTTAAGGAGATTGTAGGGATCCACTTGTGAAAGCAGGGGGAGGCTCTCTGCAAAGGCGGAATTGTGCTGGGGTGGGGGAATCAAGACAAAACAAGGCTCCTCGCTCAAGGGATGCTTCGGAAAACCTGCTCCCTTTCGTGCCACCCAGGTTCAAGGGGAAAGCTCCTTCAGCTGAGTCTCATCAGTGGGAGCGAGATTTTAGAAATAAAAAGAGCGTTGGGCTCTTTTTAGGATGTTGCATCTGAGGAACAGAACTCTAGTCTGTGAAAGCTTAAAACGATAAAGGGACCCCTGACTGTTAGGTCCAGTCGTGACCGACTCTGGGGTTGCGGCGCTCATCTCGCTTTACTGGCCGAGGGAGCCGGCGTACAGCTTCCGGGTCACGTGGCCAGCATGACTAAGCCGCTTCTGGTGAACCAGAGCAGTGCACGGAAACGCTGTTTACCTTCCCGCCAGAGCGGTACCTGTTTATCTACTTGCACTTTGATGTGCTTTCGAACTGCTAGCTGGGCAGGAGCAGGGACTGAGCAAAGGGAGCTCACCCTGTTGTGGGGCTTCGAACCGCCGACCTTCTGATCGGTAAGCCCTGGGCTCTGTGGTTTAACCCACAGCGCCACCCGCGTCCCTATGAAAGCTTAAGTTGTGATGAATTTAAAGTGCCACAAGTCTCTCTGTTGTTAAGGTGGCCGACTCGCCTTTGTTGGAGGTTTTTAAAACAGAGGTTGGATGGCCAGCTGTCAGGGATTATTAAACTGTAACTCCTGCATTGCAGGGGGCTGGACTGGATGACCTTTGGGGGTTCATTTCAACAACACGATTCCATGTTTCTATGAAAGCTGAGAAGCAAACATTAGTCAGCGTTACGGAGCACAGGATGTGCTTATAATAATAATAATAATAAATTATTTACACCCTGCCCTTCCTGGTTCAAAAACCGGGCTCAGGGCGGCTAACAACAAATCTAAAACACTTAATTGTAAAAGCAGCATAAAATACAGTATAAAAACATGAATAACAATAAAATTCAAAGTTCAGAAATCAATTTAGGGGAAATCCATCTAATAAACATTAGATAATCCCCAGGGCTAGCTGGCTGAATTGGTCCTACTTGGGCCAGCGAGGAGACCAGGGGAGAATTAGCTGTGGGGTCTCAGAGCGGGTGATCTTCATAAAAGGGGAGGGGGAGGGAAGAGAAGGGAAATAAAAGATCAGGCTGAATTCAGATTAAAGGCCAGGCGGAATAGCTCTGTCTTACAGGCCCAATGGAAGGAAATTAAATTCTGAAGGGCCCTAGTCTTCTGGGACAGAGCATTCCACCAGGTCGGAGCCATCACTGAAAAGGGTGCTGCCAGGGATGCTCAACACGCCTTGCAAAAGGGGATCTTTCCCCACGACTGACGGGACACGGAACGGGGCCTTCTCGGTGCTGGCACCCCTCTTGTGGCTCAGAAACATCTGCCAAGCCACCTGCACACTTGGGTCTTCCACCAACAGGGTAGAGAATCCTTTCTGTTTTAATCTTTCTTCTTCCTGATTATCCATACTGCTGCAGTGCCTTTAGCACCAGTCATAACTCAGAGCAGCCCCACTGAAATAAATGAAATTAAGTCACCTGGTTTCAATGGGTCTACTCTGAGCAGGACTGATGTTGGGCATCACCCACTTCTTAAAAAACAATAGCCCTTTGTGCTGGTTTTTAAAAAGTTCTTTTGCACTCCTTTTTTGTAAGCTGCTTTGTGTGTGTCCCAATTTTATTTTTAAAAAGCGCAAGGAAGTGTGGTCCTCCTCAGAGCCAGCTAAGGGTCAAGGTCCCAGCTCTATCCAGGGGGAAAGAAATCAGAAAATGCTTGATACTTTATTGATTGATTGATTGATTGATTGATTGATTGATTGCATTTAAACCGTTTGGCTGTTTTTGTTATTTTAGTATACCAGTTAATTTTTATTATAAATTTTATTACATTTATATATCACCTTTTTCTTCCAAAGGAGCTCAGGGAGGTGTACTGTATTTTTCGCTCCATAAGACGCACCTAGTTTTTAGAGGAGGAAAGGGGGAAAGCCCCGTTTTTTGGGGGGTCAGCTCACAGTTGTGCAGCTTCTTTTGCAAAGGGGAAAAGTCCCTTTTTTTGAGGATCAGCTCAAAGTTGTTGAGCTTACTTTGCAAAGGGAAAAAATCCTGTTTTTATGGGGTTCAACTCACAGTTCTGCAGCTTCTTTAGGAAAGGAAAGGGAGCCGTTTCTACAGCTTCCAGACAGATAATCTAACCAGCCAGTCACATGTCACTGGGGAAATAAACAGCCTCCGTCTGCAGAACATTCAACAATGGAGGCCTGGGCAAGGGAGCCAGCAACCGACCATGCATTTGCTCCATAAGACGCACAGACATTTCCTTTTACTTTTCAGGAGGAAAAAAGTTTGTCTTATGGAGTGAAAAATACGCTATGCGGTCCCTGTGGCCCCCATTTTATCCTTGCAACAACCGTGCAAGGTAGGTTAGGCTGAGAGATGGTGACTGGTCCAATGCCACCCAGCAAGTTTCACGGCTGAGGATTTGAACCCTGGGTCAGTGTCGGAGCTTCATGCTCTGGCACTGGGGGGCGGAGAGCAGGCGGGGTGGGGCTGGCGTGCGTCCCGGGGGCGTGATGTGCCACCTGTAGGGGCATAGTGCCCAGCACAGGCAGGCAGCTGCGATGGCACCCCGCCGGGATCGCGCTACCGGTGGCAGTGCGCTCCCCCCGCACGCCTCTTCCTCCGCCAGTGCCCTGGGTCCCCCAGGTCCTAGCCCAACCACTATGCCACACTGCCTCTCGTTGCCTGATGGCTGGCGGGACCTTCTCTGCCATTTCCCCCTTCCAGAGCAGGAGCCTGACAGCCGCAAGCCAGCCGCTCTGGTCAGCAGCAGGAGAGGCTGCGGTCAAGTGCAGGCCCCCAACTTCCTTTTGAAGACACTCGAACTCGTGCGGGTCCTCTTACAGAAGAGGAAACTTGGCACGGGCTTCAAAGGCAGCACTTTGTCTCCAAATGGTGCTGCTGGCACACACAGTTCCCATTTCCACTCTTCAAGCTCAAAGGCACACCGAGTTTCTTTCCCCTCTCTCCGGCCCCCACACATAAGGCACTTTTCCGCCTGCCTGCCCCGGCCTTTTCCATCCCATCCGCAACTCAAGCCTCAGCAAACAAGTCTCTGCAACCATCTGGCCTCGCAAGCAGCCAGGTGGATTCCTGCAAATGGCTCTTGCCTTGGAAACGATTCCCACCCTCCGCAAGTCAGGGAGAAATGGAATCGCTTTCTGAGCCAGAGGAGTTTCATCGGCGGTAGCTCCTCCCGATGCAAACTCGCAAAGATGCTTCTCGCTGATTTGTCTAGGGACCTGGTCTTCAAGAGATGCCTCTGGGGGAAATGGGAGCAAATGCCCAATCCTGTGGGCACCCCTGAAGCAAGGTCCCTCCAGTATTCCCAAGGTCAGGCCTTCAAGGAAAGGATAATCCAGGAAATCTTCTGTTTTTAACCCAGGTTTTTTCCCCCCTCCAGGCTTCCTTCCCCTTAAAGCTCATTTCCTGGCCTCAGCTTGGCCGGCGTCACCGGCAGCTCGAGTGCAAACGGAGATGAAGAAGAAGAGTTTGGATCTGATATCCCGCTTTATCACTACCCGAAGGAGTCTCAAAGCAGCTAACATTCTCCTTTCCCTTCCTCCCCCACAACAAACACTCTGTGAGGTGAGTGGGGCTGAGAGACTTCAGAGAAGTGTGACTGGCCCAAGGTCACCCAGCAGCTGCAGGTGGAGGAGCGGAGACGCGAACCCAGTTCCCCAGATTACGAATCTACTGCTCTTAACCACTACACCACACTGGCTCTTGAGGAAAAGGCACGCCATACCTTCCGTGCAAGGTGCTTGAAATCTTCGGTTGTGGTTATCCGCCCAACTTTGCAGTCTGGTTTGCGGTAGGGGTTCAGGCATTGCACGATGAACTGAGACATCTGGAAAAAGGGGGGGAACGTTAAATGACAATCCTTAGTTAGAGCCACTGACAATTTCTCCCTAATTCAGCAAGAGAAAAGGGGGGCTGGGCTGGGGGAGGGAGGGAGGGAGGAAGTGCGTGCAGGAGCTGTTGGGACGCATGAGCAAAAACCTTCTTGAAACATCTTCTCAGTAATAATAATAATAATAATAATAATTTTTTATTTATATCTCACCCACCCCAGCCAAAGCCAGGCTCAGAGCGGCTAACAACAGTAAAATAATACAGCATTCTAAAATCAATTTATTATAAAATCAGTTCAAATCAAATTGATGGCAACCATTGGGCTAGAGTTCTGTGATAGGGGGTCAGGCTGTGCCTTGGCCAAAGGCCTGGTGGAACAGCTCTGTCTTGCAGGCCCTGCGGAAAGATGTCAAGTCCCGCAGGGCCCTGGTCTCTTGTGACAGAGCGTTCCACCAGATCGGGGCCACGGCTGAAAAAGCCCTGGCTCTGGTACAGTCATACCTTGGTTTTCGAACAGAATGTGAAGTCCGTTCAACTTCCGAAACGTTCTGAAACCAAGGCACGGCTCCCAATTGCACAGGAGCGCCGGAAAAAATAGCAGAAGCTGCATCGGACGTTCGGCTTCCAAAAACAAAATCGAAAACCACTTCCGGGTTTCCATCGTTCGGGAGCTTAAACGTACGAGTACCAAGGCGTTCGACAACCAAGGCACGACTGTGTATCATTTGGAAACTTGGTCCAGGACAAGAATGCAAGAATGTTGGGGTGGTATCAAACCAAGTGTTACTCAGAGTAGACCCATTGCGATTAACAGCCCTTGGTCATGTTTACTAATTTCAACTGGCCTACTCAAAGTAAAACTTTGTTGACTACCACCCCTTAATCTGGCACTACTGTGGATCTTTCTCAAACACCCACTAATTCAAAGGGCACAGGAGGAATCCATCCACTGCAGCACCAGTAGCTCAGCCCCAGAGGAGGAGCAAAAACTTCACCCACTACGAAGCTGGAACTCACCTCCTTTCGAAACACTTCCTTGCTCTTCTTTGCCAGCTCGCTGGAAGTGTCTGCTTCTGCCGTTTTGGGTTTTTTGGAAGACTGCAAAGAGACAGAAAGGATAGAAAATTCATTTTTGGAGGTGCCGGTTTCATCTCACAGAGAGAATGAAATGCATGTGGTGCCCTCTGAGTTCTTTCCCTTCTTAGCCAAGCAGCAAAAGACTGGAGCAGATCTCTGTTACACGTCAGCTGAGACAGAGAGAAATTTGGAGACACCTGCCCTGGGAATTCAGAACATTCAGACTCACACTTTGCATGATGAGGTCACGTTATTTTAGGGGAGCATGTTGAGAAGAGAAGCAGCTCAGAGAGGAACCCTCAGACTTCTCTTGCCAGATCTGTCATGCTGGGTTGGATCCCAGGGTATGAAAGATTAACAGCTTGTGGGATCAGAGCTGGTTTGAGGAGCCCAGTAACATAAAATAAGGTGTTTGACTTATACAGTCAAACACTCAAACCACAGACTTTTAACAAATGCACAGATAATTTTGCTACTCAGCACTGACGAGAGGAATAAATTCTGCTTAATTTAAGGTGCTTTAATTTATTCTACAATGATTTATCTACGGACAGCCTTACATTGCCACCAGGCATGCAAATGTGTTTCTCATATTGTCTCTGCGCACCAGCTGAGTCCACAGAATCTTGCAAAGTTGCATAGGCAAAGACAGACAAGTCCTTGCCACCAAACAGCCTGCAGTCAAAAATAGACAGCAGGGAAAACAAACAGATGTAAGGGGGGGTAATTTGGTTTGCTTCAGCTGCACGGCATTCTTGCCAAGTTTGGGGAAGCAAAAATTCTTAGAGCAGTTTCTCAAGAGTCTGAAGCAGTGCCTTTTGTTGAAATGTGTCCAAAATAGATTCTACAAATATGAGATTTGAAATGCTTGTTGAATTCTGCAGGAAACCTTTCAGTTCCCTAGGGATTTCCCATTTAACACATTTGCTTTTTCTGGATCATCAGGTTTAAACTATTCCACAACGAAAGTTTTTTTTCCAGATCTTCTGAACATTTTGGTGTTTTATCAATACAGAATCATATAGCCGCAATGGATCCCAAAGACCACCTGACTCAACCCTTCTCCAACCTCGTCCCCCGCCAGCAGCTTTCGATTACAACTCTCAGGAGCCAAAACAAGCATGTCCCATAGCTAGGAATGATGGGAGCTTTAGACCAAAGCTGCTGAAGGGCATCGGTTTGGGGAAAGCCAATTTAGTCCACCTGACGCCCCCTCCCTGTTCGTTATTTACTATCGCTTTCAGAAGGTCTTTCTCAACATCTTACACTATCAATCTTGCAAATAAATGGAGTGGACTAGAGGCTGAGTGGGATGCGGGTGGCGCTGTGGGTTAAACCACAGACTTGCTGATCAGAAGGTCGGCGGTTCGAATCCCCGTGACGGGGTGAGCTCCCGTTGCTCGGTCCCTGCTCCTGCCAACCTAGCAGTTCGAAAGCACGTCCAAGTGCAAGTAGATAAATAGGTACCGCTCCGGCGGGAAGGTAAACGGCATTTCCGTGCGCTGCTCTGGTTCGCCAGAAACGGCTTAGTCATGCTGGCCACATGACCCGGAAGCTGTACGGCAGCTCCCTCAGCCAATAAAGTGAGATGAGTGCTGCAACCTCAGAGTTGGCCATGACTGGACCTAATGGTCAGGGGTCCCTTTACCTTTACCTAGAGGCTGAGAGAGGTGCCCAGCGCCATCCAGCAAGTCTGCGGCTGCGTTCAAAGTGGGTCCTGGTCTCCGGCCTCCAGCACTTTGCTCATAGGCCAGACAAAGCCCTTGAAACACAAAAGTGAAACTGGATCTCCAGGACTCTATTAACTGCTCAATGAAAAGGAAGATTAATCCCCCCCCACAAGCTGGGGTCCCATTGGGGAGCGAGAGCACTTTCCTGAGAAATTTGTTCTGCACTATTTCTAAGGCTTTGTTAGCATTTGGGTCCATGCCCCATATCACTACTCCATACAGCATTTGGGAAACCACTTTACTGGCGAAGATTTTTGGTACAGGTTCTAATAACTGGCCACCCAGCGTAAAAGAGAATTTCATTGGTGTGCCCCACAAGCTTTCTGCGCTTTTGAGTTTCGCAGCCTCGAAGTGTCCCTTCCATGATAGTGTCTCAGTGAAAAGAACACCCAGATATCTAAAGGAGTGTATCTGCTCCAGATTCTGCTGGTCCATTTTCCATTTACAGTGGTACCTCGGGTTATATATGCTTCAGGTTACAGATTCCGCTAAGCCAGAAATAGTGCTTCGGGTTAAGAACTTTGCTTCAGGATAAGAACAGAAAGCAGGTTCCGGGGGCGCAGCGGCAGCAAGAGGCCCCACTAGCTAAAGTGGTGCTTCAGGTTAAGAACAGTTTCAGGTTAAGTACGGACCTCCGGAACGAATTAAGTACTTAACCTGAGGTACCACTGTATATCTGGGGCTACGCTTGCCAAAGACCAACATTTTGGTCTTTGAGTAATTCACGCCGAGCTCTTCTCGCTTGCAATACGAGCTAAAAGCTGTGAGCAGATTTTTAAGACCTAATCGAGAGAGTGATAGCAGCACCACATCACTGGTGTACAGCAGACAGGATATCTTCCTATTACTAACTGATGGAGCGGAGGATTGCGCTTGTGTTAGATGTGGCACCATATCATAAAAGTTAAAAAGTGTGGGAGCCAATATGCAGCCTTGTTTCATGCCTTTTGATGTCTTGAATGGTTCCGATAAGCTTCCCCTTAAGTCCACTCTAATTCTTGTTTCGGTGCCACGATACAATTCGCAAACTAATAATAAGAGTCGTTTTCCCGAAGTCTACCACCATAAATCTCCGTACCTTTAAGTCGTAAATAAATAATCTTTGAGTTTTCTAATATGACTTCCATCTACCTCACTATCGGTCCTCTCTTCCTTTTTTTTTGAACTGCGTCCTTTTTCACCTTATCAATCATCAGCATTACATTATATATCTGTCTTGCAATTTGCGAAAATTAATCGAAGCACAACAAGGATTTTATTTGGGAGCAACGTGCTTTTTTTAAGTAACCCTCCATAGCATTCCCACTCTTTAAAATTTTTTTTTGGGGGGGGGGGGTTGTTTGATTCCTGATTATTTCTCTCATTTTCCATTCATTCAGCGATCCAGCCTCCTGGTGCAGAGGCTGTCAGAGTGGAAACAACGGCACCATGGCTTGCAGGTGTACCTCTAGCCACGAGCAGATTCTGGTTTGCCACCTGAGCACTAACAGGGCTCAACACATTACAATTATCACATGCAACTATAGCTCTATACTACTTTTTGTCTGGAGGTTTATGCAACCGGTCTGGGCAGATCAGCTCTGTGGCCTATTAGAAAGCTTAACTTCATTTTGCACGTCTGGAGGAGATAAATCACCTTTTGAGCTAGGAACCTACAGTGGTGCGCCGCAAGGCGAATGCCTCGCAAGACGAAAAACTCACTAGACGAAAGAGTTTTCCGGTTTTTGAGTCATTCCGCAAGACGAATTTCCCAATGGGCTTGCTTCGCAAGACGAAACGTTCTTGCAAGTTTGTTTCCTTTTTCTTAAAGCCGCTAAGCCGTTAATAGCCGCTAAGCCGCTAATAGCCGTGCTTCGCAAGACGAAAAAACCGCAAGACGAAGAGACTCGCGGAACGGATTAATTTCGTCTTGCGAGGCACCACTGCATACTTATCCTTAGTTTGCTAGGAACAAGCCGAGTTACTACTATGCAGGTAGTTTCACCTGCTAGTCAGATGAACTCACCTTCATGGGGTTTTCGTCGTAAGTTGGGGTTCCAAGATCCATTTCAGCTTCGTGCTCAAGGCTGGCATCATCTTCCGGACTGTCCCAGTTTGGAGGGTCCCACTGGGTTTGCCTATAATAATAATAATAATAATAATAATAATAATTTATTATTTATACCCCGCCCATCTGGCTGAGTTTCCCCACCACTCTGGGCGGCTCCCAATCGAGTGTTAAAAACAATACAGCATTAAATATTAAAAACTTCCCTAAACAGGGCTGCCTTCAGAGGTCTTCTAAAGAGAAGATAGCTGCTTATTTCCTTCACATCTGAAGGGAGGGTGTTCCACAGGGTGGGCGCCACCACCGAGAAGGCCCTCTGTCTGGTTCCCTGTAACCTCACTTCTCGCAATGAGGGAACCGCCAGAAGGCCCTCGGCGCTGGATCTCAGTGTCCGGGCAGAATGATGGGGGTGGAGATGCTCCTTCAGGTATACAGGACCGAGGCCGTTTAGGGCTTGAAAGGTCAGCACCAACACTTTGAACTGTGCTCGGAAACGTACTGGGAGCCAATGCAGATCTCTCAGGACCGGTGTTACGTGGTCCCGGCAGCCACTCCCAGTCACCAGTCTAGCTGCCGCATTCTGGATTAGTTGCAGTTTCCGGGTCACCTTCAAAGGCAGCCCCACGTAGAGCGCATTTGCAGTAGTCCAAGTGGGAGATAACTAGAGCATGCACCACTCTGGCAAGACAGTGGTGCCTACAGAAAGGAGACCATGATCCATGAACAAGAAAGACTTCTCTGACCCCAAAGACAAGCAAGATGCCACAGCAAAGGTGTAGCATGGGCAGGGCGAGGGGAGCTGTTGCCCTGGGCGCATTTTGCTCCTCATGCAGGCTTTGCGGGTCTGATCCTACACTCCAGCCTCACAAAGCAGCATGAAGAAGACACAACAGCCCAGCACCCTTCCAAGAACCCCAATTAGACTGATTGGAAGGGTGCGTGCCTGCCCTGGGGCATCATCCTCACATTGCCCTTCCAGCCCGCACAAAGCGAGGGCGAGACTGGGATCGAAGAGCCCATGGCTGCTGCATCCTTCTCACGCCACCCTCCCCGAGCTGCTGGCAAACGCCCCCCCCCCAATGTACCCACTCTGAGTGCCATGAAGACACCTTCTGTCACTGGCCACCAGCTCTAAGGATCAGCCAAGGTTTGAATTCTCAAAGGAAATCCTGTCCGAATATGTGATGTGGGAAGGGGTTTCTGGAGGGGCTCGGAAGAAAGCAAGTGCTCTCTCCTACAACAGCTCCTCAAAACATAAAAAGCTAGCGAGCGCTAGATGTCTGAATATCTGGTTTCTCTTAATGCACATGTTCAACAGTGGTTAGCACCAATTCTAAGGGAAGAAGTGGTCCAAGGAACAAAATACAGTGGACGCTCGGGTTGCGAACGTGATCTGTGCGGGATGCACGTTTTCAACCCACAGTGTTCGCAACCTGCGTCTGCGCGGGTTGCGATTCAGCGCTTCTGCACATGCGCAAAGAGCGATTTAGTGCTTCTGCACATGCGCGACCACTGAAACCCGGAAGTAACCCATTCCGGTACTTCAGGGTTTCGGCAGTCCGTAACATGGAAAAACGCAACCTGAAGCGTCTGTAACCCAAGGTATGACTGTAAAGTTGTTGGTGAATACTAGCCTTGAAGCCGGCAGCCTCTCAGCAAGGTGACCTGTATTAGGATGTGAATGCTGCTATAAGGAAGGTTTCTGATTAAAGCTTCAGGTCTCTGACCTAAAAAAATGCTGTATCTGAGCACAGCAGGCCAAAAGATAGTGAGGCAAGTACTTAAAAAAAGGGGAGTTCTAATGCTCTTAACTTGGCTGAACAAACCAGACACCCTGCACTTCCTGCCACAAAGGTTGCGCTGACCCCACAATCAATGCTGTGTGCACTACAAAACAGGCAGGGGCAAAGTCACAGGAGCCTGTGGGTTGAGGGACTTCAAGGTCAACAGGCTGTGGGTCTCCTCCTCCTCGCCTCTGTGATAGGAATTTTGAGGTCTTAGATATATGTTAAATGTTCATAAGTGTACCAACCAAGCACATACAGAGATCAGCACAGGAAGACCGACCTGGAACCATTTTTGATTCCCAAACTGACCAAATGTTTTCTCTGCAAGGTCAAAGGAAAATGGAAAAGCCTCCCCATTGTCTTTTCCTTCACAAATCCTGTCTTAAGGACACATTTAAGATACAAATAGGGTGTGAGCCTGTGACCTGGCCCAGGAACTAAGTATTTATCATTACAAAAGACTGGCCAGGCTGCCCAATCAAGTACCCTGCCAGACAAGAGATAAACAAGGACAGGAGAAAAACAACATTCAAATTTCTGTTTTAGATGGCCTTTTCTGTGATGTAGGTATGATGTATCTGGGGGGTGCTCGTGAGTTCCAGGGCAGGGAATTTAAAATGTCTATATAAGGCCTTGTGCACCATTGTTCTGGGTTCTTCCTCCTTTCCTGCGTGTGGTGAGTGAGGACCCTGTTGCAACAGATCAATAAAGATCAAGCTTACTAGCCGCTTTGCTTCTCAATATTCTCCGGTTGGCCTCTCTTATTTTCTCCTACCAATAGGGAACCTATGTAAAGACACTATATGGGCTCTTGGATACCCCATAAGGGAAAAAGGGCAGATTTTTGTTCTACAACACCTCAAAGCCACCGTATAAGATGTGCCTTACGTTCTCAAATGATAGTGTTTCACTGAGCTGAGCGTGTCATTCAGAAAGTGATTCCCTATCCACTCAGTTCAGGTTCCATGCACCCAGATCCTTCCCATCATGTGAAATACCCAAAACAACAGACATTTTTTAAAAAAAGAGAACAATAGGTTGCTGCAGGTATAAATAGCAGAACAAACATGAAGAGGTCGCTGACCTGGTGGCCACGTGATAGTAGTAGATCTTCCCCTCAGGATCCCGGGCGGTTTTCCAGTTCGGAGGGAGGACAATGGTTTTGGGTTTGGGAGGAGATGGAGGGGGCAGGTCCAAGAGGTTGTTGGTGACCACCAACTCTGGCTGGAAGTGGCGAGACAAGAAGAGAAAACATGAAAAATACTGATCTGCAGCAACGGAACTGAAAGAGGGCCAAACGCATCAACAAAAAGGAGAGAAGTGGAGCATTTTCTTAAGCGAGGTAAGGACCACAATCCATTCCTGATTAACCTTGAATCTTCTGCTATTGTCCTGTCCAATAATTTTTCAGGACATTTGTAAAAAATAATAATAATAATCCTCTCTCTGAATAGTAATACTCCAAGGATCCAGAAATAGCGACATTGATGTGAAGCGCTATATTTGAGAACAAAGCTGCCCACAATTTTTCAACTCTCTGCCTTCTTCTTAGTTTTATAAAACAGAGTTAGAGCCACTTGGCTACACTCTTCCTATGCAGAAAGCATTTTGATTAGGAAAACGCAGGAAATCACACACACATGTCATTCACAAGCCAATTTTTATGCATCTTCTTCTACTTTTGGTAATCAAATCTGCTAAAGTTTTTAAACATGCACCCAGAGAAAGGTTGTGTTATATTGGGAAAAACGTATCCCAGGGCCAAGACACTGAGAACTGCGTTTTTCATTCCTGCATTGCACAAATGATGTCAGATTTTGAAATAGGCATTTCACTTGAACAACTGGACCTAATCTCTTTCATCTGCAACTTGTGAGAGAGGAAGGTTTTGCGAAGGTTCATTCCGGTCGGCTAAGAGGAGGGCCTTCTAGAAGTCCAAGAAGACCACACTCCCCAAACCTTACCTGCTGTATAGGCGGGGGCTGTCCTGTGGCTACAATAGTTGTCACTGCCGTCGTAGGCTGCACCACAACGCCCTGGGGATGAGCAGTGTAAATCTGCTGCCCCTGGATATACTGGAGACCTGGCTGTGCGTAGCTCTAGGGAGAAAACAAGAGAGCAGTGGGGAAATTACTTGGAGAACCCCACTAGTGCTTCTGAAGGAGGGGAGGAGAAAACAACAGCTTCTTTGAGACAAACAGCTGGGTGTCTTCCATACTGCACTGTAACAATTTCTATTGATTATTATTATTATTATTAATTGAATTCATATTCATATTCATATTCATTAATTGAATTCACCCTATACCTGGAGGTCTCAGGGTGGTTCACAGAAAAGTTCAACATATAAACCACAATATAATCAAAATAAAAGCAACAACCCAATAACAGCACCTCCGCCAAAAAAAAGAGTAGTCCTGTGTTTCCACTCGAAAGATTTAACAGATACTTGGCAGATCTGCATTCCACCGTTTTTTAGCATCAGCAGCTACAATCTCAGGCGCTGTTGTGACAAGGATACTAAATCAGAAAAGCTAAAGAATAGTTTGAGGTCAAATTAAGCATGTGCAAAATGCTTACCCATCACTGAGTAACGGCAACCAGCCATTAAAAACAGAGAGTTGGAGCAGGACTTCCAGGGCAGAGGAAATGACTTCTAGGCAACACATTGCACCTCTTGCATTGAGAAACTGAGCATTGCAAAGAAGCCCAAAAAGCTACAATGCTTGTGCAGACCAGACACCCAAATGTATAGTCCTTTTATGCTGTAGACAGCATAAGGCAAAACAACTATTTCAGATTAATAGAAGTCTGTTGCCATAGTCAGTTGCAGCAGTCTTTAACATCAGCAGTCAGGAGCGCTTCAGCCCTGTTTTTTGAGTTTCTGCCATGTTTTAGAGCTTGTTTGAAACTTAAACAGCTTATCTCGTATTCCTTTGTAAGTTTTTCTTAAAACCTTTTTTGTAAACTCAGGAAAGCACTCCAGCCTTGCTCCTGAGTTTGTTGGAAATCAGTGAAAACCATTTAAGGTTTATAATGTTCTCTTAAATAGGGCTATGTTTAAAACTTGTCATTGAGGTTTTTATACCTTTTTTGTAAACTCAAGGAAGCGTCTCAGCCCTGCTCTAGACTTTTTTTGATATCACTTAAAATTATTTAAGGTTTAAAATTCTTTATTTCCTTCTGAGGAAACTGATTAGTTCAGTGAAACGAGTTTTGTAGCCGGCATCTCGTTAAGTCTTTGTTTAATTCTAGGTTAATTTTTCCTTAATTTTTTTTTTAAAATTTGATATTCAATTCTATATCCGATTACCTCTCGTTTCAGGGATTTTCACGGCAATTCTTTTGTTTTGTTTTGTTTTGTGTAATCGTTGCTGAGGCTGAAGTTCTATCCCATTGCAGTTATATAGATACTATGCTTCTTGCACCCTAGAAGTTCCTGATGAACCTATTCAACTGCAGGCACATAGGCTAAGGTGCCAGGGGGACAGAGAGGATATGGGCTCACAGATCTCTTCCCTTGCCAATTTCCACTTCTCTCTGCCAAGCGGGCAGTAGATATTTGTTTATTTATTTCATAAAATTTATATCCTGCTTGTCCGTAAAGAAACCTCAAAGTGGTTTACGAAGGACAAGCAGTAAAATCAAGGTGTGTGTGTGTGTGTGTGTGAAATCCACAATCATATTTTAAAACATGCAAAAGTTAAGATGCTAAAGTAGATTAAAATTACACCAACTTTCTAAGCATCTGGGTAGGCTTGGCTAAACAACGTTTTTAGCAGATGCCGAAAGCAGAAAAGTTCTCAAGAACTGTGCTCTCAATAGACAAGGAGTTCTCAATGCGCAGGCAGCGCCACACTAAATGGCTGAGTTCTTACAAACACAGAACGAGTATTATGTGGCACACACAGCAGTGCCAATTCTGCTGGGCACATGTGGTAAACCGGTCCCAAGTTCTTAAGGGCTTTATATACCAATAGTAACACCTTGAACTTGGCCCGGTAGCAAACTGGCCACAAGGGCAGATCTCCGAGCAGCGGTGTGATGCGCTGACAAGGCCTCGTTCCTGCCAGCAATTGCGCTGCGGCATTCTGCACTAACTGCAGCTTCTGGATCAAGTGGAAGGAGACCCCTGCCCAACTTTACTGAGTAGTGAGTATGGAATGGAGCATGTAAAACAAAAAACCCTGTTTCTCAAAACGCAATGGACCACTGTACTTCTTAAGCCTTGGAGAGCACACCTTTGTGAAGGTTGTGTCAAAAAAACCAAAATCACTTGGAGCCCTTGCACCGCGCAATTTACCTGCACGATGGGTGGCGTGGTCTGCGAGTAGGGTGACGCGACTCCGTAAACAGCCTGGCAGGCCTGCCCTTGGTAGTAGATGGCCGGCTGGGACTGGGCTGGAGAATAGGGCGGCTGCACTGCTACCGTCTGCTGGCTGGAATCCCAGACTCCATAGCTCTGTCCTTGCACCGGGGCCGGCACCGGCAAGACCGCGACGCTCTGCTCCTGGTGGACCACCGGGTCGCCCTGCGTTACGTACTGCGGGGCGGACACCTCCAGGGTGCCTGCTGCTACGTGCTGGACGACGGGAACCGGCTGAGGGGCGGCCAGGGCCGGCTCGATCGTGTGCCCGACCAAAGTCTGAGGGTGCTCGTAGGCGGCCGGGGAGCACATGGGGTCCATGCTAGGGGTGGGGAGAAGCACCTTTCCGGCATTGGGGTTGCTGGGGTCCACATAGGCCTGCATGGGGTAGCCGGGCGGGTAGCCCATGAAGGTCTGGTGCGCGACGCTGTAGCCCAGGGAGTCGTAGGGAAGAGGGGAGGCCATCCCAAGGGTCTGCAACTGCTGCTGCTGCTGCTTCTGGGCCTCACGCTGCGCAACCTCCTGCTCAAAGAGCTTCCGGCGTTCCTCCGTGGACAGCTTGTTGCGGTCCTTGATCCGGACTTTCTTCTTGGAGGTGGTGGCTGGTGTGTCGTATCTGGGGGAGAGGAGACGAAGGGAGTGTCAAACAATCCTGGCCTCCACGTACCTAATGGTCTCCTCGTCTGCCCCGCAGAGGACCTTAAGGTCCATGAATATCCATAATTTAGAGGTCCCGGGCCCTAAGGAAGTCAGACTATCCTCCACCAGGGCCAGGGTCTTCTCAGTGATGGCTCCCACCTGGTGGAATGCTCTGTCCCAGGAGACTAGGGCCCTGTGGGATTGAACCTCTTCCGTCAGGCCTGTAAGACAGAGCTATTCCGCCTGGCCTTTAATTTGAATTCAGCCTGGTCTTTTATTTCCCTTCTCTTCCCCCCTCCCCCCTTTTATGAAGATCACCCGCTCTGAAACCCCACAGCTAATTTTCCCCTGGCCTCCTCGCTGGCCCAAGTAGGACTAATTCAGTCAGCTAGCCCTGGGGATTATCTAATGCTTATTAGATGGATTTCCCCTAAATTGATTTCTGAAATTTGAATTTTATTGTTATTCATGTTTTTATACTGTATTTTATGTTGCTTTTACAATTAAGTGTTTTAGATTTGTTGTTAGCCGCCCTGAGCCCGGTTTTTAAACCGGAAGGGCGGGGTATAAATAAATTATTATTATTAGCTGCCACTGCTATGATCCCATGGCTATTAGCCTGGGGTAAGCGGGGAAATGCCAGCATGGCATTGTGGCTGGCTGTGAATTCATTATTATTATTGTTGTTATTATTAAAGTTTGCATACTGCCCTTCATCTGAGGATCTCAGGGCAGTTGGCAGCATAGAAATAGAAGTTAAAAACACAAAATGCATAATAAAAGCAAGAACAAACCAAACCAATAACCCCCCGCCCAACACACACAGGTGAGGATTGGGGCCTTAGGCAAGTCACTTAGGCAAGACTTTAGGCTGCTGGATAAAGCCAAAGGCCCATCTAGTCTTGCATCATGTTCTTACAGTGGGTGACTTGGTGTCTATGGGAAGCCTGAAAGCAGGAACTGGCATCCTTTGGGAGGAAGAACAACATCATCACCATCACCACCATCATACCTGGCTTTCAGGTGCTGAAATCAAACCAACTGCAGGAACAGGGACCTAGCCACTTTTAACTGCTTTGTTCAGATTCAATTTCACATTCATTTTTAATTGTCTTGTTACCTCCCTAAGCCTTGAAGAGGAGTGGAAAAATGGGAAGGATGGAGGAGATTCTCCCCTAATGTTTTTGCTGCAGCCCAGCCCACGCAGAGATTCATTTTGCTCCTTGCCCTCTTTATCGCCTCTCCCGCTCTCAACTTGAAAATGGGTTCTCTGCCTTCTTCTTATGCGGGGTAGAGTTATGAAAAGGCTGACATGTAGGGTTTGAAAAACCGTAGTTTGAAAAGCCACATCAGACATCGCTGACCAATGTCTAGAATGGATCTTCAAACAAGATATTGCACAAAACAATAGATAAGCTTTGTTCATCAAGGCTTGGCTCTTTGTGAGCCATTATTGATAGTCTTTGGAGAAGAAGCACAGATCATCTAATTAAACCTCTCTCTGTTATTATCACTTGATGATTTCAAACCAGGAAGCTCAGAACCCCAAGCCTTTATCTGGAGACGTGTAAAAAGAAGAAAACAACTTGCCTGTCATCTGGTCGTTTGGTGCCTCGTTCATACGCCGACGGGGGTGACAAAGAATCTCTGCGTTTTTTCTTTTCCTTGCTCTGACTTTGCCTTTCGGGGTCCCGTTCTCTGCTCAGGTTTTTTGGGGTAGCGGCTGGGTCTCGGCCTGCTGACTCTCTCCCACGATCTGCTGTCAAAAACAGGCAGAAGTTGTTAGCGTGGCTTATGTCAACCACCAGAGACGCAAGATCTTCCCAGAAAAAAAGATTTCCTAGATAAGATTTCCTAGCCACTTCCGGAAAGTTATCTGTACAGGGTACGATCCAGCCAAACTTAAGCCATTTTAAGTGCCAATTATTTCAGAATGCTAAACTCTTCTTTGAATGAACTTCGTGCAATCCTGAAGTGCGTAACACTGGGCAGATTGTTCCTGTTCGTATTTTAGATCTACAAGAGGTTTTGATTTATTTTTTTAAAATCCTCAAAATACAGCTCTACTTTTAAAATTCCTGTTTACCTGCTTAAGAAAACGACTGTGGTTCAGTCATCATGATAAACCACAGCAAGCCTCGGGCTCACCTCATTCTCCTTTGGTCTAGCCACACGGAGTCTGAAGGCTTTTGCTTCTGTTCTTGAATAACCTCAGCTTATCGTTTTGTCCGTTTGAAGTGGGTTTGTTTGAAACAAACCATAGTTGAGATTTAGAGCAGCTTGTCAAGTAAGGACAAAAGGAGAAGCTGCAGTTAAATCTTTAAAAAGCTTACAAATGCCTTGCAGCTACATTAAAAAGGAACAGGAGCACAGGCTTCAGCAAGTCTGAGGCTTGCTTCAGCTTGTTTCTATTATGATAAACCATGGTTTTGTGATCAATTGATACTATAAAATATTTTGTTTTAACTCAAGTTTGATTCCCAGGCTCCTGCCTCCATTTAGGCCACGAAGCCTCAACTTTCTGGGCAGAACTTGCAGATCTGAAGCTGCAATAAACTGGAGGCGTGCTTGCAGTATTTCTGATCTTGGTCAAATTACAGACTATGCAGAAAGTCTCTAAACCTGGGGAATTAAACTCTATGCCATTTACTTCTTTGTTCTGTTCCAAATAATCATTTGTAGACTGGCAGCCCTCATGGACCTATACGCGAAAGTAGAATATTGTTCTCAGTGTGGAGAAGCGAGAAATGTATGTGTTTGGGAAAGACAGCCACCAACCCAAGGAACTCGCAGAGCAATTCTGTGCATGTCAATAATCCAGATGTTGAGAATATTTAGTTCCAAGTAAAGGGGCTGTCAGGGAACTGACATCGGAGCTAGAGGCGGAGGGAAGGCTCTCAAATGATGCTGGAGAAGGGCCCAGCAGGGAGAGAGGCAGCTCAGCAGATGGGGAAGCAATTCAGCGCAACACCAGGAATAAGGAGGGGCAGATGGGGGAATCGGCGAGAGGGCTCCCAGACTCTTCACCGGACACCAGCGGGGAGAGCACGGGTCCTCCGCTACCCATGCCCTCCCTGAGCAGAAGACTTCCGCGCAGAGAGAGTAGGAGGAGACTGGGTGTCAAACAACTTTTATGTTGGAAAAGGTTTAAGAAACGCCCACTGACAGATTCTGCTAGCGACTGAGGCAGCCACGAAGTGAAGGGCTGTCCAGACTGAAAGGTTTAACAAGGCAACAAAGCCAGGAGAGGCGGCAACTTACGCACGAGCAACCCATACTCTTTACAGGGGCAAAGGATTGAGCAAGGCTTTTAACAGTCAACACACTCTTAGTTGGCTTCACCCACAACAGTTTTCTTTATTAAGAGACTGAGTTATGAAATCAGGAAGTCCCTGGTGCAAATGTCACCTCCACTGTGAATTCACTACGTGACCTTTGGGCAAGTCATAGCTTTTGTTCCCCTCCTTGACCCCCCTGAATCTGATCTGGAACATGGAGATAATAATACTGACCTAGCATACAGAAGTGAGCCAAAAGAATCACACTAAGGTAATTTATATGGAGTGCGTTCAACACTCTCAATTGTAAATCATTATTTAAGTCCCGTCTGTACACCTGAAGGCAAGCCACGTTAGCTCATGTATTTAAATATCTAACAAAATGTATAGACCGTTTGATTGTACATAAACCCCTAAATGGATGACAAAATAACCCAAATGTTAAAACTGTCAGTAAAAGACAAAGTGAAAAAGTTTTTTTTAAAAAAAATACGATAACCAAGAATCGGCTAAAAACAGATTAAAACACTTGCTAATTTCTATGTATCTGCATAGGCTTGTCTAAACAAAGATCTTTTTAGGTCCAAAAAAAGAGTACAGAGAAGATACCTGACTGATGCTGATATCTTTTATTTAACAAAATCTATATAAGGATTTATGGGATGTGGGTGGAGCTGTGGTCTAAACCACAGAGCCTAGGGCTTGCCAATCAGAAGGTCGGCGGTTCGAATCCCCACAACGGGGTGAGCTCCCGTTGCTCAGTCCCTGCTCCTGCCCACCTAACAGTTGGAAAGCACGTCAAAGTGCAAGTAGATCAATAGGTACCGCTCCGGCGGGAAGGTAAACGGCGTTTCCGTGCTCTGCTCTGATTCGCCAAAGCAGCTTAGTCATGCTGGCCACATGACCCGGAAGCTGTCTGCGACAAACGTCGACTCCCTCGGCCTACAGAGCGAGATGAGCGCCGCAACCCCAGTCGTTCGCGACTGGACCTAATGGTCAGGCCTACCTTTACCTTTGGATTTATATTTAAATGTAGGGAGATCTTGACTTGCAAGGAACTCTGAGAAATGGTTTTTCAAACTCTCTTTTTGCCCCTGCTAAGGAACAAGTGCTGATCAACACCAGAGCTTGAACCACGTGCTACCTTTAAGCCTGTCCTCCTCCCAGGTCTCAGGGAAGTCTTCTGTGGTCAAGCAAGGCTATGCTGTTTCAGTTGAGCCACAGGAAGAGAGCAACGAAGGAAGAGAAGGACAGAACAAAGGAGCATCCCTATAAAGTCATGCAGAACTACTGAATCACAGAGTGCTTTTAAGGAAGTTCTACTCAAGAGTCCCAGAGGATTATGCTCTGACGGGGGCTTTCAGTGCAATGTTTTTGTAATCAATGGCCTTCTTCTCAACCTGATCAATACCCAAAGAAGAGCATCTACGAGTACGTACCAGTGGTCTCCTTTTCCGCTTGGCTCTTCTTCGGGATCCTGTACACCTCCTGCAAAAACAAGTCATAGAAACTAAGTCAGGTTTGGCGGCTGATTTAGGCCAAATTCATACGCACAGGGCACATGAAGGAATCACAACTACAGAATCCTGAGCATTTCCTCAAAAGATATCTAAAGACCATGGCTGAATCCTAGTGATCCTTCAAGCCATGGCTTGGGGAAACTGCCAATGAACCAAAAGCTTTAGCGGATGCCCCTCCAGCTGCCTTCGTTCTTGCACTATAGTTTGGACATAATGGAAAACCATGGTTTGGATGGCAATTACAGCCCCTACCCTGTATCAAAGAAAGAGAGAGGGAGGGAGGGGGGAGAAGGAAGAAGCTAAAGGCCATGGCTTGTTCACAATTTTATGACCTTTTGAAGTGCTGCATCTCCCAATGCTTTCCACTGTTGTTCAGAATATATTTGTTTCTTGCTTTTAAGTAATAATTTATAATTATATTGTAATTGGGCTACCTCAGCTTGTAGAGCAAGATTGTGCTTATCCTGTTTTAACTTCAGTTTTCTAAGTTCCCTAGCCAGGCATTTTTTGCTATTCTGACATTCCTTATCAAACCAAGTCTGTCTTTTAAACTTTTTGTTTTTTATCACACTAGTTGTGGTCATCAGTGGGCGCATTATGCTTCCTGTTTCTATCAACATTTCCCCCTTTAATAAAGCAAATTCATGGGAATCCAGAATCTGAATCATTTTTTCTTGGACCTGTGCATTCCATTTTAACCTTCTATTTCCAAGTATCAGATATTCCGTTTCATCCAATAATTTAGGAAAGGCAGGAGAAACGAATGATGTCAGAGATAAGTATTCTTATGACCTATACACTGGTGCAGACACGGGGGGTCCTGAGGGCTATATTCCCTTCTTCCAGAGGTGGGTCCAGAGGCGAAAGCGAGTGGAGCAACTGACATTATATCCATGTACAGCAGGCTAGGTTTTACACACACTCATACACCCCTTTCTATCCCCAATCTAGGCAAACAAGAGGCATAGTTCAAACATGTAATTCAACTAGGAAAAAGCAGAGTTGTGGCCTGGGGAAGGTTCTGGGGTCAGATAGGTTGTATTCACTCCCTGGGCCTGAGGTTAAGGATCACCTGATTTCATTAAGAGTTAGGTGAACTGTTGTAAAGGGGGATGGAACCGTGCCCATTTGTCACCCAAAGGCACCAGTGACCCTCATCTCAGCTTTTGCAATTAATCCAGAATGTGGCAGCTAGACTGGTGACTGGGAGCGGCCGCCGAGACCATATAACACTGGTCCTGAAAGATCTTCATTGGCTCCCAGTACGTTTCCAAGCACAATTCAAAGTGCTGGAGCTGACCTTTCAAGCCCTAAACGGCCTCAGTCCTGTATTCCTGAAGGAGCGTCTCCACCCCCATCATTCAGCCCGGACACTGAGGTCCAGCTCCGAGGGCCTTCTGGCGGTTACCTCATTGCGAGAAGTGAGGTTACAGGGAACCAGGCAGAGGGCCTTCTCGGTAGTGGCGCCCGCCCTGTGGAATGCCCTCCCAGGAGATGTCAAGGCAATAAACAACTATTTTACTTTTAAAAGACAACTGAAGGTGGCCCTGTTTAGGGAAGTTTTTAATGTCTGACGCTGTATTGTTTTTAATATTCGGCTGGAAGCCGCCCAGAGTGGCTGGGGAAACTCAGCCAGATGGGCGGGGTAGAAATAATAAATTATTATTATTATTATTATTTGCTTGTTCATGCTGCTGGAACAGGCACAGAGGGTCATTATCATACCTAGATTTGGAAGTGACCAACCTTGTGGGCTCCCCAACTTTCAAGGGCTGAACAGAGGGAACAGCAAATTGCTATCTGTGTAAGCCCTTTCTTTATACTTATTTTATCCCTATACTATGCCCCCTATGCTCAACAGCAAGGAAGTATAGGGCAGGGTTAAGGATTGGGGGGCGGGAGGGAAGAGATGGCGCTTGAATGTAACATTAAATTAGTACTGGATTTGTTGTTAGCAGACAGAGGATCATTTGTTGTCCTTTAAAAACCAAAGCGAACAGGCGGGTGGTGATCTCCTCTGAGCCTCGGAGGAAAGGGTTAGAGAGAACAAAGTCAAGAGTCATTAATTGTTAAAATTAAAACAGAAAATTAAAGCTCTCCTCAGGGAGGCTTGCCTGGCGCCTTCATTACATATCTCTAGGCGCCAGGCAAATACTTTTCTCTTTAACCAGGCGTTTGGCTGATTAGCATTCTATGTCCTTTTGTGTTTGTGGGGAGGGTTATTTGGTTTGGTTTGGTTTTGTTTTGTTTTTATTATGTATTTTATTTTTTTCATTATATATTTTTATTATATATATATATGTTTATGTTGTAAATCGCCCTGAGATTTTTAGATGATGGATGGTATACAAATCAAATCAAATAATAAAGCCGAACTATTTTGAATAGGAGGAAATGGGAGATTGCTGGCATTAGCTTAGAGAAAGCAGAATGGAAGACTGCAAGGCTACACAGCACATTGTGTCAACCATTTTAGTTTTGGGATGACTAGTTAGGGCTACATACTGCTAATCAGCAGCGATCAGTCTGTGTGGCATTTTACAAAGTACAAGAACAGAACCCTGATGCAGGGATTGAAAGGACTTTACAATCTCTAATTTGGTACCTGAAGAGGTGTGCATGCACACGAAAGCTTATACCAAGAACAAACTTAGTTGGTCTAGCTGTGCATTAAACCACAGAGCCTAGGACTCGCCAATCAGAAGGTCGGCGGTTCGAATCCCCGCAATGGGGTGAGCTCCTGTTGCTTGGTCCCTGCTCCTGCCAACCTAGCAGTTCGAAAGCACGTCAAAGAGCAAGTAGATAAATAGGTACCACTCCGGCGGGAAGGTAAATGGCGTTTCCGTGTGCTGCTCTGGTTCGCCAGAAACGGCTTAGTCATGCTGGCCACATGACCCGGAAGCTGTACACCGGCTCCCTCGGCCTATAGAGCGAGATGAGCGCCGCAACCCCAGTCGGCCACGACTGGACCTTTACCTTTAAGGTGCTACTGGACAATTTTTTATTTTTTTTATTTATTTTGACAAAGAAGAGTGTGCACCTATTTCCGTTTCCCTAGAAACAGGTGGTCCATACAGATGTTGTTGGACCAGTTCCAGGCAGTGGTCCAGGAAGGATGGGGGTTGTACACCAATAACATCTGAAAGCAGGCAAGTTCCACACAAACAGATCACAGCCACATTCTTCAACCAGGGCAGGAAGACACCAGATCTTCCCTGGCTGAGCTGTTGAAGGGCTAAAAACCCAACTTTTGATGGTACCTTCCCTATTAGAAGATATTAGCTGCAGCCCCTCTTGAGCAAAGGTGGCTGCAAAGGGGGAGGCCTCTAACACATCTTCTCTTTCTCTAAGTTTGCCGGTTCAGAATTGATGCTTCACGTGTTACAGCTGCTTGCCAAGCGATGTGTGGGGTTTTGCTTCTGACACCGCAGCTACTGGGGTGAGTAGAAACGGCTGTCAGGTCTTATTCAGCCAGTGATCTGCCGGTTGGTCACCCATGCCCTAGGACAGGTGTGGAAACCTTTGGTCCTCCAGATGTTTTTGGACTGCAACTACCACTTGCCCCCAAATGGTATGGTCAGGGATGATGGGACTTGTAGTCATGCAATATCTGGAGACACACAGGCTCCTCATCTATGCGCCAGGAGGTTGTTGAGACAGGGTGGTCAACAGCCCACCCAGTCCAGCATCCTGTTTTCACAGTGGCCAACCAGATGTCCATGGAAAGCCTGCAAACGCGGGACTTCAGTATAACAGCACTCTCCCCACTTGTGATTTCCAGCAACTGGTATACAGATGCATAATACCTCTAACCGTGGAAGAACAGCGTAGACTTTATGGCTAGTAGGCACAGATAGAATTGTCAGTACGCCTTTGAGCCGGTGCCAGCGACTGGGCTCAGTAACTGGTTCTGCCCTGGCTGGGCTAGGCGACTGGAGCACTTCCAGAGACCTTCCAATCCTGGAAAGCAGGTCTCAGTGCACTGGACTCGCAACTGTGCATTGTGAGCACCAACCTCGGCAGAGTATAAACAACGCGGAAGCCTGCTGTGAAACATAACTTCTTTTATTTCTAATAGCTACTACAAACTAAGAACTAAAGAGCTTCTGGCTTGCATGCGTGTTACAGCTCCCACACAGCCATCTAAACACTACATAGATAACACACAGACGCCACACAGAGTGAGGAAGGAACGGAAGAAGCGGAGAGCAGTTTCCGCCCCCTCCTTTCTGAAAACGTCCTATCAGGAGATTCTCGCAATGGGAGGGGGTGAAAATATCAACATTCTCCCCCTTTTCATACCAACCATTGCAGAATCTAACACATTTGCAATCCATGTACATACACAGCCATTTGTTCCCTGTTAGCAACTTTGGTTAGTGCATTGGCAGGTATTTCTTTCCCTGGCATATAGGACACTTTCACATGAATTTGCCTAGTCCTCTTTTAAAGCCATACAAGTTCCCAGGTGTAAGGAAATCTTCGCCTAAAAAGATATGCCTTGCACAGGAATATATTTATTACCTTTGACCACTTTTATCTGGAGCTAGGGACACGGGTGGTGCTGTGGGTTAAACCACAGAGCCTAGGACTTGCCGATCAGAAGGTCGGCGGTTCGAATCCCCGCAACGGGGTGAGCTCCCGTTGCTCGGTCCCTGCTCCTGCCAACCTAGCAGTTCAAAAGCACGTCAAAGTGCAAGTAGATAAATAGGTACCGCTCTGGCGGGAAGGTAAACGGCGTTTCCGTTTGCTGCTCTGGTTCGCCAGAAGCGGCTCAGTCATGCTGGCCACATGACCCGGAAGCTGTACGCCGGCTCCCTTGGCCAATAAAGCGAGATGAGCGCCGCAACCCCAAAGTCGGTCACGACTGGACCTAATGGTCAGGGGTCCCTTTACCTTTACCTGGAGCTAGCAGCCATCAGTTCGTAACCGTAGGACTTCACAGTTCATAGAATTGTAAAAGACCACAAGGGTTATCTAGCTCAACCCCCGTAATGCAGGAATCTTTTGCCAACTGGGGGGCTCAAACGCACAACTGTGAGATTAAGGGTCTCACACTCTACTGACTGAGCTATCCAGTTGTTGTAACAGGCATGGAAATAGACACCGTCTAACTGGATCTGACCAGATAAATTCATCCAGTCCCAAGTGGCTTGGAGCGATTTGTCTTCCATCACAGGAACCTGCCTGAACCTTGTGGTCACCTTCTTCTGCATCTCTCCCTGCCAACTAAAGTTAGACAAGTGGTGACTGGAAGAAAAGCCTTTGTAGCCTTGGTACTCAGCTTGTTAAACACGCTTCCCAGAAAGTCTCCCCTCACCTGGCTATAACTCTGATGGGCAATATTGCACAAGACGACTTTATAGGTTCCACCTTGGTTTCCTCGTCAGTTTCACGTTTACATTTAGTTTTTATTTATTTTGACTTGTGCTTTTTAAATAACTCTTCTTTCCTCGGCTTTTTAAGCAAACTTTTGGATTACTTGTGCCTCTTCCTATCTGGGGCATTCATCTTAGTTTACTCGATTACAGTTGGTTTAACTGAACTCCAACCTTCCTAAAGAGACAATAGTCCTCTTCCCTTTGACCAATCCCCTTGTTTATTTTTATTTTTTTACCAGTTCCCATTCTAGAAGTTAAATGTCTGTATTAGACTGTCTGGGCAATTTCCACCATTCATGTGTGTGGAATCAAGAGGTTCTTTCACTTCTGTGTAGGGCTCGATAGACCGGAAGACTTGTCTAGCTTCCCCACTAGACATTTCATGACGTTTGTTTTACACATATAGTTGCCATGCAGTATAGAAACTATTATTTTTTTGAGAAAAACAAGCCTAAAGCCAACTTGGACTTACGTAATTAATGCCACTTTCCTTCAGCGGTTCTCAACCTGTGGGTCCCCAGATGTTGTTGGACTACAACTCCCATCATCCCTGAGCTCTGGCCTTGCTAGATAGGGGTGATGGGAGTTGTAGTTCAACAACATCTGGGGACCCACAGGTTGAGAAAGGCTGCTTTAGATCCCAGCCTCTTTCTGTGCCATGACTCAAGCTGACCTTTACCTGGTCTGAGGATACTTTTAAGTCAGCCATTGTGCCAGGATAGTGGTCAACTGAGTGGAGATGCCTTATAGCAGGATATGCTTTTTCTCTTGGAATTTCTACCCACAGTAGTTTCGGGGAAGAGTTTCTTTCACGATTCCTAAATTTATTTCACACTCTGCACCTTTTCCCGCAATAAGCAATACCATTTTCAACACAGGCTACTCTTTCATTTCTATAGATTATACACCCAGGGATGACTGCTAAATAGGTTTCTCATTTGACCACTTTTCAAGCCCACTTTCAAAACCCTGCATTTTCAACAGTGCTACCATGTGCATGTCTACTCAGAAGCAAGTCACGCTGAGTTTGATGGACCTTATTCCTACGTGAAATGCACAGACTGCTGCCTAATTCACCAGTACAGTGGTACCTCGGGTTAAGTACTTAATTCGTTCTGGAGGTCCGTTCTTAACCTGAAACTGTTCTTAACCTGAAGCACCACTTTAGCTAATGGGGCCTCCCGCTGCCGCACAATTTCTGTTCTCATCCTGAAGCAAAGTTCTTAACCCGAGGTACTATTTCTGGGTTAGCGGAGTCTGTAACCTGAAGCGTATGTAACCCGAGGTACCACTGTATTGGCCTTCTAGCTTCCTGCATTTGTTTCTACATTCCATCTCCCTTTAAATACCCTTTTGCGTTCCTTAGTCAATTTAAAAAAACCACCACTTGGCTCTATAATTTATGCATGCCTATTCACATTTTCTGCCCAACGACTGCTCAAAGCGCTGCCTCAATCACGGTACTGCCAGCAGCCATTGATATAATCTTGCCTTGCCCAATCCCCACTCTCACACTGCATATTAGTTACACAAAATGTGTAAACTGGAAAGATCAGGCTGTTTATGAGGATGAGCAATGTCACATGTTAACAAGCTCAGAGCAACTCTGGGTTGAGGATTTGTTTGTTAAGATTTTATTTAATGGCCCTTAAAATTCCACTGTACGTAATATTACACATGCCAATTAAATCCTGTTATCTGCTCTGAGCTTTGGGGACGTGATTAAATCTAAACCAATTAAACAAATGAAAACTGTGGACAGGAAAACCAGTTTACATTTGTATTTGTAATGCAGACACTGTTCTATTACTTTTCTGCTCTGTGCCCTCATCAGAAACAACTTATACCCTCCTCACTATAAAGGACAACTACTACTCAGCTGGGATGCAAGCCAAGGCAACTTGTCTTTATTTTTGGACATAGAAGCATCCAGAAAACATTTAACATAACAAAAAATCAAAGAGGGAAACATCGAACATTTTGGCTTTAAACATTAACCTTATTATTGAAATCTGGAGTGACTGCTTAAGAATTATTACAAAGAAAAGCAAAGGCTCCAATATAGACTGTCTCCATGTGACCTATGTGGTTACCCTGTTTCCCCAAATTTCTGAAACAAAGCACACAGAGAGGTCTAAGCAATAAACTCCTTCTTCTGCCTCACTATTGTTGCTGAAAGGCTAAATAAAAATATACTGCAGTAGAATCGAAGGCTGAGGAAACTGTATGAAGGCTGAAAAAATTACTGTTTGAAAATAAACTTTAAAAACTTAGTACAAAAAAAGGGGGTGGGGGAATCCTTTGGCCACATGGGGGAAATGTCTCCCACTACCCCTGGGGGAAATGAAAGATTACTCTGCAAAATGAGACACACCCATAGTGCAGGGTAGGCGAGTGAATTTATAAGTCCTATTTTCTTCCTTATTTATTATTTTCTTCCTCCACACCCAACATGCTTAGTAGCCTCCTTCCGACAGCTATGGGGATTGGGGTATATTTAGATTGCCATTAACACAAAGCCAGGGTTTGTGTGTTATTTATTTACATCATATGCTCTTCATGCTTTCTTCATTCTACGTTCTTCCCCCCACTCCCCACCTATTCAACTGGTTTGCACCATAAACAACAACAACAAAAGACACCTTATCTTTGGCACAAGCCATACAAAACCTTAGCACACAGGAGCTACAAACTAGTTTTTAGCTTATAGATAAAACAGAAACACACAGGGCATGGGCTTAATGCCAAAGTAACACACAGGTATGGGAGAAGCAGTTGGAAAACTGCCTTCACTTTTCCATCCTGAAGCATTCCTGGGTCTTGGAAAGGCTGCTCAACAGAACAGTCTTTGCATTGTCTTTCAGCCCAAACTACTGCCTTTCTCCCCTATGTATATTTTCCAGTTTCAGATCTGTCTTACAACAACCGCCTAAGAGAGTACGAAGCCGTATAAAAATCCATACGGATTTCTGTAGAAATATGCTAAAAGCTTGCTCCACTAGTCGGCACCTAAGTGGACAAGGTAATGTCCAGCAATGAGCTGTTTTGCTATTTAAGCTCTTCCCACTTACACACCTCTCTCGTAACATTTTAAAGCAGGCTTCCTCAACCTCGGCCCTCCAGATGTTTGAGACTACAATTCCCACCATCCCTGACCGCTGGTCCTGCTAGCTAGAGATCATGGAAGTTGTAGTCCCAAAACATCTGGAGGGCCGAGGCTGAGGAAGCCTGTTTTAAAGGCTTGAAATTCCGGAGTGAAACACCAGTTAATCTCGGCCTCTTCTAACAAAAGAGTATTGGGTTTAAATAATAAAAAAAAAGAATGAGAAGTTCTTGTAAACTTTTACAAGAACTGGAAGTCGGGAGCCCCTCAAGCTTCCTAAATAAAAGATGAACAAATAACCTGCTTTAAAGACCCTCACTGTTTTAACCAGGAAGTGTTAGTATTAAATGGGCCCAGGCCAGTTCAACATGGGCTGGTGGGACAAATTCCATGGCATAAGAATTTAGCATTTCCGTGGCATAAGCATTTAGACTGCCAGAGACAGTCCCGAAATGGGGCCCAGGCCTTAAACACTGTTATGCCACACAAATTCAAGGGATTATAATGCTAACACGCAGCAACTTGCCCATAAGGCAGTTTAACAGCTCCAGATTTGTCCTCCCTGATGTGCCTTTAATGTATCTTAAGAGCAAATAGCATGACCTGGGATAGCTATGACTATAACCATAACCTAGGCTCTCTCAAGCATCACTGTGCAGCCCCCTGTGTGGAATGCCAGCACAGCCAACGGCTGCGAGGAGTTGCCATATCGGCCAACTGAAAGCAACAAAGTGGAGGAAGGGAATGGGAAGGGTGCGCAGTAAATGGACCAAAATGGGGGCAGAGAGCCAGTTACTGCCTACGAAACCATTTTTACAAAGAAACCTATAATCCCTAAGCCGTTACCAGACCAGTAACACAACCGGCACGTCTGAAGCAAAGCCTAAATCTAATATATGACTGAGGACTAAAACGCCACTTCTGTGTTTCTAGTTCAAAGAGTAAAAAGGAAAAAAAAGAAAGTCCTTGAAATGCCCCCAAAAATGGCTACCCCTTGAGGAAATTCTAATTTCCAGGTTGCTGTTGACTCTGATCTCTTCCTAAAGCATCCCTACATACCTGCATGAGTAACTGAGTGACTGCGAGGGTACATAGCCTTATTCCGGCCACAGTGATGTACTTCCAAGTTCCCGCCAGAAAATAAGAACCAGAGCCGCTAACCGCCTAATTACCACGCTACTACCTACAGACTGATTAAACTGGTCCTCATGCTGAGTTGAAAGCATAATTTCCTGATCCGTCAAATTATTCCAGTGAAAGAGGTGAGCACCTCACGCGGTTTGTGGCCACAGATGCTCACTGGCAGCTTTGTCCTTCAAATCCAGAGGGGTGGACAGCAATGGAACCATTATCCATCATACCTTAAGAGATGTTGTGATTCCCTCCCTGCCAATGCCTCAAAGTTTCATCCGTCCTTCCTGGGGCACTTACCTGTTTTTCTCCTATGCCCAAACGAGCGCTGGTCAAATGGCAGGTCTCCATGCAAGCTAAACGAAGCGCTATGCTGGTTTTTAGCCATTTCCTGTTGCGTGTCTATCCCAGTTCGGAGCACATTTTCAGCACAGGGAGACACATGCACCATTTCCGAAGTTGGCAGGAAACGCTTGCAGAAACCCGTGCTGAAAACGTACCCGGTCTGGGGGGTTTTGTGTGTGTTGCGTGTGGTTGCAGTGGGTTGTGTGCTGCCTTTTGCTGGTGTTCATCCTGGAATTCAAGCCCATGAAGGCCTTGAATGCTCAAAAGCCACGGCAGCTGTCTTTTGTGTGAAGAGGTATATATAGATATATATATAGATATAAAAAAGAATAGCTCACTCGATCCTTCCCCGCCAGGAATAGGGGGATTCTCCCAGAGCGACATCCATTGCCGGCAATGGACGCACCAAAATTACGTCGGCATCAATGAGTTAGCCACCTCTGTCCTCTCTTTTTCCACCTATTATATTTCTCATGCATCATCCAGCTTCCCAACCATCTTCCTGCTTTCTTCACAGTACGCACGCTACGTTCTCTCCTTTCTTCAGGGCGGAGTTGAAAATGGAGTTGAGAAAAGGAGACTCATGGTCAGCTGGGGATGATGTTAACAAGCTCCTGGCTGCCCTGAGAAGCTGGATGGAAATGGTTGAAATTACTACAAAGGGGTCAGCATCAAGAGGTCGGGAAGGACATAGCTTTATGTTACAAGCTTTCCACACCCTCCCGCCCAATCAGTCTACACTACATAGATGACCAGCACTCCAGACTAATATTACGGGGTTGGAAGACCCTAAAGCAACCAACATCAATCGGTTTTGGCATGGAACATGAACAAATGGGCTCCATGTTTATCTCAGAGACAACAGGTCCCAATCGTTTTCTTGCATCAGGTAAAAACTATGCTGTTTACAGGTATCTCTTCCGAGCATAAATGCGCTGGAGGTTTTTTAAAAAGCAGTTAATGTCAGACAGAAGCAGCTAACTCTTAGCGCAATCGTAATGCAGTGCAGGACAGATTAAATTCAGCGTTGTCATACAGCAGCTCCCAAACACAGGAATCTAAAAAGGAGGACTATTGTTTTTGATGGATGAGTGGAAGGAAGGGGCTTGGTTTAGGCTACAGGGATGCTACTGCACTGAGCACGAGATCAGAATCTATGTCCACTAGATCAACATATGTAATACTGGCACCAATATTTTAAACCATGTATTGACCTTCTTAATATTATGTGATGTGATCTGCAACAGAAAGGGCTTAAAAATCCAAAACAGTGACTTTTGATGGATAATGATTCCATAGCTGACCATAGATGTGAGCAAACTGCTCTTGAGCCAGGGCTATCCCAAAAGGGGAGAGGGAGAGTAGAAAGATAACTTAGCAAGAAAATTATGATTTCATGCTAACCCCACCATGAATCCTCACAAGACGACGTATCTGAGACACAACTGAACAACAATTAGGTTTCTGATTTGATTTGTTTTTTTTACAACTAATTTGTATTTTCTTTTCAATCCTCAGCACCAGGGCATAGACTGACAAGTAGGTACGGGGGGTTAAAATCAAACACAAAGCCCTGAATCTAGACAAATTAAGGAGTTGCTGATATGAACATTATTCTACTTGAGAAGGGAGTGGCTACATACTCACAATGACCTCTCCCTGCATAAAAGCGGCAGGCACTGGGTTCATATATGCCCAGGAGCTCCATGAACTGGTTGAATGATACTCTGGGATTTCGATCTAGGCATGGGATACAGATCTGGGGAGCTCCTGGGTACAGATAAACCAGTATTGCACTAAGGCTACATACACTTGAAGCACATTCCTCCCTCAAAGGATCATTGGATCCCCTGGCACAACTACAATTCCCAGCACCCTTTTAAAATACAGTCGCCAGGATTCTTTGGGGAGGTAAAATGTGTTTTAAATGTATGGTGTGTGCAGCCTGTCTTCAAATCTCCATCCTGGGGACAGAGCAGAACAAGGTGCAAGCAAGCCCAAGGCCCGCTCCCTTTCCTGGGTAGAGAAAAAGATTCTCAGAGGCAAAGCCTAAGCCCATTCAAGATGCTATATATACTGGGCATACTCTAGGCAGAAAGAACAAGATGCACAAACTTATTTTTACGCAGACGACACTTGACAGCCTGGCATACATTATTAATTATCCATCTTGTTGTTAGTTCTCTCATTACACTGAAAGAATTAAGTTGTTGTTGTTTTAATCCCACACTCATCTTGCAAATACAGGTCAAGTTCTTCAGAGAATCAGGGCTATTATTCTTTTTTTTAAAGCACCTTACTTTGTACAAAACGCCCCTCTCCTGACCTATCTGTATCAACACACACATGGACCAAGTATTGTAAAATGCTTCCTGAAGGACACAGAGGAAATGGCATGATTTCTTTGCATCTATCGCACTTCAAAAATAATCATTTGAGCAAATCTCCAGATGGAATCATGCCCGATTTTAGAAGTGGGCCGATCTTAAGTTGTGTGAATCCTGCTTAGTATTTTTCTTAGAAATTCCAACAAGGCAAAGGTTTAGGAAAAGGAGGTCCAGGCTCCTGCCTGGTCTCTGGATTCCAATGTAATGTCTTTCTCAGCCCTAAGTACCACTGAATCTACCCACACATAGCCTTGTAGGAAGAACAAAAGAGCTAATAAGACTGTCCACTGATAAAGAAGAGAGGGGCTAACTGGAGAAATTGCTACTCTGCTTCTGTTTTCTTACATGGTAGCTAATCTAGCCAAACGAAGAGTAGTAACTACTGGTGGTTTGAATCTTTTGGCATCTCAAGAGACAACAGGTACAAAGAGGTCTCACTGTGGCCCGCCATCCCCACTATCCTTCCTCCCACCAGGCTAATAAAAAAAGGCAGCAAAACATCACACAAAACTTCAGTAGCATGCCTGTTTCCAGGCTAACTATTCTTGCAAAAAAAGCGTGACAGGATAGCAGCATTTCCCAAAGGTTTCACAGCAGACAGCCTATGTTTTTCGGAACAGGTGATAATTCACTTTTCTGCCAAACAGATTCAAATCGCTGTTGCATATTCTTGTGACTTTGATTTTTAGCAGAAAAATTTGTTGATTGTTTCATTCATTAACAGCTAGTTGCACTGGTCTGTAAAACTAGTGAGGGCACATCAGGAAATTTTGGGTCAAAGACGACCAATACTAAACTAGTGGAAGAAATGCTCTCTTTGCAAAGTTGAAGTATACGTCTTTTGCTAACAATTTAATTAACTGCCAGTTAACGAAGTGTAGGCATTTTTGCTTCAAAAGGAAAAACAGAATACTTATGGAAAGCTTTTGGTCAAATAATTTTCTAATGGAAGGTATTTCCCCTAGTTTGGTCATGTGAACAACAAATCCCACCACACTTTCCAACCCAAATTTTACCAAGCCAGGGCCCATAGATGCAACTTTTGTGAATAGAGGATACAAACTGCATAATTAATCCATTTCCCAGTCTTCACAGTTTGCTGATCATTCAACACTACTGGCTAATAGGGTGGGTGTGAGGAGAAAAGGTCACAATTATGCTTATAAGGTTTTCATTACAAGCATGGAAAAAAGTTTTAGCCTGGCCCATTTGAATTTCCCGCTAAAAGAAAAAGAGGAAATCTGCAGCCGTTCAGAATACACACACTCTGCACAAGAGAAACAAGTCAACTGTGAGAAACCTCCATTACCTTCTAAACGATAAAAGCATCTGCTACAGAGAAGCCAACTTACTTTTAGGTCTTTCCAGCAATCTAGAAGCTTGGTCGCCAAATCACTTGCATCTATTATCTTATCGGTCTGTTCTTGACTCCTCTCACTCTCCACATCTGACACGCCCTCCTCTTCATCTTGAGAGGGCGTTTCTGCAGCCACAGATTCCTCCAGCTTCGCAGCAGAGGTCTCCTTCATCTCTGTCTCGGGCTCCACATCTTGCTCAACAGCTTGAGATTTGCTGGTGTCTGCTGAGACCTCGGCGGCAGCATCCTTGCCAGGCTCCTGCTGGGGTGGCAGTTCCTCTGCCGTCTCTGTTGGGACGCTGTCTAGATGCTCAAGGTCCTCTTTGCCCTCCTTCAGCTCAATCTCACTGGTCGTATCGGAGATGGCGCTGTCCATGCTGTTCTCACTTATGATCTTGAGCTTCCGGAAAGCAAGCTTCTTGGGCGTGTCCGTGTCCCCCTCCACGCTAGGCTTAGCGGAAGGATCGGGCGTGTTGAGTGGAGTATGAGCCCGCGATGTGTTCTCACTCGAATAACCATCTCCCTCGCTGAGATGTGGAATAGCGGATTTAGTCTGAGCCCAGCGCTGGATAATGGGAAGCACTTTGCTCTCCTCCAACATGTTTTTATTGGGAATAGGCAAAAGCTCCAAAGTCTTCATAATCTGATCACAGAACATGAAAGGAGAATTGTAAACTTTCAGAAAGGGTCGGTTTGATTGAAGTTAGATTTGGCAACAGAAGTACTGTTTTGGGGGAACAGGGGGCGGGCAGGTGTGGGGGACTCCCTGGTCCTGAATGGGGTAACTGTGCCCCTGAAGGACAAGGTGCGCAGCCTGGGAGTCATTTTGTACTCACAGCTGTCCATGGAGGTGCAGGTTAATTCTGTGTCCAGGGCAGCTGTTTACAAGCTCCATCTGGTACGCAGGATGAGACCCTCCCTGCCTGCGCGCTGTCTCACCAGAGTGGTGCATGCTCTGGCTATCTCCCGCTTGGACTACTGCAATGCGCTCTACGTGGGGCTACCTTTGAAGGTGACCCGGAAACTGCAATTACTCCAGAATGCGGCAGCTAGACTGGTGATTGGGAGTGGCCGCCAAGACCACATAACACCGGTCTTGAAAGACCTACATTGGTTCCCAGTACGTTTCCGAGCACAATTCAAAGTGTTGGTGCTGATCTTCAAAGGCCTAAACGGCATCGGTCCTGTATCCCTGAAGGAGCGTCTCCACCCCCATCGTTCTGCCCGGACACTGAGGTCCAGTACCAAGGGCCTTCTGGCGGTTCCCTCACTGCGAGAAGCCAAGTTACTGGGAACCAGGCAGAGGGCCTTCTCGGTAGTGGCACCCGCCCTGTGGAACGCCCTCCCACCAGATGTGAAAGAGAAAAATAACTACCAAACTTTTAGAAGACATCTGAAGGCAGCCCTGTTTAGGGAAGCTTTTAATATTAAATGCTGTATTGTTTGTAACACTTGATTGGAATCCACCCAGAGTGGCTGGGGAAACTCAGCCAGATGGGCGGGGTATATTATTATTATTATTATTATTATTATTATTATGCTCTGCCGACACACTAACTGGGGCTCCATTCAGACTATCCTCCACCTTTGAAGGTTCATGAACAAGCTCCATGGTCAAGTGCCCCCCTCTTTCCCTCTTCCATTTCCTTCTTAGCATTAACCATAATTTGCTGTGATGTCCGAATCAGCATAGAACAGCTAACATGTGCCCTTCAAACCAGAAGTCCATTTCAAAGTTTAGTTTCAGATGTTGGTTTGCAGGGGGAAAGTGCACTAGCCACAGTTTGCAGATCTGAATACCATAGCAAATTATGGTTACTGCTAAAAAGGAAATGGAAGGGAAAGCCACGATTAAACGGGGGACAGGGGGAGAGTATGATTCCGCAGCTTGTTCCCAACCCTCAAAACCGTGGTTTGTAGAAAGTCTGAACTGAAACAGAGTGCCCCTTAAGCAGATGTAGCCTGAAATTTCTGACAACAAATCAGAAAAATAAAATCCCTTTTGGAGGAAAAAAGGTTAGTTAAATGTCAATGAGCAATTATACAATGCTAGGCATGACTTGAGTAGGTCACATACACAAGAACCAAAATATCTAACAATGTGAAGATGTAAGCAGACCCAGATGGAGGCCTGACCTCTGAAATGACCTCTCTAATTTGGCACTGTTTACATGCCAGATAGAAGGGACGCAGGTGGCGCTGTGGGTTAAACCACTGTGCCGCTTGGACTTGCTGATCGGAAGGTCGGTGGTTCGAATCCCTGCAACGGGGTGAGCTCCCGTTGCTCGGTCCCTGCTCCTGCCAACCTGGCAGTTTGAAAGCACGTCAAAGTGCAAGTAGATAAATAGGTACCGCTCCGGCAGGAAGGTAAACGGCATTTCCGTGCGCTGCTCTGGTTCGCCAAAAGCGGCTTAGTCCTGCTGGCCACATGACCCGGAAGCTGTACGCTGGCTCCCTTGGCCAATAAAGCGAGATGAGCGCCGCAACCCCATAGTTGGTCACGACTGGACCTAATGGTCAGGGGTCCCTTTACCTTTATCTTTTTTACATGCCAGATACACACTACAGCAATTGCTTGAGTCTCTTCCAAATAAAAGCACAACCACAGATGTGCATTCAAAAATTCAGGCTCTGTGGAACTGTGGAAATACACCTCTGCACTGGGAGCTATAATCATAGTTTACCTGCACATTCTATATAGCATCCAGTTTTATCCCCCCCCCCAATTGTTTTGCTAGCGAGTGGTACAGTAGAGAGCAATAGGAAGGGTCACAGATGTTGGGAATAATTAGCCAGAAGCAGCACTGAGAATGGAAAATAGCTTCTGAATCTCTACGCCACACTGACCACAAGATTCTTAGAACGGCGAATGATTTCCTCACAAATTGGCTTGAATGGGAGAAGCCATAAAGAAACTAACGACAAGGAACTAAAGTTAGAAGCCTGACTTAACTCTGGCGAAGCTATTTTTGAAAACGCAGCAACACAGAAATCCCAGGGCAGCCACTGACCTCTATCTGGAGTTTCAAGTTGTTGGCTATGTTTCCCCTGCCATCACCAAGCTCTGCCATCCAAATCCAGAGAAGGGACAATCCATGACATTCTAAGAACGTCTTCAGGCAGGCCTGGGAGTGAGTATTCTGTGAAGAGAAAGAAGGGGGGCAGGGAGAGAGAATGACCAAGAGACCACACAGCCACGTTTTCACAGTCGCTGCAAACCAGCAAAACTAAAGCAGACAACTACTCAACAAAGCAAAAGAAAAAAAGAACACACACACACTCTTGGCAAGGATGGAGCTAACAGAAGGGTGCTGCAAATAGCTGTCAACTTACAGATTTGAAAAGAAGGGATCAGCAGCCAAAATAAGGGATTTTCAGAGCACAGGTATGTTCGACTTCTGAGCCCCTCCGAGCCAAAGGCAGAAAGCCCAGCCAGCAGCCAAACGAAACCTCAAGCGGTGGTTCCCACAGCGCAGCAACCCAGCAAAGGGGAAGCAGCAAGGAAAACCACCGTCACCTCTCCGCTGGGAAGCGCTGAGCAAAGGCACAAGGCATGCAAGCTCCACCCCCCAGTCGTTCTTAGACTCCTTATTGGGTGAGCAACGCAGCCAAGCAACACAGTTGGAGCCTCCTTCCTCCCTGACTGGCAGGGAGGGAGGGAGGGAGAGGAGCTGCTTCCTTTGAAACCCGGGGAATTTAAGGGACATCATCAATAAGGGACAGCAGCGGGACACAGCGCTGGGTAAGGGACTGTCCCGCCAAATAAGGGACGCTTGACAGCTATGATGCTGCACGCAGTATGGCTTGCAAGCTCCTGATAATGGTCATCTGGCTGGCCACTGTGAGAACAGGATGATGGACTAGAATGGCCACTGGCCCAATTCATCAGCCAGCCTCTGATGTCTCATGCTAAAGTCAAAAATCCACCATCATCGGGCAGAACTGCTTCACACCAAGCAACAAACATGTCCATGGTCTGAAGAGCTAAGAATTATTCCGATATAGGTTCCGTAACTTAGATCTGGGAGGCCTCATTGTGTAGCTCTGGGAAACTTACTCCCTCAGGCAACTGTAAAAAGCAATTTCAAAGGGAGGCTCCAATCTGAAACTGCTGAACGGCAATGCACCCAAAAATCTAATTCTATTCATTTCAGTCTGAATAGAGACCATTGTTTCCTTTCCCACTGAAGGTGTTATTTTACCCAGCAATTCCAAGGGTTTTCTATTGTCAATCACTGCTAGCTGCAAAAGGTGACTGTGCTCATTGCGCGTACATTTTAAGTTCTAATTGCATTTCCACTCTATTCAGCAAAGCTGAATAGATGACCGGGGTGGCTAACCTGCAGCCCACATCCGTGCAGGTGAGTGGAGATGTTTGTGACGGAAAAGCCCAAACTCTGCAATTTGTAACAAGATGGGAGGGCAGGAGGTCTTATGCAGACACAATTTGGTTAGATTGTGCTGGGATCAACAACAGGTTTCTGATTGCACCATGACTAAAGGAACAAAGGAACAGGGCTGTTCCTCCTTTGAAAACAGAGAAACAAGAGAACTCTTCAGATCTAGCTCCTGCACTAAGGGGAACATACAGGTTCTCTGTAGGGCAGAGAACAGAAGCAATGAAAAATGTGATAGTCCTAATACTAACAAAGAGAGAGATTAAATTTGATGATGAACTACATAAAACGGTGAATAGAAGTCAAAAAGGTGAGGGGGCATGTAACCCTGCCATAAGCAGAATCCCATCTGTAGGTTCAATGACAGATAAAATATCATGACGTTGCAAATGTGCCCCCTCCCCCAAGCAAGGCTACTTCAATCCCTCAAAACTTCTCAGCCCCACCATTAAAAGTGAAATATTAAATTAGAATTTATTTAACTTATTTGCCAACCACTTCCAGGTCAAATAAAAGAAGGAATAATCACCTGTATAAGTTTGAGACAGGTGAGCTTTTGCTCCAGAGTCTCGATTCGCACCATCAGCCGAGACAAGCTGAGAACTTGATTTTTATCTGAAAGTCCTTCTCCGTTTTCCAGGAGTGCCTCTAATTCTCCATCCACCTACCAAAACCAAAAGAAAAGTTGTACAAAGTACAAGTGCACTTCCCTCCCCCAACCCTTTGCAAATTGGCATTTAATCGGAAGGAGAGTTTATTTACTAGTGGGAAAGGTTTGGAATAGGTCACACTGGATTTCCAGAGTGCTGGAGTTACAAGTTGCGGAGAGATCAAATGCACCCTAAGCAGGAAGAAACTTCCTTATTCTACAGGGAGCTCCAGTGCAGTTGACCTTGATCCTGCTTGCTCTTTGCATCCAAATGATAAAAACATACCCTTTCCCTTACAAGGCCAAATTTGTTCAGACTATTTTGCATGGGGGGGGGGTTCAGTTTCAAGACAGTGGTCTGAGTCTTTTCCAACCTGATTAATTCTGCAATTCCAGCAAAAGCCACTAATTTAACACCAGTACAAACATGCTAAAAATTTGAATTTGGGTGAATGATTATTCCAGCAAAGTACAAACAAGCCAGAATTTGCACATTACATTTGGAGCATGCCTGACACTCTCCTGCTGCAGCCATAGTCTAATAAATGTTCCACATCACACAAGTCGCCTGAATCATGTGGCTGTTTTCCACGTCTGCAATGGAGGTGTAGCTTTGGCATGGGAAGCTACCGGATGATGCAAAGAGTCGGGTGTTTCTGATGTGAAGTGGCGCTGGCCATTGGGGGGGGGGGAAACAACTTTACTGAAAATTAGGTAACTGGGGAAGAGTGCTGGCAAGTCCAGAGATGGTGGAGCCAAAACCAGACTGCAAAGCCACACCCCAGTAAAGGGATCGTAGCTAATGGCCAACGCTACTGGACAGATCTGTCCCACTTGCTTTGTGCAGGATGCTATGGCGCTTTTGTGGGCCCAAGTCACTTTGAATGACAGTAACAGCTACGTGGTTTTGTAGGTTTGGAGCATCTGACTGTCTGAACCCAGCAGAGGATCATGCACCCAGTTCTGCTCTTTGAAGAAGTCACAGGAAAGAATATGAAAATCAGATGCTGGTTTTCAAAACCTCTCGACCCCAGTGGTACACATGTAAGTCCCACTGCAGAAGAAAACAAGAATGAAGCTTCTCCTTCCCCACCCCACTTACCGAATCCTTTTTACGAGACCGCTCCTTCTTCATTTTGCCTCCTGCGGCTCTAATGCTGACCCGGTTTTCTCCCCCAAGGTAACCCCGGCAGTTGGCAGAGCCACAGAAACACTTCTGTGCCTCTTTGCTGTTTTGGAAAGAAACACATAGTATGAAAATGAAGTGCTTGAAAATTCCACTGTTATAGAGTTCAGCTCATTGATTGTCCTATTCCATGGCCTCCTTGAAGGCAAAAGCCAGCATTTGTTAAAAACCAGAGCACCCATTACTAGCTAAAACCCAAAAGTACGTAGAAAGGGCTTTATAGTGCTCCTGGAAGAATCCTGGGCTTTGATCAGCTTCTTAGAAAAGAGAATGCTTAACTGCTTTTTCTTACAATGTTCATCTTTCCTATTCAGGTCTTAAGGTAAAGGGTAAAGGGACCACTGACAGTTAAGTCCAGTCGTGAACGTCTCTGGGTTGCGGCGCTCATCTCGCTTTATTGGCCGAGGGAGCCAGCGTACAGCTTCCGGGTTATATGGCCAGCATGACTAAGCCGCTTCTGGCAAACCAGAGCAGCGCACGGAAACGCTGTTTACCCTGCCGCCGGAGCGGTACCTATTTATCTACTTGCACTCTGACGTGCTTTCAAACTGCTAGGTTGGCAGGAGCTGGGACGGAGCAACGGGAGCTCACCCTGTCGCTGGGATTCGAACCGCCAACCTTCTGATCGGCAAACCCAAGAGGCTCAGTGGTTTAGACCACAGCGCCACCTAATTAAAGATAAAAGCTCTCTGAGAGGCTTTTGATACCGTTAACCAGAGGTAGGGAATTAGGGATCTTCAAGTTGTTGCTGAACTACAACTCCCATCAGCGCTTGCGATCATTGGCCAATGGCCAGGAATGATCAATGGGATCTTCCTGGAGCTGCAGTAGTTCTGCTCCCATCTAAGAGGTTGGTTTCAGAAAGTGACTGCCTGTTAGCCCCTGGAAAGTGTAATGTCGATGCCATTGGGTCCACCGTCTGGTTTAATATCTACATAAAGCTGCTGAGTGTGGCCATGGGGGGATTAGGAGCAAGGTGTCAGCAACACCCTGTTTTTCCCTGTAACAACTGAATCAAGGTGAGGCCACACCAATAAACTGAAGCTGAATCCTGCCAAGGAGGAGGCTTTGTGGGTATTCCTGGTATGGAAGATAGTTTTATTACCTGCTCTAGATGGGATTGTACTATGATAAATTCTTTAAAAAATAAAAAGAAAGCTAAGCACAATGCTTTCAAATCCAGCCCATGAATTCTATTGAAATAACCACAGGCTGCCCACACACATGCCGCAGAAGAATGGATAATTATTGTCACTGGCATTGCCAGAAGTTCAAAACCTGACCTCGAGTTGAACTCCCACCACTATTTCCTTTCACACCATCACCTATTTTTCTTATTTGTTAATTTTCCTTTGCTGATCTCATGCGTGGTTCGGTCTATACAGCATGCTAGTCATTTATGCAACAGGACAACCAAAAAAACATATCCCAAGCATACTGCCAAATCTGACGTCTCCAACAAGCACCACTCAGGTTTTAAAGGATTTACAAAATTACGGCACAAAATTATTCCAGTAAAACAGGGTTCAAGGGTAAGCAGATTTTAACTAACTTGAAAACTGAGCCTATGATAGCTCACACATGAAGAGAGTACTTTAGTTACAGCTTGCAATAACAAAATATTCTCAGGGCAGCTTACAACAACAAATAAAGTTAAAAATTCAACACATAAATGACAAACAACTTATGTATTGTTCAAACAACTTTGGTTCCTCCTCTCCCACCAAAATCAGTTGGAAAATCCCAAAGTTTTCCTCTGCTCTGGTTTTTTAATTTTTCTTTTAGAGAAAAGTAACTGATTCTCTTTTGGGGAGCATCCACTAGGAGAGACTATTCTACTGTGGTACAACAGCACAATTAGGTTATGATTAGGGATATGCACTCTTTTAGAAAATGCACTGTTGTTTTTAACTTCATTCTCGTCATCCACCTGTAGCCAGGCGGAAAATAATAATGAAAAAAACCACCAACACATTATCTCTTCCAAACCAAGTGAGAACAAGAGCAGCGGAAACACGAATGAATCAGCTAATGAGCACCTGACCTCCATAGTTCAGAAAATATGACCTACGTTTGACTGTGCACAAGATCACTTTATTGGCTTCTGTTCAAGAATAGTCATTTATAAACAACAAAGCAAGTAAGTCAGGTCGAGACCTACCCATATCTCTGGAACTGGTAGTCAAAGGTTAGCTCTGAGCCTGACGGAACAAGTTTTGTGGTGAAGAAGCCAACCCGCAGCTGTCCATTCACTGTCCACTAAAGTGGGGGGGCGGGGAGAGAATAAAGATGATTAGAACAATATGTATATCCATGGACTGTGGGCTCTTGCTGTTGTTTTTTTTTAAAGGGCATCTATTCTAGAAAAGGCTCTGTATCTCTGGAGAACTCAGCAAACGCACAAATCTCTATGCCAAGAGAATCCATTTGAAAACATAATTCACGCCCAACTTCGTTTTAACTGCAATGCTTGGGAGTTCACAGCACTCCGCTTACATTAGGTATGCTGACGCAAGCTCGTTTTGTCCCCCTTCAGAAATGGATGGTGTTAAGAAACGGCCTTAGTTCCTTTCGGTATTAAAAACCACTTGCACAGCTTTTAAACGGCCGTGCTCTGCTTTGTCTCATCATCTAAAACCTGGGGGGGCGGGTGTCCTAAATTGTGCGGGGATCCTCTGTAAGTAGAGAGGTCTCTCTGTTCCACACAGACACCGGTAAACTCATGGAGGCTTGACACAAGAAAGCGGACGGGCCAGAGGAAATGAACCTATGCTGCCAATTCTTGTAGTAAGGTAAAGGGACCCCTGACCATCAGGTCCAGTCGTGGCCAACTCTGGGGTTGCGGTGCTCATCCCGCTTTACTGGCCGAGGGAGCCGGGGTACAGCTTCCGGGTCATGTGGCCAGCATGAAAAAGCCGCTTCTGGCGAATCAGAGCAGCGCACAGAAACGCCGTTTACCTTCCTGCCGGAGCGGTACTTATTTATCTACTTGCACTGTGTGCTTTCAAACTGCTAGGTTGGCAGGAGCCAGGACCGAGCAACAGGAGCTCACCCCGTCGTGGGGATTCGAACCGCCAACCTTCTGATCGGCAAGTCCTAGGCTCTGTGGTTTAACCCACAGCGCCACCCGCGTCCCAATTCCCGTAGTACCCCAGTATAAAGTAAGCAGCACATAAGCGGCACACAAAACACTACCAAACCATTCTACGTACTAAATCTTATATTAATAATCCAAAAATTGAGAGAGCTATGTACAAGATCTACTACAAGCCACAAACAGAAAACTCATTCAAATTGTGCCCAAAAGGAAGATTCAGTCTTTAAAGGTTCCTTTAGCCAGCCTCCTGTAGATATCAACAGAGGTAAGTTTGATCAAACGAAGTGTCGGTGATGTTACGCACAAGAGTTAGTCAGGGTGCCGGCGTTTGTCACCTGTTTCGCCCATGAAGAGTCTTGGGCTTCTTCAGTAAAATCTCTCTCACAGTTTTGATATAGTTATAAACATTTATGTCCATATGTTACATTTCTTCTTAGATTAAGTTACAATATTTAATTTCTTTCTTCAGGAAATTCTCCCTCAGGATCTTGGTGTGTTTACATACATTCAACTTCATATAGCTCTCTCAATTTTTGGATTATTAATATAAGATTTGGTACGTAGAATGGTTTGGTAGTGTTTTGTGTGCCACTTATGTGCTGCTTAATTTATACTGGCCTACGACGGGCCAGAGGAGGCAGAGCTTGGTGGTGTAACCCCCCTCCATTCGCCCTCAGGATATTTGTTTATATGCCAAGACAAGCGCCTGAATTGGACTCAGACATGCCTCTGGCCAGGTGATGTTGTCTTTCACGCACCTGGCAGGCCACGTGACCCCCAAAGCCAATTTCAGTATTCTTATACTGCCTGCTACTTCAACTCTGTGCGCTTTGAAATAATAAATTCTACACATGTGCACAACTGCCTCTTTGCTCTTTCCTGGCCCTCACTGGGCCCATCTTTCAAAGATCTTTTGCCTGCCCGTGTCACAGCATTAATCTGCTTCTGCTCCTAGGCGACGTTTCTCATCAAAGCCTTTCCGCACTTGGGATCTCCTCCACCCGTCTTCCCTGGCTGACTCAGCCACTGAGCCTTTGGGCAACTTGTTCCTTGGAAGAGGCAATACTTCTTACACAGAATTCCAGCTCCCCCTACTCTCCCAAGCCTGTGTACAAAAGAGCTGTTGTTTGCAAACATCTGAATGCTGACAGCTTCCCGCCCTGGGCAATAAAAATGTTTGTGAATGCAGTGACCTCACAGCAGTTCAGCCAATGGCACACGCAAAATGCACATGCCTGAAAAATTAAGGGGGGGAAATAGGAACCGTGTTAAAATCTGTATGGAAATGGCAAGACATGGACAATTTGTTGATTGCCAGGGCTCAACTTTGGAAATTTATCAGCGTGCCTTAACTGACCTAGTTATTTTTATAAAATTTTATTGCCAGTGTTTAATATTTGCAAACATGTTTAAAATCATCAAAAGCAAAATAATATCAGGAATACAGCGTATGTGAATGCCATACCTAAGCTTTAGAATTGAATACTGTAATGCATTCTAAGTGGGGCTACCCTGAAGACTGTCTAAAAAATGCCACTAGTCCTGAAAGTGACTGTCAGATTGTTGAGTGGCACAGCTAGTTGAGACCACATAACACAACTCCAGAGTAACTTGTATTGGTTGCTTATACATTTCAGAGCTGAATTCAAGATACTACTATTGACACACAGTTTGAACAACTTTATTTCTGGCACCAGTTTTAAAGATGCATCTTTCTTACTCAGGCTTTTAGATGAAGTGAAGCAACATGACTTGTTGCTAGTTGTATGTTTTCCCTGTGGTATCATACACGGATTTTGAATTGTTTTAAAAGGTTTGTTTTTTGTGTATAAAATTGCTTTATGGTAACTGGTTAACACGATTCATGTTGATCTGTTTGGTTTTATGTTATCTGAAGTTCTAATTTATAAATTATAAAATTATATAGATTTATATAAAATCATAGAGGCGACGCTCCCCGCACAAGAACGCTGCCAAAAGTGTTTATCTCTGCTGACATTTCACAAGATGAGCATGTATTTTAAAATGCTCTTACCCCGCACATCAAAGTCCAGCAAGTGAAGAGGGGTAAAAGCCTTTTAAAACGTGTCGCTCACTGTGCTGGCTACCCATATGCCTTACGGTCACTTCCATGTAAAGGAGCTGTAACATAAACCCTCATTTAGGCCAAAATCAAGTATAAAAATTGCATCAGTTTCTTCCTGCGACTCACTTTCTGCGTCTCACAGTTTGGCTCGCAGCTGTGGTTCATAAAACGAGAGCAGTTTCCTTTCTGGGTGGCATCTATTATCTGAAAAGGAAAACATTTGTTTGTATCTCTTCATTAAAAAAATGGAGCCTGGCCCATATTCAAAGACTTTCTACAGGGTTTCAACTGGAATTCTGTCTGCTTCAAGTGTTGTTAGGCCACGCTGATGGAGAAAATGATGGTATCCTTATAAAGAACTAATTCAACTTATGTTAGAATTTACTCGTATTAGCAGTAGCCTGCAACTTGAAAGGATAACAAGCCCCTCTGTAGAAGTTGTGGGGCTTTCTTTACAGCACACAAAGTACAGCAGTAGGCGAGAGAGGGAAACGAACAATGGGTTCACGCATGCACAGTGAACTCTTAAAGTATTCGGACAATGCACAGCCTAAACACTGAAAAAGATTTGTAACTCACCTCATCGTTTTTCAATGCCATGAAGTAATAATGGATATTCTTGCTTCGGGCATACTCCTTCACTCGGGTTTTGAACTCTTTGTGATCGAGCACTTCACCACAGTATTCCAGTACAAAAGTGTTGCTAAGTAGGCCCAAGAAAGAAAGAAAAAAGCCTAAGACATAGCAGCAACCTGGCTTGGACCTATAATACCTTAAACAATCTGAGTCTGGAATATCTTAGGGACTGCCTTCCTCCCAATAGGAAACTAACCTCCTGAGCTCTGTGCTCTGCTAGAAAGGTCCTGCTCAGAGCTCCACCTCTTAGTGGTGCTAGATTGGTACCCACTAGGAGCGGGGACTTCCTGGTGCTTACTTCAACAATGTGAACTTTCAGAAAGTGGCCAAGAAACCCTCTCTTTTGCTAAGCATTTGAGGTTGTTTTCCAATGATCTGCCATCAACCAGGCATGCTTCACGGGGGGGGGGGGGGAATCAAATTTTGCCTTGTATTCTGTAATTGTATTATTTCTTTTTATTAAGCATTTTGGAGATTAGATCTGAAAAACAGTATATAAATACTGTTGAGAAATGACTAGACACTAATTAGAAAGAGAACCATGATTGAACCAAAGCCAGGGAGGTTGAACAATGCTGGGCATAGTTGTGTGTTAATTTTAAAACAGGGGTTCACTTAACTTATTAGTCAGAATAAACAGTACTGGCTTAGATGGACCAACAGCCTGGTGGTAAAACAGTTCCCATGTGTTCAATAAAAAAGATGGCATTTGCAAGAAGTATACATCATGGCTCTCACCTGCAGCTTCTGAGTCCTGTTAATAAGCTCCAGGCTCTACCCACACATCAGCCTAATTTGGACTGAATACAAGACAGAGTGTAACACGCCTATAACGTGGCATCACCCTGTTTCTCCTCTACGCGGCCTAGGACCCTCGTACCTACGGGGCCGCCTCTCCCGGTATGCCCCGCGGAGGACCTTAAGGTCCACAAATGACAACACTTTGGAGGTCCCAAGTCGCAAGGTGGTTAGACTGGGCTCAACGAGGGCCAGGGCCTTTTCAGTACTGGCCCCGACTTGGTGGAACGCTCTGTCACAAGAGACCAGGGCCCTGCGGGACTTGACATCTTTCTGCAGGGCCTGCAAGACAGAGCTGTTCCGCCTGGCCTTTGGTTTGGACTCAGTCGGACCCTTATGGTTCCCTCCCCTTATGGTTTTGATCTATGGGCTATTATTAAAATGAGGCTGCATTTTAAATTGTATTTGTAACCTGTATTTTAAATTGTCCCCCCCCCCCCATTATGTTTTTATTTTAATTTTACTGGTGTTAGCTGCCCTGAGCCAGTCTTTGGCCGGGTATAAATAAAAAATTATTATTATTATTATTATTATTATTATTATTTATTATTACTGCCCTGCCTTCTCCTGGGGAGGAGTATAAAGGTGTTCTGCTTTGATCCTGCTGGCCTTTGGCCTATGACCAGCCTTCTCCTTCCCAAAAGGGGTGTGTGTGTGTGTGCGCGCGCACACACACACACACACTATGGTCCTGGACATCCAACTGGTCCATGTGCAGAGCACATCCTAACAGTGCATTCATTCACTGGTACAGTGGTACCTCGGGTTACATACGCTTCAGGTTACAGACTCCGCTAACCCAGAAATAGTACCTCGGGTTAAGAACTTTGCTTCAGGATGAGAACAGAAATCGCGCGGTGGCGGAACGGCAGCAGCGGGAGGCCCCATTAGCTAAAGTGGTGCTTCAGGTTAAGAACAGTTTCAGGTTAAGAACAGACCTCCGGAACGAATTAAATATGTAACCAGAGGTACCACTGTACATGGAAAAGTGCTGACCCATATGATGCTTATAGCTAATCCAAAGGCAAGGGAGTGGGAACAGCCTTCCTCTGCAAAATCCCTCTGCTGCCCAGAACGAAACCTTCCCTGCTGCCGTGCCCAAGAGGGGAAAACTGCTAAGAGGGAGATCCTTTAAAACGAGGGAAGTCTTACGAGGGTAGGTCTTTTGCTGCTCTCAACCCCCAGCCTTTCTTCTCTGTCAGAATGACTTCAACATCTGCATGCTGCTTCCTCTGAAACCGCCGGTTGGAGCAGTAGTCCCCATTGGGGCACCTTGAGGAACTAAGCAGAAGGAAAAATTATGTATGCGTTAGTAACCATGTGGATATTCACTGGCCCGCTTCTAGCGGACACTCTCTAAATCACACACATGTTTCTCTAAAGAAGCACAACAAATCCTACAAGTCTCAGGTTTTGAACTTAGGTACCATGATGTAAGGGACACGGGTGGCGCTGTGGGTTAAACCACAGAGCCTAGGACTTGCCGATCAGAAGGTCGGCGGTTCGAATCCCCGCGACGGGGTGAGCTCCCATTGCTCGGTCCCTGCTCCTGCCCACCTAGCAGTTTGAAAGCACGTCAAAGTGCAAGTAGATAAATAGGTACTGCTCTGGAGGGAAGGTAAACGTAGTTTCCGTGCGCTGCTCTGGTTCACCGGAAGCAGCTTAGTCATGCTGACCACATGACTTGGAAGCTGTACGCCGGCTCCCTCGGCCAATAAAGCGAGATGAGCGCCACAACCCCAGAGTCGGTCACGACTGGACCTAATGGTCAGGGGTCCTTTACCTTTACCATGATGTAATCGTACTCTCAGATTAATGAACATTCCGGCATTTTAAAAAGAATCATTAACATTTGTACCTATTCAGCATGCAAACTATTTTAGAAGTCTTAATGCGCCTGTTAAGCCAATGTAAGAACATCACATATAACATACCAGTATTTATCACATTCAAATCTAACATCTATCACATGACACGAAGGCCCAAAAGTTTTGCTATAAAGAACCATGAGGATCCAAGGAAATCTAGTACATTGGTCAAGACCCACATGGACCTAAGGTGGGGGTCACACAAGGGTCTTCTTGTCTGATACGTTAATTTTTTTGAGAAAAGGTGAAAAATAGAGAGAACTGACAAAGAGGAAGAAAAAAAAAGGAAAGGAAATAAAGACAGAACTGTTGGGGAAAATGAGTCAGACTGGGGGAAAAGGTGAGTCCCAGGTCTACTAGAACTACTGCTCTAGTAATATCTCCTCTCCTATATCCAGATAGAAACTTCACACCAAAATGCCTAGGAGACCATGGGCATGGTTCTCCCTCAGGTGAGAACTCCCTGAAGTTCTTCACTTGAGATGAAAGCTTAAATAATAGAATAGTCCTCTGTTACAAAAAGATAAAAGAATCCGTGCACATGAAACACTTGCACGCAAAGAGAAAGCGGTTTAGAAACCTGCTCCCTGACATTTAATGAGTTTTCCGCCAACCTGATGACCTCCACATGATATTGCACTGGAATGCCCATCAGCTGCATCCAGCATGACTAATAGTCAGGTCTGATGGGAGTTAAGAGTTATATAGTCCAAAACATCTGGAAGGCACCAGATGGGGAGGTAGGCGGACCTGGTTTATAAAGCAGAGTATTCCACCATGGGTGATTCCCATTCCCACCCGCGGTATGAAATGGTAAAGCCCAGACACGGGTTTATCATCCCAGTCAGACTTAAGAGAGGTTGACAGAGAGGTTTTGCCCAAATAGCAAGTTTTAAAGAGGCATTTGATACAGCTTCCCTTTGCCGGTTGAACTAAACTGAATTCCAGAATCCTCCAACAAAAGGAAAAGAATGCAACTATCACTCTGTACGTACTTTTAACCCTGATATTTCCCTCCATCCTGACTTTAAAAAACTCCAGTACAGTACACTAGTACCAGAAACTTGGTGCCAAATAAATTTGAGTGTTTCTGTTTGAATGATGACAGAAGACTACTATAGGCACTTTTTATCTGAAGTATGGAAAATGTATCACTGGGAAGCAGTGTATTTGATAGAGATTTTACTTTCTTGGGCTCCATGATCACTGCAGATGGTGACAGCAGTCACGAAATTAAAAGACACCTGCTTCTTGGGAGAAAAGCAATGACAAACCTACACAGCATCTTAAAAAGCAGAGACATCACCTTGCCAACAAAGGTCCATATAGTTAAAGCTATGGTTTTCCCAGTAGTGATGTACGGAAGTGAGAGCTGGACCATAAAGAAGGCTGATCGCCAAAGAATTGATGCTTTTGAATTCTGGTGCTGGAGGAGACTCTGGAGAGTCCCATGGACTGCAAGAAGATCAAACCTCTCCATTCTGAAGGAAATCAGCCCTGAGTGCTCACCGGAAGGACAGATCCTGAAGCTGAGGCTCCAGGACTTTGGCCACCTCATGAGAAGAGAAGACTCCCTGGAAAAGACCCTGATGTTGAGAAAGATGGAGGGCGCAAGGAGAAGGGGACGACAGAGGACGAGATGGTTGGACAGTGTTCTCGAAGCTACCAGCATGAGTCTGACCAAACTGCGGGAGGCAGTGGAAGACAGGAGTGCCTGGTGTGCTCTGGTCCAGGGGGTCACGAAGAGTCGGACACGACTAAACAACAACAACAACACTGATAGAGGGTTACATTTTAAGGTATGTTCTCTCCCCCCCCCCCCCATATCTATTTGGAATTTATCACAGATTTTCAGAAAGAGGAAAACATGATCTCAACATTTATAATACACCTTTTCATTATGCTCAAAGCTGCTTACAAAGAATATAAGCTTTACAAGCAGCAAGGCAATCCAAACCAGTCTTACATTTCCTCCAAAGCAGACGCTTCTACAACACTTCAAGAAGCAGATTCACTTGACCGTAATCAACAAGAACGCACAAGAGAAGTGCGTTGTGCCTGCTGTTTTCAACAACCAGAAAGATTATTGCGTTTTACATCAAAACCTCTTTTCCTTGTGCTGTGTGTCATGATGTGGGCGTGTGATGACAGCAGCAGACTAACCTTCAAAAGGACACTTACCATTCTATCATGAGTAGACGATTAAGACAGTCTTCTCCACACGCCACCTCTCCTTGAGCTCGCTCATCTTTTGAAAGTGTGGGACATTCACACAGCATCCGCTTGATGTCACGGTGAGATTTATTCTTTTTCCTATGCAGCATTCCAGAAAACAAACTTTAAAACTGACCGCATAATACCAGCTAGGACTGAAGAATTTATCCAAAATAAAAGTACAGCAGGCTTTTAAATTTTAACACGTGGTACTTCAAAATGCCTTGAGGTAATACAGATGTTTTGAGAATTCCCACTGATTTGACACAAACCCAAGTCAAAACTGCAGTGGGATTCACACATCAGCCAATAGCATGAATTTTTTGCATGTTGAAGAAATTCACAATTTCAGGATTGGGGAGCTAATTCAACCAAGTAGGTTTCCAACTCTTTTTTTTGGTGGGAACAAAACTTTAAAATGTTTCTGGATGCCTTCAAAAGGCTTATAAACTAAGCAGGTGCTTCCAAGATTGTAACGCTTGAGATTTTTACAGTAGCCTTAACGTTTGCTTGCGTTAATATGGAATTATTACTCACTCCTACTGAACAGCACACTGAATATAAAACTACCTAATACAACATAAGGAGTATGTAAAAGGACCAATACTTGTTTTGGAAGGGGCTCTTTCAACCCCAACTGGCACTCTGTACCAGCCTGATATACTACTATGAACCACAACGTCATTTCCCCCTATTCTAATATTCTTACTGCACACTACAGTGGTACCTCCGGTTGCAGACGGGATCTGTTCCAGAGGTCCGGTCAGATCCCGAGGTTTCCGCAACCTGAGGACCGCTTCTGTGCATGCTGCGAAACCCAGTAAAAACAAGAGGGTTACGTAAACGGAGGTTTGACTGTATTATACTACCCTGGGCAAACAATTTTCACATTACATTTATGGCACGCTATTCCCATGTTAGCATAAAAGTAAGAGGCCTATTACCTTTCCGTCAAATACACATTTTCTTCAATGAGGTCGAAGTAACAGGGCATTTTCCCTTGCTTGGCAAACTCTTTCCAACGCTGCGAGTCCCTGAAGTCTTCCATGAAACACAGCGGACGAACCATTGAAGAGTCCTGAAGTATTGATGGCAACCGCTCTCCCTCTGTCTTGACCTTCTTCCTTTCCCGGTAGTCGGCATCGCTCTCTGAGTCACTCTCTAAATCCGTCCTCCTTTTCTTCAACGGTCCCCGCTCTTTCATGTCATTCTTATCCAAAACCTTATTTGCCTGCTCTTTCCTCTCACTTGGGGCCATTGGTTCTTTAGTGGAGTTGCTGCTTATCTCGTGGGCCTGCACCGAACCCTTCTCTCTAGGGTCACGTGACTGGAACTTCACCGACTGGTTGGGGAAGAAGGCGTGGCTTTCGTCAACCCAGCGGTCAACTTCTTCATACTCTTCATGGTCTTCTGTAAGCGAATCGGGAACCTGCCCTTGCATTTGCTCGTAGCTAATCTCAGAGGGTCTATTGGTCAACCTTGGATCCCAATAGCCATTGTCATGCCAGTAGTTATGAGGCCCAACAAATGTTCCCGGAGCTGGGGGGTAAACGTAACCTGGGAAGATGCCATAGCTGCTATCAGGCTGCTGGTATGTACTGCTTGGTTTCTCTGGTTGGGAGAAATCCCACCCCAAGCTACTCAAGTCTTCTGCTGAATGGAAGCCATCCTCTCTGGAGAAATCTCCAGTTTCCATGGGCTCGCCAAAACCAGACTTCCCCTGCCTGCTGTCAGGCTTGGATATACTGGTCTGCAGCCTGGACATATTGTCAATCATTTCAAAGTTCTTGGAAATATAATGCAGCTCCCCTTCTTGCGATACATCAATTGATCGAGCCACAGACATGCTTTCAGTTAATATTGATCTTTCATCTGGGTTTGGCTTGTGAATAAAACCTGTTGCCTGCTCTGACTGACTCGTACTGTCAACGCCATCGCTCTGAGGATGGGGGATACCAGGCCGGAGGTCTTCACTCTCTGTTCTGTTGAGCTCAGTAGATATCGCTAGCCTCCCCTCTGCATCCCTAGAAGGCAGATACTTGCTTTCATTTTGCAAGCCATTATTAGATCCCACGTCATCCGGCATTTCTTCACAGAATGGCCTGCTGGACTCTGGCCTGCCATCTTCCCAGTGATCCACATAGCGTCTGTTACTTTGGCTGTTCCGGGAGGAACATGAACTGCTCTCCTCCATGGTTATGGTAGAATTCTTTGGAATGACCACAACTGACTGAAGGCGGTTCTTTGGAACACTGCTATCATCTGAATCAGAGTCCTCTGTGTCACTGTCATCACTGTCCTGTTCACTCACACTTTCAGCCGTATCAGAATACTCTTCATGGTGGATGGAAGTGAGCTCAGGGGTACTGCCTCTACTGTCACATCTGGGCACTTCGGCAGCAGTTTCTGTTTCTTCAACCGTCACAACAATATCGCAAGATGGGGACAAAGCGTCTGAAAATGCAGATCCTCCCAAGGAGTCATCGCTTTTTTCATTTACCACCAGGATTTCAGGAGCGTGGGCCTTCAAGTCAGCAACTACAGTTCTTTCATCAAGGACCACAGAGTCTTCCTCATCATCTGGCTCCTCTTTCTCAGAGTCTTCTGTTGGCATCTCTAAATAATAAGAGTGCTCATTTTTAAAAGGCGATTTTGTTTTCTCTACAACGGAATCAACATGCGAAACATCCAATTCAAGCGCTACTTCAGGACACTCCAAGAGTTCTTCCTTCTTTTCCTCCCCCAGAGTTGTCTCTGGGTGGGACAACACATTTTCGGAAGCCTGTTGTTGCTGCGCAATACACTGATTGTCAAATTTCTCTTCCACAATATATTCTTCTGTAGAAGAATCTCTGACTGGGCTGCACTCTGATAAGCTGAAACATCTAACACGTTTTTCATCCTCAAGAGCAATTTTTGACGGATTTTGATCTTCGACATCAGCGTACGTAAACTTTTCAGATGACTGAACATCCACAAAAGATTCTGGAGTAACAATTGTATTGGAAGGCTCAGCTTCAATTTCAACTTCTGAATAATACAAAGAAAGAGCTGCATCATCTGAAAGATAGCAGGAGACTGGATCTTTGGTTTTATCACAAGGATCTGTGAGATCATCCGCTTTATCTGCATGTATTTTAGAATTATTTACATTCACAATACAAGAAGGTACACAATCATATTCAGAGGGAATTGACTCTTCCGTTTTTTCTTTAAGAAAACTGTTGGGGTCACTCAGGAGGACAAGAGAATCATCCGGATCGTGTCCTTTAGACTGATACACACACTGAAACCCATTAGACGGTAACTTACTCAAATTTGGACTATTGACTGGAAGTGGTGGCTCAGTTCCGTCTAAACTATCATCAGATGTTACAATTTCTTCTATTTTGGGGGCACGGAACAATGCCCTATCACTGGGCCTTCCTTCTGGGGATCCATTTATATTCAATTCTACTGGAGAACAAGTTCTTAACGGTTCATGTTTTACCTTGATTACAGACTCCTCTTCCTTAATACTGTCATGGCTATCAATTCCTGCAAGTACATTTGATTTAGAAATAGGAGACATCTCTTTTGATTCATTTAACTTTTTGAAAATAGGTGAATCATTCAACTGATTTAACGGAGAAACAGTCCTTTCTGTTTCTGGCTTCTGTGCAATAGCAGTTTTCGTTTCACAGCTTTGTACACAAGACGCCTCCAAGTCTATACAATTAGACTGCTCTCTGGTTTCCTCAGATTCTGTACAACAGAAAGAACTTTTAAATTTATCAGACTTTGGAGTAGATGTCTTTGAAGAGGAGGACTTGTGTCGGGAAGAACTTACACTGCTCTCTGCTTTAGAGTGGGATGATGTTCCCCCCCGATGACGCAGCTCATTGACTGGAGAGCACTTTTTTGATACGTCACTTTCTGAAGTCCTTTTGGAGTCCCTGTCTGATTTTGTAGGCTTTCCTTTTCTCTCTGAGTCAGTATGAGAGGATTCCAACTTGCTATCCCGCTCTGACTTTGAATAAGAAAAAGAGGTCCTAGAGTCTCTGTAAGATGAGGAATGAGAGGATGTACGCCTGGAGTCTGTAGACCTGGCGTATGTCCTCCGATACTCTTCTTCTGAATCAGAGCTTTCTCTTGTCCTGCTATCCATGTACGAACGAGAATACCGTGTCTTCTCTCTGTATGGTGAGCTCCTGTGGTACCTCCGGTCAGAGTCATAGTAATGTGACCGTTCAGATCTGGAATAGGAAGAACTGGTTCTGGAACCTCTCTCCGATCTAGAACGAGAACGGGATCTGCTTCGCCTCCTCTCTCTTTCAGATCTGGAACGGGAGGAAGAATACCTCGAGTCTCTCTCAGATCTGGAGGAGTAACTAGAATATTTTTCATCCCTTTCAGATCTAGACCGTGACGAACTTTTCACCTGCTCTTCAGTTCTGACAGAAGTAGAGCTCTTCCGCGAATCTTTTTCCTTCTCTGAGCTTGTCGATATTTTAATCTCGTGAGATCTCTGACTTGAAGAGGTCCTCACGGAATCTTCATCAGATTCGGAACCTGGCAATGCTCCATCAGACAACTTCCTCTTGGAACTTTGTTTCTTAGAACTTTGAGAAGCACCCTTTGAAGCACTTGAAACGTCCTCCTCCCTCCCAATATGGGAATCTCCTTTCGCTGGGACTGGTTCTGCTTCTTCAGGAATAACCTGAGCTAGCTGTTCTTCAGAGCCTTCCAACACAGCGTTTTGCTTAATGTTCAGTTCTAAAGTTTCCTGAGCTGCTTTCACTGAGGGCTCCTTTGCTATGCGGACAACAGTTTCTACAGGCGATGGCAACAGAGGCGCGGCTGCTGTCTGTACTGCTACTGGAAGTTGTGGCAAAATTTCTGGGGTTAGTACTGGTTTTGGCGCTGGTAGTGTTTGTGGAGGGGGAGGAGGGGGAGGGGGAGGAGGAGGAGGGGGTGGCGGCGGTGATGGTGATGGTGGCAATTCCACAAATTCTGATGGTCCGACAGTTGCTGGTGGCAGTGGCATGGCAGCAGCAGGGGGCGGCTTTGTTGTAACATTCAGCAGATGTTTCTTAAAGTGGATCTTGCCCAATTCCACCTTAGGCTTTGGGGGTGAAAATTCCTCCACGACATCCGGATAATCCCCAAGATCCAGTTTAAATTTAGAGGCAATGTCAGTTTGAAGAGGTGTGCCCAGGGAGCTCGGAGCCTCGTTTTGCTTGTCATTCCCAAGGCCGGTCAGAAATCTGTTCTGCAAAGTTTTCTTGGTTAGGCTGAAGCTGAAGGACACCTTTTGTCTGCCTTGTTCCTCAAGGTTAACTTTTGTCCGGGTGCCTTTGGGCAAGAAGCGGCTCGATGCGACTCCTTTGAACACTGTCCCTTTGACAAAACCAGGTTTCTGCGCATTTTCCGTCTTGCCCTAGAACACAAGAAATAAGCTGGTGAAATCGTGGCTTTGAAAATTGTACTCGCGTTACAGCAAAAAAGGGAAAGAAAGGGAAATACAAAAAGGACCAGAAGGCAAAAAAATAGGGGTGGTGGTAATTAGGGTCCTCTAACATAAAGAGTCATGAGTTGCTTAAACCAGTAGACAAGCTTAAGATACCTAGAAGCCTTATTATAAACCTCAAAAAATATCACCTGACATATGTTGGCCGGCTGCTAAGGCTTCCTTGGGACCCAGGTAATACCCCAGTAGCTCATTTTTTGACCACATCCTCACCAGGCACTGCCCCATTTTCCCTTCTTTCGGCAAGGTGTGGGGCAGCTGTGGAATCAAGGTGCGTCACCAAAAAACAGGAAGCCACAGAACACAAATTCTGAGCTGTATTCTGAGATTGCAGTGTGAACTTCACATTGGATTAGAACTGGACTAGTTTACCCTTGGGATCCTTTCCAACTCTACAATTTTTTATTCTATGATTGACTGTGGAATACCTATCCTCTTAGACCCACCTGGTGCCAACCTTATTTGCATTTTTAGCAATTCTAAATAAGGGAACAAAAACTATGATGCCTCTCATCTGAGATGTCCCAGCCATGTATTCTCCTTCCTTTCAAGCAAAATGAAACTAAACAAAAGCTTTAAAAAGTTCAGCTGTATCCATTATAGTGTGTGTGTTTTTGTATGTATGCACAAAGACACACACATATATAGTTGTATTGTATGAATATGTTAATGTTTTATATTCTCCACTCCACTGTATAATGTACAGGCAACGCCCAATTGACGTGCCTCCAACTGACCATGCACACTAGCATCACACTGAACCTGAAAGTAACTTTTAAAGTGGCAAAAGCGGCCCTAAAAGACTCCAGAATGGGCAAAAGGGTGTGGAAACAGAACCTAGTAATCCCTTGGGCCTTTGTAAGTGCAATCCCAGGACTCCTTGCAATGACCATTGAGGCCTGTGGAAAATTGGAGTTTGAGCAAGGAAGTTGTGATGGAGTTTAGTGTCTGGTTAAGTGCAGGTTTTTAAAAGGGTTTTACAAGGGTTTCCAGAGGTTTAGAGGGTGTTTGCAGGCCTTTTCAAGTGTGTTTCAAATATACACGATTTCACATAACCCCCGTGTAAATTGAGAGTTGCCTGTATGTTGGTACCTTGGTAGTTGAATGGCTTGGCTCCTGAACGCCGCGAACCCAGAAGTGAGTGTTCTGGTTTGTGAACGCTTTTTAGAAGCCGAATGTCCGACACGGCTTTCGCTTGAGTGCAGGAAGCTCCTGCAGCCAATCAGAAGCCGCGTCTTGGTTTTCAAACCGTTCCGGGACCGGGAGTTGAACAGACTCCCAGAACAGATTAAATTCAAGAACCAAGGTACTACTGTATTTCTGTTTTTAAAAGTTAAGTCACTTGGAGAACTTTTAGGTAACAAATGGAATCATACTAATTCTTTTTCAAAAAAAGACACAAAGAAACATAGTTTAGAATATACTCACATCATTTTCTTCTTCTCTGTTGTAGTCCATCAAGAAGGCATGCAAAAAAACAGGACAGAGAAAGCATGAAAACTAAGTGGAAACAAAAGGTGCTTGCTTTTCAGGTAAAACTGCTTTGCCTGTGCTGGCTACAGAGAGGGTCATAGAATCATAGAATCAGAGTTGGAAGAGACCACAAGGGCCATCGAGTCCAACCCCCTGCCAAGCAGGAAACACCATCAGAGCACTCCTGACATATGGTTGTCAAGCCTCTGCTTAAAGACCTCCAAAGAAGGAGACTCCACCACACTCCTTGGCAGCAAATTCCACTGTCGAACAGCTCTTACTGTCAGGAAGTTCTTCCTAATGTTTAGGTGGAATCTTCTTTCTTGTAGTTTGGATCCATTGCTCCGTGTCCGCTTCTCTGGAGCAGCAGAAAACAACCTTTCTCCCTCCTCTATGTGACATCCTTTTATATATTTGAACATGGCTATCATATCACCCCTTAACCTCCTCTTCTCCAGGCTAAACATGCCCAGCTCCCTTAGCCGTTCCGATCATTTATATATATAAAAAAGGCATCACTGTTATAGACTTAAAAGGACTGTTTTCTCCAGGCTCCATTACATTTAGGCAAAAGGGGGATACTCTGGCATCTCATTCCTGTATCTAACAACCTGTTAAAACAAAATGGGAGGAGTCTTAAGCTGTCTGCTTTCAAGGAGAATATAGCATGTCAGGGTCCCAGCAGTGCAGAATGTCTATCTTAAAGGTACGTCTTACATCTCTTAATCCCTCCTGTGTTACAATTCATTGGGATTTTAGAAATAGGAATTGAGGCACAGGACTGCGTATGCCAGCCACCTCCAAGGAGGAAGAGGTATTTAATTTTGGAGAGAAATCATTTTCCAGAATTTTCACATTCAACATACATTTATAGGGTAAACCTTGTTAAAGCAAATTAAGCTTTCCGTTTTCAATTATTTTTCTTCTTTATACACCCCACCCCCAACTCCTAACGTGTTCCGAATGATTCAGCTTCTACTTTTACTAACAAATTAAGGTGGAGAAATCATATTTTCTAACAGGAAGTGATGAAAAATAAGGTAAAATAGTAAAAATAACAGAAAATCCATATAGCGAAGGCACTGCCTCTTGCTCTTACACCCTAAAGGACAAATAGGTTATTTAGTGATCTTCATAGGAATATGATCTCCCATCACATTCATCACTAATTACTACAATTAGCACATTCTAAAGCTCACAGCTCAGTGACACAGTACATATTTAGAATGAAGGACTCTGATTTCAATCACTGGACTCTCTAGGTAGGGCTGAGAATAACTCCTAAAAGGCACTTTATAAAGCAAGTTTAATGTTCTAGTCACCACATTCATATTTTATTCCTCCTTTGTGGTTAAACCCTAGTCTGATTTAGCGCACTTTGAATGGGTTTGTCTTCCACTGTATTGAGCAAATTATTCGCTTCTGAGTTACTACTGTAAAACTACAGAAAAGATGCTATTTTTACATTTCATGCTTCAACCAATGGGAAGTTCTGAGATGGACATTCTAAACCAGGGTTTCCTAAACTTGGCTCCCCAGCTCTTTTTGGACCACAACCCCCATCATGCCTAGCTAGCAGGACCACTGGTCAGGGATAATGGGCATTGTAGTCCAAAAACATCTGAAGACCCAAGTTTGGGAAAGTCTGCTCTGAGGTGTAAAAGCAGTTAAGTTGGTATCTATCTCCAGTGCAACCACAATGGCTCCAGGAATGATACCACAAGCACTCCAATAAGACGCATACTAAAATATATGTTATTTTAGTCTCCACCCCATCATTTGGCCTGGACACTGAGGTCCTCCTTTAGAGGGTCTTCTGGCGGTTCACTCACTGCGAGAAGCAAAGATGCAGGGAACCAGGCAGAGGGCCTTCTCAGCAGTGGCGTCCTCCCTTTGGAATGCCCTCCCATCAGATGTCAAAGAGATAAAGAACTGCACAACTTGTAGAAGACATCTGTAGGCAACCCTGTATCAGGAGATTTTTAACGCTTGACCTTTTTATTATGTTATTAGATATGCTGCAAGTTGCCCAGAGTGGCTGGGGAAACCCAGCTAGATGGGCAAGGTATGTATGTATAAACAAAGAAATAAATAAATAATTAGAATTATTTTTAACTACTTTTATAAATGGATTTTTTTTTTAAACGTTCCTGTAATTTTTACATACAGAACAGTTTTTAATTGTAAAATCAGCATTTCTCAAAAACTGTTTTCTCAAAACTGTTTTATTACTTAAGAACACCATCTGATGAAAACAAGAAGACCAGAACATGTACAACTCAGCAAAGTGACACGCCTCCAAGCCAAGCCGTGGTGATTTGGTAGCTCTGGAAGCAAAACACATAAATGGGCTTTGCAGGCCCAGAGCAAGCTATTCAACAACAAAAGGCCAGCTCCATGCAAGAAGATAGCATTCAGTGAGTTAATAAATTCTATGGAAGATACTATAGTACAAGTAGTACCAGTATTTTCGGTAGCTTCTATTTTTCCTGGATGAAAACATTTCAAGATAAACATAAACTTCCACTGTTTTATGCCTTTCACACCTGCCAAATAAATAAATGCAAGAAATAATTCATGCTTGAGTATCTTCTTAAAAAACAAACACAACTTATCAGGGCTCCTTCTGTGTGTGATCGCAGACAGAAAGGGTTCACATAGTGACCAGGAAAACATAATGGCGTTACAGAGTCAGATTTGGCTTTGTGAATGTCTCCGAAAAACAAGATGAATCCCTCCCAATCTGATCCAACGTCTCAGAATGCAGCTCTTCATCCACATGCTGCCGCAATTTCATGCAACGGCACCAAGGCACGGGAGCATCTATTTGCTGCTTTAGCAACTGGGAGATGTTTCCCTTTTCTTACCAGATGCACATGCCCAGCGGTCGAAATTTGCCAGGTGCATTTTGCACCTGGCTATTGGCAACTTGCACAAAATATGGTCTGAAGCTCAACATCAAAAAAACGAAGATCATGGCCACTGGTCCCATCACCTCCTGGCAGATAGAAGGGGAAGAAATGGAGGCAGTGAGAGATTTTACTTTCTTGGGCTCCATGATCACTGCAGATGGTGACAGCAGTCACGAAATTAAAAGACGCCTGCTCCTTGGGAGAAAAGCAATGACAAACCTAGACAGCATCTTAAAAAGCAGAGACATCACCTTGCCAACAAAGGTCCGTATAGTTAAAGCTATGGTTTTCCCAGTAGTGATGTATGGAAGTGAGAGCTGGACCATAAAGAAGACTGATTGCCGAAGAATGGATGCTTTTGAATGATGGTGCTGGAAGAGACTCTTGAGAGTCCCATGGACTGCAAGAAGATCAAACAATTCTGAAGGAAATCAAGGACAGATCCTGAAGCTGAGGCTCCAATACTTGGGCCACCTCAGGAGAAGAGAAGACTCCCTGGAAAAGACCCTGATGTTGGGGAAGATGGAGGGCACAAGGAGAAGGGGACGGCAGAGGAGGAGATGGTTGGATAGTGTTCTCGAAGCTACGAACATGAGCTTGACCAAACTGCGGGAGGCAGTGGAAGACAGGAGTGCCTGGCGTGCTCTGGTCCAGGGGGTCACGAAGAGTCGGACACGACTAAACGACTAAACAACAACATCGGCCACTTGTAGCTAAGTGAAGATGCCCGAGCGCCAGGATGGCGTCTGACGTCTCCACCATCTGGAGGTGCCTATCTGGGGGTGCTTGGATCTTGACTGTTTTCACACACTAGCTACACATCCTGCAGAATTCCATCTGTTATCTGCACAACCAGACGAATTTCATGAACCCAAAAGTCGTATTGAAAGATACGGCTTTCAAGCTGCCTGGCCCCAAAATGGCAACTAGGCATTCCATTTTGGTGACTATAACCCTGGTTTAAGGAGCCGTCTGGTGCCTATCTGATATATCTGAGTTTCTAACACCGCACATGCAAACTGTTTCGCACAATTACACAATGGCATGCAAAACTTCGCTAAACGGGGAAGGAGGGGCAATTTCCAGGGGTCAAAAAAATATTTGTGAAATGCAAATCCCCCCCCCTTCAGCTCAAAAAAAGGAATAGAAATAAAGATGAAACATTCAAATGGGGGAGCATGTACTACTCGATTGCTGGGAAGCAGCAGTAAAGATCCTCAGAATGTAACTGGCAATTTGAGAATGGTTGTCAATTTAAATATATACCCGCAGTGAATTACTTGCTCTTGTGAATCGATCCTGCATTGAAAATGACAGCATTATCACTCAACAGTATCGGAGCTTCCTGACATGGCTGTTTTTTCTTCCAACAAACTGTGAGCTAGTTGAAAGCACAGTGAGGCCTACGACCAGCAGTGACCATCCTTCACTGATGGGTTTGGATTTCAAAAACACGGTAAAATGATGAAAGAAATATTCCAGGGAGATTACACAGCCTTAGTCTGTCAGTTTGACGTACCGTATTTTTCGCCCTATAGGACGCACTTTTCCCCCTCCAAAAATAAAGGGGAAATGTGTGTGCGTCCTATGGGGCGAATGCAGGCTTTCGCAGAAGCCTGGAGAGCGAGAGGCGTCGGTGCGCGTAGACCCCTCTCGCTCTCCAGGCTTCAGGAAGCTATCCGCAAGCCTTGCAAGCCCGGTGGGAGTTCCCGCGGGCTCGCAAGGCTTGCGGGCAGCGGCCTGCAGCCCGAAGCACGGGGCGTGCTCCGGAGGGCGTCCCGTGCTTCGCGCAGATGTCCGCAAGCCTTGTGAGCCCGGCGATAACTCCCGCTGGACTCGCAAGGCTTGCGGATAGCAGCCTGTTCTGGGGGCTGGGGGGAAATTTTTATTTCCCCCCCAAAAAACGAGGTGCGCCCTATAGGGCGAAAAATACGGTATTTGCATGTTGGTTAAAAGTCATCTTCTCTATGTCAAGGTGTAAACCTTTGGTTTGAATGGCGGGGGGCAATGCCCAGAGACATTATGCATGTTATGAAAGTCACAAGGTGCAACTACACTGACCACAACTAAAGCGGAATAACGTACGAAGATTATTTTCATGGCACTAACATAGCTGTATTCCAGCAACACCCATGTTTTCTGGAAGAGGTTTCATCGACCGCTTACAAATGAAAAGGCATCACATAAATATCTCCCAGAAGAATTATTTTTTGTCGGAGATAGATCATTCACCCGGAGTATTAAGGAGCATGTAGGTGACCAAAGAGGTAGTGGAACTAGGAAGCAGGTGTTTCTAGAGAACGGGTCAGCAACCTTTTTCAGCCATGGACTGTTCCTCAGACCATGTGGGGGTCCAGACTATATTTTAGAGGGGGGAAAAATGAACAAATTCCTATGCCCCACAAATAACCCAGCATTTGAAATAAAAGCACACATTCTACTCATATAAAAACACCAGGCAGGCCCCACAAAAAACCCAGAGATGTGTTTTAAATAAAAGGACACATTCTACTCATGTAAAAGCACGCTGATTCCCGGACCGTCCGCGAGCTGGATTGAGAAGCTACACACATCAACTATGATATGGAAAAGTTACCAAAAAACAAACAAACCCAGAAGGTGCATTTTTTTTAATGTGATCATTTTACGTCTGCATTTTGCAGGAACGCTTTACGTCTGAAATAAAAGGAAAACCAACACGAACAATCCTGCAAAATGATACTTTTAACACAATAATCAGTTTTCTGAGTGGATTTATAGAATTTATATCCCACTTTTTCCCCACGGTGGACTCAAGATGGGATGCAAAGGGGACCCAGGCAGTTTCCCTCACCCAAAGCACTGACCAGACCCAGACTTGCTTAGTTTCATCAATTTACAGGTAGGTAGCCGGGTTGGTCAGCCGTAGTCGAAACAAAAATATATATATATAAAAATAAAAATCCTTTCAGTAGCAACTTAGACCAACTAAGTTAGTTATTGGTATGAGCTTTCGTGTGCATGCACACTTCATCAAGTTTGCTGTATCATGGACTTTTAGTATCATGCCCTGACAAGATTAATTTTTTTTAGTTAGTATTTCAAATATACTGGCAAATCAAGAACTTGTCAAAATGTCCTGCATTTAGACAATTACCTGCCGGAAGGCTTGCCAAACTAAAATTCCTCTGCGGAATTTTAACAAAGGCAAGTGAAGAATATTTCACAACTATAGGAAAACATCATGCCAATAGTCATAAACTTGAGGGAGGGGGACAGAAGAGCCCTGTCTTCCTGCCAATCATTAACCCACCCAAGTTCTCTTTAACACCAATGTTCATAGGAAAGTAATGGTGTGGGCAGCCCACATTAGACAAAATTACAGATTCCTTGCCAGGACAGGCAATATCCCTTTCCATGATATTAAGGAAACCCAAGAGCTGTTCAGGATCATCAATGAGAGATTACTAAAAAAGCAATAAACCCCAACCATAATTAAATTCAGCTGTTAAATTATCATTGCTGTCACTCAGCAGCTGATAGATGTAGCTATTAGTTGCTAGTGGGGTGTTTTGTTTTGTTTTTTTAAAAAAGGCAAAATGACTTTCAAGTTTTATCATGTTTGGATAATTACTTGCTAATGTGCCCAGAGATAAAATTACTGCTATTTTCCAGGATTAAGTGAAATAAATGGCACGTTAATTTACTACGAGCAATTATGCAGCTGGTAACACTGTACCACTGTCCCCAAAGCATCCCCTTCTTTTTTGGGGGGGGGGGGAACCTTCTCTGTTCTTACCCCATGAAAAGCAGGAAGATCCAACAGAATTGCTGGGGAAGGAGGCTAAGAACTGTACCTGTTTTAAAAGTATGCAATTCAGTATTAGCACAGGTTGCTGTTCGCCTCTACACAGTTACATCTTTATCTGCAGACATTGCAATATATTGCGATGTTTAGGTAAAGGTAAAGGGACCCCTGACCGTTAGGTCCAGTCGTGGCCGACTCTGGGGTTGCGGTGCTCATCTCGCTTTATTGGCCGAGGGAGCTGGCGTACAGCTTCCAGATCATGTGGCCAGCATGACTAAGCCGCTTCTGGTGAACCAGAGCAGTGCACGGAAACGCCGTTTACCTTCCCGCCAGAGCGGTACCTATTGATCTACTTGCACTTTGACATGCTTTCGAACTGCTGGGTGGGCTAGGTGATGTTTAGTTGGTGATATATCACAATCTTGAAAACCAGGTATCGCCGAGCCCTAGTTGCTGGCATACCTAATTGCTATGAAATAACCATATGTGTGGGATGTGGGTGGCGCTGTGGGTTAAACCACAGAGCCTAGGGCTTGCCGATCAGAAGGTCGGCGGTTCAAATCCCCGTGATGGGGTGAGCTCCTGTTGCTCGGTCCCTGCTCCTGCCCACCTACGTCAAAGTGCAAGTAGATAAATAGGTTCCGATGGGAAGGTAAACGGCGTTTCCGTGCGCTGCTCTGGTTCACCAGAAGTGGCTTAGTCATGCTGGCCACATGACCCGGAAGCTGTAGCGGCTCCCTCGGCCAGTAAAGCAAGATGAGCGCCGCAACCCCAGAGTCGGTCACGACTGGACCTAATGGTCAGGGGTCCCTTTACCTTTACCCATATGTGTAAACCTAAGTCAGCCTTCACCAGAATAATAGACCCCGGATGCGTTTTTGGTTTTTTTCATTACAGAGGGCCGGTTAAAAATGAAGCAGGAAACGAGTAAGGGAAGACCAGCCTTGAAGACAAAATTTGTCTGTTGAAGAAACCAGAGGCCTTTCTCCTGGGCATAGTCGGCCAATCGGTGTTAAAAAAGGACAGAACTTTCTTTATGTATGCTACAACAGCAGCAAGAATACTTATTGCAAAGCATTGGAAAACACAAGACTTACCCACACTGGAGGAATGGCAGATGAAATTGATGGACTATATGGAATTGGCGGAAATGACTGGCAGAATCCGAGACCAGGGAGAAGAGTCGGTGGAAGAAGATTGGAAGAAATTTAAAGACTATTTACAGAAATATTGCAAAATTAATGAATGTTAGAATGATGTTGGATTGAAGTTAAGTGGTTTCTAGCGGTATAGGTACAAAAGAATATGGAAAAATTGGTTTTTAATATGTAAAAATTTAAGGTTATAATATTAAGATTAAAGATTAGAACTAAAAAGGAGGGAAAGGAATTGTTGGATTAACAAATTGAATTGGAATACAAAAGAGGGAGGTATGAGGAGGTCCGGGAAACAAGTAAACGTAAAAGAAGTGAAGAAAAGGTGGAATTGTTTTTAACTGTTTTTTCTTTTTTCTATTTTGTATTTTTCCTTTTTATTGTTAATTTTTTTCTTTTATTAATGTGATTTTTCTTCTTTTGAAACTTTAATAAATATTATTTATAAAAAAAAAGAAGACAAAATTTGTCTGGTGGTGATGGTGTGTGAAAGAGAAAGCAAGATTCGCTGATAAATGAATAATTAGCATATACAGGTGTGGCCCGTAGTGTGTGCATGTAGGTGTATAAAGCCTCTCTCTCCTACAATTAGAAAATTGGGGAGCAGCCTGTAAAAAGATGTAGAAATCAACAGCCACAACCGGGAAAACATTTCATTAAAAAGTTCCCATGGGTGTGGGAGACACCCCATCGCAGAGCCATGCAATAAACTCATTTCCCTCTCTATAACCAAAGCAAGAAGTAATATACGTATAACTATGGCCAAGTCTCTGTTGAAACCTGGAGTATTCCTTTCTCCATTCTAAAATCGTTTACACAAGCTTTACACTGAGATGACTCAAGCCTTGTTGAACCAATCATCGTCCTGTGAATAAACACAACCTTTGGAAAGGAATGGTACTGTTCTTTGCTGCCCTCAGGATTATATTCTTGGCTGTACAACACATTATTCCAAACAAAGAACCACCCCAGCAGCCAGCAAGCATTTGATACCACTTGTGGTTTTAACTGAATAAAAGGTTTGTTTATACAGCGTTGTAGGTTAAGCGTAATTTAGCTTTCTCGTTCTTTGTAAGCTCTGGATATCAAGCGGCTGGCACAATATTTCGGCTGACAGCAAGCATCAACTCAGGCTCCAAACAGTCCTCACGAGGAGACACCTCCTTTGGCAACTCCACCTAGATTTCAAAAACGTTTGTGTATCCCAAGTCTTAGAAAAAAGGACAAGGAGAAGTTCTCTGGTGTGGCAGTTGGAAAGGGATCTGTATCCCATCTGTATGGACACTCTTTTTGCACGGTGTTCAAAACTCATATATATAAGCTAGGTGCCAAATGGCCCCTTAAAACCAAGGTTACAGTCACCAAAATGGAATGTCTAGTTGCCATTTTAGGGCAAGACGGCTCTAAAGTCTTGTTTTTCAAAGGATGGACTGGCTGCGATTGATTCTCAGTTAAGCATCTGGCTAGTTCAGATGACAACCTTGAGCTAGGTTTAAAAAGTCATTTGACCCAGGAACACACATATATTCGCTTATTCCGACCTCTTTCTTCATGGTGACTGCTCCTGCTCCAGGCTGCACAGAAAAAGCGATTTGGTTCCAGAAATTCATTCTGACTGTGCAGATAAAATGTAAGTGATAGAATTCTACAGGATGGTGTATTAGTGTGTGAAAACAGTCCAGATCCAATGATCTCCAGATAGTGGAGGTGTCAGGTCCCATCCTGGCACCCAGGCATCTTCAGTTGATCGCAAGAAGTCGAAAGCTAGGTGCAAAATGCGCCTGGAGAATTTTGAACACTGTGAGGGAGGAGGAGGAGATTGACAGCAGGGTTGGAAGACGGTGAAGGACTAGATGCAAACTGTTCAGGCACAACAACACAACCTCAAGCTAAACCCTGGGGTGGCAGTGCTTTGTGCCAGCCTTAGGGGTCCAATTGCGTGACATTCCCAGGTAAGGCACTCTGCGTCTCATGAGCCATGAGAATGTCCCACAGCTCCTGGCCAGAATAAAGGCCACCCTTAACCAATAGGGAGATGGGAGGTACTGAGAGATGACAGTGACAGCAACCTGAGAAGGTGCAACGGTCTAGGCAAATTCAAGCAGACTTGTAGAGGCTGCCTGGTTAAGTCAAGGCCCTACATGAAAACCAGGAGCAGGAGGAGCTCAAGAGATTGTGATTGGAGGGCGGCCAGCAACAAAGGGAGCAATAGGGCAGGTGACCAATCCAATAGCAGCCTGTAGCTCAGGAGAGGCCCAACAACTGCCTTGCAACTAAATGCAGGTAGCCCACTCTTCCACCTGGTCCTTTACCTTGATAACAGAAGGCAATAAGGCCTGATTCAACTACTCACAAGGGAGGGCTAGCCTGAACCTGTGCCCTGCAGGTAAACGCTGATGTCCAAGTGGCAGCTTAGAACAAACGCAAGGCTCCAGGCCACAGTTTCTCTTTTACACCCAACGATTCTTGGCAAAGCTTGCAGAACAGCAACAGCATCCAGCCACCCCCTTTTCCTGGCAGATTCACAACTGAGAAAATCTGAACTACTGTGGCAAGCCATCCTATGCCATGCTGTTGCCATAGCAGTGGGCACTGCTAGACAAATCTCGACAACACATTTTCTTCCCTTAGGAGACTTGCTATGATATGATCAGACGGACCATCTAAATGCACCCTCTGCATCCCAGCCATGTAACAATACTTGTCATTTGTGAAACACCTCAACAGCAGCTAGGCATCCCAGGATCCTCCAATTCTCCTCACGTCTTTTGGAGAATTCTGCACAGGGTCATCCTTGCCAGTTCCATCACATCCAGCCTCAAAACCCACCGTTTCCCTCTCTTTCACATTCTTGCAATAAACACAACCAGCTCTAAGCTAATGATAAATCACTGGTTGTCTTGCAACTTGCTTCTGTGGGTGTCAACAAAGCTTTCCAATGATGCCTTCTAGACAGCAACAGAGGGCCCAGGAAGCACCACCTGAAAGGTAAGCTATGCAATATAGCATCATCAGTGTACATGCTACTTTGCAATAAAGGCATCCCCTCACCTGTGTCCTGCTGACACGTGCAGTTTTCAGCACCGAAAGGGGGCGGAACGGAGGAATCCCCACTTGCGTGCGCAGCAATAACACTTGGGAATGCCAGGAACGGAACCCTCATGTAAGTGGGGATTCCCCTGTATTAACATAAGCAAACAGCTAGCTTACATTCCAAGTTTCAACAGTGGAGTAAATGTATATTTGCTTATTTTGCACAAATCCGATCACTAAGCATGCTGTGTTTCTGAACCTGTCATTTGCATTTCTACATTACTATGTGGGTGTGCATGGCCTTTTTGATCTTTCTCAAAGCCTTAAGATCAGCCAATGATTCCCTCCTACAGGATACCACAACAGTGTTTGAAACTCCCATTGTTCTAGGGGCATTCTGCGACAGGGAATTTCATTAGCACAAGCAGTTTCTGAGCTCTGGGCGCATGGCTGCACCTAAGATTTCAGATTAAAACTGTGGAGTGGAAGGAAAGGAGGACCCTTTTCTGCCTCCCCACTTCCGGCTACTCTCTGAACACTGGAGCAGAGACCCTCTTAAGAATATTAGGGGGGTGGGCAGGGGAAGGACTAGACCATGTGAAAAATGAACATAAGATTTTAGCTGCAGTTCATTTATTTTCAGCTTGTTATAAATTCTTGTTATAAGAAAGCAAACCTAGACATTCCATTGTTGCGTCCATAACCTAGGTTTAAGGTGCCATTTAGCTCCTAGCTTTTATATCTCTAACACTGTTCCTCATACTGGGGGCAAGCATGTCATCTACCAGACTAAAGGTTGTATCCAACTAGAATTAATCCAAGCAGAATTAATGTTAGATGCATCCTAGAACTGCTTCTGATGTTGCCCTGGAATTATGGAACACGAAATTCCCCTACTTGATTTGGCTCCGTTCTGAAACAGGTGCAAATATTTTTTTATGCCACTAGGCTGTGTTTTCTCTCTACTTTCGCTTTTGAGGAGAGAGGACGTGTTTTCGCGATGCTGTTCGCTGTGATAGATAATGGATAGTCTGCTGTAAATAAAACTGCTTTAGCTGCTAAGATCCTGTGTGGACTTTATTCAAGCACACTGTAGAATGCACTGGAGTGTTTTGCAGTCTTCCTCTTGCCGCTGTTGAAACTCTGCTATGCTCAGATATGTCGGACTTTGGAAAGCAGAGGCCTGCGCAGGGAAGTGTGCCGGACGCTTATCTGAGCAATAAATCAATATACTCTAACATAGGCTTTTAAAATTTCTTTCTTTCTCCAGAAGAACTCACCTACTGTTGTGTTACTTAATGTTAGCTTTTGTTTAATTTTTTTAAAGGTGGGTTTCCATTTCACTTGGCTAACTGCTCTGTGAACTTTTGCTGAAACCCAAAAGTGGAATATTGTTAATGGATGGTAAATGAGGGAAGAAGAGAAGACTATACAAAGCACAGAAATTTCACTTCATGCATGTTGCAGCCTTTTGTTTTCAGAAAGACGTTTATAGGGTGAGGTTTTCAAATGTTTCAACCAGCATTAGGAACAGAGTTGCTTAGTAAAAAACATATGGCCAGACAGATCTATTCTGAACTTTCCATGCTCAGAATCGCAAGGCAGCTGCTTCCAATACAACCTCTTTCTACTTGCATTCTGAAAAAACAAGGGGTTGGGGGAGAGAGAAGGGGACAGAAAACTGCAAAAGGCCAAGTCTTTGAATTGTGAGAATGTTCCAGCTACAGCACTGCAAACTAAATCTGGCCGCATGAACGTGTGCATAGGTTGTTAAACCAGGCGTTCTTATACTTAAAACGATTCTCTGGGGCTAAGGAAGGTTGCCGAGTTTTAAGGAAGGCCTCCTGAGCACAGAAAGGTCAGGGAGTCATCTCCCTAGGCAAGCATAAAAGGCAAGATTATTGACTTTTACAGTACTGTTCTGCATCTGAGGTGGTTGCTGTGGATACAACAAACAAAATACTCTGGCGATGAAATGGCAGCAGAGAAAAAAGAAAGTAGAAACCCTTGCAAAACTACAGAAAAGGCTGCGCTGTTTGCATGCAAATAAGAACTGTTTCCTCCCCCCCCCAAAAAAAATGAAAGCAAGCAGGACACAGAACTACATTATGCTGCCTTAAAAGCATAAGGGATTCTGAGCAAAGGAGTGCTGAAAAAGCATCACTTGCTTTTTCACTTGATTTACACACCAGCTGAAAAGTCCCTTTGTTTAGATGCCGGGTTTGCCTTTGGGTCAAATTATGCAGTTTATGCCTTCTTGAGGAATCTATGTAGTGAACCTAATGGAGGTGAGTCACTGTAAATATTCTGTTAACAGTGGTCCAGGATCTGCGCTACCTTCCCATCACCAAGGGTAAAATTCGAAGTACAGTGGTACCTCGGGTTACATACGCTTCAGGTTACAGACTCCGCTAACCCAGAAATAGTACCTTGGGTTAAGAACTTTGCTTCAGGACGAGAACAGAAATCGTGCTCCGACGGCGCGGTGGCAGCTGGAGGCCCCATTAGCTAAAGTGGTGCTTCAGGTTAAGAACAGTTTCAGCTTAAGAACGGACCTCCGGAATGAATTAAGTTCTTAACCCAAGGTACCACTGTACTGCTTTTTACCTACAACACGGCTTGGACCTGGTCTTAAACCCTGTTCCACAAGAGGATGGTATGAGAGAATGTTGCAAGTGTACAACTTTCATGCTAATCTTAAAGAAGGGCAGAAGAGGCTGAATTCTTGATGGCTGCTTCCTAATTCAGAATTTACTTCTTAAGTAAGCCTCTCCTGTTAGGACAAGCATTTAACAGGAAAGGATGAATCAGGCATAGGCAAACCCGGCCCTCCGTAAGTTTTTTTAAGACTACAATTCCCATCAGCCCTGACCACTGGTCCTGTTAGCTAGGGATGATGGGAGTTGTAGTCCCAAAAGTTTGCCTATGCCTGTGATAAATGAAAGTTCCTTCTAGCCTTATCTGTTTTCATAGGTATATTTTAGCAGCTACATTTTCACTGCCTAATAACTTTAGGACCAGGTTTTTTGCTGCAATACCTTGCACAGATGCAGATGGCTAACTAACAGGAGATATTGGGGATGAAGTATGTGACAAGACACAAAAAGGAGGGTGAAATCACTTTCCAACCAAGTATGTGTATGTTAATATGCACACATGCAGAAACACACGCATCTTCATTTTAGGCAAATGGAAAAATTATGCAAAAGGAAGGCCTGTCCCCAGTACATTCACCACCTACCCACCCAAATTTGGTACATCAGCTGAACCCAACATTATCCATGCATCCAGTTTATGTAGGGTACATTTTGAAGTGGCATCTTAGCTCAGTTGAGAAGGGCAGCGTTACCAAGCAAGTTTTCTTCTTCTTTTTTTTAAAGAAAGATTACACGCCACCGCAGCCAAGCCTTCCTCCCTTCACTTTAATGCCCTCAGAGACAATCATTAGTTTCCTTAATAAGGAAGTGATGGTGAAGAGGTGCAGGTGTAAAACAAATCTTTCTTTTCCAGAGCCATTACTGTCTCCCTGATGCATTACGATTATAAAATAATTGAGGAAGCAACTTTGTTCTGTTTGTCTTTATCCACGTAAATGTGTTCTGCAAGTAGGAAAACATTTCGCTGAGGGCTAAAGTTACCAATAAGCCACTCCGTGGGGAAGAAAAGAAAAGACATATCCACAGGAGGTTTGGAAAATAAACCCGCAAGGAACACAAAATTGTCCGAGAGACTCGCACTAGCTATAAGTTTCTAAAGTGATTCAAAATCATGGCAGCTGTGGAGCTTCCATTTGAGAAGTCTTAATTTCTTCCAAAAGGTTTAAAGGACTTTTTTACTTGAACCACCTCATTTCCTTCTGTACTCCACCCAAACTGCCCCTGCTGAGCTTGCATTCTGCATTTGAGGGGCAAATCCACACAGAATGTAGGGGAATCCCCACTACATTCTGTGTGGGCATGCAAATTACACATTCTCCATCTCCTAGCCTGGTAGTAGCCAACCTTTGTCACAAGTCCAAAGTATGCGATAGTGGTGCCTGCAGATGCCTGGGCCACTGGTCTGTTAACCATCTCTTAGCTTACTACTGCCACTAAATAAATCTTTTAGTTGTAAAGGCAGCAACGAGCTTGAAAACCAGCTTGTCCTAAAGCAGGTAAAAAGGCAAAAGGTAAAGGACCCCTGGATGATTAAGTCCAGTCAAAGGTGACTATGGAGTTGCGGCACTCATCTTGCTTTCAGGCCAAGGGAGCCGGCATTTGTCCACAGACAGCTTTCCGGGTCATGTGGACAGCAGGCCTAAACCGCTGACGCATGGAAGACAGTGACGAGTGCCAAAGCACACGGAAACGCCGTTTACCTCCCCGCCGCAGCAGTACCTACTTATCTACTTGCACTGGCATGCTTTCGAACTGCTGGGTTGGCAGGAGCTGGGACAGAGCAACGGGAGGTCACCCCATTGCGGGGATTCAAACCGCCGACCTTCCAATGAGCAAGCCCAAGAGGTTCAGTGCTTTAGACCACAGCGCCACCCACATCCCTTCCCTAAAGCAAACAGAGCCGTTGCTGTGCTACAACTTCCATCATCCCTGATGACTGAGCATACTGGCTGGACTGATGGCAGTTAGGGGTCCCAAAACATCAGAGATTCACAGGTTTCACACCCCTACCTTAGGGCACAAGCCTCTCTTGCTCCAATAATCAGCTTCATTATCATTCCAACTCATAACCTCCCGCAAAGCCAATGCAGAGTTCAGCAACCTAGTCCTAGGAAGCTTTTCCACACTGAATTCTGGCACGCCATTTTTTTCCGCCCTGCCCTCCCACTGTGCCTGCCAGGGGCCAGGCACATTTTGCCACAGGGAACCGGCCTTTTGTGAGGAGGTGGAGATCTCTGAGCGCCAGTTTTGGTGCCTAACATCTCCATCTGGACGGCTGGTGTGGCTGCAAATGGTCTGAGGGGCAACAGGGCACAAAAAGGTACGCCTCTTTTGGCGCTGCGCTGCCCCATGAACCAGCTGATTCGCGCAGAAGTAGAGCACCTAAAGAGGCACATGAGCCAAGCGATTCAAGCGCTCTTCTACCTGGTTAAAGAACAGTATTAGTTCGTGCTTATGAAAATGTTGCTGAATTTAAAAAAAAATATGTGACTAAGCATTCTGTTTTGGTGCCCACAGCACAGGTTCCAGGAGCCATGTGGTAAATAGCTTTTCTATCCCAGTTCCAACACTGGTCCCCCTTAAGTGTATTTCAAGCCAGAGTATTCTCTGCGGCAGGCCCCAAGTTGTGGAATTTCCCCTCCACATGTAGCTTTTGTCATATGCTGAAGACCCACCTCTTTACACTGGCTTTTGACATTCTGAGAGGTATATTCTGGGGCCACCTTATTCTCTTGATTATTTGTTTAAAATTGTTTCTTTGTACAGTGGTACCTGGGGTTACATACGCTTCAGGTTACAGACTCCGCTAACCCAGAAATATTACTTCGGGTTAAGAACTTTGCTTCAGGATGAGAACAGAAATCGTGCTCCGGTGGCACGGCGGCAGCAGGAGGCCCCATTAGCTAAAGTGGTGCTTCAGGTTAAGAACAGTTTCAGGTTAAGAACGGACCTCCAGAACGAATTAAGTACTTAACCCGAGGTACCACTGTATTTTAAATAGTAGTAACCTGAGACCATGCGGTGAAGGGAGGGTAATTTTTAAAAAAAATTTTTATAATGCTGTGCCTGGGCTACAGCCCTTCAAAGTGAAAATGTTAAAACTTAAGGACATTCTGTTCTAAACTGTTTTGGGCTGCGATGGGAGTTTCTGATGGCTGAATTGTTTTACTGATGTGTGCTATGTTACTGGGGTGGGGGAGGAATGAGTTATATTTTATCTACATTACAGCAGCTCTTTTTTCTACAGTGGCTGCTACTTTCTATTTTATCATTTTGTACTTACGCTGCTTTGCATTTTCACTACCAAGCTGCCTCAACTGCTAGCTTGCAGAAAAGGTAGCGTATAAGCTTTCCAAGCACCCCAGAACTGTCCACACTAATCTTACTCTGGGATGTTCAAACCGCCCTTGGATCTACAGTAGTCGAGTCTGATTAAGCGTCCAATTATCCACACAGAAACCCTTCAGATGGTCACCCCAGCAGTAAACCAGCGACAACAGAACAGTAGTGCAAATCCAGCCTGTGGTGGTAGGTTCTGTACGAAAGATGCAGCTAAATTATGACCAAAGGCTGACTTCAGTATTTGCTTCCGTTAACTGTCTAAAATTCAATAATAATAAAGTTAAGCACAACAGGAATGAAATGAACGAACATATTGCACTCATCCCCTTATTGCATGTACTTCGGGTTATTAAATAGTGTGTTTTTTCAGGTACTGCAATGGCAAATATGAAGTGTGGCAGATTTATGACATTGAGGATGAATAAGTTTTTAGGGAAGAGTGGTGAAGGAGCTATACTGAACTGGACCACTTCAAATTCAACAGACCTTCCCATGTCCCCTAACTTTTAAGCCTTAAGATATGGCCCAACTGCATTTTGGATTTTAGCTCCACAATGAAGTGTTCATTACTCTTATACCAAACCACTTAATCATAAAGAGTCTTAATTTATTTCCTTTACATACATAATTCACAGCCCAAAGGCCATTCTCAACCTGGGGGTCCTCAGAGGCTGCTGGACTACAACTCCCATCTTCCCCGATCTGTGGTTGTGCTAGCTAGGGATGATGGGAGTTGTAGTCCAACATCTGGGGACCCAGGGGTGAGAAAGGCTGGACTTGTATTCAAGGGAAATAATCCTTTTAGCTCGTTACTGCGAAAACCTAAACCTACAGTACTAGAACGGCTCAAGCCAGAATTGTATTACTCTTTAATGGACCAGATTCATCACCGTTAACGTGAATGTACCCCTTCATTCATTTAATAAAAAATTATACACCGCCTGTTAGTAAAAACAACTTCAAAGCAGTTTACAAAGAGAATTGCTGTTTTGAACCCTCTACCAAGGTAATTAAAAGTACGGTAGATTTTCCCTCACGCTGTTTCAAACTATCCGTGTGGAGCAGATATGCAAATTCCTTCTGAGAATTACAAGTAGAATACAATAATTTACTGTGGATTAATAAACCTGGAGTATAAGAGGCAGGAAAGATAAGCTGTGATTTTGAAGCTTTTGCAGGTTCCTAGACCTCTTTGCTGAACAGGTTTTCCATTTACAGATAGCCTAGTAGTTTATAGAAAGAAATGCAGAAAAAGTCCTTGCCTAATTTGGCTTACATACTTGAGGTTTGTTGCATCTTCAGCTAATGGATTATTTTCCATAACCAAACTGTTTCAACCACAGCAAAGCAAAAGAAAGTGTTTCTCCTCTACATACAAATGAATTGAGCCAACACAGCTGATCTTGTCACTTTCTAAAATGCTGCGGATCATCACATAAGGGAACCGTTACCTCCTACCTCATCCATCTAGTTTAAAACTCCCTTCTCTGCAGTAATCACATTAAGAAAAAACTGCACAAGACAGGACAACGGATTGCCAGCTTCCAGTTAAGAGAGAAAGCCAACTAGCCATCTCTCCAATTTTCCAAATTACTACTTTACGCCTACAGTTTCAAACAGCTGCGCTCCTAGAACGCTACCTGCTCACATTAATTAAACGGGGGAAATTAACGCGCTCTCTCCCATTTCAAGAAGGAAAAAAAAAAAAGGCCAGAAAGCTGTCTGTAGCTTTACTGTGGATAAGCTGTCAGTGTCTGCCCTATTTAAGGTACCCTATTTGGAGGAAGCCATGTTCTCCAGCAAGCAGAAAATATCCTGCAGCCATGATGGTTTGTTTTCAAATTGCTCCATGCTCCCCCCCCTCCCCATCTGGTTCCAGGAATGCCACCATCGTAGCATATTTAAAACATCTTGTGGCACTTTGAGGGGCAGAAAGGAGGCTATTGTTGAAGATGCAAGTTTAGACCAGCTATTTAAATGCAAGCGCAACCAAACTCTGATGAAAAATGCCTTCATAAAGAACATGCACCTTTATGCCCTTTGCTAAAGAAGAGATCCAATATTTGCTCTCACATAATGTTGGGCCCTGTATAGCTACGTAACATATAAACACAGGAAACAATGCAAGAGGCCAGCCACACGGTGAAATATCTTTCAGATTACATCTCCACACATCTTTAGAAGACATGTCATATTTTTGGATGTACCTAACAATGCAGTGCTGACAAAAGGAGCCATGAAGAGTGGAAAGCTATTGCGTTACAGAATCCCCAAAATAAAAGGCCAACTTGTTCTGCTAAACTGTTAGGAAGCTTGGATTTAAAAACAAAGCAGTAATGTAAAACAGTCTGCAAGAATGGGAGCTTGTGAAACCAGTGAGATTCTGAAAAATAATTCCCACCCAATACTTGAACACTATTTACTATTGTTAAGTAACTACCTGTTAAGGACATTCTTACAAGTACAATACTTTTTATGAGTAGGAAAAAAACCATAATGTTATTCTTTATTAAACTTATATACTGCCCATCATAAAAAGACCACCTGACAAAAAAACATGACTACGATTTGAATTAGTAAAATAGAAGCTGAATTCAAATTTGTTTCACACGACACTAATTTCAGAAGTTGTAGAAAACATACTTTGGCACTGGTATTGAAAGATGGTGATACAGTAAGTAGTGTTTTGCAAAAACAAAGGTTTACCCTATTGCCCTTGTCCAAAATTTTACCTTTCTACCTCTTCAGACCCATCCATATTCTGTGGAAAGATACACCAGTTGTCTGTCCCTTTCCACCTCAGAGGTGACTGCATTTCAGGGATGCTGGACGTATTAGGTTTATGATGTCCACTGGGATCCTTCGACATGAAAGCTGTGCTATAAAAATAAAATAGTATTCAAGACAAACGGTTGTGGGTTAGAGGTACATCCGAGAGAAGGGAAGCAAGGAGGGTTTGAGCTACTTTGCCACCTTCTCCGAAAGAAATTAAGAACAGAAAGCAGGTCAACCCTGCTAATGGTTACATATGTGCGTTTAGTGAAATTCAGTGGCAAAAGAAAAACAAAGCAAATGTCAATAAAGGGAAGTTTATTAATGGGAAGTTGATTGGCATTTTGATAACTGAATAATTTGGGGGATTGTTATTGCTATAATTTGGCTATTGGAAAACTAATAATAAAAATACGTGTGCGTGTTATCTTCCTTCCATATATGAAGCATGGGCATGGCTCACTCCAGGACAAAATCTCTCCTGCCCTACAAATGCCCATATGTCTTATGTAGCGACATTATTTAACACATAAAGGTCTAAGGCTGTAAGAAATGTCCCTTAGCGAACTCAAAATGGAGGCAACTGGGCTCATACTCAAGATTGCATCACAAGGATTAGCTACCCCTTTAACTTCTAAGATGCATTTCCGAAAAGGATGGCTAAAAGAGCTGTTATGACTGGATTCCCCCCGCCTCCTCACTGTTTCCAGTACACGTTAATGAGTAAAGTGGGTCATGGGGTGGAAGCTCAATGTTTGATCGAACTCAACACATAATCTTCCCCTACTTGCCCTTCCCCACCAGCTACTGCCATCTCTGTGTTAAGTTTTACACTCCTCAAGACAGGGAGATCTCTTTTCATTGCTATTTTGCAGAGTGTTGTACACATTGGTTCAAAAAGAGGTGTGGGTGTTGGCTACAGGCAAGAGGGCCTGCTTAGTGGTGGCACCAAGACTTGTTCTTCTGCTTTAAACGTTTAGGTGGCCAATAGCTTCATTTCAGGGGGCGTTTAAGTTAAAGTTAAACTAAGACTTGGTGATTTATGCGACTGGTGTCCAATTTTGCCATCTAATGTTTATTCCTTGTATATGAAGTTTTATTTTTTGTCTGCCTCTTTGTGGACCCATTTTGGGATAAGAGGTGCAAAAATAAAGAACGGTTATCACCGCACACCCCAAGTATGTTTAATCAGAAAGAGCCCCAGTTTGTGTTCAATGGGATTCACACCCTGGGAAGTTTAGGATTTCAGCCTTTATAGTACATTTAATGGCCCTTTTCTTCTCATCTTCAGATGTCCCACAATGAAGTCCAAAGAGCGGTCAAGGAAACCGCCCTTCCAGACGTGCTCGTAAACATTATTATTTCAGAAACTTTTGGGGGGCAAGCCTGTCTCACAAACATGCCTCTCTGAGGCTGCTTTGAAACCATCAAGAGGCATATACATTTTATGAAATAATTAATAATAACAAAAGAAGCAAATGGTGGCTCCTGAGCCCAGTCGCCTAAAGGGGATTCTTACTCGCCCCAAGCAACCAGCCAATTTGAACTCTTCGGTTTTATCTGTCTGTATCCCCCAACACAATGCAAAGTGAAGAATTAAAACGGGGGAACCTGCCTCGGCCCCTTTGAATTAGGGAACAGTTAAATTAAATGAATTAAAACGGGGGAAATGCAGCCTACCCCGCCCCAAACCTTTCAAGAAGGCATGTGCACCCTTAACAATTATTATATTTTAATATTTTGCTGGAAGCTGCCCAGAGTGGCTGGGGAAACGAAGCCAGATGGACAGGGTATAAATTCTTAATTATTATGATTCCTGAAGAGACCCACATGGGCGCTCCAAAGCCCCACAAGGAAAGTGGCTCTTTTCAGAGCAACGTTGTCCCTTCCAGGCAATGAATTTCCTGCAAAGGAGGAAGTTTTAGGCTGAATTAAGTCTGGATGATTTGCTCAACTGGTGTCTGGTTTTACCTTTATGGCGAGGCATATTTTTTTTTAATGCCTGCTTCTCGGCGGCCCCATTTTGGGTGCAGAAAAGCAAACACCTGTTGTTAGGGGTCCTGCGTGTCCCTGAATTAATTTTACAATGAAAGGCTTTGAGAATGTTGTATTATTTGATTGTTGTTAGCCGCCCTGAGCCCGGCTTTGGCTGGGGAGGGCGGGATACAAATAAAATTCCTTATTTATTATTATTATTCCCCACGTTTTGCATTGCAAGGGCGGTTTTTCCTCCCCGTTGCAGCCCACCCACCCAAAATAATTGGCATGGCACCCATAACCTCTCAAGCCGGGCAAGGTGCCCAAGGAAGGGGGAGGAAAATGGCACATTTGCGGTGCCCCCTTGCCCCCTATTCCTGAAAATATTCATCCTCAATCCTTTTCTCCTGAAAGAAAGGAAACACACATCTTCTCTCACCCCCCATTTTCCTCTTCCAGCCCCTCCACACATGGGATTCAGAGAGCGAAAATGCTGGCCCTATATTTTTTTATTCCCCCCCCCCCAAAAAATTATAAAAATCCCGCTCTGAGGAAAGGGGAAAGTGTCCCTTTTCAGGTGCCTTGTGGCCACAAATGGCTGACAGCGAAACAGCGGCCCGCCATGACCCTCGCCGAGGAGGGCATTCGCCTCACAGGCGCCTTCCTTTTTCCCTCCGAGGTGAGGCGAGGGTTCAAGGCCAGCCTCTCACCATTTTACGAGGCGGCGTGCCGTCGTCCCACACCCACCCACCCACCGCCCGGTTCAAGAAGCGGCCTTCCAGCTCCCAAGCCCGCCCACTCCTCCCTCCGCCGCTCGCCGCCGAGGGCTCCCCTCGGGCCGGCCAGGGCTCTCACGAGAGGCCGGGGATGCGAGGCCTGGCCCCGCCTGAAGCCTCTCCGTTTAGGCCCGTGGCGAGAAGCTGCTCTTTCCCCCCCCCACCCCTGTTATCTTGCAGGAAGGGGGCTATTCTTTTTTTGTGGGGAGGAGAAAGGGGTCACTTGGACCCACGCGCCCCTTTCCTCCCCACAACGGGGTGGCTTTTTGGCCGCCCTTTCGCCTGACAGACCCCTTTGTATGGAGGGGAAGGAGAGTCCACCATGTCTGTACCCCCCAGGAGAAAATAAATGCCACCCACTGCACCCCAGGAGTGGGGGGTCTTGTGGGGCACCCCATATTTGGGGGCCAAGGCCTTGCTGAACTTTTCCATGGGGTGAGACATCCCCTTAACATTACAAAATCCTAGAAATGTAGAGCCTAATCCTTGCAATGCAAAGGTTTATTATTGGGTGGGGTGGGATATGTCCATTCCCCCTTTATAGCCTCTCCATAAGGCTCTAAAGATGGGGAGGGAGGTGTAAATGGAGGATACCCCTCCCCAGAAATTGCCCCACCTCCGCGCGATCCTGGAAGTGGGGCAACCCGAGTTGGGGGTCCCTTCCACACGAGCGCCCGCACCCGTGTCTGAGAGCCAGGCAGCGTGGTACTTACTCCAGGGTGGGATGTTCCGGGTCGTAGAAATCCCCCATCTTCGGCCTCTTCTTCATCCGATGCAGCAGCCCCGGCGTGGAGGATCAGGGCAGGCGCAGCCTCCGCCCCACATAAGGGATTGCTATGGGGCTGGGCGGCGGGGGAAACGACCACGACCCCCGCCACCAACGCCCAAGGTTGCAAACCCCCCCCAAACAGGCGTGCAGGAAACCCCCAAGCCTCTTCCTGACCTGCCCCCCAAAAAGGAGGCCGCTCGGTGGGTCTGGCTCCCGGCGCCTCCTTCACATCCTCTTCGGGGAAGCCAAGATAAGATATCCAAATTTAAGTTCTCCGGCGGCGGAAAGATGTGCTGCTGCTGCTGCTTTTGACCCTTTTCTGGCCTCCTTGCCCCCCACCCCAAAGCAAAACAGGACGCCCCCCACCAAAGCCCTCCAAGAAAAGCGCTGCAAATCCTCGCTGGCTGCAGATCAGGCCATGGGTCTCTCTGCAAACTGCTCCCCGCGTCCCAGGCGCGCAAAATAATAATAATAAGAATGCAATTTGTAAAATCCTCGAGCGGAGAAAAGGGGAAACGGCGCTCGCTTCTTTGCAAAAGGCTCCTCTCTTTTTTGCTGCTGCTGCTTCTTGCAACCGAAACAATATTTTCTCCGCGCGGGCAAGGTGGGCAGAGGAGAAAGTTAGGCCCCAGACGAGCCTTCGAAGAAATGGGCAGGATCGGGAGACGGGCGCCAAACCTCCCCTCCCCAAAACGCCCTTCTCCTTTCCTTGACCTCCCTCCTCCGGCCCTTTCCCACGAGCTCCTTCCCTGGGCAAGATCCAGGCGTCTTCTTCTTTCCCCCAATGGGTGATCCTCCAGCGGCGGCGGCTTGTATTTTGATTTTTGCAGGGCTTTTTCTTGGCACCAACCTCGCCCTCCTCGCGGCTGCCTCCTTGCCTTCCCTCTCCGAGTTTCCTCTGTCCCTTCTTCCCTGGCTTTATTTCTTTTTTTGTCCTCGTTTAACGGCGGCGATCGCGCTCCTAGGAGGAGCAGCCGCCGCCACCTCCTCCCTCCTCCTCCTCCTCCTCCTCCTCTTCCTCCTCCTCCTCCCGGAGTCCTGAAACGTCCAAACGGAAACTGTAGCTCGTCGACTTCCTACTTGCTGCAAAAGCGCAAAGGCGCAAAGGCGCAGCTCCGCGCAACCGGCGCCCCTTCTCTCCTGCAGGCTTCCTTTAAGCGCTGCGCGGCTGCAGGTCGCGGGTCTTCCCTTCCGACGCCATCCCGACACGCTTCTCCTTCCCCTCTGGCTTGCAGAGCCGGTTTGCAAGCTCCGAAGGAAGCGCGCTTTTGCTGCAAAGCGCCGCCGCGCTCCTTGGAGAGGAGGAGGAGGACGCGTTTCCCAGGACGCAGGCGGAGAGCGTCGCGCTCTTCATCCGGCGGTATTTCGGTTTATTGATGTCTTCTGCTTTAAATACTCCTGCTACTAAGACTTTCTCTGCAGTTCTCTCCCCTGTGGTTTTATGGCAACTGATTTGCGTTGTAAGAATGAGCATGGTATGGATTGCTTCTGCATTTATTGGCGCTGGTGATTTATTTTTTGCTTCATATGAATAATTGTTATCTCTCTCACTGTGCATCAGGTGTTTTTTGTAGCACTATGGGCACAATTTTTCATCGTTTGCAGCCTGATCCTATCACGTGCTTACTCACAAGTATTTCTTTTGTCTTGTTATTATTGTGTTTTCAAGCTGCTATTAAACCACCCTGGAATGGGTAAGAAATCTGATAGGTGAATAATATTTGTTTGTTTGTTCACAGCAGTGCTAGAAATTCCCCAGGTGTGTTTTGCGACAGGTGCATCTCCATCTCGCTGGCCTCTCCAGCTTTCTTAAGCAGGTAAGCAGAAGATCTTATTTATTGCATTTATATCCCACCTTTTCCTCCTAAGAGTCCATGGTTCAACCCCGTCCTCAGCTAATCTCTACATTACAGCAACCCTGTAAGGGAAGATTATAGGTAAAGGGACCCCTGACCATTAGGTCCAGTGGCGGACGACTCTGGGGTTGCGGCGCTCATCTCACTTTACTTACAGCTTCTGGGTCATGTGGCCAGCATGACTAAGCCGCTTCTGGCAAACCAGAGCAGCGCACAGAAACACCGTTTACCTTCCCACCGGAGTGGTACCTATTTATCTATTTGCACTTTGATGTGCTTTTGAACTGCTAGGTTGGCAGGAGCAGGGACTGAGCAACGGGAGCTCACCCCGTCGCGGGGATTCGAACCGCCGGCCTTCTGATCGACAAACCCCAGGCTCTGTGGTGTAACAGCGCCACCAGCGTCCCATAAGGAAAGATTAAGAGGCTGCTATTGACTCCAAGGTCACCCAGGGAGCTTTAGGACTGAGTGGGGATTTGAACCCTGATCTCCCAGGTCCTATTCCCAACACTCTTAACTACTTCACCACACTGGCTCCCTAGAGCAGGCACAGGCAAACTTGGCCCTCCAGATGTTTGGGGACTACAATTCCCATCATCCCTGACCACTGGTCCTGTTAGCTAGGGATCATGGGAGTTGTAGTCCCAAAACATCTGGAGGGCCGAGTTTGCCTATGCCTGCCCTACAGTCCTTCTGCTGTGGGGCAGCTCTAGAAATTAAGTAGGTAAATAAATATGGGGAAAGCCATCCTTTGGACTTGGAGCCCAATCGCCAGCAAGGCTGGCCATCACATGCTTGATGTACTAAATTCAATCTCCATTTCTGTTTTTTAAAAACCGGATGGGATATTGAGGGATGTCAAAGACCCCTCTGCCTGGAGAGCCAGAAATAGACCATTTTGTGCTAGAGTGTCCAGGGGGTCTGATTTGGTGCAGGAGGCTTTTGCTGTTGGCATACGAAAAGGAGCGGTAATATTGCTTAGATGCAGGCAATATTGCTTAGATGCTTAATTTATTTCAGGATCTTTGCAACTGTTCCCGGGACCCCGTTCAAAGCAGTTGGCCTATTCACATACAGTGATTCCTTTTATGCCTCTAGCTATTCATCTCCCATTCACCTGGAAGAGGCCTCCTTCTTGCTTTCTGACGGGGAGCCTGCTAAAACAAACATCTTTCTTTTGTGATTCAGTGTCCCTGGTAAGCATTAATCCACCTGGATTAGCTGGCTCTGGGCCATCAGTTTATGCTGATGAGAACATAGCCTTACCAGTGAGACTAGCCGCCTGCCTTGGTGGCTTTTCACAGAAGAGTAAGCAGTAAACCCAAGCCTGCTTCCAAGGGCACCGCCGTGGCAGAATAGAACATGGTTTTAATAATTATTTAAACTGTGTAATCCATTTTGTTCTGTTTTATGCATTTTACCTTTGGCTAGACAAAATACATAACATTTTATTCCATACCCTGGCAGAACCGATCCTAGCCTGTATGAAATGAATATTTGCAAAAGGATACCCGCATGGAACATCATTGAAGGTTTTCTATTAAACAAAAATCTTCCCTTTCCCCCTTATGGGGTATCCAAGAGCCCACGGAGTTCAGGATCAGGTTTAAGGTGCTGGTTTTAACCTTTCAAGCCCTATACAGCCTAGGACCCTTGTACCTACGGGACTGCCTCTCCTGGTATGTCCCACGGAGGACCTTACGGTCTTCAAACATAAACATCTTGGAGGTCCCGGGCCACAGGGAGGTTAGGCTGGCCTCAACCAGAGCCAGGGCCTTTTCAGCCGTGGCCCCGATCTGGTGGAACGCTCTGTCACAAGAGACTGGGCCCTGCGGAACTTGACATCTTTCCGCAGGGCCTGCAAGACAGACCAATTCCACCAGGCCTTTGGCCAGGGCACAGCCTGACCCCCTCCTTTGGCAATCCTCACAGAACTCTAGCCCAGTGGTTGCGATTAATCTGATTTGAACTGATTTTATAATGAAATGATTTTAGAATGTTGTATATTTTACTGTTGTTAGCCACTCTGAGCCCAGCTTCGGCTGGGGAGGGCGGGATATAAATAAAAATTTTATTATTATTATTTATTATATAGAGTGCTTACATAGGTTCCCTATTGGTAGGAGAAAATAACAGAGGCCAACCAGAGAATATTGTGAAGCAAAGCAGCTAGTAAGCCTGATCTTTATTGACCTGTTGCAACAGGGTGCTCCCCTCACCCGCAGGAGAAGAGGAGGAACCCAGAACAATGGTGTGCAAGGCCTTATATAGACATTTTAAATTCCCTGCCCCGGAGCTCAAGACCACCCCTCCATACATCATACCTGCATCACAGAAAAGGTGGTCTACAACAGAAATCTGAGTGACTTGTTTATCTCGTCTGACAGGTTACCTATTTAATGGTCACTTGATTGGATCGCCTGCTTACTTGATTGGATACCCTGGGGAGCCTGGCCAGTCTTTTGTAATGATAAATACTTAGTAATGATAAATACTTAGTTCCTAAGTCAGGTCACAGGCTCACCTTATTCAAACACAGACATTCCCTTAAGACAGGATTTGTGAAGGAAAAGACATTGGGGAGGCTTTTCCATTTTCCTTGGCCTTGCAGAGAAAACATTTGGTCAGTTTGGAAATCATCAATGGTTCTAGGTCTGTCTTCCTGTGCTGATCTATGTACATGCTTGGTTGGTACACTTATGAACATTTAATATATATCTAAGACCTCAAAATTCCCATCACAGAAGCGAGGGGCAGATGGGGCTCATCAACCTGGGGAAGTAGCCCATGTAGGAGAAGGAAAGCATAACACGGCAGATGTTATCATTTGGAGGACATCTAAAGGAAAGTCATCATCTAAAGTTCCATCCAGCATTGTACGGATGTTATTGGCCCAGAGATGGAAAGAAGATAGAGTCCCAACCAGAGAAGAATTCCAGACCAAGTTGATGAATTATGCCGAAATGGCAAAAATGACAGGAAAGATCAGAAATCAGGAAGGCCAAATTTTTATCAAGGATTGGAATAACTTTATGACATATCTTAGAGACCACTGCAAACAGCTAAAATCATTAGCAGGAATACAATAACATTTGTAAAGTAACATGGACTTTGGATACGATGGATATGTAATAGATAGATTACAGTAAAAGATGGAGGAATAAAATTTGGAAATGGAACTCGGGGAGGAAGGTCTGAAGGTTTGAGAGAACCTTTAGTTTTTTCTTTTTGGAATTGTTACGTTTGTTGTGTACAATCATTACGTAAAGCTAAATAAATTTTTTTTTACATACAGTGGTGTGTTGTTTTGAGTCTGGGATCCGTTCCGGAGCCCTGGACGCTTGACGAAAGCTCTGCTCTGTGCGCGGAGCGGTTTGCACCCGGAAGTAACCCATTCTTCTGGGTTTGCCGCAGACATTCGCCGAAATGCACTGTTAATGAGGCGGACGTTTGCGGAGGTATTAGTGTATTTGGAATGGAGTCCCTAAAATGGTTGTATGCCACCTTTCGGCAAATCCTGCAACCAAGCAGGTGGCAAACATCTTGCTCTGCTTTCCTCTGGGCTTCATCAGCGAGGCCGAGAAGGGGTCTTGTCGTCTGGGCAGCCCAGGACCTCCAGACACACTGCCCAGGCTTGTGGTCCGGGGAGCTTACTTAATTACTTCCAACACAGTGGTTTGACTTCACCCCCTCAGGCACACTCCAATGTCACTCGAGACAGACCCATGCCAGCGACAGAAGATAGCCATTCAACATCACCTGCTTTTATCATGTCCAGAGACTCAATTAACATCTTCCCCTGTTCTGAGGTCCTATGTCTAACACTGGTATGTTGTTGTCTTTACTCTTCCAGGAACCATGTCTGCTGTGTGGCTACAGATTGGACAGTGTGGCAACCAGATTGGGCAGGAATGGTGGCAAATCGTTACCGGCACAAGTAACCGAGAAGCTGACATGTACGTCTGTTAGAAAAGCTTGCTGGATCAGACCACAGGCTTATAGTTGGGCCTCCAGTCTCTCATGACTTTTCTCATTCATACATACGTATATGTATGTGTGTGTATATATATATATACATATACATATACATATACACACACACATATATACATATATATGCATATATACACACACACACACACACACACACACACATATACACACACACACACAAAAAAAAAAAATTTCCACAAATCATATAACATATTTTCTTATCTTACACAATATTTTGGACTTCCATCAACCACATCTGAAGATTTTTCAGTCTTTATCACTTTATCTGCATTTCATTAATTTCACTATTACTTTTAATAGTCCTTCACTAATAATTCTCTTCATACTTTCTTCTGTAATATTTCGCATAGTCCTCCTTACAAAACTTCTTGCAGTCCTACTAGCGTAATCTGTTGATTACAATTGCTTTTCAAATAATTCACATATTTACTCCAGTCCTCTGAGAATCTCCGATCTCACAGGTTTCGAATCCTTCCTGTCATCTTATCTGATTCTGCATAGTCCATTAATTTCGTCTGCCATCCTTCTTTCATCGGTAGTTCTTCTTGTTTCCATTTCTGTGCCAATAGTACTCTTGCTGCCATTGTTGCATATAAAAACAGTTGATTATCTTGTCTATTAATATCCTCCTCTCGTGACTTTTCTTGGCGGGTCGTTGTAAGGGTTTCAGTTAGTTGATACACGTGAAGAACTTTGAATGCTTGGGAGTAGTTTATAATCGTTACGTTTCTGTAGTAATCATAGTTGTATCATCTAGGCCCAGGCAAAAACATGGCCTCCTCCTTTTTCCCTGGGTGGACAGGAAAAAATACGTCAGTCAATTCCTCTGTCTTTTTAAAAGGCTTCAAATCTGAGACAGACCTTTGTCCTCACCCCTCAAGTATGTCTCAGTAGCTGAGCCAGGAGGAAGAAATACACAGCTCTGGGTTTAATTTTGAATATAATGATGCGGGGAGGGATGCAATTCTTAATTTCTTGGCTGGAACTCCTTCTAGAGCTGTTCTGAAAAGCAATGGGCTTCTCAAAACCAGAAATGGTGAAAGCCATCTAATCCAAGGACTAGGATCCGGTGGCGATCTGCCGCTTGACTCCAGATCCCATCATCCCCAGCCAGCAGGGCCTGCGGTGAGAGGTGATGGGATTGTGATCCCAGCAACATCTGGAGGATCACAGGCTCCCCATTCCTTAAGCAACTCGCATTTTGGGGGCGTGTTGTCAGTGACAAAAAGCCATCACTTACTACATTACATTGAGTTTAAACAGACTTTGCACTGATCGTTTTGCATAGAGGGATGTCTCCAAAGTTCTGGAATCACTCCATAATTCATAAAGGGTTAAGGGGACCCCTGACCATTAGGTCCAGCCATGACCGACTCTGGGGTAGCGGCGCTCATCTCGCTTTATTGGCCGAGGGAGCCGGCGTACAGCTTCCGGGTCATGTGGCCAGCATGACTAAGCCGCTTCTGGAGAACCAGAGCAGCACACGGAAACGCCGTTTACCTTCCCTCCGGAGTGGTACCTATTTATCTACTTGCACTGGTGTACTTTCGAACTGCTAGGTTGGCAGGAGCAGGGACCGAGCAACGGGAGCTCACCCCGTCGTGGGGATTCGAACCACCGACCTTCTGATCGGCAAGTCCTAGGCTCTGTGGTTTAACCCACAGTGCCACCCGCGTCCCTCCAGGATTAATAGAATCATATAATTGTAGAGGTGGAAGGGCTCCCGACGATTGTCCAGTCCAGCCCCCTGCGATGCAGGAATTTCAACTACAGTGGTGCCCCGCAAGACGAATGCCTCGCAAGACGGAAAACCCACTAGACGAAAGGGTTTTCCGTTTTGGAGGTGCTTCGCAAAACGAATTTCCTATGGGCTTGCTTCGCAAGACGAAAATGTCTTGCGAGTTCCTGCGGGGGTTTTTTCCTTCCCCCCCTTTTTCCCAAGCCGCTAAGCCGCTTATCAGCTGATCCGCTAAGCCGCTTAACAGCTGATCCGCTAAGCCACTAAGCCGCTTAACAGCTGATCGCTAAGCCGCTTATCAGCTGATCCGCTAAGCCGCTTAACAGCTGATCCGCTAAGCCGCTTATCAGCTGATCCGCTAAGCCGCTAATAGCGCTAATCCGCTAAACCGCTAATGGGCTTGCTTCTCAAGACGAAAAAACCGCAAGACGAAGAGACTCGCGGAACGGATTCTTTTCGTCTTGCAAGGCACCACTGTAAAGCTGAGTGGAGCGAGGGTGTCTTGGGTCTTCCCTGATGTGAGCTGCTGCTGTGTCTCTTCCAGTTACCCGTTCTGCTCCCAGGATGGCCATCTGAGTGCCGTCTGTGTGGACAGTGAGCCCAAAGCGGTGAGGAAGCTGCAGAAACAAGTCAAAAGAGGGTAAGTGGCAGGGGCCTCCAGCTCTGCTGCCCTGCATTCCTTGGAAGGCAACCTAAGAAATCTCCGGGCCACTGTTAATAGATTTCTTCGGGTAGTGGGTACAGTGGTACCTCAGGTTAAGTACTTAATTCATTCCAGAGGTCCGTTCTTAACCTGAAACTGTTCGTAACCTGAAGACCACTTTAACTAATGGGGCCTCCTGCTGCCGCAGCGCGATTTCTGTTCTCATCCTGAAGCAAAGTTCTTAACCTGAAGCACTATTTCTGGGTTAGCAGAGTCTGTAACCTGAAGCGTATGTAACCTAAGGTACCACTGTATTCCATGGAGACGGGGAAGTATACAAGAGGGGATGAGCGTTCTGTGAGATTGCATAGTCAAGAGAGGCTCGGAAGCTTTCAGCGTCTGCTGAAATCTCAGAAACTGGGGTGGGTCAGCGGGATTTCCAGTGGTGAAAGGTTGCCAGAAGGGTAAAGGGACCCCTGACCATTAGGTCCAGTCGTAGCCGACTCTGGGGTTGCGGCGCTCATCTCGCTTTATTGGCCGAGTGAGTCGGCGTACAGCTTTTGGGTCATGTGGCCAGCAGGACTAAGCCGCTTCTGGCGAACCAGAGCAGCGCACGGAAACGCCGTTTACCTTCCTGCCAGAGTGGTACCTATTTATCTACTAGCACTTGGTGCTTTTGAACTGCTAGGTTGGCAGGAGAAGGGACTGAGCAACGGGAGCTCACCCCGTCGCGGGGATTTGAACCGCCGACCTTCTGATCGGCAAGTCCTAGGCTCTGTGGTTTAACCCACAGCGCCACCCACGTCCCATTTAGCCAGAAGGCTAAATTGTGCAAAATAAGCTTTATATGCACATTCGGTTGGTTCAGATTGCAGAAATCCACTTTCTTGGGGAAAACTTCGTATACAGGCGATGACCAGTTTAGGTGCATCCAGTTGACATATGATCCCTTTTGGAACTGGAAGAAGGTAGAAACGGGGGTGGGGGTGACGCAGTGCACTTATATGCGCTACACCGAAGCTCTCAGGGGCCAGGAACAGAACCCCCACACGAAACATATTTTTATTTTATTGCTTTAGTGCACGGAGACCCGAATAAAGTCTCTGACAGTTTCATCATTATCATCATCATCATCATCATCATCATTCTTCCTTTCTCCTCCCCCCACCCCAAAACCAGGTTATTCAGAGAGTCCAATCTCATCATGGGGAAGCAGGGACGAGGCAGCAACTGGGCTTATGGTAAGAGCCCCAGAGTTCTCCGTTGTAGCGATACTAATAATAATAATAATTTATTATTTGTACCCTGCCCATCTGGCTGGGTTTCCCCAGCCACTCTGGGAGGATTCCACAGAGACCAAAAATACACTAAAATGTCACACATTAAAAACTTCCCTGAACAGGGCTGCCTTAAGATGTCTTCTGAATGTCAGGTAGTTGTTTATCGCTTTGACATCTGGTGGGAGGGCGTTCCACAGGGCGGGTGCCACCACCGAGAAGGCCCTCTGCCTGGTTCCCTGTAACTTGGCTTCTCGCAGGGAGGGAACCGCCAGAAGACCCTCAGCGCTGGACCTCAGTGTCCGGGCAGAACGATGGGGGTGGAGACACTCCTTCAGGTATACTGGGCCTTTGAGGCCATTTAGGGCTTTCAAGGTCAGCACCAACACTTTGAATTGTGCTCGGAAACGTACTGGGAGCGAATGTAGGTCTTTCAAGACCGGTGTTATGTGGTCTCGGCGGCCGCCCCCAGTCACCAGTCTAGCTGCCGCATTCTGGATTAGTTGTAGTTTCCGGGCCACCTTCAAAGGTAGCCCCACGTAGAGCGCATGGCAGTAGTCCAAGCCCCATCATCACGCCGCTCAATGCTGGAGTTACCTTTTTATTAGCAAGAACATCTGCACAGGCTTGGCTGAGTGTCAGGCCTCGTGAACACAGCGGATCATCCCCAATAGGTCTTGACCCATGGATCACTTGCCACGACAGAAGGTCCCCACCTCTCCACAGTCATCTTAAGCTCCCTCCTTTCCAGGGTTTTCCCCAAGCAATCCGGAGTCAGCGCCTGCATGCAACCAACCTTTGCTCTGCCCTTTTCAGACCTCTTCTGGTTCTGGGAGATAAGCAGGGAGAGGAGCTTGTCACAGCAGAAGGGCTTCTTCAACAGCCTGACTCATCTCAGCCTCTTGGCTTCCTTCCTCTCCTGCTTCTGCCTCCGATTCTGGACTTTTCTCTGCCACAGACTCTCCCTGCTCACTAGGCTCTGTTGCTTCCAACACCTCCTCTTCCCAGTCTTCTCCCACTGAAAGCTCATCGTCATCCCATCACCACTCCCTGGGCTCTCAGCTCTCTTCCCTTGGGGGCTCCACAGCCCGATCCCCCCCCCCATTCCTCTGCATCCAACAGCCTCTGGAAAGCTCCTAAGAATGGAAAGACAGGGGAAGAGAGCCAGTATATATGGAGGGAAATGGCGTGTCCAGTCTGAAACTTCTGAAACGTGGAGAAACCAAAGCGTGGCTCCTGCAGCCAATCAGAAGCCGTGGAAGCCTGGTCAAATAATAATAATAATAATAATAATAATAATAATTTATTTATATCCCTCCCTCCCCAGCCGAAGCCGGGCTCAGAGTGGCTAACAAAAGTAAAGTAATACAGCATTCTGAAATCAATTCATTCTAAAATCAGTTCAAAATCAAATTAATGGCAACCATTGGACTAGAGTTCTGTGAGGATTACCAAAGGAGGGGGTCAGGCTGTGCCTTGGCCAAAGGCCTGGTGGAACAGCTCTGTCTTGCAGGCCCTACGGAAAGATGTCAGGTTCCACCAGATTGGGGCCACGGCTGAAAAAGCCCTGGCTCTGGTCGAGACCAGACCATAAGACACACATAGTTTTTGGAGGAGGAAAACAAGAAAAAAATATTCTGGGATAGCTGAGCAGCCTGCATTCGCTCCATAAGACGCGCACACATTTCCCCTTGCTTTTTAGGAGGGGGAAAGTGCGTCTTATAGAGCGAAAAATACGGTATATAAAATAAGTAGGGATTTATGCTGTGCAAAATGAACCATGGAAAGAGGAAGGGAAGTCATTGATATTTTAAGGTTGTTTAAGTGAATGCAGTGGTACCTCTGGTTGCGAACGGGTCCGTTCCAGAGGCCCATTCGCAACATGAAAAGAGCGCAGCCTGCAGCGGCGCGTCTGCACATGCACAGGTTGCATTTCGGCGTGTCTGTGCATGCGCGTAACGTCATTTTGCGTGTCTGCGCATGCGCGAGCGGCAAAACCCGGAAGTAACCCTTTCCGGTACTTCCGTGTCGCCGCGGGACGTAACCTGAAAGAACTTTACATGAAGCAAACGTAACGTGGTATGACTGTATTCTAAAATGTGAAACAGAAATTTACCGTATTTTTCGCACCATAGGACGCACCGGACAATAGGGCGCACTTTGTTTTAGAGGGGGGAGAACAAGAAAAAAAAATTCTCCCCCTCTCTGCCCAGTGCCCCTTCAGCGAAGCGGCAGGAGGCGCTGCGCAGAGAGGGGGAGAACTTTCCCTCTCTTGTTTTCCCGCTCTAAAACAAGGTGCCGTTTAAGGTGCGTTCAGGCGGCTACCTTGGAAGCCTGGAGAGCGAGAGGGGTCGGTGTGCACTGACGCCTCTCGCTCTCCAGGCTTCAGGTTCCTTTCGACCTGCTCTTTGGGGCTGGCGGGGGGAAGCCCACCACCAGCCCCAAAGAGCAGGTCAGGGAGCAGTGGAAAGGCGCAGCGGAGAGGCTCCTGCCATAGCCGCACGTCACCTCTCCAGCCAGGAGAGGGTCGCGGGGGGCTTCTTTGGTGACGCACGGCTGTAGAGGCTCCTGCCATAGCCGCGCGTCACCTCTCCAGCCAGGAGAGGGTTGCGGGGCTATGGCGTCTTCGCTCCATAGGACGCACACACATTTCCCCTTCATTTTTGAAGGGGAAAAAGTGCATCCTATAGAGCGAAAAATACGGTAATTAAAATTATAAATAAAAGCAGGGACCCTCCTGCCCTGTTGCTTGTCTCCAGCAGCTGTTCTCACTTGGTGTCTGTACCTTTTGCGGTTCACAGGTTATCACGGCGTCCGTTCAGAGAGCGAGCAGAGCTTGTGCAGTCGGACAATGGAGAGTCTGCGGAAAGAGGCCGAGAAAAGGGATTTCTACGGTGGGACTGTGCTGTTCCACAGCCTCAGCGGGGGCACAGGAGCTGGTGAGGACATCGCTTCAATGAAAGTTATTTTTCCCTCCCCTGACTACGGCCACAGCCACGCAATGCATTTCACTCAAAGAATCCCGGAAACCGTGGTTTGCACCTCACGGCGCTACGCTTCCCAGCACCTGCGGTGAGCTACAATTTCCAGTATTCTCTGGGGGAAGCCATGTGCTTTTAAAGGCATGGTGTGGGCTGCCTCTGAAGATGGTTCATAATAATCAACAACAAGAAGAAGAAGGTCCATAAATAGCAACACCCTACTGGTCCCGGGCCCTAAGGAAGTCAGATTATCCTCAACCAGAGCCAGGGCCTTTTTAGTGATGGCTCCGGCCTGGCGGATCGCTCTGTCTCGTGAGACCAGGGCCCTGCGGGATCTGATTTCTTTGCACAAGGCATGTAAGACAGAGTTGTTCTGCCTGGCCTTTGGCTTGGAATCAGTTTGATTCCCTCCCCCTCTTCTTTTTTCCATTCTCCTTCTGTGATGGAACTCCTATTTGGGGACTTCCCTGGCTTTCTTCAGGCCCACGTAGGACCAGTCTGGATAGTTGGCCTTGGTGAAGACTTGACGTTTTCATCCCCAAAAAGGTTTTTGATTTGAGTTCCTACTGAAATGAGGCTGCATTTTAATGTTGTATTTTAATCTTGTTTTTAAGTTGCATTTCAATCAATTGTTTTTATACCGGTGTTAGCCGCCCTGAGCCCGGTCTTGGCTGGGGAGGGCAGGGTAGAAATAAAATTTAACAACAACAAATTTATTATCTATACCCCACCCATCTGGCTGGTTTTCCCCAGCCGCTCTAGGCGGCTCCCAACAGAATATTAAAAACACGATAAAACACCAAACATTAAAAACTCCACTAAACAGGGTTGCCTTAGCCAGCGCAGAATTTGGCGGCCATGTTGCTCACCGGAACAAGGCAGTTTGCACATCTTGCACCAATCCTGGTCCAACTGCACTGGCTGCCAGTTAGCTTCTGGGCCCAATCCAAAGTGCTGGTTTTGACCTATAAAGACTTAAACAGTTCAGGACGGCAGTACCTCAAGGACCGCTTCTTCCCATATGAACCACCCTGGACCCTGAGATCACCTTCTGAGGCCCTCCTTCGTGTGCCACCTCCTCAAGAGGTCCAGAGGGTGGCAACACGAGAACGGGGCCTTTTCTGCAGTGGCTCCCCGTTTGTGGGATATTCTCCCCAGGGAAGTTCGCCTGGCACCTTCATTATGCATATTTAGGCACCAGGCGAAAGCTTTCCTCTTCAACAAGGCCTTTGGCCAATTAATATTATAATAATAATAATTACATAGCAATGTCCAGAGGGACATTGCTGAAACATCTCTTAGCGTGGGGCAAATGGCTAAAATGTTTTAAATGGTTTTAATTGTGGTTCCTCTGTTTTGTTTTCGTCAGGCTGGGGTTTTGGGGTTGCGGTTATTTTAATTTGGCTATAAAATTAAACTATTACTGCTATTGGTTTCTATCAATTTATTGGTTGGTTGGTTTGTTGCTCGTATAGGATATTCTGGTTTTTTTAATGCTTGTCGTTTTGGTGTGTTTTTATATATGCTGTAAGCTGCCTAGAGTGGCTGGGGAAGCCCAGCCAGATGGGCGAGATATACTTATACTTATTATTATTATTATTATTTATTTAAAATATTTTTATTAGCAATTTCAACATAACAACTTATCCAAACATATCATATTCATTATTTCCACCCCTTCCCACCTCAAACCCTCCCTCCCCTCCCCAGAGACTTCCCTCAGCTCCTCTCTCTGATTTCTCAACACATATTATTCTCTGCATGTTGTAAAATTATGCAGATCCTTACATTATCTATCTGTGGGACGTGGATGGTGCTGTGGGTTAAACCACAGAGCCTAGGACTTGCCAATCGGAAGGTCGGCGGTTCGAATCCCAGCGACGGGGTGAGCTCCTGTTGCAGGGTCCCTGCAACCTGCCAACCTAGCAGTTTGAAAGCACGAAGTGCAAGTAGATAAATAGGTACCACTCCGGTGGGAAGGTAAATGGCGTTTCCGTGTGCTGCTCTGGTTCGCCAGAAGCGGTTTAGTCATGCTGGCCACGTGACCCGGAAGCTGTCTGTGGAGAAATGCCGGCTCCCTTGGCCTATAGAGTGAGCAACCCCAGAGTTGTCTGCAACTGGACCTAACAGTCAGGGGTACCTTTACCTTTACCTTACATTATCTATCTACCATCTTATCAATCAATAAATTTGTGTATGTTTATTCAAAACCTGCCAAGGAGTCCAATTCATTTTGTTGTCTTTTCAAGGAATTTGTAAAAAGTTCCCATTCTTCTTTGAAGTCACAGTTGTCCTTATCTGACAATTTGTATGTCAATTTAGCCAGTTCTGCATGATACGTCAGTTTCTCTTGCCACTGTTCTTTTGTCAGGATTTCCTCATTCTTATACGTATGATGATGATGATTAGCAGTGATAATAATGGCAATTCCTTCTTTCCCTGCTATTAAGCAAGGCTAATCTGTTTGTGTTGGGCTCTTCTCCCCTAGGGCTGAGTTCCCGGTTGTGCGAAGCCATTCGAGAAGAGTACCCCCTCGGCCACATCCTGTCGGTCTCGGTGGCCCCGCACCAAGCTGGTGAGAGCCCTCTGCAACACTACAACGCCCTGTTGTGCCTTTCTTGGCTCCAGAGGTGAGTAAAGGAAGATCTATCTCTTACAAGGCTTGGCAAGAAAAAAAGCATTGACACTGGAATATAGCTGACTGCAGATCTACTCAGGGTAGACAGGTCAGAATGAATGTGCCAGAGTTAGGCATTTCCACTTTATTTCAGTGGTTCTCCTCCAAGCATGGCAAGCATATTTTTAAAAAAAAAACATCTTTATTGGAAGTTCAAAAAGTACCTAACTATATAACGATAGCTTTAGTTTGGAAAGATAGAGAAAAATGGACAGTAGAGACATGGAATAGTTATTTGCTTGAACTTACTCAGTCGGACATTGTCGCAGTCATGTCACAGGAAACAACATGGAAGGTGAAGTCCACCACGATAAAGAACAGGTGGAACCCCTATCTTCAATGGATAAACACTACTGGAACAAAAGACATTTGGTGGAAACTAAAGACGCTATACCCGTGGCTGAGGATAATAGTTTGAACCCTTCCAATGGATATGGGGGTGGGAAGGGTGGGAAAGGAAAAAATTGTACAGGAAATTTAAAAATTGGAAGGAGATAATATACTGTATGTAAAAATCCCGAACTCAAATAAAACTGTTCCAAAAAACCAGCAAAAAACCCCCTAACTATATGTGCACCAGACATGGTGAGATCCGAACAATAAGGAGAAACAGAACCCGTGCAGAAGGGAAAACAAGGGGGGAGGATGTGGGGGGAACCCCAAACTGTATATTTTACAAGGTTGTTATTGTACTTCACCAGACCTTAACCTATTATGGTATTTGTAAGAATGGATTCCAAATATCATTGAATTTGTCCATTGGCAAGCCTGCGTTTATATGAAAGTTGTTCATATGTTGCGAGTTTGTATAAGTCTCTAATCCAATCGTAAAAGGCAGCCACATTTTTATTTTTCCAGTTCACCAGTATCCGTCTTTTTGCCGTGGTTGGGGCACGGAGAGTCCACTTATATTGTCCTTTTGTAAGGTTTCATATAATTCAGGAGGATATTTGTCACTGTAAATGTAAGATTATTCCATACAGTGCTGTTGATAGTTTCAGTTCCCTTCTGCCAAAAATCTTTCAATATAGGGCAATGAAAAAATAATATGGCAAAGCGTTATGTGCCACACAACAGGGTTGTTGCGAAGATAAAATGGACAAAGGGGGAATCCCTTGGGTGGTGTTGGACTCTCCTTTCCTGGAGGTTTCAAAGCAGAGGTTGGGTCTGTCATGGATGCTTTAGCTGAGATTCCTGTATTGGGTTGGACTAGAGGACCCTCAGCAGCCCCTTCCAAACTCTTCTATGATTCTATAAGAATAGGCTTCCCAAAGGGCGGCAAGTATGTTCCAGCAGCCTTATGGGTTTTCAATGCAAAATCCGTTTCCCAACTCCTGTACGCTACAAATGGGGACCTGCCTAAGCTAGATGGCTTTCAGGCAAAATTTCTACGATCTCTGCTGCAGGTACTCAACTGTGTCCCCAACTCCATACTTCTGTTAGAAGCTGGTGAATGCCCAATTTCAACTACAGCATGGTGGGCTGCCCTAAAACATTGGCTCAGGATTTCAGTGTTTGATCAAGGGAAGGGTTTGTACCAATGAGGAGTTTGTCAGCAAATGGCAGAAAACCATGGCTAGAAAAACCACCTCTATTGGTCTGGCACCCCCCCCACTTTATTACCTGGGTTATGAAGGCACCCTAAAGACGTTAAAAGCAAAGATTATGGGATAATGCACATAGTGACTTGCAATCTCGATAACACGCAGTCTGCAGTCCGCTGGCAGTAGGAGTACAATATGGGCATGTCTTTAAGTTAACACCTTACATTAGAAACCTGACAGTACCAACTTATCAAAGGTTATTCACCAAAGCCAGACTAAATGTCTTTCCTTCTGCAGTGTTGGATGGCAGGTTGAGAGGAGTTGCCTACCAGGACAGACTTTGCTTGTATGCCCAAGACATCGATTCTGTAAAACATATTTTGCTGCGCTGTGCGAAATACGAGCAAGCCAGGGCTGAACTGATACTACCCTTGCTTGGTACCTTTCCCGGGAAAATCAGAGGCTCACTGTGTCAGGTTCCTATTGGAAGACCGGACAAACGCTAGAACATTAGCAGTGGTGAAGTTTTTATTGGTGGTTGCAAGAACCAATGTTCCCTATCTTTAAGTCTGAACAAAATGCTTGTTTAACCTGGAGGCAGACTGTCTGAACTGTGTATTGCTTTGTAACGATTTGTTGGGTCTCTGGACCGTAATAAAGATTGATTGATTGAATAAGAATAGGTGACATCCTCAGGAGCGTCTGCAAAGGAGAAGGGATGGGGAAGAAATTCATAAACTAGTTCAGCTTCCCCCAAGGGGAAGACTACAGCTCCCATCAGCCCCAGTCCACAGTTAGAAGGAAGTCATCTGTGCCTGCAGTGCAGGAATTTTAGTTCAAGAGTCCCTGGCAGTCAGCTAACCAACCTCTGTTTAAAAACTTCCAAGGAAAGAGACTCCACCACTCTCCAAGGGAGTCCATTGCACTGTCAAGCAGCTGTCGCTGTCAGAAAGTTATTAGAACATCTGGGAAATCTAGGACCCTCGTACCTACAGGACTGCCTCTCCTGGTGTGTCCCACAGAGGATCTTACGGTCTTCAAACAAAAACATATGGGAGGTCCTGGGCCACAGGAGGGTTAGGCTGGCCTCAACCAGAGCCAGGGCTTTTTCGGCTGTGGCCCCGATCTGGTGGAATGCTCTGTCACAAGAGACTAGGGCCCTGCGGGACTTGACATCTTTCCGCACGGCCTGCAAGATGGAGCTGTTACGCCGGGCCTTTGGCTAAGGCACAGCCTTTGGCAATCCTCATAGAACTCTAGCCCAGTGGTTGCCATTAATTTGATTCTGAATTGATTTTAGAATGTATTTCAATTAATTGACGGTGGTTTTATGTAAACTGTGCTATTTTTACTGTTGTTAGCCGCTCTGAGCCCTGCTTTGGCTGGGGAGGGCGGGGTATAAATAAATTTTTTTTATTATTATTATTACTACTACTACAATAGGTGCTCGGGTTGTGAATGTGATGCGTGCGGGAAGCACGTTCGCAACCCACAGCGTCCGCAACCCGCAGCGCCGCATCTGCGCACGCGCAGGTTGCAATTCAACACTTCTGCGCATGCGCAAAGCGCGATTCGGCACTTCTGCGCATGCGCGACCGCCGAAACCCAGAAGTAACCCATTCCAGTACTTCCAGGTTTCGGCGCGTCTTTAACCTGAAAAAAACGCAACCTGAAGCGTCTGTAACCCGAGGTATGACTGCATTATTATCTAGTCTATCAGAATATAGCCCTAGTGGCCTAATGGATAAGACCCTGGCCTCCTAAGCCAGGGATTGTGGGTTCGAGTCCCATCTGGGGTGGGGAAGAATTAGAAATTAGGACGCCGGTGGTTCTGTGGGTTGAACCACAGAGCCTAGGACTTGCCGATCAGAAGGTCAGCAGTTCGAATCCCCACGACGGGGTGAGCTCCCGTTGCTCAGTCCCTGCTCCTGCCAACCACCAGTTCGAAAGCACCTCAGAGTGCAAGTAGATAAAAAGGTACCGCTCCGGCGGGAAGATAAATGGCATTTCCGTGCACTGCTCTGGTTTCGCCAGAAGCGGCTTAGTCCTGCTGGCCACATGACCCAGAAGCTGTACGCCGGCTCCCTCGGCCAATAAAGCGAGATGAGCGCCGCAACCCCAGATTCGGCCACGACTGGACCTAATGGTCAGGGGTCCCTTAAACTTTACCTTTTAGTCTATCAGAAATGCCCCTGACCCTGCTTTGCCCTCCTCCCAGGTATGCGGACGGGGTCCTTCTGTTTCACAACGACGAGGTGCTGAAGCAGGCAGCCGCTCCCGTGGCGAGGAAGGACACTCCTGAAGCCTCGTGCCAAGTCTCCTTCCCTTCTATGAATGCCTACCTCGCTTCCTGCCTCGCAGGGCTTCTCTGCCCACTAAAGATTTTCACATCGCAAAGGTGAGTCCGAGACAGGCACTCGGGACAGGGGCTGGCTTTTGCTGTTTGATGCCCAGCCGGCCCTTGATTGAAGAGCCGTTCCATTGCATTCTCTTAAGAAGGGACAAATGCTTTCTGCAGACGTCTGCGCTTGAGATAACCTTCCCCAGCCTATCACCCAACAGGTGTTCCAGACTACAACTCCCATCCTAAACGCCCTCTGCCCTTTATACCTGAAGGAGCGTCTCCATCCCCATCGTTCAGCCCGGACACGGAGGTCCAGTGCCGAGGGCCTTCTGGCAGTTCCCTCCCTGCGAGAAGCCAAGTTACAGGGAACCAGGCAGAGGGCCTTCTTGGTGGTGGCACCCGCCCTGTGGAACACCCTCCCATCAGACGTCAAGGAAATAAACAGCTATGTGACTTTTAGAAGACATCTGAAGGCAGCCCTGTTTAGGGAAGTTTTTAATGTTTGGTGTTTTTAATACAGTGGTACCTCGGGTTAAGAACTTGATTTGTTCCGGAGGTACGTTCTTAACCTGAGGTAGCACTTTAGCACTTTCTGTTCTCATGCTGAAGCAAAGTTCTTAACCCGAGGTACAGTGGTACCTCTGGTTACGTACTTAATTCATTCAGGAGGTCCGTTCTTAACCTGAAACTGTCGCGCCTGCCGCTGCGGCGCGATTTCTGTTCTCATCCTGAAGCAAAGTTCTTAACCTGAGGTACTATTTCTGGGTTAGCAGAGTCTGTAACCTGAAGCGTATGTAACCCAAGGTACCACTGTACTATTTCTCGGTTAGCAGAGTCTGGTTAGCAGAGTCTGTAACCTGAAGCGTCTGTAACCCGAGGTTCCACTGGTTACAGACGCTTCAGGTTACAGACTCCGCTAACCCAGAAATAGTACCTCAGGTTAAGAACTTTGCTTCCGGATGAGAACATAAATCGTGCAGCGGCGGCAGTGGGAGGCCTCATTAGCTAAAGTGGTGCTTCAGGTTAAGAACAGTTTCAGGTTAAGTACGGACCTCCGGAACAAATTAAGTTATTAACCTGAGGTACCACTGTATTCTGTTGGGAAACCCAGCCAGATGGGCAGGGTATAAAATTATCATCATTATTATCCAGCCCCAAAATGGTTTGGGAGCCTCTGGGGCAGGTGTTGCCTGTTGTGTCTGCTCTTCTCAATGCTCTGTCCCTTGCTTTGCAGTGGGGTTAGCATGGGGATGGAGCCCTGGGAGCTGCTGAGAACCGTCTGCCCCATGCCCGCCTTCAAGTTCCTCCACACAGCTCAAGCCAGCACAAGGTAGGAGCAGGGGCCTCACTGGGAGGCTACAACTCGTTTCTGAGCACAGTTCAAAGTGTTGGTGCTGACCTTGAAAGCCCTAAACGGCTTCGGTCCAGTATACCTGAAGGAGCGTCTCCACCCCCATCGTTTTGCCCAGACACTTGAGGTCCAGCTCCGAGGGCCTTCTGGCGGTTCCCTCCCTGCGAGAAGCCAAGTTACAGGGAACCAGGCAGAGGGCCTTCTCGGTGGTGGCACCCACCCTGTGGAACGCCCTCCCACCAGATGTCAAAGAGAAAAACAACTACCAAACTTTTAGAAGACATCTGAAGGCAGCCCTGTTTAGGGAAGCTTTTAATGCTTAATATGTTATTGTATTTTAGTGTTTTGTTGGAAGCCGCCCAGAGTGGCTGGGGAAGCCCAGCCAGATGGGCGGGGTATAAATAATAAATTATTATTATTATTATTATTATTATTATTACTACAACAACTACTGTCTTGCTTGTGTTGCAGGGGGTGATACTAGATGACCCTGCATTGCAGGAGGTTGAACTAGTGGAGGAAAAGCCCTGTTGCCCTAGCGCAGGCATCTCCAAACTCGCCCTCCAGCTGTTTTGGGACTACAATTCCTATCATCCCTGACCATTTGTCCCATTAGCAAGGGATGATGGGAGTTGTAGTCCCAAAAGAGCTGGAGGGTCAAGTCCGGGGATGCCTGCGGGAGCTAGAATGCCGAATCCAGGCCAAAGTCTTATTTTCATTAAAACAGCTCTATTTCAAACAAAGGTGTAGAGTGAAGTCTATATTTTCATACATAAAGTAGGCAACAACTGCCGCTCGGATGTTATTAGACCAGAGATGGAAGGAAGAGACAACCCCGACCAGAGAAGAATGGCAAACCAAGACGATGGTCTATTCCGAAATGGCAAAATTAACTGGGAAGCTCAGGAACCAAGAGGACAAAAGCTTTAAAAAAGAACAGGGAAAAAATTATAGTTTACTTAGGAGACGACAGCATTAGCAGGATTTTAAACACTCTTGTAATGTAATGAAAAATTATGCACAATTTAGATGGACAAAAAACGAGATAACAAACTGATAAAGGGAAAGGGGACCCCTGACCACTAGGTCCAGTTGTGGCCGACTCTGGGGTTGTGGCGCTCATCTCGCTTTACTGGCCGAGGGAGCCGGCGTACAGCTTCCAGGTCATGTGGCCAGCATGACTAAGCCGCTTTTGGCGAACCAGAGCAGCGCACGGAAACGCCGTTTACCTTCCCGCCAGAGCGGTACCTATTTATCTACATGCACTTGGACGTGCTTTCGAACTGCTAGGTTGGCAGGAGCAGGGACCGAGCAACGGGAGCTCACCCCGTCGCAGGGATTCGAACCGCCAACCTTCTGATCGGCAAGTCCTAGGCTCTGTGGTTTAACCCACAGCGCCACCCGCATCCCAACAAACTGATAGGCAGTTATAAATGTTATTATTGGGACCCATGGATGAGGTCGGAGTAAGTCACGAGATTCAGAGTAATCTCTGTGTATGGATTTTTGTGTTTGTTTTGTTGCATTTGTTTCTTATTCTTTTAAAACCAAATAAAAATTATTGATATATATATTTTAATACATAAAAATAAAATAAAAATTCAATACAGTGGTACCTCGGGTTAAGTACTTAATTCATTCCGGAGGTCCGTACTTAAACCGAAACCGTTCTTAACCTGAAGCACCACTTTAGCTAATGGGGCCTCCCGCTGCCGCCGCGCCACCACTGCGCAATTTCTGTTCTCATCTTGAAGCAAAGTTCTTAACCCGAGGCACTATTTCTGGGTTAGCAGAGTCTGTAACCGGAAGCATATGTAACCCAAAGTACCACTGGTGTACTAGAATATATAGTGCTGCCTGACCCAGTTTAACTGGTATATAGACAGTGGGATGGCTCAGTCGTTATGTAGAACGTCCCAGGATCAGTCCCCAATAGCACCTCCAAAATAGCATCTCCTTCTCCGAAACCCTGGAGGGCCACCTGTCAGCCTGTGTACTAGATGGGTCTTTGGTCTGGCTTGGTATAAGCAGCGCCCGTCATGGGCTGGCTAAGATGCAGAAGAATGGTGCAAGGCACCAGCTGGGGAACCCCCAAGGGGAACCCCCAGGGAAAAAAGGCTCAGAGCAGCAGGGCTTGTTGCTGGGACAGAGATGAGTGGCCAGACTGGGAAAAGGAGGTGTTGGAAGCTGAAGAGGCAACTGGGCTCAGTGAGCAGGGAGAGTCTGGGGCAGAGAGCAGTCCGGAGAGGGAGAGGAAGGGAGCCAAGAAGCAGAGATGAGGCTATGCGACAACGGCCGCGAGAGTTCTGGTAGCACAAGGATGGAAGACTGAAGAAACCCCAACTAAAGAATCATGGCAAGAAAAATGGATGGACTAGGCAGAACTGGCAAAACTGACATAAGCTACGGGACAAGGATAACTGTGACTTTAAAGATGAATGCGAACCCTTTACAAAGTATCTGAAGACGCAACAAAGCGAACTGGACTCCTTGGCTGGCTTTGAATAAACATTCACAAACTTTTTATTGATAATAATCAGCTAAATAGTTTGAGGATCTATAAAACTTTGTAACATGCAGAAAACAGCATTCTTAGAGAAACCAAAGACTGGAACTGGGGAAGTCGGGGTGGGAGGGGATTGTGGGGGGGGAGGGAGGAAAAATGGGGGGGGGATAAGGATGATATGTTTTTGGACAATATGTCTTGTTATAATTTTGAATATTTTTTTTTAAAAAAAACAAAGAAGCAGAAGAAGCAGAGATGAGGCAGGTTGCTGGGGAAGCAGGTTGCTGGGGGTCTCCCCCTCCTGCTGTGATCAGCTGCTATTGCCCCTGGTCTCCCAGAACCAGAAGAGGTATGAAGAGGGGGGAGCAAAGACAGGCAGGGCGATGGAGTCTCAGATTCCGGCGGGGAAAGTGAGAAAGCAAGGGCCTTCAGTCCCCACAGGAGCTGTTTTGTTTCTTTGAAAAAAAGAGTTAATTTCTCTGACACTGTTGTGAGCTATTGCTCCTTACCTTCCTCCATATGGGATTGCCTTTGTGGTGAGCGGGGCCTGCGTTCCATTTCCCCAGGGGGACGGTCTTTTGGGACAGCCTGGCGTCTTCCGCGCTGCAGCCGCTGCCTCGCCAGTCTCTGGATGGAAATCCCGTATCCTTTCACTGGGGGGAGTTAAATGAGTAACTTGGGCTTCTCTAGCTCTGGGCGTTTGCCCCCGTGCAGGCTGCAGTGTAGAGTTCAGAGGAAAAACCTCCTGCCTCGGATAGCAGATCATACTAGGAATTGAGCTGGGATAGAAGGTCAGCCAACTTTTTCAGCAGGGGGCCGGTCCACTGTCCCTCAGACCTTGTTGGGGGCCGGACTATATTTTTTGGGGCGTAATGAATGAATTCCTATGCCCCACAAATCACGCAGAGATGCATTTTAAATAAAAGCACGCATTCTACTCATGTAAAAACACCAGGCAGGCCCCACAAATCACCCAGGGATGCATTTTAAATAAAAGGACACATTCTACTCATGTAAAAACACGCTGATTCCCTGACCGTCCGCGGGCCGGATTGAGAAGGTGATAGGGGCCGCATCCGGCCCCCGGGCCTTAGGTTGCCTGCCCATGGAACAAACTCGTTCGTAAAATCCAGCCCAAAGCGGAGTTTGGAAGGTAGTTTCAAAGAACAAATACAAGAACGGGATTATTTGATTTAGCAAAGGAGGGGCAGACTCAGGAACAGAACTGAAGGACAGAGCTGTGCAGTTATTTCAAGTGCTTGATAAGCAATAATACCACCCCCTTTTTAAGAAACCCGGTAATATCCTAAAGTCAGTTTCATTATCTCATTTATATCCTAAAGGTAAAGGTAAAGGGACCCCTGACCATTAGGTCCAGTTGTGGCTGACTCTGGGGTTGCGGCGCTCATCTCGCTTTACTGGCCGAGGGAGCCGGCGTACAGCTTCCGGGTCATGTGGCCAGCAGGACTAAGCCACTTCTGGCGAACCAGAGCAGTGCATGGAAATGCCGTTTACCTTCCTGCCGGAGTGGTACCTATTGATCTACTTGCAGTTTGACGTGCTTTCGAACTGCTAGTTGGCAGGAGCAGGGACCAAGCAACGGGAGCTCACCCCATCGTGGGGATTCGAACCGCCGACCTTCTGATCCTTCTGATCGGCAAGTCCTAGGCTCTGTGGTTTAACCCACAGCGCCACCCGCGTCCCTTCATTTATATCCTGCCTTTCCTCAAAGGAGCTTAAAGGGGCACGCATAGTCCCCCCCCCTCCATTTTACCCTGCCAATAAGCCTGCAAGGTTAGGTTCAGCTGTGTGTGAATGCGTGCCTCAAGGTCGCCACCTGGTAAGCTTTTTTGAAAAGCCAGGATTTGAACCCGGATCTCGTCAGCCCTAGATTGTCACTCTTACTTGGGGATGGGGAACCATTATCTGCTTGGGGTCGGTGTTACCTTCTGGGCAGCCTGGCGGTGGGCAGGATCAGAGGCAAAACTGGGCACAGCGGAAAACGCAAGTTTCCCTTTTGCACAGTAGGGTGGTTTCTCCAGACATTTCCAATCTCTTTGTCTCCATCCAGGTGAGCAAAAGGCTTTGCCAGAGATGAAGGACACATGCCAGTGTGATAGGAATTTTGAGGTCTTAGGTATATGTTAAAGGTTCATAAGTGTACCAACCAAGCACGTACATAGATCAGCACAGGAAGACCGACCTGGAACCATTTTGATTCCCAAACTGAGCAAATGTTTTCTCTGTAAGGTCAAAGTGGGAAACCTCCCCATTGTCTCTTTCCTCACAGATCCTGTCTTAAGGGCACATTTAAGATATGAATAGGGTGTGAGCCTGTGACCTGGCCCAGGAACTAAGTGCAGTGGTGCCCCGCAAGACGAATGCCTCGCAAGACGGAAAACCCGCTAGACGAAAGGGTTTTCCGTTTTTGAGTTGCTTCGCAGGACGAATTTCCCTATGGGCTTGCTTCGCAAGACGAAAATGTCTTGCGAGTCTTGAGATTTTTTTTCCGCTTTCCCCCCCTTTTTCTAAGCCGCTAAGCCGCTAATAGCCTTTTAGCAGCTAAGCTGCTAAGCCGATAAGCCTTTAATAGCCGCTAAACCGCTAATAGCGCTAGGCCGCTAATAGGTTGCTTCGCAAGACAAAAAAACCGCTAGACGAAGACACTTGCGGAACGGATTAATTTCGTCTTGCGAGGCACCACTGTATTTATCATTACAAAAAACTGGTCAGGCTCCCCAGGAAATCCAATCAAGTAACCTGCCAGACAGGAGATAAACAACGACAGGAGAAAAACAACATTCAAATTTCTGTTTTAGACCGTCTTTTCTGTGATGTAGGTATGATGTATCTGGGGGGTGGTCTTAGGTTACACCCCTTCTGTGATGTATGTATGATGTATGGAGGGGTGGTCTGGAGCTCCAGTGCAGGGAATTAAAATGTCTATATAAGGCCTTGCGTGCAATTGTTCTAGGTTCCTCCTCCCTCCTTTGTGTGGTGAGTGAGGACCCTGTTGCAACAGATCAATAAAGATCAGGCTTACTAGCTGCTTTGCTTCTCAATATTCTCTGGTTGGCCTCTGTTATTTTCTCCTACCAATAGGGAACCTATGTAAGGACTCTATATGGGCTCTTGGATACCCCATAAGGGAAAAAGGGCAGATGTTGTTTACAACAGATGGCGACCACAAAGGGACATTTGGTTGCCCGGGTTCTGGGAGCGAGGAAGGACTGCTGATCCGAGAGTTGCATCCACCCCTAGGCCTGAGGTTCCCCACCCCTGCTCTAACCACTATTCCACACTGCTGTGGCAGGACGACGAGGGGCAGCAGCAACAACGAGGTTGACCCTTTTCGAAAACCGTCCGGCTGGATTTCCCTGTTCCTGCTCTGTTTAGCCGAAGGAATTCCTGCTCCCTCGGGAGCATCCGTGGATGCAAGTCCCGGGGAAGGGCACCAGGTGGGGCTGGGGTGGTGAGGGCTCTTCCATCTCCCTTGTGCTTTGGTCCTTAGCAGGCTTGCCGGCAGCACCAGAGCACAGCCGTGCTGGCTGTGGCTCGCGGCCCCCGGGAAGACGCCTTTCTCGCAAACCCCCGTTTGGTCCTGAGGAAGCTGAGGCAAGGCTACCGCTGCGTTTCGTGGAACCCCTTCGCTGCCACTTACTGGACCGGTCAGTCTCGCAAGCCCCTGGTTCTGGTTCTGCCCAGGACATTTATTATTGTTGTTGTTGTTGTTTAGTCATTTAGTCATGTCCAGCTCTTCGTGACCCCATGGACCAGAGCAAGCCAGGCACTCCTGTCTTCCACTGCCTCCCACAGTTTGGTCAAACTCATGCTGGTAGCTTCGAGAACACTGTCCCACCATCTCGTCCTCTGTCATCCCCTTCTCCTTGTGCCCTCCATCTTTCCCAACATCAGGGTCTTTTCCAGGGGTCTTCTCTTCTCATGAGGTGGCCAAAGTCTTGGAGCCTCAGCTTCAGGATCTGTCCTTCCAGTGAGCACTCAGGGCTGATTTCCTTCAGAATGGAGAGGTTTGATCTTCTTGCAGTCCATGGGACTCTCAAGAGTCTCCTCCAGCACCAGAATTCAAAAGCATCCATTCTCCGGCGATCAGCCTTCTTTATGGTCCAGCTCTCACTTCCATACATCACTACTGGGAAAACCATAGCTTTAACTATACGGACCTTTGTTGGCAAGGTGATGTCTCTGCTTTTTAATATTATATCCAAGCACGATTAGTTTTAAAGGCCTGGCTGAATTATGATGCCAGGAGAATTTCCCTGGGAAGGCTGTTCCATGGGGTGGCAGTATCTTTGCATGCAGCTCCCAAGACATGCTGATGATGTGCTTTGGACATCTGCTGTAAATCTATATATTTTAGGCTGGCTCCAGAGCTTGTGCTAATTCACCACCTCTGTCCTCCCTCCAGATGCTGCCAGCCTCGTGGCTCCCGGCCGGCACAGCTTGACCGTCTGTGCCAACCACAGCAGCTCAGCTGACCTCCTGCAGCGGGTGGAGCAGCGGGCGAGGGCCATGTACGAGAGCAACGCTTTCCTGCACTGGTACTGGAGGCACGGCTGCGAGGAAGGAGATTTTGAGCAGGCCTTTGAGACGGTGCGCTCCGTCCTGGGAGATTACAGCCACCTCGGGGAGTGAGCGTGATGGATGCAGGACCTCTAACAGACCACCTCGTAACACCCGGGAGGAGCAGGGCCCAAGGAAATATGGGGTGACTCTCGTTAAGAATGTGCCACCCCCCGCAATCCACACCCGAACACACCCCAGGGTCAGCATGGCTGCGTGACTGTGTAAAACAGGGTTTCCCAAACTTTGCTGTTTTTGGACTACAGTTCCCATCATCCCTGTCTACTGCTAGCTAGGGATGATGGGAGTTGTAGTCCAAAAACTGCGGGAGACCAACTTTGGGAAAGGACCTGACTCTGGCTTTCAAATGTATACCTGCAATCCCTTTTACAGGCACTCTGGCCCACCCAGGAATGCTTTTGGGAATGGTTCTCGTGGGAGGGTCAGAAGGAGTCCTCTACCTAAAGTTCTCGGGGCACTTCCTGGACTTCAGCTCCCATGAGCCCCATTCAGCATGGCTTTTGGTCAAGGACGATGGGAGCTGCAGTCCGGCGACATCCGAAGGGCATCAGGAGCCTCATCTCTCTCTTTGAGTGAGGCCTGTCCATCAGGATCTCTAAAACCTAGTGCCCTGCCTGCTGACTTTCAGTGAAAGAAACACGTGTCCATCTGCGATGGGCTCCCAGATAGTGTCCCACCAACCAGCAGTGGTCTGTGAATGTCCATGCTGGAGAGTTTTAATTTTAATAAATTCCAAAACATTTATCACAGTGCTGGACAGTTGCTATACAACAGGCAGGAGAATCATTAAGTGGTTCGCGAAGACCCTCAGTAACTTTCAAGTGGTCCGTGGAAGGTTTGGAAACCGGTGCTGTGCTTTAAAACATCCAGCAACGTCCCTTAGTTGGAGATCCGTAGTGTACATAGGGCAACCTTTGCCCCACGCCACCCCGGCACTCTCCAGATGTTTGCCACTGCAACTCCCAAAAGGCCAGTACGAAAGGGTGCACTGTGGGTGCCAGGAGGGACCTCTGTGGGTGAGGCCAGGCGCTATTTGGGGGAGCTCTGTTCTAATAGATGGGTACTGTCACGGAGCTGGCAGGGAAGGCTCTGGAGTTGAAGGACGGGGAGAGAGAGGGGCCGGTAGAAGAGGCAGAAGTAAAAGAGGGTGGAGAGCAAGGGGAAGCCACTCAGGTGATGTTAGCGGGCATCAGCACCTCTCTGCCAGCTCAGGCACTGTGCTGGTCCCGAGGGTTAACTGTGCGGCGAGGTCCGAGTCCAGTCCGAGGTCGAGGGTGCGGTATGGAGGCTGTCCGTCAAAGCTGAAGCTGGGTCCAAGGCAGGGAGTCGGGTGAGGTCAGGAACTCTGGCAGAAGAGCAGGACAGGGTGCAGGCAGGAACAGGCTACCAACAATGTTGCTCCCGCAACCTGGGACTGGGGCTGGCTGGCTTTTACCTGCCCCGAGGCCTAGGGCGGCCCCGGTCCACAGGTGACTCGCCTCTCCTGGCCTGGAGGTGAGCACTCCTCCTGCGGGAACTTAGTTCCCTCCGCCTCTCTGCCCTGAGCCTCTGCAGTTCAGGAGAGGCTGGAGGGTTACCAGACCCAGAGGCAACCTCAGCTTCCCCTGACGGGGCTGAGAGTGGAGCACCTGCAGGCAATGGGTCCTCCATCACCTCCGGAGCCAGAGCAGACTCAGCTGGTGCCTGCACCTGAGGATCCAGCACAGGTGAGGACCCTTCAGGCTCAAGCCCCAGCCCCGGCTCAGCTGGTTCTGGAGGCGGGGAATCCTGTGCAGGCTGGGATTCTTCAGGTTCAGCACCCGAGTCCGAATCCCAGGCCATCACAGGCACGGAGGGAGAGGGAAGACCTGTTCTGTCAGCTCAGGACAGGAGGGGGTTAAAACACTGGGAACAACCGTTTGGGATTGCCCAAGCTGATTTGCTGGAGGAGGAGCAGGAAGTTCCCTCTCCCAGGATCTGCTATGGATGATTCGGACGCTGGAAGTGATGCTCTGTACCTTGTAAATACCGTATTTTTCTCTCTATAACACGCAGATTTTTTCTCCTAAAAAGGAAGGGGAAATGTCTGTGCGCGTTATTGAGCGAATGTGTGGTCCCTGGAGCCGACTAGGGCGAGCGCAGGAACAAAAATCAGTCAAAAATCAAATCGCGTGTCGGAGAAGGGAAACCTGAAAAGAGGAAGTTGCTGCTTTCCTGCATTCTGCCTCAGGGTCTTACTGCCCACCCGCTTGTGTTTCGTTGCTGTGTTTGCTCAAACGGAACAAAGAGCAGGCAAATCCTCCCCTCCAGGCAAGCAGAGGGGAAAGCAGAGCGTCCTTCCTTCTAATTCCTCTCCCTGCTCCTCGCAGGCAGCCAGAAAACATGCAGGTGGGAGAGAGGGAGAGAGAGAGGGCTGGCTTGGGTGGGTGGGCTTTTGCCTTTCTTTCCTCCCTCCTGTTAAATCCCTCTCCTGCATTCTTATGCTCCTTGTCCCTTCTGTGTTTTCCTTCCCTCCCCACTTAAAATGTAGTTACAAAGCATGGATCCACATGGATCCTCAGGATCTCTGCATTGGGTCACCCCAAATTCACCATCAGATCACATAGCATGTCCATGGCTACAGCCTGCCCCCCAAAAATCACGCACCCACTGTTGCCTGGGGCCACAATGGCGCAAAAACGTGGTTACAAAGCATGAATCCACAGGGATTCTCAGGATTTCTGCATTGGGTCACCCCAAATTCACCATCAGATCACATGTCTGTGGCCACAGCATGAAGCACAAAAATGATACATCCACTGTTTCATTCAGAATTCCCCCCCCCCTTGTTTTCCTCCTCTAAAAACGATGTGTGTGTTATGGTCAGGTGCATGTTATAGAGCGAAAAATACAGTATGTACAATAAAGGCTGTAAAATACGTCTCTGATTGAGCAGAGGGATTTATTGCGAAGGGCTCAACAAACCTATCACAGGTACAGAGAGAACCACGTGCAGAGGTGCTGCGGCGAAGGAAACTGCTTTCCCTGCCTGTCAGGGAACTGCCATCGGCTCAGGGGCGAGAGGGGAAAAGCCGAATGGACTACAGAGAGCCCCCAAAGATCGTGGGAAGCAGCACCTCCTCAGCAGAGGAGAGTAACCACGCCTCCAGTGCAGAGGAGCTTCAGGGCTCGGAGGAGGCGAGGCGGTGCCAGGACACCTTGCCTGGGCAAAGCGGGGAGGGGAGCGGTCCTCCGTTACCCACGCCCTCCCTGCGCAGTAGGCTTCCGTGCCGAGAGGGGAGGCGCAGACTGGGCGTCAAGAAACTACTTTGCCGGGGAAGGTTTAAGGACCGCCCACTCTCAGATTCTGCCAGTGAATGAGCCCGCCACGGAATAGTGGCGCTCTGCGTGGTGAAGGTTTTTTCTGGCACCAATAACAAGGCTTTACAACAGACCAGGGAGGCATTTGCTTGATTGCTCTCGAGCAACCCCCTGATACCCTTACACTGCCCATCACCCTCCAGTCTCCCATCTTTCAGGGGCACAGAGAGGAGCAAGTGTCAAGGTCGTGTCAAGACCTTCGCTATTCCAGAGGAAGGTCTGCTCCAAGAGCAATCACAGGCAATGTCGGGCCATCCCTTCACCGAACTGCGTCTCCAAACAGTCCACGCCACTGAAAAATGAGCTGCTTGACAGTGGAAGATTGGCAGATGAAGATGATGGATTTTTGGGAGCTGGCTGACCTGACTGGAAGAGTCCGCGACCAGAAGGAGGAGGAGTACCAGGAAGAATGGAAGAAATTTAAAGATTACTTAGTTCAATACGTTAAGATAACTTAATTGGAAGAGCTTGCAAATAAATCGATAGGCTTAGGAGTTCAATATGTAAGGATAAGATTTAAGGTGTTTAATGTCAAACTAGAAAGAATTAAAGAGGTTAAGTGACCCAAGTTAACTTTTTGAGAAAATTGATTTTGGAAAACTGTTAAAAATGAGATACAATGAAATTCTACCAAGGGGGTTTGAGGAAGTCACTTAATAATGTTACCAAGATCTAAATAGGATGTGTGTGTGTGTGTGTGTGTGTGTGTGTGTGTGTGTTGAAATTGTGAAAATCAATAAACAAAATGAAAAAAGAAAAGAACAATGAGCTGCTTAATTTGGAGACTTGAGTCCCCTATTATGGACTTTTCCTGAAATGTAGGATATGCCCTGAAACGGGTACCCCGCTCTCTTCTGAAGCCCTTGGTCGCTGGGAGGAAATTCTTCTACAAAGATGGCAGAAGGAGCATGTAGGACAAAAGGATGCAGTCCCAAACAAAAGCGTCCAGGTAGATTCCTCTTTAGAGGGGAATTGGCCCCATTCTTGAGAAGTGTTTGAATGAAGCCCTCGTCTTCCTCTCTCTCTCTCCGCCTATCAGCAACAGGATAAGGAGGGTAGGATTCCTAGCTCAGCCTTCCCCAAACACAACTCCCAGCATCCCCTTCTCATTGACATTGGGGACTTGACATCTTTCCGCAGGGCCTGCAAGACAGAGCTGTTCTGCCTGGCCTTTGCTTTGGACTCGGTCTGACCCTTATGTTTCCCTCCCCTTATGGTCTTGATTTATGAGCTATTTTAGAATGAGGCTGCATTTTAAATTGCATTTTAACCTGTATTTTAAATTGCTTTTTCCCCCCCTCCCTCTCTTTTCCCCCTATTATGTTTTTACTGTGATTTTATTTTATCGGTGTTAGCTGCCCTGAGCCCGGCTGTGGCCAGGGAGGGCGGGGTATAAATAAAATTTATTATTATTATTATTGGGGGATTCTGGATTCATTGCATTACCTATGAGAACATCCAAATTATCGAGTAAGCCTTGCAGTCCTGTTTTGCTTTTGCGAGGAGAGAATTGGTGGGACGCTCGCCTGAGAGCCTTTCCTCCCACTGACAAATCTTCATTTGCACCTCCCCCAGCAGAACTCGGAGTCTTATTCCGACACTTTCAGCAAAGTTTATAAGTTTTCTCTCACTAATTTATTACCAACCTCTGTGAATACCATTTGGTGAAATGTACAAGTGTTATTAACAATGTAGATTCCCTAGACGTCTGTTATACTCTCTGCCTATTCCAAAAAAACAAAACATATTTTGACGCGCTCAGAGGTCCATTTCTTTAGTTCCACCGTAAGAAATAAGACCCGGCGCGTTCCGGCTCTGCTACACGATGCTGAGGACGGAAGGGGGCTTGTTCTTCACCGCAGCTTGGACGGATCCAGGCTTCTTCCGCATTTGCTCAAGGGTAGACATGGCTCCAGCGTATTTGTGCTTTCAAACAGAGAAAGAGACGGGGCTGTTATTCCTGGCATTCTTGGGCGGGGGGGTGCAAGCACTCTTCCAAAAAAATGCCTTGAATTAAGAGGGATACAAGATCTTGCCAACCAGAAGTTGCTTCTCAGAGCCCTGATAATCTTGGCTTTTAGTTAAAACAAAATCTATTTAAGCCTCCAGCCCATGTGGGGTTTTAGAAGGTTTCTTGTCAAGGCCTGGGAGGCTTACAGTAATTTTGGATGGGGTGCTCGGTGCTCAAAATTCCCACTGCTCTGTTCCTCCTAGGCCTTTTCTCCCCATCCCTTTAAATACTCAAACTTCCCCCACCCCTAACCTTGACATAAGTTGTAAAAATAGATTCAGCATTAGGTCAAACCAATAGTTCAAACAAGCACGAACTTTTTGCAGGCCTCTTCCATGAGACCAAGTGAGTATTTATAGAGTGCTGAAGTGCACAACGAGCTCCTCTGCGTCCCTTTTCGGTCTCATCCTGACCTATTTCTGCAGGCAAAAAGCTGCTAATTAAGCTGCCCTGTTGCATATGACGTTGTGATGCAAGTTCTGTCCAAAAATTTATAGAAGCGGCTGCACTCTCTGGTTTGCTTACTATTCTAGCAAAGCGCTTGCCACTTTCGATGGGCAGGTGAACGAGGGGAGAGGCCTGTGCCATGTTAACATCCTGCTGGAATTACGGTGCTGGGCCCAGGGGTAACCCGTGAAACGCGGTCCAGGACCAGACCAGAATCCGAAGGTTCTGCGGGAGTCAGTCCGACGGGGCCAAGGCAGGACACGAGGCAGGAAACCAGGCAAGGGCAGGTGCAGGATCTAGCACACAGCAGTGTTGCTCCTGCAACATGGGTCAGGGTCCAACAGCCTTTGTCGGGGTAGAGGCCGGTCCTGATCCCCCGGTGACTCACCTCCCTGTTTCGCCCGAAGGCGAGCATTCCTCCTGTGAGTACAGTGGTACCTCAGGTTAAGTACTTAATTCGTTCCAGAGGTCTGTTCTTAACCTGAAACTGTTCTTAACCTGAAGCACCACTTTAGCTCATGGGGCCTCCCGCTGCTGCCAGAGCATGATTTCTGTTCTCATCCTGAAGCAAAGTTCTTAACCCGCGGTACTATTTCTGGGTTAGCAGAGTCTGTAACCTGAAGCATATGTAACCCCAGGTACCACTGTACTCAGTTCTCTCCTTCTCTCAGACCTTCGTCTCTGCAGCTCGGGAGATGTCGGTGGGTTACTAGACCCAGGGGCCGCCTCAGCCTCCCCTGACCCAACCGGTAGTGGAGCAGCTGTAAGTGATGGCCCAGCTGGAGGCAACGAGGTCATCCCCACATCTGGAGCCAGGGCAGGATCAGGCCCCTGACTCAGCCCAGCTGGTGCTTGTTGCAGGGGGACCTGTGCAGACTGGGGCTCTTCAGGATCAGGCCCCAGACTTGGTTCAGATGATGCCTGAGGCAAAGGATGCGGTGCAGACTGTGTCACCTCTGGTTCCGAGTCCGAGCCCTAGTCCCAGGCCATCACATACTGGGACAGATCTCTGTTTTGCAAGCTGAAAGCCAGCAGCAACATCCCGCCCTCTGGATTCTAACCAGCAGCAACTCATAAGCTTTTGTCTGCACAACTGGATGAGACCGAAACAGAAGATGAACATCCAAGAACCCGTCCCACCTTTTTACACACCGGTTGCTCGTTATTTGTGGGGCAAAAGGTTCTGCGAAATATGAACCCTTTAAATGCCTTTCTATTCCCGCTGGGGTTTAATAAGAGACATCGTTTTGTTGATTTTACTTCCGTAAGATCAATGCAGGTGCCAACTTTGATCCGTTACAGGGCATTAACGAGAATTATAAGAAGAGGTTGGCTGCTGAATAAGGCCAAAGGTCCATCCAGTCTCACAGCGGTCAAAATTCCCCCCCTGCCCTGCTGTGTTGACCGGGATGCCCCAAGGAAAACCCAGAAGCTCTACTTCCCGGGAAAGCAAAGGATACAAGAGATGCCCGGCTGGATCAGACCAAGGGTCCATCTGAGTAAAATATTAGCCCCTGCTAGATGCCTCTGGAAAACTCAGAAAGAGGAGCTAAAAATACATGTCCTTTATACCTGAAGGAGCATCTCCACCCCCATCGTTCTGCCCGGACACGGAGGTCCAGCTCCGAGGGCCTTCTGGCGATTCCCTCACTGCAAGAAGTAAAGTTACAGAGAACCAGGCATAGGGCCTTCTTGGTGGTGGCGCCTGCCCTGTAGAACGCCCTCCCAGCAGATGTCAAGGCAATAAACAACTATTTTACTTCTAAAAGACACCTGTTTAGGGAAGTTTTTAATGTCTGTATTGTATTGTTTTTGATATTTGGTTGGAAGCCGCCCAGAGTGGCTGGGGAGACCCAGTCAGATGGGTGGGGTATAAATAAATTACAGTGGTACCTCGGGTTACAGACGCTTCAGGTTACAGACTCAGCTAATCCAGAAATATTACTTCGGGTTAAGAACTTTGCTTCAGGATGAGAACAGAAATTGGGCTCCGGTGGCGCGGCGGCGGCAGGAGGCCCCATTAGCTGAAGTGGTGCTTCAGGTTAAGAACAGTTTCAGGTTAAGAACGGACCTCTGGAACGAATTAAGTACTTAACCCGAGCTACCACTGTATTATTATTATTATTATTATTATTATTATTATTATTATTTATTAGATAATGGTCATCTCCTGATTCCCTTCAGCATCTGATACAGAACCAACGGAACCTAGAGGTTCTCAGTTTTACCTTCCGGTCCACCTTTGCTTTGGCATTGTAGAAGGAGACAGAATCCGGGCAGAACGGCAGGACTTCCTGCTGCATCCGCTCAAACCTCTCCTGTTCGTCTTCATCCTGGAAGGAGGAGAAGAAGAGAGGAATGCAAAAGCCAAGAATGAAATAGTGGGGCACACAGCAAATTTGACCTACCGGATGATGGGAAGCAGGGCCAGCCCGGGACATTTTGGCACTGGGAGGGGGGACACGCCACAAAACAGTGCCCTGCCCCACCAGGGGAGAAGTGGGAAGCAAAGAAAGTCTACCTGGCTGATGCATGCGCCAAATATCTCTAACTCCAAAGGAGGAGAAGTCATGGTCAAACAGATGCAGGGAGCCCTGAGAAGACTAGGACTAGCCGCCTGAGAAACAGTTTCTATCCAAATGCAATTTTGGTTTTAAACGCAGTGTAAGGTGGCCTCTGGGACGCGGGTGGCGCTGTGGGTTAAACCACAGAGCCTAGGACTTGCTGATCAGAAGGTCGGCGGTTCGAATCCCCGCAATGACGGAGTGAGCTCCCGTTGCTCGGTCCCTGCTCCTGCCAACCTAGCAGCTCGAAAGCACGTCAAAGTGCAAGTAGATAAATAGGTATCACTCCAGCGGGAAGGTAAACGGCGTTTCTGTGCGCTGCTCTGGTTCGCCAGAAGCGGCTTAGTCATGCTGGCCACATGACCCGGAAGCTGTACGCCGGCTCCCTCAGCCAGTAAAGCGAGATGAGCGTTGCAACCCCAGAGTCGGCCACGACTGGACCTAATGGTCAGGGGTCCCTTTACCTTTAAGGTAGTCTCTGTGGGAGTATATTGTATTTAATTATGGGGTATCAGAGTTTTTAGGGGGCTAACCAGGCTGGGATAGCAGGCTTGTTGGTTTTTGAATGTCTGATGTAGGTTTTTTTCAATTTCGTTGTTCTCTATGGGACAATGACAATAAAGATTATCGTATCGTATCGTTGCAACACCAAGCAGTGTGTAGTGGAGGGAGGAATCGGGAAAGACCTCCCTTTTCCCCTCTTATAAATCATGGTGTGTCCTTCAGAAGATAGGAAAGGTCATCTTCCCTTCAATGAATCTTGCACTGTGCATCGTGTGACACACACACAAACACATCCCTTTTCTCCCCCTCCTAAGGGCACAGGGATTCTTGCAAGAGATATCGGGGCTTTTCTGGGGCTGCAACAACTTGGCAGTTGCCAGTGTGGATCAGCTCTTGGGTCCCAACAGCTGATTAGCGCTTAGCAGCTGATCAGTGAAACAGGGTGAGGAAGGCCAAGGTATGCGTCTCGGCTTTACTTACCAGAGTTAGGACTCTGTTAATTGGGATCATGCCAAGTCTTATGGCTCCCCCAGGCCTTAAGGCTTCCTGGACCTCCTCTGGGATGAGGAAGGACTCATTGTACCAGATTTCGAATTCTGAAAGGAGGTGGGCATATGGTCAGTTATCTCCTATATCCTATATATTGCCTGTATTTTGTTTTTCTTTGTGTATTTTTCAAATCGCCTTTGAGCAACCAAGTCCATTTTGCCTGTCCGTAACCATCAGTCAAAACACGCAGGTCACACCATCCGCATGCTTGTTCTCTGAAAATTCACTTATCTGCACTTAAATAATTACACCCAAACCTCACTACGCTCTGCAGATTCACTTATCTAAACAGTCGACTTCCTTTTTTTGTGCTTTGCTGGTCAGTGGCAGCCGCTTTCAGTCAGAAAGCAGGAATAATAATGTAATAATAATAATAATTTATTATTTATACCCCGCCCATCTGGCTGGGTTTCCCCAGCCACTCTGGGTGGCTTCCAAGAGAATATTAAAATACAACAATCTATTAAACATTAAAAGCTTCCCTAAACAGGGCTGCCTTCAGATGTCTTCTAAAAGTCTGGTAGTTGTTTTCCTCTTTGACATCTGGTGGGAGGGAGTTCCACAGGGAGGGTGCCACCACCGAGAAGGCCCTCGGAGCTGGATCTCAGTGCAGTGGGCTGAACGATGGGGGTGGAGACGCTCCTTCAGGTCTACTGGGCCGAGGCCGTTTAGGGCTTTAAAAGTCAGCACCAACACTTTGAATTGTGCTCAGAAACGTACTGGGAACAAGAGCAGATGAATTGAAGAGCCAAAAAATCTGACAAATGAGGGAGGGGAGGTCAGGCAAATCAGTTTTTAAATTTTGCCTCTCTTTTACTGATAGGCTGCAGTGACTTCAGGAAGAAACCATGGAGCGGGTCGGGAGTGGACAAATTCTGCATTAGAAATGTCCCCTTAGGAAATAATGGAAATTGTGGACTTGTTGTGCGAACACTCTCCTAACAAATGATTTCCTGGGAATGCATAGTGTTCAGTAAGTGGGACCTGTGCATACTAAGGGCACTGTGATTCAAATTCCAGTCTGCTGCTATCATAATTTCTTTCAAGAATCTGGAACGTTTCATCTATTCCCCCAGAGTATTTTCAGGCCCTTCCGGTTTGGGGTTCTCTGTCTCTGCCTTATTCCAAGCCTCTGAAGATGCCTGGGGGTGCTGAACGCCGCCCTCCAACCAGCTAAAACCTTCTGGTTGTTCCAGCTACCGTATTTTTCGCTCTATAAGACGCACCAGACCACAAGACGCACCTAGTTTTTGGAGGAGGAAAGCAAGAAAAAAAATATTCCGAATCTCAGAAGCCAGAACAGCAAGAAGGATCGCTGCGCAGTGAAAGCAGAAATCCCTCTTGCTGTTCTGGCTTCTGGGATAGCTGCGCAGCCTGCATTCGCTCCATAAGACGCACACACATTTCCCCTTACTTTTTAGGAGGGAAAAAGTGAGTCTTATAGAGCAAAAAATACGGTATTTTTGACCTGAGGAAGCCTGCTATGAGACCAGCAACATATGGATTTCCTGTACTTCTGCCCAACAAGACCAACGCAGGCCATGTGCTAAGGCTTAGCGCATGCTCAGCGCACGCCAGGCTAGAAAGCGCATGCCAGGCCCTTTGCCCACCGGCAGTACCTGAGACCAGCCTGTTGCGGCACTGGTCCACTAGGTGCTGGCAATACTGGACTTCGGACCGGAGGTTCCGCAGCTCCTCGTAATCCACCCGGTACTGTTTCTTCAGGTCCTTCATCTTCATAATCAACATGAACTCCTCTTCGTCAATAATGATTTGTCCGTCCTCGCTCTGGTATTCTCCTGGAGGGTCGAAGAACAGAACAAAGTTTTACGGGTTGGGAGTGCACCTCAAAACCACGATGCCGTCCATCTCGTGGCGTACAGAGGAGTTGAAATCGCTTGTGAGCTTGCAAGCAATTTAGCAATCGCCTGGAAATCTCTTGGTTTAGTTAATGCGCATCAGCACATCTCCTGAGCTGATGCTTTGGAAGCGGGAAATGTCACAACAAGATTTAGAATATGAGTTGGGGGTGCAGATAACAAGTGATATATGGGAGTCATGTATAAAATCAACAGAAATAGCTTCTATAGATCTAAGACTTAAGACTTATTCAGCAGAAAATAATACTCAGAGTCCATTGGACGCCAGCAAAACCTTACCAGAAGAAAATAACAAATGCAGACAACTGCTGGAGATGTGGGAGTAAAAATGTGAACTTAGTACATATGATGATTGGCTGCCCGATGATAAGATCATTTTGGTGCGAGGTGAGGATATATATAGCAAGAGTAATTTTTAAAAAAAGTTATTTAGGGGATTTGAATTTAATTCTGAATTATATACCGGAAACGTGGGAGATTACAAGGGGTCAAAAAAAATGGATGTACCGTGCCATATTAGAAACAAAAAAACTTGTTCTGATGAATTGGAAGAGCCGCAAAAAGATCCCATTGAGCACATGGATTGACAACATGGACAGACTAGTTACATACGACCAAATTGCATATCGACGCCAATTAAGAATGGATAAATATGAAGAAATCTGGAAGGATTACTTAAGAGATAAGGCGGAAAGTGGTGGGAAGTAGGGGGAGGAGAGGTGGGGAAATGTTGTTAAAAAGGTCGAGTTATAGGTACAGTGGTGCCCCGCAAGACGAATGCCTCGCAAGACGGAAAACTCGCTAGACGAAAGAGTTTTCCGTTTTGGAGGTGCTTCGCAAAACGAATCTCCTATGGGCTTGCTTCGCAAGACGAAAATGTCTTGCGAGTTCCTGCATGTTTTTTTTCCTCCCCCCCCCTTTTTCTAAGCCGCTAAGCCGCTTATCCGATAAGCCGATAAGCCGCTAAAAGCGCTAATAGCGCTAAACCGCTAATGGGCTTGCTTCCCACGACGAAAAAACCGCTAGACGAAGAGAACGGATTCTTTTCGTCTTGCGAGGCACCACTGTATATCAGTACTCAAATCTGAATTGTTAAATTGTGTTCTTAGCGTTATTGTGGTTTTGGTTGTATGTGTTTTTTGTGGTCGCTGTTTGTGTTGAAAAAATGATTAAATAATTAAAACAACAACAACAACAGACTTCCCAAGAGGCTGGCCCACAATGACTTGGGTACAATCCCAGCATGATGTGGTTGGTGGCAGTCCGGCAGCCTATATGATGTCCTTCATTAGTTCTGCCTGTGCCGACTCCATTTCTTTTACTGTCCTCCACCTGCTCTTCTGTGAAAGCGGGGAGTCTGGGGAAAGCCCTGCCAGTTTCATCAATGCTGGTGAAACTGGAAACCAGTATAAACTTCGCCAGTGGCCTCTCTCCTCGCCACCCACTCGCCTGCTCTAAAGGATATGGGTGATAAAAAAAAAAACTGAGTGAAGATGGCGGCTGCCAGCAGCGAGAAGACCTTTGGATTGATTTGGCAGAAAAACCAGCGTGTGAGGAGATGCTGCAAACTTATGGAGGGGAATCATAGACATAAAATCCACACAGAAATACATCACTGTTTGTTTCAACTCGCTTGTGGGAACAACTCAGAGGCCGTGAAAGAAGGAAGGTTAACAACAGGAAGAATTAGAGGAACCATCAGAAATGACTATGAAAAGCAGTAGAGATACGAGATGATCAGAACCTTCCAAACTTGAAGCATGGGAAGCCCCATTAAAAAAATTATCATTTGGCAGAATATTTGGATTATTTGATATGTACATGTATAATTTGGAATATTTGATGTGATTTGATTGGATTGTCAAAGTGGAAAACTTAATAAAAATGATTTTTTTAAAAAAGATAAAAACAGATGGTTTTTCTTTTTGATTAACATTTTATTTGAGTAATTTCATTCATACAAAGATAAGAATGAGAAAAAAGAAAGAAAGCGAGAATGGGGGGTGGGGAATACTGTTACATTACCACATATTAATACACAGATGTCTCCCTATGTAACAATTTGGGCACCAAAACTACGGTTTCCTATTCTTACTGTCCTAATGCACACATAATTGTCAATAACCTCATATATTCTGTGTAAACTCATTCCAAATATCTTTGGGTTTATGGGAGGATGCATCAGGGAAATGGACCAGTTGTTCTGCCTTACCTTTCTCCAGAGCTAGGAGGTGGAGAAGGAAATAGAGAAGGAAAAGGAGGAAGACTCAGGTCAGGGTGACCAGCAAAAACGCTTCCACACAGAGGGAAAAGGCTAAAATGTGAAAAGGCCATTCCCAGGTGTGCTCGGCTAGAGAGAAAGGAGCGCTGAAAAATGCACTTTGGAATGAATTCTGAACACTGAACAAAAGATACATAAAGGTGGCGAAGACGCCTCTTCCTATTGGGCTAGGAATCTATTTAAGTACCTGGCCAGAGGCATATAAAACTGCATTTTTATCTGCCACACCAAGGCAGGGTGAGGGAGGAGGTTCAAGGGCACCTGAAGCTAAATTAAAAGGTAAAGCGACCCCTGACCATTAGGTCCAGTCGTGACCAACTCTGGGGTTGTGGCGCTCATCTCGCTTTATTGGCCAAGGGAGCCGGCGTACACGTGGCCAGCATGACTAAGCCGCTTCTGGCGAACCAGAGCAGCGCACGGAAACGCCGTTTACCTTCCCGCTGGAGTGGTACCTATTTATCTACTTGCACTTTGACGTGCTTTCCAACTGCTAGGTTGGCAGGAGGTGGGACCGAGCAACAGGAGCTCACCCCGCCGCGGGGATTCGAACCGCCGACCTTCTGATCAGCAAGTCCTAGGTTCTGTGGTTTAACCCACAGCGCCACCCGCGTCCCTGGAAGCTAAATTCCCGTACATATTGGAAATGAGTCTCTCATCTCCCCATTTCCGCAACAACTTGTGATTTTAAAAAAATCCACGTAAAAATTCACTGTGTTAGGGGCGATTTCTCCTAATGAACACATTGTGGTATGCGGTTTCGACAATCACATTTCTTCAAGTGATTGCCCTTAATATAATACATCTAAGAATGTCGTTTCCCCCTGAATTTGTAACTTGGCGGGAGGACTGCATTGCAGAATCTGGAGAAAGGAATTTTGGAGAACTTCAGTTCTCAGACTGCTTCTGAAAGCGTGACTTAGGTAGGTTCTCGTTTAAACGCAAACCAAATCGAATTTCTTTCCCCTCCCTAGTTGGCAGGCATGGCACGGCATCTCTCCCCGCCCCAGCATTAACATGAGTCTCTCCCGCTCTCGGGGTTGGACTAGATGACCCTCGGGTCCCTTCCAACTCGTAAGATTCTCTGACGCAGCCCAGGCCCTGCTCACCCTGCTGATCGCGTTCAGCTTTCTGGACGTCCAGTGCCTGCTTGATGTTGTCCATCTCCGTTTTGAGCACGTTGATTCTCTGGGCAACCTCGTTCATTTTGCCTTTGCGGTCATTCAGGATGGCTTTGTTCTCCTTGAATATCCGGTTGATTTCGCTGCCGCGCTCGTTCTTGAACTCCTCAAAGGCTGCTGTCTTTGCAGGTGGGGAACTGTTTCCAAAGAATAATAATAATAATAATAATAATAAATTTTATTTATACCCAGCCAAGACCGGGCTCAGGGCGGCTAACACCTGATATAAAAGCAAACTGATTAAGATACAACTTAAAAACAAGATTGAAATACAACATCAAAACATTAATATGGTAAAATGCACCCTCATTTCAATGGAAACTCAGATCAAAAACTTTTTTGGGGGATGAAAACGTCAAGTCAAGAAGAGAAGGACAATTAAAAAAAAACCCCAGCCATTGCAAGCCAGAGGTGGTATGTGTGTATGTTTGTGTGTGTTGACCATTTGGGACATTCTGTGGGGAGTCATGAATTTCCCTACAGAGCCAGGAGGAAAATAAACCCTTCAGGGCATAGGGTGGGAAAAGGCTGAGCTTTGAGGCTGGTGATAAGCCCCTTAAGAGTCTGCCTGAGTCAGAATCATAGAGTTGGAACCAAGAGTCTTTGCAATGCGCTCTATGTGGGGCTACCTTTGAAGGTGACCCTGAAATTACAACTAATCCAGAATGCAGCAGCTAGACTGGTGACTGGGAGTGGCCGCCAGGACCATATAACCTTGGTCCTGAAAGACCTACATTGGCTCCCAGTACGTTTCCGAGCACAATTCAAAGTGCTGGTGCTGACCTTGAAAGCCCTAAACGGCCTCGGTCCAGTATACCTGAAGAAGTGTCTCCACCCCCATCGTTCAGCCCAGACACTGAGGTCCAGCGCCGAGGGCCTTCTGGCAGTTCCCTCGCTGTGAGAAGCCAAGTTACAAGGAACCAGGCAGAGGGCCTTCTTGGTGGTGGCACCCGCTCTGTGGAACGCCATCCCACCAGATGTCAAAGAGAAAAACAACTACTAGGCTTTTAGAAGACATCTGAAGGCAGCCCTGTTTAGGGAAGCTTCTAATGTTTAATAGGTTACTGTATTTTAATATTCTGTTGGAAGCAACCCAGAGTGGCTGGGGAAACCCAGCCAGAGGGGTGGGGTATAAATAATAAATTATTATTATTATCATCTTGTCCAACCCACCCCCTAAAATGCAGGAATCAGCTAAAGCATCCATGACAGATGGCCATCCAAACTCTGTTTAAAAACCTCCAATGAAGGAGAGTCCACAACCTCCTGAGGAAGTCGGTCCCACTATTGAACTGCTCTTACTATGAGAAAGTTCTTGCTGGTGTTGAGTCAGAATCTCCTTCCTTGGAACTTGAAGCCATTGGTTCGAGTCCTACCCTCCACAGCAGGAGAAAACAAGCTCACTCCCTCTTCCATGTGACATCCCTTAAGACGGTGATGGGCAAACTTGGCCCTCCAGCTGTATTGGGACTACAACTCCCATCATCCCTAGCTAACAGGGCCAGTGGTCAGGGATGATGGGAGTTGTAGTCCCAAAACAGCTGGAGGGCCAAGTTTGGCCATCGCTGCCTTAAGATATTTGAAGATGGCTCTCCTATCTCCTCTCAGTCTCCTCTTTTCCAGGCTAAACATACCCAACTCCTTCAACCGTTCCTCATAAGGCTTGGTTTCCAGACCCCTGATCATCTTGGTCATCCTCCTCTGCACACGTCCCACCTTGTCAATATTCTCCTTAAATTGTGGCGCCCAGAGATTTCTGAAACTGGAGTGTCCAGTACTGGACACAGGACTGCAGGTGGGGTCTGACCGAGGCAGACTAGAGCAATACTATTACTCCCCTTGGTCTGGCTTTGAGTGAATTTGAACTATAAAAACGGTGTGTGTGTGCAGGCGCAGAGATGGTGGTTATCCCCACCATCAGTTTTTGGAACAGCACCCTAGTCGGCTACAGACAGGGCTCACGACCTTCCTAAGAGGCAAAAAACCAACCTGGGCCTCGTGCTGGGCTCCTCTCTTGGCGCAGAGTCAGAGCGATGGGTCTCGAAGCTGACGGCGTCCTGCTCGCGGATCAAGCCCTCCCTTGCCTCCGGGTCCTTGGTAACTGCCCCTACCTGGCTGCGGGAAGGAGAAAGGGTCTCCAGGTCCTTCCCAGAAAGAGGACTTGCCAAGCCTTCCTTCTTCAGAGTGGGGCTGGGAAAGAAGAAGAGGGCAACGTTTTATGGCCGGATCCAGGGCTGAGCTTGAGCTCCACTGAGGCCGTGACCTGACCCTTCCTCAGCAAAACTGGGAGGTGCTCAGCTCTAGTTTGGGGCACTTGAGGATGCAGCTTTGAGGACCAGCACCCAAAGCTGGCCAAAGGGAAGACCGGTGATGAAGAGATCAAAAGTCCTGCAAGAGCTTTCCAGTCCTCTGGGAGCCTTTGGTGCCTCTGAAAGGGGGCATATTACCGTATTTTTCGCTCCATAAGATGCACCTAGTTTTTAGAGGGGGAAAGCTAGGAAAAAAAATTCTTTAAAGGGAGCACTGAGCAGAGCCCGTATGCATCCCAGGCTCTGCCCAGCGCTCCCTTTCACAAGCCGCGTGGAGCGTGTGTGCGGCTCTTGCTGGTTTTTGCGGGAGGTGGGGGAAGGGACAGAGGGCAGCCCATCAGTCCCTTCCTCCACCTCCCGGAAAAGCCCCCAAGAGCCGCGCTCCCTTTAAAGAGCCGTGTGGAGTGTGTGTTGGGGGCTTTTCCCTGAGGAGGGAGAAGGGACTGATGGGCTGCCCTTCTCCCTCCTTGGGAAAAGCCCCCAAGAGACGCACACACGCTCCATGCGACTCTTTAAAGGGAGCGCTAAGCAGAGCCTCCCGCTTGCATTCGATCCATAAGACGCACACATATTTCCCCTTACTTTTTAGGAGGGAGAAAGTGCGTCTTATGGAGCGAAAAATACGGTATATACAGTTCTCAGAGCCAGGACCAGAGAATTGTAGAGTTGGAAAGGACCCAAAGGACAATCTAATCCAGCCCCCTGCAATGCATGCTCCGCCATCAGGAGCGAGCCAGCAATAAAGAAACAGGATCTGCTCAGGAGTGTCAGGCCTAATGAGGACAGCAGCTCTTCTCAGAAAGTCTTGCCCCTATGAGGCACTTGTGCAGACTGAAGGCCTTCCCACAGCTGCCTAAGTCTCCTCCTCTCCCGGATCTTTCACAAGCAACCCTAGACGATGCCGGCATGTCTGCCTTTGCTCCTCCCACCTCATGCCTCTCTGGGTTCTGGGAGACCAGTGAGGAGGAGACACCCATGCTTCTTCATCAGCCTGATTCAACTCTGCCTCTTGGCCTCCATCATTCCACTCTCCTGTTTCTGCTTCTGGACTCCCTTCTGCCACATTCTCCCAGCCCACTAAGCCCTCTTACCTCTTCAGCTTCTGACACCGCCTATTCCCAGTCTTCCCACCACCACCACTCCCTTGGCTCCGAGCTTTCTTCCCTTAGGGGGTCCCCCCAGCTGGTTCCTCCCACCATTCCTCTGCGTCCAATCAGTCCAGGACACCTGCTCTGTTCAAGACTTGCTCTGTTCCGATGCCTCCCAATTCAGGGATCAGAAAGATACATGATTCTCCCTGGCCACCTCCTTTCCCCTTATTTTGTGCAATCCAGCACGCTCCTAAAGGAGCGTCTCCACCTCCATCGTTCTAGCCGGACACTGAGGTCCAGCTCCAAGGGCCTTCTGGCAGTTCCCTCCCTGCAAGAAGTGAGGTTACAGGGAACCAAGCAGAGGGCCTTCTCAGTGGTGGCACCCGACATGTGGAACACCCTCCCACCAGATGTCAAAGAGAAAAATAACTACCCAATTTTTAGAAGACATTTGAAGGCAGCCCTGTTTAGGGAAACTTTTAATGTTTAATAAGGGACGCGGGTGGCGCTGTGGGTAAAAGCCTCAGCGCCTAGGGCTTGCCGATCGAAAGGTCGGCGGTTCGAATCCCCGCGGCGGGGTGCGCTCCCGTTGCTCGGTCCCAGCACCTGCCAACCTAGCAGTTCAAAGGCACCCCCGGGTGCAAGTAGATAAATAGGGACCGCTTACTAGCGGGAAGGTAAACGGCATTCCGTGTGCTGCGCTGGCTCGCCAGATGCAGCTTGTCACACTGGCCACGTGACCCGGAAGTGTCTCCGGACAGCGCTGGCCCCCGGCCTCTTGAGTGAGATGGGCGCACAACCCTAGAGTCTGTCAAGACTGGCCCGTACGGGCAGGGGTACCTCTACCTTTACTAATGTTTAATAGGTTACAGTGGTACCTCGGGTTACATACGCTGCAGGTTACATACGCTTCAGGTTACAGACTCCGCTAACCCAGAAATAGTACCTCGGGTTAAGAACTTTGCTTCAGGATGAGAACAGAAATCGTGCTCTGGCAGCACGGCAGCAGCAGGAGGCCCCGTTAGCTAAAGTGGTGCTTCAGGTTAAGAACAGTTTCAGGTTAAGAACGGACCTCTGGAATGAATTAAGTACTTAACCCGAGGTACCACTGTATTGTATTTTAGTGTTCTGTTGGAAGCTGCCCAGAGTGGCTGGGGGTATAAATGGGCAGGGTATAAATAAATTATTATTATTATTATTATTATTATTATTATTATTATTATTATTAATCTGCAGTGAGGGGGCACAGAGAAGCCCTGGTGTTGCCCACACCGGCTCCTGCCTCTCGGCCACAGGAGGGTCCACAACCCAGCTGCCAACCCCCCAACCCCGCCACTACAGCAGGCAGAGAAGCAATGCTCAGGGGTCCGCATTTGCCACGGCCCACGGGAGCGTAAGAAATCCGACCCGAAGACGCCTGACTGTGGGAACAGGAGGGTACCAACCTGACTTGCTCCTTGCCTCGCTTTGCTTTCGTTTTCTTCCCTCCGGGCTTGGATGAGAAAGGAGCGACTCCGATGCCAAATCCTTGCCCGTCAACTTCCCCAACCAGGTGGCCTTCGGCATCGACCAGTCCTGCCTGGCGACAGTGGAGATCAGAGGGGCTGTTAAGCGGTTTCAAATCTCTGCCCCTGGAATCTGCAGCTGGGATTCCACTCGTTGGGAAATGTGCTGCCTCCCCAGCAACTTACATACACACACACAAGCCAAACTCCGAGGACATCAGAACATGAGAAGAGAGGTGCTTATTATGGGATGTTTGCGAGCAGGATCCGAGCGTGAGGGCCCACTGTCTCCTGCAGTTTCTGGCAACGGGCATTCAGAAGCAATTGCCGCCTCTGTTTTTAGGATACCAGGATTATTCAGTCGAATGGGATTGCATGGGTTTAAATTTGGGAGGCAGGTTAGGAGTGGAAATTGGCCGGGACACGGAAACACTGAGCTTTAGAGAACCGTGTTTTTCTGATGTGGACAAACAGAGCCATCTGAAATGCGTGGCCTGCAAAATATTGCCGGGCTGCAATGCCTCTCATAAGTTTTCCGGGGTGGGCCTTGAAGTGGAACCAAATATAGGAGAATTAAAATGCAAATGCTGAACCTCGCTCTGGGCTCCAGCCCAATGATCTCGGTTTCCCTCTCTCTCCCTTCCTCCTTCTCTCTCTCACACACGTGTGCTAGTGCACAAACACCAACCTTTTGAACTGCAGACAGGGTTGCGTAGTCGTTTTTGTCTATCAGGGTGTATTTATTTCGCAGCCTGGCTTCCACTTCCTGCTCTTGCTGGCTAAAAAAGAGAAACATGCAACAAGATTTACCAGCTATCGAAGAAGGGCAGATGAAGATGATGGACTATATGGAACTTGCCGAACTGACTGGGAGACTCCGAGACCAGAGAGAAGAGATGGTGGAAGAAGATTGGAAGAAGTTTAAAGAATCTTTGAAAAAATATGTTAATATTTAAATCTTAGAATAGCTTTGGAAGTGGATATAGGCTGTAGGGTCAGAAGCAGAAGATAGTGTATTTTAAAAGAGTATTATTTGTAAGTGAATAAAATGTGAAGATTTTTATGGTAAAAGTAAGTGTGGTTTAAAAAATGGTTAAAAATTATGATACAGTGGTACCTCGCAAGACGAATGCCTCGCAAGACGAAAAACGTGCAAGACGAAAGAGTTTTTCGTTTTTTGAGTTGCTTCGCAAGACGAATTTCCCTATGGGCTTGCTTCGCAAGACGAAAAGCGAAAAAAACGAAAACGTCTTGCAAGTTTGTTTCCTTTTTCTTAAAACCGTTAATACCCAGGGTGACATCGAGGAGCAACTCATAGCATGCGGTGTGGTAGCCTTTTTTGAGGTTTTTGAAGACTTTGGTGATTTTGAAGACTTTGGGAAACCGTGCTTCGCAAGACGAAAAAACTCGCAGAACGAATTAATTTCATCTTGCGAGGCACCACTGTACTGTATATGTAAATCAGATAGGGGGACTTGGGGAAGCTCACCTAACAATGTTTAGAAAAAATAAGGATAAGACAATAATTTGTTTGTATTGTTTGTTTTTCTGTTTGTGTTGTTCAGTTGTGTTATAAAATGAATACATTTTTTGGGGGGGGGGAGAGAAACATGCACCCATACCGTTGGGCTGAGCTGTCGTGGCTGCCTCCTGCACCCGCTACCCCTGCTCCACCGTCTCCCAGGACCAGGAGAGGATTGAAGCGGGAGGAGAAAAAGGCGGGTGGCACGCAAGTGTAGTCTTTGCCTGCCTGAGCACAGCTTGGTGGTGGGGGAGATGCGCAAGTCGAGGTCAGGGTCTCTCTGTTGCGGCAACTGCCTCATTGGGTGCACACCTGTGCTGGTCCCGGGGGGAAGGTTACCGTTGGCGTAGTCAAAGTCCAGTCCTGGGTCACTGGTCTGGAAACAGTTCACAAGGAGCGAGGCGAGGTCCGAAGCAGGAAGCCGGGCGGGGACAGGATCACTGGAAGGTCAGGTCTGGGTCCGGGCAAGAGCAGGTACTCAACGACGTTGCTCCCGCAACCTGGGACCGGGCTGACTGGCCTTTATCTTCTCTGAGGCCAGGGGCGGCCCCGGCCCCCAGGAGACCTGCCTCTCCTGGCCTTAAAGCGAGCACTCCTCCTGGAAGAAACCAGTTCCCTTCGCCTCTCTGCCCTGAGCCTCTGCAGTTCAGGAGAGGCTGAAGGGTTACTGGACCCAGGGGGAGACTCACCTGTAGGCACTGAGTCCTCAACCACCTCCGGAGCCAGAGTGGATTCACCTGGTGCCTGCTCCTGAGGATCCGGCACAGGTGCAGGTGCTTCAGAATCAAGGCCCTGCCCCAGTTCAGCCGGCCCTGGAGGCGGGGACTCCTGTGCAGGCTGGGATTCCTCCGGTTCAGCCTCTGAATCGGATTCCCAGGCCATCACAACACCTAGAAGGAGCTGAGACATAGGACTGATGGGCATGCCTTTCCCTAACTTGCAAGTGTTAGAATTCCTGCTCCATGATTGCAGTCATGGGACTTTTGTCTTTCACATGACGGTATATGTTTTGACTCCACAGAGTGGGAAGTGATGGAGACAGGATGTTTGTGTTACTGTGTTCCGTGAAGTGGGACTCTTGTCCTTTGTTCTTTTTCCCTTTGCTGTCTGATGCTAGAGAGAGAGGGAGCCATGTTACAGTGCTCCGTGTGTGTTCATATGTAAATAAAGTAGATTAGCCAAAATGCTGAGTTGCTGAGGTCTGCCACGCAATGCTGTGAAGACTCTGTAGATCCCTAAGTGTGCCGGTGTCTGTGGACATCGGTCGCTGTGATGTTCGGGCTGAAGAAAGCTTTTGAAGCTCCTGAACGATCGACCAGGAGGGAGAGAACATGCCAGTCGGGCATGTGTCTCTACCAGAGTCCTACTTGAGTGTAGGACAAGCTCCTGACAGCAAGTGTACTTTTGACAATAAAGAGTTAATTCCTTCCTCTGGACATGCCTAGCCTGAGAGCGCAACAGGTACAGCATGGGGAGAAGATATGGCCAGAGAGAAACATGGCAGCTGAACCTGAGGTTCATAACCCTAGTTCTAGAGAATGAATGGAGGTTGTGTCTGTGCGTCCATGAAATACAGTGCTACCTCGGGTTACATACGCTTCAGGTTACAAACTCCACTAACCCAGAAATAGTACCTAGGGTTAAGAACTTTGCTTCAGGATGAGAACAGAAATCGCGCGGCAGCAGCAGGAGGCCCCATTAGCTAAAGTGGTGCTTCAAGTTAAGAACAGTTTCAGGTTAAGAACGGACCTCCAGAATGAATGAAGTTCTTAACTTGAGGTACCACTGTATACCCTAACACAGCCTTCCCCAACTTGGTGCCCTCCAGACTTTTTGAACTACAACTCCCATCAGCCCCAGCAAGCATGTCCAATAGTCAGGGATGGTGGGAGTTGTACTGCAAAACCATGGTTGGGGAAGGCTTCCCTAACAAATACCAAGCAGATGTGATGTTCTGCGGGAAAACAGCTGGGTGAAGAGAAGCAATGCGAGGCACCAGCTGGGGAACCTCCAAGCGAAAACCTAGAGGAGGGAGACTCAAGAGCCAGGGGGTTGGTGGTGGGACACCGAGGAGAGGTCAGAGGGAGAAGATTGGTGGAAGGAGGTGTCGGAAGCTGAAGGGACAATAGGCTTTAGTGAGCAGGAAGAGCCTGTGACAGGGAGCAGTGCAGACTCCGAGGCTGAAGCGGAGGAGCGGGGCCAAGAGACTGCAGAAAAATCCAGGGAGTCTTCCCCTCCTGCTGCGACAAGCTCCCCTCCCTGCTGGTCTCCAAGGAAGTGCAGAAGAGCAGGATGAGGAGGGCGGAACAGAGATCAGAGCTGTGCAGACACAGTTTGATAGTGCTTGGGAAACTTCCAGGAGAGGAGTCATCTTAAGGGTGGTAGAGGAGGGGTCCTTCAGTTCTGGCAACTGCTCCATAAAGGCAAGACCTGCTGGGAAGGGTTGCTGAGACCACGAGGCTGAATAAAGCGTTAACTTCACTGGCATCGAAGATGTGCTTTCTTTCTCGCTGGCCTGCGTCCGACTCCAGCCCTGACAACGGCATCGTAGGTGGAGGCCGTGAGTGAGAATTACGAACACCAGTGAAGGGTTTCTAAGTGCAGGCGTCAGCGGAATGTAAGCACAGGCAAGCCAAAGCACTTACCCCAAGATCATTTTGAACTGGTTGAATATTTCGTGGATTTGTCTGATGCTCAAAATCTGGCAAAGCAGAGGGAATGACATAATGAGGCAGGCAGTCTGGCCGACGTTTCCAAATGTTTCACGGTAAAATGAGAGCAGGGGTCAGCCAACTTTTTCAGCAGGGGGCCGGTCCACTGCCCCTCAGACCTTGTGGGGGGCCGGACTATATTTTGAAGGGGGGGGAGAACCGAATTCCTATGCCCCGCAAATAACCCAGAGATGCATTTTAAATAAAAGGACACATTCTACTCCTATAAAAACACGCTGATTCCCAGACCGTCCGCGGGCCGGATTTAGAAGGTGATTGGGCCGGATCCGGCCCCGGGGCCTTAGTTTGCCTACTCATGAATGAGAGGGTCAAATTAGCTTCCTGCTGAGGTACCCGGTTGGCCGCTATGAGAAGAGGATGTTAGATGAGGGGCCTTTGGCCTGATCCTGCAGCCAGACTGTGTTTATCTCCCCTTAATCCGTATGGCCCTGCCTTGGGCCTCACTGCTTCCGAATGAGCAAGAAACTATGATTTGCCCAACCCATCTCTGAAGACACCCCCTGGATCTGCAAGATGACAACTACAGAGGTACCTCTGGTTGCGAACAGGATCCGTTCCGGAGGGGACAGGATCCGTTCACAACATGTGTTATGTACTGAAGTTCTCACCCTGGGCCAGCAGAGGGATATTGTAGATAGTTATGCAAATGAAGGATCGAAAGTGACGTTCAGTGATTGGATAGTTTTAGAAAGTTGTTACAGTAACAAGGTACTGGAGCTCTATATAAGCAGGCTGACTGAGCCCTTCAGTTCAGTTCTGTTCTGGCATCTGAATAAAGAGCTGTTTGAAGAATCGCTGTGTCAACAACATGAGCAGAATGCAACCCACGTCTGCGCATGCGAGGGTCGCGATTCGCTGCTTCTGCACGTGCGCGTGACATCATTTTGCATGTCTGCGCATGTGCGAGCGACGAAACCCAGAAGTAACCCTTTCCGGTACTTCTGGGTTGCCGCGGGTCGCAACCTGAAAACGCGCAACCTGAAGCAAACGTAACGTGAGGTATGACTGTACGTACATCTAACTCATCTATGGTTCCATCGAGGTAACGGCGGACTTGAGAGCTGATCTCTGCCACCTGGATTTCATTCAGGGGCTCGTAAGACACTGGAGGTCGGTTGAGCTGCAAATGTAAGAGAACAGAAGGTCAGCAGTTAGGTGACGGGAGAGGCAGGCCCATCCCTGTTCTCCATAACGCTAGAAGTTCTCTTGGCCATGCCAAAATCACTTTCCGTCCAATGCTTCATAGAATTGTAGACTTGGAAGGCCCCCCCAAGATCCTCTAGTCCAGCCTCTCTCAACCTGTAGGTCCCCAGATGCTGTTGAACTACAACTCCCATCACCCCTATCTAGCAAGGATAGAGCTCAGGGATGATGGGAGTTGTAGTCCAACAACATCTGGGGACTCACGGGTTGAGAACCGCTGCTCTAGTCCAACCCAATGCAGGGATCTCAGCTAAAGCATCCATGACAGATGGCCATCACTTCAAAATCTCCAAGGAAGGAGAGTCCACAACCTCCCGAGGGAGTTGGTTCCACTGTCTAACTCAGGGGCCGGCAAGGTTTACCTCGCCTCGGCCAGTTTACTCCAGCAGACATCCCTCTGTGGGCCAGATGATGTGCGCGGCCTCAATTTCTGGCAACTGCGCACAGGCGATTTTCAGCGTCTGAGCATGCGCAGACGCGATTTCCGGCACTGCGGAAGCGAGTTCCTGCACTGCGCTGATTTTTTAAATATATATACACTTTTATTAGTTTTTGTAACATATCATTTCCAACAATCATATAACATAGCTTCTTATCTTATACAATATTTTAGACTTCTGTCATCACCTCTGAAGATTTTCCGTTCTTTATCACTTATTCTGCATTTCTTAATTTCTCTATTACTCTTAATTATCATTAACTAATAATTCTCCTCACAGTCTTTCTTGCAATATTTCAGATAGTCCTCCTTACAGAACTTCTTGCAGTCCTACTAGCGTAATCTGTTCACTATAATTGCTTTTCAAATAGTTTATATATTTACTCCAGTCTTCTAAGAATCTCTGGTCCTGCAGGTTTTGAATCCTTCCTGTTAATTTATCCAATTCTGCATAGTCCATCATGCGCTGCGCTGATTTAGCGCAGTGCGCGGGGACTCACCGAGTGGGTGGCTCGGTTTGGGGGCGGCTTGTGGGCTGGTGAAATGACCTTCGTGGGCTGCTTGTGGCCATGGGCCTTAGGTTGCCTAACCCTGGTTTAACAGCTCTCACTGCCAGAAAGTCCTTTCTGATGCTTCGTTGGAATCTCATCTTGTAACTTGAATTCATTGCTTCGAGTCCTACCCTCCAGAGCAGGAGAACACAAGTTTGCTCCATCTTCCATGGCACAGCCCTTGAGATATTTGAAGATGGCTATTATCTCTCCTCTCAGCCTGCTCTTTTCCAGGCTAAACATACCCAGCTCCCTCAACCATTCATCCTAAGTCTTGGTTTCCAGACCCTTAATCATTTTGGTTGGCTGTCTCTGCACCTGTTCTAGCATCTCAACCTCCTCCTTAAATTGTGTGCCCAGAATGTCATTAGGCGGTGAGGACCACAGCCATCTTTCCCCACTCCCCAAAAGAGAACTGCACAACCTTCTACTGCTTGCCTAAAGGTAGGACCATCTACACACCATGGAGAAGACAGCTGGAATAACTATTAGCATTTATGGCACTTTAGAGCATGCAAAGCATCTCAAAGACATTAGCTTGCTGCAGAATTTACAACAGCAATGTACGATAAAAGCTGGAGCAACTGTTTGCACACAGAAGGTCGCAGGTTCAATCCCTGTCATCTCCAGGTAGGACCAGAAATTGAATTGGTCTGACCTGATATACAGCATCTTCCTTAAATAGCTGAGTGATATCACCAGGCTGCGGCAGATGAGGCAGGGCAGAACCCAAGAGAATGACCAACCCACTGAAGTTACGGCAAACACAAGATCTGGACCAGGGTCTTCCTGAGTCATAGCTCAGTCTCTTAGTCATTGCACTATACCAACCAGTCTTGTAGCAAAAGGCTGGCCATTATGATGTGTGCGTGTTGCTTGTTTCTATGGCTGGACAACTGCAGTGCAAAATTCGGAGAAATCTGAATTTCAATAATAATAATAATGTATTCTTTGTACCCCGCCCATCTGGCTGGGTTTCCCCAGCCACTCTGGGTGGCTTCCAACAAAGATTAAAAATACATTAAAATGTCACACATTAAAATACAATAACCTATTAAACATTAACAGCTTCCCTAAACAGGGCTGCCTTCAGATGTCTTCTAAATGTCAGGTAGTTGTTTATCTCTTTGACATCTGGTGGGAGGGCGTTCCACAGGGCGGGCACCACCACCGAGAAGGCCCTCTGCCTGGTTCCCTGTAACTTGGCTTCTTGCAATGAGGGAACCGCCAGAAGGCCCTCGGCGCTGGACCTCAGTGTCCAGGTAGAACAATGGGGGTGGAGACGCTCCTTCAGGTATACTGGACCGAGGCTGTTTAGGGCTTTCAAGGTCAACACCAACACTTTGAATTGTGCTCGGAAACGTACTGGGAGCCAATGCAGATCTCCCAGGACCGGTGTTATGTGGTCTCAGCAGCCGCCCCCAGTCACCAATCTAGCTGCCGCATTCTGGATTAGTTGTAGTTTCCGGGTCACCTTCAAAGGTAACCCCACATAGAGTGCATTGCAGTAGTCCAAGCGGGAGATAACTAGAGCATGCACACCTCTGGCGAGACAGTCTGTGGGCAGGGAGGGTCTCAGCCTGCGTACCAGGTGGAACTGGTAGACAAAGGACAGCTCTGCTTTGCTTCGTATATTGTTTTGGATTTGGCAGATTTGCCTTTAAATGTGAATCAAATTCTCCCCCACTCCCCAGGGCCAGGAGAAAAGTGGCTAAGAACAGTTTATGGGGAGGAGGGAGAGAAGCACGGTCCAGCTGCCCACCCCACGTTGTGTATTAAAGTTTCCTCACCATCCCTTTATCGGTAGGTGGCCCAATCTGGGTTGGGTGATGCTACCATCATAGAGCTGGAAGGGAGTACCAACGATCATCTAGTCCAACTCCCGGAAATGCAGGAATCACAGCTAAAGAATCATAGAATCATAGAATCATAGAGTTGGAAGAGACCACAAGGGCCATCGAGTCCAACCCCCTGCCAAGCAGGAAACACCATCAGAATCACAGAATCATAGAGTTGGAAGAGACCACAAGGGCCATCGAGTCCAACCCCCTGCCAAGCAGGAAACACCATCAGAATCACAGAATCACAGAATCATAGAGTTGGAAGAGACCACAAGGGCCATCGAGTCCAACCCCCTGCCAAGCAGGAAACACCATCAGAATTACAGAATCACAGAATCATAGAGTTGGAAGAGACCACAAGGGCCATCGAGTCCAACCCCCTGCCAAGCAGGAAACACCATCAGAGCACTCCTGACATATGGTTGTCAAGCCTCTGCTTAAAGACCTCCAAAGAAGGAGACTCCACCACACTCCTTGGCAGCAAATTCCACTGCTGAACAGCTCTTACTGTCAGGAAGTTCTTCCTAATGTTTAGGTGGAATCTTCTTTCTTGTAGTTTGGATCCATTGCTCCGTGTCCGCTTCTCTGGAGCAGCAGAAAACAACCTTTCTCCCTCCTCAAGAATCCTTGAGAGGCCGTCATTTTGAAAGCCTAACTGCGTCCCCAGAGGCTGATTCTCACCAAGCTGTTGTGCATGGCCAGCTCCTCCTTCAGGTAAAGGACTTCTTTTTCCAGAATTTTCACCATTCGCTAAGCAAAGGGAGAGAATGAAAGGTGAGAATGAAGCGGGAAAGAGAGAGAGAAGTAGAAAGTTCCAGAGCTGTGTTTCAGTTTCCAGTCCTTCCTGGTTGCCGCCATCACCCCTACTCTACCTCAGCCAGCAAGAAGAGATTTATATTGCTATATTTCTTCTAGTTCTTCTATTTTTATTGCAGAAATTAAGAAACAGCCTTCCAGTGCATTTGCAGTAATCAGGGTGACTTACAACTATTGAAGGGATGCGGGTGGCGCTGTGGGTTAAACCACAGAGCCTAGGGCTTGCCGATCAGAAGGTCGGAGGTTCGAATCCCCGTGCGAGACCCTCACCCACGGACCATGTGCAGGTAGGGTCTCACAGCCCAAGCAGTTAGTGACCCCATTCACTTCCTACTGTTTAGGAAAGTTTTTTAATGACTGATGTTTTAATGTATTTTTAATCTCTTGTTGGAAGCTGCCCAGAGTGGCTGGGGAAACCCAGCCAGATGGGTGGGGTATAAGTAATAAATTATTATTATTATTATTATTATTATTATTATTACAGTCATACCTCATGTTACGGACGCTTCAGATTACGTCTTTTCAGGTTGCGTCCCGCAGCAACTCGGAAGGGGTTACTTCCAGCTTTCGCCGCTCGCACATGCACAGAAGTGCTAAATCGCACTTTGTGCATGAACACAAACACCAAATTGCACCGCGCACCTGCGCAGATACAGCAATTCAGGCTGAGCTCTTTTCAGGTTGTGAATGGGCCTCTGGAACGGATCCCATTTGCAACCAGAGGTATCACTGTATTATTATTATGGTAAGGTAAAGGCAAAGGACCCCTGGACGGTTAAGTCCAGTCAAAGGTGACTCTGGGGTTGTGGCGCTCATCTCACTTTCAGGCCGAGGGAACCAGCGTTTGTCCACAGACAGCTTTCCGGGTCATGTGGCCAGCGGGACTAAACCGCTTCTGGCGCAACGGGACACTGTGACGGAAACCAGAGCAGCACACAGAAACGCCGTTTACCTTCCTGCCACAGCAGTACCTATTCATCTACTTGCACTGGTGTGCTTTCGAACTGCTAGGTGGGCAGGAGCTGGGACCGAGCAATGGGAGCTCACCCCGTTGCAGGGATTCGAACCGCCGACCTTCTGATCAGCAAGCCCAAGAGGCTCGGTGGTTTAGACCACAGCGCCACCCACGTCCTACTAACCACTCATCCACTGACCAAACCTTTCTTCCCAGCCAGCCAGCCAGTGGAATTGCCCGCAAAGGGCGGCACCTACCTCTGGGTTGATTTTTTCGTTCACAATTGGCTCAGTGGTCACCCATTTCATTCTGGTAGCAAAACGCAGCGTGGACAGCTTAAGAGAAATGAATGTGACTTAGCAATTGTTCTGGAGTCAAGAAAACCATGCCCAAGAGCCTATCTGAATGCCAAGTAATAGATGTAACTATAATTATTTTGATTTCTTATCTGCCCTTCACCACAAGGTTCCAGTGCCAGGGGATGGGGCGGAATCCTTGCCCACCTGTCAAAGCGGGCTAAGGAGGCTGATCCAGTTTCCCACCCTTGCTTTTTAAGGGGCTTGGAAATGGACTGACATGTTAATGTATAAGAGTTTATGCAGAGAAAAAAGGACAGAAAAGATGTTAAGTTAGGTGTGCTCAGTGCTTTTTTTCTGGGGGGATGCAGGGGTACGCATACTCCTAAACATTTTGTGAATCTTTGTACTTCTTTTTTCCAAATTCAAAATCCATTTTCGTTTTGTAACATAAGCCTATTACATATACCTACATCTGGTGGGAGGGTGTTCCACAGGGTGGGCGCCACTACTGAGAAGGCCCTCTGCCTGGCTCCCTGTAACCTCACTTCTCGCAATAAGGGAACCGCCAGAAGCCCCTCAGCGCTGGACCTCAGTGTCCGGGCTGAACGATGGGGGTGGAGACCCTCCTTCAGGTCTACTGGGCCGAGGCCGTTTAGGGCTTTCAAGGTCAGCACCAATACTTTGAATTGTGCCCAGAAACATACTGGGAGCCAATGTAGGTCTTTCAGGACCGGTGTTGTATGGGTGGGGTTCAATCACATACAGGAGAATTCAGGTTGCAGACTGTATACCCTAATGGGCACCCTGCACATGCCCCAACGTGGCACCCAGTGCAGTTAGGCTAGAAGTGGCGTTGCACAGATATCCCACCTGCAGTCTGAAGTGGAACAGTCCACTCTCATTCTGCTGCCTATGTAGAGCACACCTTAAACCAGGGGTACCCAATAAGAATAAGAATATTTTATTTATACCCTGCCCGTGATGCTCTCCAGCAATTTCCAGACTCCAGCTGCCATCAAATCCAACCAGCACAACCAAAGGCCAGGGATGATAGGGAGCTGTAGTCCATATGGAGGCTGCTACATTGGCTCTCCCTGCCTTCAAACAATCCCAGTTTTGCATTTGGGTGCATGTGCCCTAAACACCTGGAACGGTCACTTCACTTCTATCCATGTCTCAGTCCCTTGAGTCCCCGCCAGGAGGCTTACCGTCTCCACAATGTGGATGGCTTCACTGCAGATGTTGGCTACGAGGACCGTGTTGCAATTCCCGCCTAGGAGAGACACAAAGAGAGAGAGAGATGATTTTCTTTTTAATGGGAACCTTGCAAATAAATTATAAATTTTAATGGCACTTAATTTTTTTCCTGGCCACTTTAGGAGCTGTTAAACAGAAAGGGGGAACAGAAGCAACTACATTTTAGAGATCAGGTGATGTTAAACTAAACTCAGAGTGTCGGCGTAGTGTCATAACAGCCCTGTCAAGGCCAGATTTGACATGAGCAGGGACTTGAACCCGGGTTCGTCCAAACCCAACACTCCAGCCAGTACCACCAACCCAAGTCCTTACCCAATGAATCCTTCAGGGTGTAAGTGAGCTTGCTCTGGCGGAAAGGAACGTGTTCCCGGTTACGGTCGGCCAACGCAATAATAACTTGTTCCAGGTACGACAGAGACCTGTTGATGTAAGTTGCTTCCTTCAGTCCATACCCCTCCGACTGTTAAAAAGGGGAAGCAAGAGAACACCTTAGAAAGTGCGGTTTACGTTTCATTTGAATTATTTTATCTGGCTTTTCTGTATACCCACCGTGGCTAACACAGTAAAAACAGAATAGACAAACAACCACATGATTACTAAACAACAGCAGCAAATTTAAAACAGAATTAAAATGCAAGAGAGCAACACACTAAGTTGGGCTGTGTACACACCACACATTAAAAGCACATTTCCTTGAGATATTTGAAGACGACTGCCATATCTCCTCTCAGCCTCCTCTTTTCCAGGCTAAACATACCCAGCTCCTTCAACCATTCCTCATAAGGCTTGGTTTCCAGACCCTTGATTATCTTGGTTGCCCTCCTCTGCACACGTTCCAGCTTGTCAACATCCTTCTTAAATTGTGGTGCCCAGAAGTGGACACAGTATTCCATGTGTGGTCTGACCAAGGTGGAATAGAATGGTACCATTACTTCTCTTGATCTAGATACTATGCTTCTGTTGATGCAGCCTAGAATAACATTAGCCTTTTTTGCTGCTGCATCACACTGTTAAGCTTGTGGTCCACCAAGATCCCAAGATTCTTTTCACATGTACTGCTAGTAAGCCAGGAGTCCCCCGTCTTATATTTGTGCGTCTGGTTCTTCCTGCCTAAGTGCAGAACCTTACATTTCTCCCTATTGAAATTCATTCTGTTAGTTTGGGCCCAGTTCTCCAATCTGTTAAGGCCATTTTGAATTCTGATTCTGTCTTCTGCGGCATTAGCTACCCCTCCCAGTTCGGTACGAACCGCAAAGTGAAAACGAAATGAGCATCCCCTCGACACAATCACACAGACACTTAAGGCACACATTGTCACGGGGATTTCTTTTTTCCGTTAGTGTAAAAGGAAAGCTAGCTTCTTGATCACTTAAAACGAAGTTAGCTAACTCACCAGCTTCAGGCAAAAACAAGTTCTCCCGAAGGACTTACTTTGGTCTTTGCCAGCCTCTCTGAGCCTGCTAGATCCACCAGGTTAATTTTGGAGGTCACGTAACGGGCATCAGAAAGAATTCTGGAATGACACTGAGGTGGGAGATCAGGGACATTAGCGCACCTTGAACGCAAGAGGACTGTTGAACCGCACCAGAGGATCCACAGACCTCTGGATTTTCCCGACCACCCCATGAAAACGCCGCCAGCCCTAAATAAAAGGCTCTCCAGTGACGCCGTTTTTAATCGGGATCTGCCATTATGAGACAGGCTATGTTGCAGAGATTAATAGCCATAGGGGGAGGCGATCCATTACTTTGTTATCATGTTTGCATTCTAAGATCGACTTGGCAAATCTTCCCTGAAAAGGCTAATTTATGGTGCAACTTGTCTGGGGAAATTAATGAGCAAACGCCTAGATTCTATTTCATCGGAACTGAGAAAGATGGCGTCTGCCACCCGAGGAGGACTTTTGGAAGGGTTCGGCATAAATAACAGCGTGTGAGGATTTATTGCAAACAAAAGACTTACCAGCTTAAAAAAAAAGGGAGAGCCATACAAAGTTCACACAGAAGCATAATATTGCTTACTTTAACTCGCCTGTGGAAACAACTCAGAGGCTATTAAGAAGAAAAAGGATAACAACAAGAAGATCGAAAGATGGGACTGGTGAATACTAAAAGCAGCAGAAATATTAGATGATCGGACCCTACTGAACTCGAAGCATGGGAACCCCCAACAAAAATTTATAATTTGGCAAAATATTTGGACTTTATGATATGTATTGGTATAATTTGGAATAATTAATGTGATATGATTGGATTGTTAAAATGGAAAACTTATTAAAAATTATTATAAAAAAAAGAGAAAACGATGCCAGCTCTGACCTCGATGTAAATTGTGAAGATGCAGTGAGACCGGGAGGAGTTCCTGTTCAGAGCGTGTTGACCAACAGATCTATTGGTGTCCCCCTGGAGAAGAAAGTGAAAAGCGGAGGAATAAACCAAGGACAGAACAAAAGGAGTTCGTTTCTCTGCTACACTGATAGGCCTCTCCACAGCTACATTCTCAGGACAGCTCGCAGTGAGGAATAAACACAAAGGGTGCCTTCAGACTGCCTGTCTTCTAAGCAGTCATCCTCAGTGGTTTGCAGGGAGACAAGATGACACTGGGTCAAAGGAGATTCTACCCTATATTATCCCATTCTTTACTGCAAAAAAGTCCAATCTTTAGGGAAAGATGGGTTGGCGTAGAATACTTCCCAACCGACTATTTCAGTTTGGGCACTTCCAGGCAGTTGCTGTTTTAATAATAATAATAATAATAATAAAATTATTTATACCTCGCTTATCTGGCTGGGTTTACCCAGCCACTCTGGGCGGCTCCCAACAGAATATTAAAAACATGCAAAAACATCAAACATTAAAAACTTCCTTAAACAGGGCTGCCTTCAGGTGTCTTCTAAAAGTCTGGTGGTTGTTTTATCTCCTTGACATCTGGTGGGAGGGCGTTCCACAGGGTGGGTGCCACTATCGAGAAGGCCCTCTGCCTGGTTTCCTGTAGCTTCACTTCTCACAGGGAGGGAACCGCCAAAAGGCCCTCGGAGCTGGACCTCAGTGTCTAGGCTGAATGATGGGGGTGGAGACACTCCTTCAGGTATAATGGACCGAGGCCATTTGCATGGGTAGGCAAACTAAGGCCTGGGGGCCGGATCTGGCCCAATCGCCTTCTAAATCTGGCCCACTGGCGGTCCGGGAATCAGCGTGCTTTTACATGATTAGAATGTGTGCTTTTATTTAAAATGCATCTCTGGGTTATTTGTGGGGCATAGGAATTCGTTCATTTCCCCCTCCAAAATATAGTCTAGTCCCCCACAAGGTCTGAGGGAAGAGTGGACCAGCCCCCTGCTGAAAAAGTTGGCTGACCTCTGATTTAGGGCTTTCAAGGTCAGCACCAACACTTTGAATTGTGCTCAGAAACGTACTGGGAGCCAATGTAGGTCTTTCAGGACCGGTGTCATATGGGTGGGGTTCAATCACATACAGGCAAATTCAGGTTGCACGGCCTGTAAGTGGCTGATTCAATGACTATAAAACACTTAAGAACAGAAATGTAACACAGCACAGAAGTAACATGGAGGAGAGAAAACGGAAGGCCACGCTGACTCTTCTTACCTCGAACAAGAGATTTAAAGCAATTTCTTCGTGGGGGGCTGCGTGCACCGTCAAGCCTTTCACATAGACGCCTTGGGGTCCCTCTCCTATAGACAGAGGAATGTCACTGGGTGTCGTGGCTAAAAGGTCAAAGATGATCTCATTGTGGATTTCCAGGTACGAAATTCGAACGGTGATGAACTGACTCCCGTGTTCCTCCATCGACTTGAATACCTGTAGAGAAGGATGGACGGATCTCAGCAAAGTTGCTGTCAATCAGGTTATCTGTGCTTTTTTCCAAGATGGGAAGAGAGGGGGTTGGAGACCTCTAAATCCGGCTCAGAGTGGACCCACTGAAATTAATACACCTACTCGTACTAGTGTCTGTTAATTTCATTTGGGTCTGCTCTGAGCAGGACAAGCGTTGAGTACTACCCAGGGGTGGTAAATTAAGAGCACAGCCCAGTCGGAAGTTCTCCCATTCAAGTGGGAAGCTCATCCTGAGCAAGAAATAAGCAGGAACTGCAAAAGAGGCTCTTTGCAACCCAACTAGCCGAGAGCTCCTTTTTAAAAAAGTTTTCATTTAATTTTAATATACCACATACAAAAGGAAAATATGAAGATACACAAATATCCATCACCTCCTAACAACTAAAAAAGAAGAAAAGAAAAATAAACAACAACAACAAAACATTAAATATTACTCACAATACATTTAACATAAAAATGACTTTTCCCTATATAGCTGACTTCCCGTCTACTCCTCACTTCTTCTATTTCTCATCCATTATTCACTACCATATTATAGCATATTTTGGCTTTAATGTTATTTATTCTATCCTAGGTTTTCCATCAGATTTAAAACTCCTACTGAAGCTGACCGGACACGGGTTAGAGCTCAATGTCGAGCCTACCAAGTGGCGGTAGCGACGGCGAAGAAGACTTTCTTCACCGCCTCTATTGCATCTGCAGAAAACAGCAGCAGGAGACTTTTTCAGGTGGTTCACAATTTAGCGGAACCACCTGCTACATCAGGGCCCAGTATGGGCCACATGATCTCCTGCAATGATTTTGCAAAGATTTTTGCAGATAAAGTCGCAAAAAAACCCAGCCAGATGGGTGGGGTATAAATAATAAATTATTATTATTATTATTATTATTATTATTATTATTATTATTACTGAAGTTATTCAAATGCTGCTACAGACTTCAAACTGCCATTGCTATTTTTCAAACAAATTTTAAGGACTTCCCATTTTGTGGTAAATACTTCCTTTGATTTATTTTTTATTCTTTCTGATAAATGGTCTAATTCAGCATATTTGGTCATTTTTTGAGAGCTCCCATTAAAGGACCTCAGATAGCCAGATGGAGAAAGTCTCTTAAAGTTTAACAGGATATGCCAAGGATTGAAGTGTCACCTGGATGGGGGCCAAATAGGTGCAGAATCAGGCCCTCCCGTGCCCCTTCACTGCTCCTTGTCTAGGAGGTAGGGGGTGCCCCAGGGCTCCCCCCCCCCACTTTCTGTTCTGTCAGCGACAGCAGCCTTAACCGTCACAGGTTGGCAGGAATTCCCATGTGCCCACATGGACAACTGTTTTAGCTTCCTCCTTCATCGGCATCACTGCATCGTGGAAAGGGTTACCTGTTGGATAGCTCGGGGTATGATCCCTCGATGCTTGTAGTTTCCTGTTGTTCCCGTCATAGTGAAAGTCTTGCCAGCTCCAGTTTGCCCATAGCATAATATAGTACCTGCAAGTTTCAAATGCATAGCTGTCAACTTACAGATTTAAAAATAAGGGACCAGCAGCCTCGAAAATACGGGATCAGTAGCCAAAATAAGGGATTTTCCAAGGGGCACAGGTATGTTCAGCTTCTGAGCCCCTCCGTGCCAAAGGCAGAAAGCCCAGCCAGCAGCCAAACAAAGCCTCAAGCGGTGGTTCCCACAGCGCAGCAACCCGGCAAATGGGATGCAGCAAGGAAAACCACCGTCACCTCTCCACTGGGAAGCGCTGAGCAAAGGCGAGTCCCCAGGCAACGCGGCTGATTTGATTGGCACAAGGCATGCAAGCTCCACCCCACCAGTTGTTCTTAGACTCCTTATTGGGTGAGCAACACAGCCAAGCAACACAGTTGGAGCCTCCCTCCTCCCTGGCCGGCAGGGAGGGAGGGAGGGAGAGGAGCTGCTTCCTTTGAAACACGGGAAATTTAAGGGACATCATCAATAAGGGACAGCAGCGGGACACAGCGCTGGGATAAGGGAATTTCCTGCCAAATAAGGGACGGTTGACAGCTATGTTCAAATGAGACACCATGAACTCATAAGAAGAGTCTTCTGGATCAGGCTAATGGCCCATCTAGCTCACCATGGCAGGATGGTTTGAGAATATTACACCGATCCTGGATTGACTACACTGACTGCCAGTTAGTATCCAGACCCAAACCCAATTAAAAGTGCTAGTTTTGACCTATAAAGCCTTAAATGGCTCAGGACCGCAATACCTCAAGGATAGCCTCTCTCAATATGTGACAGACAGTGGTGTCTTGCAATAAATAAAGAAGAATCAAAAGATCACGCAGAGTCAAAAGATTCACAGTAAAGGAAAAACTTTACTGAGGTGAAAAAAACTTTGTTACAAGCAACGTGCAAGGAAAACTAAGAGAGAGAAAGTGCGGCTTGCTGAGCGCAGGAATTTATTTCTCCTGGCTCAGCATGATCTTGACATAGTCAGCATGACTAAGGGGCTTCTGGCGAACCAGAGCAGCGCACGGAAACACCGTTTACCTTCCCGCCGGAGCGGTACCTATTTATCTACTTGCACTTTGACGTGCTTTTGAACTGCTAGGTTGGCAGGAGCTGGGACCAAACAACAGGAGCTCACCCCCTCGCGGGGATTCGAACCGCCGACCTTCTGATCGGCAAGCCCTAGGCTCTGTGGTTTAACCCACAGCGCCACCCGCGTCTGGTATTGCATGCCTAACAGATTGGACCATCAGAATAGGATACAGGGCCTCAAGGAACATTCAGACAAGGCTGCCAGAGAAGGACTGCTGAGGTAACACACATGCAACGCTGCTCCCATTCCCAATGGAAACTGAAGACTGCACAGGCAATGACAAGAACATTTACCATTATATCCATTTAGGGCCTGAGAGACCAAGTCTCTGGCTACTGCATCATAAACCGCATCCTGGGGGGCATCGTGAAGAACACCATCTAATTTAAAGGACCAGTCTGTCTGCTTGTTGTTGACCACTCCTTTCGTGCGGTCTCTCTCAATGTATATTTCCATCGTCTGGAAAGTACAAAGAAAACGGAGTGTGGAAATTTGTAATCTTGAAGAACGTAAGAACACGGCGTGAATTGTCGTCGGCCCCCACAACCATATTCTGCTTTTCCTTAAAAATTAATTCAAAGCAGCCTCGAAGCTTTAAAACAGAAACAGGACCGGTAAAAGACATGCACAGAGGTAGACCAGAACGGTTTTGTTTCTGCTGAGCTGTGTTCACTGACCTTATTGTCTTCCCCGAACTTGATCATGTCTTGTGGAAAGTCACCTGTCGGCTTGACTCGTGCAAATGCGCTAACTCTCTTTGGACAGGCGCACATGGTGATGTGCACTGGGGGGGGCAGAGGAATGGAAAGGAAAAACAGGGAAAAAATGAATTTCTTCAAGGTTCAATTCACATCAGCCCTTGAATCTCAAGGTTTAAAAAAAAAGATTAAACCAGTGCAAATGATAGGCTGATTACTGTTATCTCTGGATCAGGAGCAGGAGCTCAGATTAAACAATTCCAGTGTTTAATAATAATAATAATAACAAATTTTATTTATATCCCGCCCTCCCCAGCTGAAGCCGGGCTCAGGGCGGCTAACAACAATAAAACAGTACAACTGTACAACACAACACAACACTCTAAAATCATTCATTATAAAATTAATTCAAATCAAACCAATGGCAACCATTGGGCCAGAGCTCCGCGAAGATTGCTGAAGGAGGGAGTCAGGCTGTGCCCTGGCCAAAGGTCTGGTGTAACAGCTCTGTCTTGCAGGCCCTGCGGAAAGATGTCAAGTCCTGCAGGGCCCTAGTCTCTTGTGACAGTGTTCCACCAGACCGGAGCCACAGCCGAAAAAGCCCTGGCTCTAGTTGAGGCCAGCCTAACCTCTCTGTGGCCTGGGACCTTCAAGATGTTTTTATTTGAAGACCATAAGTTTCTCTGCGGGACATACCAGGAGAGGCGGTCCCGTAGGTACGAGGGTCCTAGGCCGTATAGGGCTTTAAAGGTCAAAACCAGCACCTTAAACCTGATCCTGTACCCCACCAGAAGCCAGTGCAGCTGGTATAGCACCGGGTGAATGTGATCTCGCAGCAAGGACCCCGTAAGGAGTCTCGCTGCAGCATTCTGCACCCGCTGGAGTTTCTGGGTCAGTCTCAAGGGCAGCCCCACGTAGAGCGAGTTACAATAATCCAGTCTGGAGGTGACCGTCGCGTGGATCACAGTGGCTAGGTCAGGGCGAGAGAGGTAAGGAGCCAACTGCTTAGCTTGGCGGAGATGGAAAAATGCCGCCTTTGTTATAGCTGCAATCTGCGCCTCCATGGAAAGGGAGGTGTCAAAGATTACACCCAAACTCTTAACGGACGGTGCTGGCACTAATTGCACCCCCGCAAGAGATGGGAGTTGCCCCCCCAATCCCATATCGTTTGACACATAGAAGGTGAAATTCCAGTGTCAGAGGCAGTATGGGAGTGTAGTTCTTCCCAGAGCCTCCCTAGTAGAAGCAGTTCCTGCCAGGTGTTGGTGAACGACAACTCACATAATCTCTAACCACTGGTCATGCTGGCTTAAGGATGAAAGGAGATCATCTGGAGGCCTCCATGTTGCCTAGACTGGTGAGGAACTTGATGCCTTCTAAGCTTTGCATGCAAGGAAGACACTCTGAACAGAGCTACAGACATTCTCCTGCCACAACTTGAAAGCAGCAAGACTGCTCCCTCAGTTTCCATGCCCAGCTCCCACCGGAAAGATGGAGTGGCGGGAAGGAACAGTTGACCAAACTCCCCCACCCTTCTTTTTGTGAAGGCTTCAGATCAGAGACAGGCCTTCCTGCTTCCCACCCGCCACCAGTATGTCTCAGCGACTGAGCCAAGAAATATAGAACTCTGGGTTTAATTTTGAATAAAATGAAGCTGGCTGGTGTGTGCGTAAGTCTTCATTCCCTTGTGTGGAACTACTTCTGGAGCTATTCTAAGAAGCAACAGGCTTTTGGAAACCAGAGATGCTAAAAGGCTGCTAAACCATCTAACCACAGGGACTAGGATTCAGTGGCTTTCCAGATGTTGCTGCGCTCTCATCAACAGCATCTGGAGAACCACAGCGCTTCAACGCTGCCTTAGGCAAAAAGGTTTAGCTTTTCTGCTTCCTTACAAAGAATCCTGAGTAACCTGGAAGTAGGGAAATAGAGATGTGAACGTGTATCTCCCCAACTACAATTGCTTCCAGATGGCCTCTTCGCTGAGCATTCACCCTGATTTCTTTGCAGGGAGATTAGATGGCAGGTGCTTCCAGACGCCATCCCAATCTGTGATAATTTGGCAACCTGAATTCTCTGGGATGTACTCGAATCCTACTTGCAAACAGCAACTTTCTTGAAGTGTCTGGCATTGGCTGTTAAATGAGCATTAATTCTAATGTCTTTGCAGGGAGGGTGACATTGCATCAAAGGACATTCCAGTGCATTCCCTCGCCACTTTTCCTTATTGCAAGAAGTCTGATCTTTGGGAGAAGCACATTTAATGTACAAGACCTCCCGGTCAACTGTAATTGTGCAACCTGAATTTGCTGGGGTTTTTTTTTACTGAATCTCACTTGAAAATAGCAACATTCTGGAAGCGCCCCCAGCAATCTCTTGTTCCTCAAGGAAGAACAGACAACAGGAACCTCACTGTACTGCACGAATCGCCCATCTCTCAAGGGCCAGGGGCCAGGACAACCTGCAATTCACTGGGGAGGGCTGCTTCTGCGACTTGGGGTCTTTATTATCCGTTGCCTGCCAACCCCCACCCATCCTAAGCTCTATTTTATTTTACAAATTATTTTTATTAGTTTTCCAAATTGATACAAATCAAACCCAATTGCTTTAATTTAATACGGTTTTTAAAAATCAGGTTTCCCACTCCTGCTGCCACATCATTTCCCCCCTCCCTCCGGACGCTCTGCCATCAACTGCCAGGGAGCAGATGATGCTGGTCAACAGAGGGGCTATGTCTGTGGGGTGGCATCTTTGCCATCAAGCTCCACTCCCCTGCCCCAAAGTCCACCTGAAGGGAAGAGTGTGGAACTGGCTTAGCCCCCCTCCCCACCTTTTCCAATTTTCTCCTCCTTATAATTCATTATCACTGACAGCAATATTGTTATTCTTAAGCCTTGCATGCACCGCCAGAAAGGCGATATACAAGACTGCAATTCTCTAAGTAAACTGTGGAGTTTAAAAAGGTAAAGGGACCCCTGACCGTTAGGTCCAGTCGCAGACAACTCTGGAGTTGCAGCGCTCATCTCGCTTTATTGGCCGAGGGAGCCGGCGTACAGCTTCTGGGTCATGTGGCCAGCATGACGAAGCCGCTTCTGGCAAACCAGACCAGCGCACGGAAACGCCATTTACCTTCCCGCTGGAGCGGTACCTATTTATCTACTTGCACTTTGACGTGCTTTTGAACTGCTAGGTTGTCAGGAGCAGGGACTGAGCAACGGGAGCTCACCCCGTCGTGGGGATTCGAACCACCAACCTTCTGATCAGCAAGCTCTAGGCTGAGTGGTTTAACCCACAGCGCCACCCGGGTCCCCTCTGTGGAGTTTACTTCTATCTAAATATTGCAAAGGAAGGAATGTGCAGCACAGGTTAGTAAATAAGTAAGTAAGAATTAGTCATGAATCTAAACTGAACTTCTGTGGACAAGCACAGCAGCACAAGCACAGCAGCCCTCTGACCATAAAACCCAGGTGCTGCTGGGTGGTGGAAGACAGTTATTGAGGGCTGCTGAAGAAAGAGATCAACATGCTCAGGGAAAACCCAAGTGGCAGACTGTCACTGGAAGGACAGATCCTGAAGCTGAGGCTCCAAGACTTTGGCCACCCCATGAGAAGAGAAGACTCCCTGGAAAAGACCCTGATGTTGGGAAAGATGGAGGGCACAAGGAGAAGGGGACGATGGAGGCCGAGATGGTGGGACAGTGTTCTCGAAGCTACCAGCATGAGTTTGACCAAACTGTGGGAGGCAGTGGAAGACAGGAGTGCCCGGCGTGCTCTGGTCCAGGGGGTCACGAAGAGTCGGACACGACTAAACAACAAATATTTTAGCCCAGTCCCACCCGCATCTCTGAGCAGCTGGAGGACCCAAGAGAAAGCTGCAGCTGTTGCCCCAGAGAGAGAGAGCCCCCCTATGCCTCTTGGGGGGCTCCCTCAAGAGGGGCAGATAGAAAAAGAAAGAAAGAAAGAAAGAAAGAAAGAAAGAAAGAAAGAAAGAAAGAAAGAAAGAAAGGCAGGCGGGCACACGCGGAGGCACTGACCCTCCCCCGGGGAGGCTTCTCCTGCTCCCGCCGCCGGCGAGGGAGAGAGCGAACGGGAGCGCGCGAGCGAGCGCCTGAGGCATTAAAAGAGCGAGCGCGCGGGCGGGACGAACGGCGAGAGGGAAGCGCGCCGTCGCCATGGCGACCGCCGCTTCCCGTATCCGCCGTCGCCATGGCCACCGCCGCTTCCGGCTTCGAGCGCCGGCCTTGGTCGGAAGGGGACGCTCTCGCGCCCAAGGGGCGGGTAGGCGGGGCTTAGTAGCTTCCGGCGCGTCTTTCTCTCTCTGTGTCTCCCCCCCCCCCCACTCCCTCGTCGGGCTGAGGCGAAGAAAGGGGCCGGCCTCGTCCGGGTTACGGTGGCCGGGCGGGGCCAGGCGGCGCCCGAAGCGAAAGCGAGGAGAAGGAGGGCTGGCTGCCCCTGCCTCTCTCCCTCCCTCCCTCCCTCCTCCTCCGCCTCTGCGCGCGGCGGGCGCCGGTCCCGGCCGGACCCGGGGCTTGGCAGGCAGGCGGGCAGGCAAGATGCTGGAAGCGGCCGGGCCGGACCCGGAGCTGGACTCGGAGGACCTGGTGCACTTCTCGGTGGGGGACCTGCCCAGCCGGGGCTACGGGGTGATGGGCGAGATCCGGAGGCAGGGGAAGCTCTGCGACGTCACCCTCAAGGTAGCGCCTCAGGCGGCGGGGGGGGGGGGGAGAAAATAGGGGGGGGTCTTTTCTCTGAGGGAGAGCTGGGGGGGGTGTCTTTCCCTGAAGGGGAGGGGGGAGATGTGGGGGCTGGCCCTGGGGGGGAAGGGAGGGGGGAGAGATGGGGGTCTTTTCCCTGAGGGAGATTTTTTTGGGGGGGGTCTTTTCCATGAAGGGGAGGAGGGAGATGTGGGGGCTGGCCCTTGGGGGAGGAGAGAGGGATTGGGGGCTTTCCCTGGGGGGGAGGTGTGATGGGGGCCCCTGAGAGGGAAGGGAGGGGGAGAGATGGGGGTCTTTTCCCTGAGGGAGATTTTTGGGGAGGGGTCTTTTCCATGAAGAGGAGGAGGGAGATGTGGGGGCTGGCACTGAGGGGGAGGGGAGACAGATGGGGGGCTGTCCCTGGGGGGGTGAGGTGTGGCGGGGGTCCCTGAGAAGGAAGGGAGGGGGAGAGATGGGGGTCTTTTCCCTGAGGGAGATTTGTGTGGGGGGGTCTTTTCCATGAAGGGGAGGAACGAGATGTGGGGGCTGGCACTGAGGGGGAGGGGAGACAGATGGGGGGCTGTCCCTGGGGGGGGTGAGGTGTGGCGGGGGTCCCTGAGGGGGAAGGGAGGGGGAGAGATGCGGGTCTTTTCCCTGAGGGAGAGGGGGGTATTTTCCCTGAAGGGGAGGGGGCAATTGTGGGAGCTGGCCCTTAGGGGGAGGGGGGAGGGATTGGGGGCTTTCCCTGGGAGGGTGAGGTGTGGCGGGGGTCCCTGAGGGGAAGGGAGGGGGAGAGATGGGGGGTCTGCCCCTGAGAGGGAGGGGAAGCGGTGGGGGGGGTCTGGTCAGCATTCCCCTCCCCCCAACGAGGAAGGTATAAATAAATGAGGCAGACGGAACTGGTTTTCCAGCATACATGTTGCGCCTGTATCGGGAGGTAATCTTGAGTCACAGAGTTGTAAGGGGGGTCCCCCAGGGGTCATCTAGCCCGGCCCCCCTGCAACGCAGCTGCAAGAAACCTCGCTGCGAGTCAGACCTGAGACTGATCTTGTAGGAGGTGATGATACACACATCAAATAAGCAGCAACATGCGCTCCCTTATTGTCTGTTCAAGCAGCACCCAAAAAAGTGGCTTGTTTTGGGGTGGGAAACGACAAATATGCAACATTTGAAGCGGCGTTGAACAATGTCAGGGCCAGCAGCAAGAAATGTGTTGTGTTCGCTGCGCTCTCTCTGGTAGAGTTTATTTGGCTTATTTTATGGATCCCCACCCCCCATAAAAGGTCGCTTTTGCTATGGCAGCCAAGGGAAGACTGTCACTTCCCTGTAAGCAGCTGGAAATCGGGATTTTATGGAAGGAGGGCCTGTTGAAGAAGAAAAACCATATAGGAAAGCTGGTGGATGTGATTTGGAGTGGGGTGGGGGGTAGGCAGTAGCAGGAGGGGTCACCTTGCCCTTGAATCTCCAGGTCAGCTTTCCCCAACTAGGTGCCCTCCGGGTGCTGTTGGATTCCAGCTCCCATCAGCCCCAGCTCCCATGGCTATAGGTTGGGGGTGCTGTGAATTGTAGTCCAGTAGCCTTCAAAGGGGACGCGGGTGGCGCCGTGGGTTAAACCACAGAGCCTAGGACTTGCCGATCAGAAGGTCGGCGGTTCGAATCCCTGCAATGATGGGGTGAGCTCCCGTTGCTCGGTCCCTGCTCCTGCCAACCTAGCAGTTCGAAAGCACGTCAAAGTGCAAGTAGATAAATAGGTACCGCTCCGGCGGGAAGGTAAACGGCGTTTCCGTGCGCAGCTCTGGTTCGCCAGAAGCGGCTTAGTCATGCTGGCCACATGACCCGGAAGCTGTATGCCGGCTCCCTTGGCCAGTAAAGCGAGATGAGCGCCGCAGTCCGAGAGTCGGCCACGACTGGACCTAACGGTCAGGGGTCCCTTTACCTTTACCTTTTAGTCTTCAAAGGCTGCCTTACTGTCAGTGGGGAGGGCCAGAGGTGTGCTTTAAGAGAGAAGATGCAGCAAGTTTGGGACTAAGGCGGTACCTCCCACCTAAAGGAAATGCAGGTTTATTTGGCATCCCTGAGTGGTGTAACCCTGACGGGTAGAAGGGCCCACAAGGAAGAAGTGGGGACCTATATGAGATGGGGTTTGGGATCAGATTGGGGCTGGGAAACGGGTAGAGCCCAAGTAGCAAAAAGCTGCAGTTGAGGGCGATACTACAAAGCCCATGTTTTTGCTCAGGTTAAAGTTTCCTGTTCAGCATTTGTTTGTTTGAAGGTATTATAATGAGGTGGCAGTACCTTGTTTGGGGAGCTTCTCATCCCGGGTTTGCCCTTTGATTATAATCCAGCGGAGGATAACTTCGGTCCCAATTATTAGGAGTAACCACTTTTGCATAGCATTGCCCTTTAGTCATCGCAAGCTGTGCAACCTCTCAGGAATGTGTTCCAGGTTGCCCAATGGGGTTTTGAAGCCTAGGTTGCCGGTGACAGCAGTGCTTCCTAGCCAGTCCTGGTTTTAACATTTTGTGGGTGGTCCGTGTGTAAATTGGATTTCGGCGTCGGCCCAGCTTGTGGCGTTCCACCTCCTGCATGCAAATTGCAGCTGCACGCTCTCCTCACAGGAGAAGCGACCCAAGGACTGAATGACTCATGGAATGAATCCTTCTTCCCGGCTTGGCATGTGGCTGCTGTGAAGCAGATTGGCAGCGGTGGTTTGGCAAAGGGCATCATCAAAGGCTCTCATCCTTCTTTAAAGTTGGGATGCTCCAGCGCTGCAATCCTCCGGAAGTCCAGAAAACATTATCTGATCTTCCCTTTTAGACCTCCTACACAGTTTCAACAAGCATTATAGCATTAAAAACTTGCCCTGCTGGGTCTGAACCAGGTTCTAATTAATTCAGCAGTTCTGTTTCCAGCAATGAGGATATGATGGCATCAGCCTTTCCCCTACTGTGTTCTCACAGCATCCTGTATTCAGAGAAATGCTCACTTTAATAATAATAATAATAATAATAATAATAAATTTTATTTATACCCCGCCCTCCCCAGCCAAGACCGGGCTCAGGGCAGCTAACAACCAATAATAAAAACAAGTTGATTAAAATACAACATTAAAACATTAGGATGCAGGCTCTTCACAGGAGGAGAAAGGACAAAGAAAGAGGGGGAGGGAATCAAACTGATTCTAAGCCAAAGGCCAGGTGGAACAACTCTGTCTTACAGGCCCTGCGGAAATAAATCAGATCCCGCAGGGCCCTGGTGTCATGAGACAGAGCGTTCCACCAGGCCGGGGCCAGTGTTGAAAAGGCTCTGACTCTGGTTGAGGCTAATCTAACTTCCTTAGGGCCCGGGACCACTAGGGTGTTGCTATTTATGGACCTTGAGGCTCTCTGTGGGGCATACCGGGAGAGGCGGTCCCGTAGGTACAAGGATAAATGATGCCCTGGGGGATACCAGGACCTCTTACCCGTAGGTACGAGGGATATATAGAGGTCCCAATCTAAGCTAGTATGTTTTATCGTCACTAAGGCTTATCCTTCATGAGCCTGTTTCCGACCTTCCTCAGTCTTAAGGGTACCAGATTGAAGGCAAGTTCAGTCCCTTTTTTAAAAAGCAGGCATAACCTGTTGCCTCCTATATCAGGGATGGGGAGTCTCTGGCCCTCTGCATGTTGCTGAACTGCAGCTTCCCTCAGCCTCAGCAAGCATGATCACTGACTAGGGATGATGGGAGTTGTAGTTCACAACATCTGGAGGGCCACAGGTTTCCCTGTCCCCTGTTTAAATCCATATTTTTTGGGGGGTGGATAGGTTTATTAGGTACAGAAAACCAGTATGAAGTCTCCCACCACAATGCACTTAAAATCCAGACAGCTCCATATGGCTATCCCTCAGCTGTCATCTAACATCAGCTGTGCCATATGGCAGTAGCCTGATGAGAGATGAGGAGCAGGGCCCACTTCAACAGCTCCACAGAGATACTAGCTGTTGCTGGCTCCTCCTCCCGCTGAACCATTTCCATTCAAGATGGTCATTGCAAGAAGTTCCTAACATTAAGGCCAGTTGCCGGAGTGCATTCTCCCCGCCCCCACTCCATTTGCCTTGTGCGTCATGCCTTTCAGAAGGTTAGCCTGTGGGCAAGAACTGTCTTGTTCATTATTGATCATAATATTAAAGCTCTTTTGGCCGAAGAGCAGTGGTACAAAATGTTTTAAATGAATGACAATCCCCAACCTCATTTAACCCACCATTTCCCTACCCCTGAACTAGATAGAGAAGTCCTGTAATATCTGAATGAAATGTTCAGGTTTTAGTGGGTTTCCGAGAAGGGAATGTTCATCGCTCAACAAATCTTTCTTTGTGCGCATGGTTTGTTCGCAGAGCACACGGACCCCTTGTTGCAGAGGTTTTCAACCTTTCTGAGTCCACGGCTCCCTTGACCAACTGCATTCTTTCTGTGGCAACCCTGCGGGGCTCAGGAGCCCAGTTATATCACCCTTTGCTTGCAGACCCGGAGCTTCTCACCCTTTTTCAAACACCCCCCCTAGTCCATTCCCAACAGCAGGGGCTGGCAGACTGGGTGGCTGGGCTCCCTCGACCGCTTGCTTACTCTGAGGCCACCTCAGCTCCTGGCAACCAGCACCCCCTGACCAGCCCCAGAGGCACCATTCACCTGGGGAGCTTGTAGCCAGGGCTGCTGCAACAAACAGCTGTGCAAGCCTTTGGGTGGCAGAGGCGCAAGAGGGCATCAGAGGGAGGGAGGGAAGGAAAGAAGGACAGAGGGTTGCCTGCGACACCTCTGAGCATCATTCAAGGCACCCCAGGGTGCCACGGCACACTGGTTGAAAACCACTGCCTTGTTGAATAATGGTTATAATTTGGGGGTGCTATAAAAATCATTGTGGAGCAGAAGTATTGTGGCAAGTATTTTCTGCTGTTCCAAATATCTCCTTTCTCTCTCATGGTCATTTAAAGAAACATGTTTTCAATGCACTTGAGATCAATTTGTTTGCTCAGCATTTCCTCCCTTGATATTCGGAACACAGCAGACTTTGCACAGAATGCGATATTTCTCCTTGAGGGAGAGACCTTCCTTTCCTGTCCTCTAGGACAGTTGTCCTCCTTCCCACTTAGCAGGCCGACCCCGAAGGAAAGCAAACGTCATTACTCTCAGGAGACTCTCTCAAGCAGGTATAGCTGACAGTGGAATAATTTTCCTTAATCTGGTACAAAGCAGTCAACATTTCTTGGCAGAGCATTGGAGAAGCCTGAAAAACTGGGTGGAAGATCTGCCCAACAGGACAAGGTTTTTGGCAGCTTGTTTGTATTACATTCAGCATATTGAACTCAAAGCAAGCATTACTAGGACAGGTAAAAGATGAAGAAGATCTGGAATAATTCTCGGTCAGGGGTTCCAAAACTGTGATCCACTAACCGCCAGTGGTCCACGAACTTCATTCAGGTGCTCTGTGGATGTGTGACCGAGGATGGTCTATTGCATTAAAAATATTGAGTTTTAATCATATTTTAATTGCTTCTTGCATTGTATTTTATTGTGTTACATTTTAGAATCTATGGAGTACAATAAAATCATATAAAAGTGAAGTATGCTATAAAAATACCATTCAGAATCATAGAGCACCTAGCACAGAGCATTACAATTGCTGTACTGGGCACAAAAGCCATTATTAAGCGGTTTGCTAAGACCCTCAGCCGTTTTCAAGTGGTCTGGGGGCGGGGAGTTTGGGAACCATTGTTCTAAGCCACTTGCTCGAATGGGCATTTCACTAACAATACATTGAGCTGTGTAGGCAGAATTGCACTTTAATTGGAGGAGGAAGCAGGATTCTGTGCACTTGGTGATGGATATAAGCAGCTGTTGTGAATAATACCAGCTAGCAGTGCTATGCTGTGTCTTCTCCTTCCTGTCTTCATTGACCCTTCTGCCCGAGGGCTGCTGCTTAATGCAGTTTTGGGCTCTCAGACTCTGAGTGAGTCACAAATGGCAGTCTATATTGGAGAGAGGTTGTGCTGCTTGGGCTGGCTTCATAGTGATTAGTCACAACATTTTCCCCACAGTAAGCAAGGCCAGAGAGGGCAAGTGTTGTTGGACTACAACTCCCATCATCTCAGGCCATAGGCCTGGCTGGTTAGAACTGGCAAGCGTTGAAATCCAACATCTGGGTGTCAGTAAAGTCCCAGCTCGTGGTATAAGGAAAATTATGTATACATGTATCTTATCACAACATGGGTGGCGCTGTGGGTTAAACCCAGAGCCTAGGGCTTGCCGATCAAAAGATCAGTGGTTCGAATCCCCATGACGGGGTGAGCTCCCATTGTTCAGTCCCTGCTCCTGCCAACCTAGCAGTTCGAAAGCACGAAGTGCAAGTAGATAAATAGGTACCGTTCTGGCGGGAAGGTAAACGGCGTTTCCGTGCGCTGCTCTGGTTCACCAGAAGCGGCTTAGTCATGCTGGCCACGTGACCCGGAAGCTGTACGCCGGCTCCCTCGGCCAATAAAGCGAGATGAGCGCCGCAACCCCAGAGTTGTCTGCGACTGGACCTAACGGTCAGGGGTCCCCTTTACCTGTCTTATCACCAAAACCAATTTGGGTTCAAATTGTTGAATGACAGCTGACATCCACTGCAAGTATTACTTATTTTTATAACCTGAGATCACTTGCCTTTCATTTTAGTGCAGCAACAACTGGGACTGGTTTTTCCTCTCTAAGCCCTTCCCTTTTGTTTGTCACAATTGGATTTTCATTCTCAAGATTTCAACTTGTGACGGCTCCTAAACGTTTCCATATTTATGAATCAATACAGCTGTTACGTTTCTATTTGGAGGTATTGAATTACTATGATCTGGCCTTCTGCTTCTCCTCTCCACGCCCCCGTTCCTTCTTCAGAGGATATACAGTAATAGCATTACAGGATTACAAATCCATAATTTTAAGCAATTAGTAATGTAACCAACCAGATGTACGGGATATCAATTTTTTCACATATATGCTGGAGTTTTCAAGGTGGGAGGTGTCACAGAACAGCATCTGCTCAAAGGTATTATACCCAAGCAATCCTGATCCACAGTCGCACCCCCCCCCACCAAAAAACCCCCCAGCTCCAGAGAGGTTCGGGGTGGAGAGGACTCTCAGAACAAGGTTGGAAGGTGCCATGGTGGAGGCTGTGGGAAGGAGAAAGACTCTGGTGGCTTCAGCTAAGTAGAATACAAAAGGGAGAATTTCTCCTTTAACTAAACTCATGCTTGTGAAACTGCAACTGGAACAGAAACCTACTTCGGTGCTGAATGAAACCTATAGTTAGGGAAAGTGGGGTTGGTGAAAACGAATGCACTACCAAAAATTCTTGTTTTCTCTTCTGTTGAACATTCTGTAATGAGTGGTGTGACTGTCTTGAAAAGCTGTCAGTAGGAAATAAGCTATTTTTTTTGTTTCCTTTTTGTGGGAGATTGGGAAGACCACCTAGTGTTGTTTCTGAAACCAAACTAGGCTTTGGAGCGAAACTTCCTTGGTGTCTCTAAATCATGCATTTTAAAAGCAGATACCTGAATGCTCATCGTTTTAGGAGTGTAATGGTAGTGATGTCTATCCGCTCCAACAAGGGGATGGTATGGAGAAGCATACATTTGCCGTGTAAAATATATGTGTGTGATATCCTGTGATCTTGTAGGATATATCAGATATTGAGGTGTCAGTTGAGAGGGCAGAAAAGTACCCAGAGGAGAAGAACTCCCTTTTTGCACTATCTAGGGTCCCCGTCCCTTGCTGTGTTCCTATAAGATGTTTCAGGATGGTAGCTCCAAACCTGAAGAACTAGCGTGATAGGATTATAAGAAGTTTCCTCAAACCAGGTCGTGCTTTTGGCTCACCTCGCCTGACACTGCCTGTTTTGACTGGCAGCAGTTCTTGAGAGCATCTGTCAGAGAGAGGGGTCTTAGCCACCATCTCCTACCTAAGATGATTTTATATGGAGACGCCAGAGATTGAACTAGGAAGAAACACGTGCTCTACCACAGATCTCTTTATAAATGATGATCTGGGCAGCAGCACAACATCTCTGGATGGAGCCCTTGCTTTCATAGAGATTGTAACGTGTGAACGAACCAAAACTTACCGTATTTTTTGCTCCATAAGGCGCACCGGACCATAGGGCGCACCTAGTTTTTAAAGGGGGAAATCAAGGGGGGAAATCTTATTTTCCCCCCAGCCCCAAAGAGCAGCGTACAGGCTGCGCGCAGCCTGTTCACTTCTCCCAGAGCTTCTGGGACTGCCAGGGGAAGCCCAGGTTCCCCCCCCCCAAAGAGCAAAGAAGCCAAGACAGCGAGCAGGATCCATCCCGCTCGCTGTTTTGGCTTCCTCTTTAGCCGCGCGCAACCTCTCCCTGCCGGAGGGGTTGCACGCGGCTATGGCACAAGTCAAGACAGTGAGCGGGATGGATCCCGCTCGCTGTTTTGGGTTCCTCTTTAGCTGCGCGCAACCTCTCCAGCTGGGAGAGGCTGCGCGGGGCTAAAGAAGCCATAGCTGCGTGCAGCCTCTCCCTGCTGGAGGGGCTGCGCGCGGCTATCCCTGAAGCCTTCCGAGCGCAGCGCAAGTTCCCACTGCACTCCTCAGGCTTCGGGTTCCTTTTGCTGAAGCTGGAAGAGCAAGACTCTCCTGGCTTCAGCGAAAGGAACCTGAAGCCTCCGGAACGCAGCAGGAACTCGCGCTGCGCTCCGAAGGCTGTAGGCGGCTATCCCTGAAGCCTGGAGAGCGAGAGGGGTCGGTGCGCACCGACGCCTCTCGCTCTCCAGGCTTCAGCGAAAGCAACGCGAAGTGCGGAGGGAGCACTCCCTCTGCGCTTCAGAGGCTTCGCGTTGCTATGGCTGAAGCCAAGGAGCCTGCATTCGGTAATCAGCAAGGTGATGTGGCTGTCTATATGTGCATCAGAGTCACTCTAAAAGCCCCCGTTGTCAATCTATTTGTTACCCTGGGAGATCAATTTACTGAATTTACAAGCTGAAATTTTCAACCCGGCCCTGTACGTGGCTGGTTCCTAAAACCTTCCTACTCCGAGGAAATTGAAATAAGCATCCAGGAATTTGGGCCACTTCTCCAGCCCAGGACTGAAGTCCTTACCTCAGAGGCTTGTTATGAAGTAAAAAAAATATGAATGCGTTAATCACATTTGGTTTTGCCCTTCCTCCGAGGAGTATAGGAGACTTTAGATGAGATCATTCTCCTATAAATTAGGCGGTGGACTTGGGGAATCTGAAATTCTTGTATGCATTCTGCCAGCTACGTGTTGGTTGATCTTGAACCAGTTTTTTCTCTCTCTTTCTCTTTGTCTAATAGGCCTCACAGGGTGACTTTAAATTAAGGGAGGGGGGCAAGGAGAGCTGTGTGCAACCCCCTCCCCAAATCTCATGGAGAACAGGGTCAGTAAAAATGGGGAAAAACAACCAAAGAGACTATTTTCCATTTTAAACGATATTCCACAGAGCTTGAATCAAGGATATGCTGTTAAACTTGCAGCATCTAAAGAGATGCTTTGTTGTTGTTGTTGTTTAGTCATTTAGTTGTGTCCAGCTCTTTGTGACCCCCTGGACCAGAGCACACCAGGCACTCCTGTCTTCCACTGCCTCCCGCAGTTTGGTCAAACTCACGCTGGTAGCTTCGAGAACACTGTCCAACCATCTCGTCCTCCGTCATCCCCTTCTCCTTGTGCCCTCCATCTTTCCCAACATCAGGGTCTTTTCCAGGGAGTCTTCTCTTCTCATGAGGTGGCCAAAGTCTTGGAGCCTCAGCTTCAGGATCTGTCCTTCCAGTGAGCACTCAGGGCTGATTTCCTTCAGAATGGAGAGGTTTGATCTTCTTGCAGTCCATGGGACTCTCAAGAGTCTCCTCCAGCACCAGAATTCAAAAGTATCCATTCTTCGGCGATCAGCCTTCTTTATGGTCCAGCTCTCACTTCCATACATCACTACTGGGAAAACCATAGCTTTAACTGTACGGACCTTTGTTGGCAAGGTGATGTCTCTGCTTTTTAAGATGCTTAAATAAACCAAAAACCCTACATAATACTGGTGGCTCTGTTTATAACATTTTCCTGACTCCTGTTTGATGCTTGTCAAAGCTCTACCAAATTCCAGTGTCTTATAGCTTACTTCTGAGAACAGGTGTGCCCTTGGCCATCAGTACGTGGAATAGGATGAGTCCGTAACTCAAGTCAAGAGTCCCAGAGGGCCTGCTTAACAAAAGGGCTTAAGAGGCCTTACAAAATTGAGATTGCCTTCTGCCAGGGGCCATGCTTTCAGCCAGGCAGCCTGACATATTTATGGCACCTGCAGCGTTCTGCGGAAGGCTTTATTGGGAGTTATTAATATTCAGGTGTGGGTGTGTGCAGGGGAGAAGCAGCCTCTCATTAAACTGGCACTGAGTGCTATAAAGGGAAAGCTTTGTACATCCTGTTTCTGAAAGTGGATCTGAGCAGGCAGGTGGCTGCGCGCGCACATTCCTCGCAAACTGTCTCATCGCCATGAAACGACATCGCAAGCAGAAAAACCTACTAAAAATCTCAAAGGTGAAACACGGGCTTCTTCTGCATGCCTACTACATACAGGGGTCTATAAGCATTAGCTTAGTTTACTAGCTGGACATTATTTGTGGCAGTTTCTGGATATTGCTGTTTCAGGTGTCAGATTTGTGCCTCTGTGTCCCATGACACACGCAGGGCTGCCTTTGAAGACGGTTCGGAAACTCCATCTTGGGCAGAATTCGTTAGCCAGGTTGCTGACCGGGGCAAGACGGTTTGAGCATATTACACCAATCCGGACCCATCTGCACTGGCTGCCCATTAGCTTCCGGGCCCAATTCAAAGTGCTGCTTTATAAAGCCTTAAACAACTCAGGACCGCGATCCCTCCAAGACAGCCTCTCTCTATATGAACTGACCCAGACCCTGAGATCATCATCTAAGGCCCTCCTTTGTGTGCCTCCTCCTCGGGAGGTCCAGAGGGTGGCAACATGAGAACGGGGCCTTTTCTCCAGTGGCTCCCCGTCTGTGGAATTCTCTTCCCAGGGAGGTTTGCCTGGTGCCTTCATTATTCACCTTTAGGCGCCAGGCAAAGATGTTCCTCTTTAACCAGGCCTTTTAAATGTGTTGTGGGCGAAGGGATCATCAGTTTGTTCTTATTTTTATTATGCATTTTGTGATTTTTTAATATTGTAAATTTATGTTGTGAGCTATGAGATCTTTGGGTATAGAGTGGTATGCAGATTTAAAATAATAATAATAATAATAATAATAATGATGATGATGATGATGTCAAGACTGCAGAAGAGCATTGCTGGCAAATGAGAGCATATATCTCATTGGAAGACAGAGCAGACGAATGAGCCTGTGAAATTGTGGCTGATATTTTTAGGTCCTGTAATAGTGTAGTCTGAGTAGAGACGGGGAAGAAATTGGCACCTGGGCTTGTTTCAGAGGTTTGTCCCTGTATTTGTATCTACGTTAGGTATTGTCTTGCTGCTGTACATTGAGTCAAACCATTGGTTCATCTCATTGTTGTCAACACTGACTCTCCCCACCCCAGAGTGGCTCTCCAGGCTTTCAGGCAAGGATCTCTCCCAGCCGTATCTGGAGGTGCCAGTGATTCAACCCAGGGTTCTTCTGCGAGCCAAGCTGATTTTCTGCCGCTGAGCTGTGGCCTTCCTCCAAGCTGATATTTGCCCCGTTCATCTTTGCCCATATTCTGCAGACAGCAGCAAGGAGCTTTACAACATACTGTTCCGGAATTGCTTTATCGGACTAGTAATACATTTTATTAAACACACCCAGATGGCACTCACAAGCGAGCTTTCCATCACAGACGCTGAAAATAGCACGTTGGCATAAATGTTTCTGCATGGAATGTTAATGAAATGCTCGTATGTCAACAGTAGGTTTGAGATCCTGCTATAGGTTATTTCCTGGTGCCAGTCAATTTGAAGTTTGTTCTCTTCATCACTGTGGTGGCAGTAGCTCTCAACATGTTAAAAAAAAAAAAAAAGACTTTTCCTGGGGGCTCACTCTGCAATCTGCTACAGATGGCTTGGGCACCTTGCCAAACCTCTTATTCTTCCCGCCATCATCTTGGAATGCGTGTTTGATAAAACCAGGGAAGAGAAGTGGATTCTGAGCTCACCTGAACTGAGTAGCTTCGACTGGAACTGAACCGTCCTGGCCAGATCCCTTTTCCCCACTTTCCCCCATTGCTCACCCCACTGCTTGTGTTTATACATCAACACAACTTGGCACCCTTTGCGCCTAAGAATGTGGGCACAGGTGGTGCCAAAGATTTTGCTCAGAGCAAACCCGAGAGAATATTGTTTTGACTGAGAGAGAAAGGTGTAAATCCAAGCCTTAGCACTTCCCACTCAGAGCTGACATATGAAATGTTCAAGCTAGAGAGTAACGCACATGACTCGAGCTTTCCCGTCTTACACCATCCTTCATCCCACCACAATTAGGGTGTAACGCCTTCTGAGGATGCTGAGTCCTACAGCCACATAAAAGAGACGTTCACCCATAGGTACCAAACTGGCAATCTTAATTCCGGCTAGGGATTCATCCAGCCCAGCCTTTCGGATGATGAATTCTGCATATAAGTTAAATAAGCAGGGAGACAATATACAGCCTTGTCGTACTCCTTTCCCAATTTTGAACCAATCAGTTGTTCCATATCCAGTTCTAACTGTAGCTTCTTGTCCCACATAGAGATTTCTCAGGAGACAGAATGAGGTGATCAGGCACTCCCATTTCTTTAAGAACTTGCCATAGTTTGCTGTGGTCGACACAGTCAAAGGTTTTTGCATAGTCAATGAAGCCGAAGTAGATGTCTTTCTAGCTTTCTCCATAATCCAGCGCATGTTTGCAATTTGGTCTCTGGTTCCTCTGCCCCTTCGAAATCCAGCTTGCACTTCTGGGAGTTCTCGGTCCACATACTGCTTGAGCCTTCCTTGTAGAATTTTAAGCGTAACCTTGCTAGCGTGTGAAATGAGTGCAATTGTGCGGTAGTTGGAGCATTCTTTGGCACTTCCCTTCTTTGGGATTGGGATGTAGACTGATCTTCTCCAATCCTCTGGCCACTGCTGAGTTTTCCAAACTTGCTGGCATATTGAGTGTAGCACCTTAACAGCATCTATCGTATCGTAAAAGGGGTTTGTTGTTGTTTAGTCGTGTGGAGTTGAATAAATCCTCTCCATGTGCTAAGATCCCCTCTAAGCTTAATTGCACAGTGGGGTATTTTTAGTAAGGAGAGAAGGGGAGAAAATCTAGGGGGAAGAAAAAGGAAGTGGCAGAAAGCATTGTGAGAATTCTGGCTCCTCCTCCTTAGCTCAAAATCTTCCTACAACTTTCTCCCGCCACATTCATCCTTGGTATCCAGGCAGGACCCAAGGGGATGTTCCCCATCCGATGCTCTGTTTCGGTTAGCGCTCTCATGAAAGACGGAGACCCAGCAGAGTGCCCAACTTAAATAATAATAATAATAATTACTATTATTATTATTTCTACCCCGCCCATCTGGCTGGGCTTCCCCAGCCACTCTGGGCGGCTTCCAAAAAAATATTAAAATACTGTAATACATCAAACATATTAAAAGCTTCCCTAAACAGGGCTGCCTTCAGATGTCTTCTAAAAGTCTGGTAGTTGTTGTTCTCTTTGACATCTGGTTTGACAACTTGCCCTTAGGTACACAGGGATCCGGTTGGGAGATCTTGCTCCTGACTTCAAGGCTCAAGTGCCGGTCGGGTGTCTCCCACAGAGAACCTTTTTGGATTCTAAAGGCAGCGTTCCAGCCACGTTCAAATGTGGCCCTCGAAAACCACAGGCAGAATGTTACCCTGGCTCTGTTCAGAATCAGACGTGGGAATCTAGGCTAGTAAGTGATCGGCATCATGTGTGCCTAACTTCATTTCCGGCCAAAGATTTTAATTTGCATTCTTTTTGGTTTTCATAAGCAGAGTTTGCTGGTTCTCCTTTTCTTTTTTAAGGGACTGCTGGAACCTGGTTGCTGAGGGAAAGGTTTTTGCAGTGGCTCAAGGAAAACACACAGACGGCTTCTTGCCATGTGATCTAACATGTGGGTTAGGCGCTGTAGCACCGTAAGATCTCGTTTTATCTGCCCAGCCTCCTCCCGTGGGGTTTTCTCAGTTTCCATAAAAGACCTTTTATGTATTTATAATATGCCTATGATATGCCAACATGTCAGATGCAAGTAGATTCTGTGTCCCTGGGGAACAGGAAACTGAGGGTGTGTCTGCTGTTATCTCTCCCGGCTGCCTTATCTGTGTTTCTCCCTGAGAGAAGGAACACCACCACTTGTGGGATTTTCAGAAGAATCTGATTAAGAGACAGTAGATTGCGCAGAGTAATTCTAATCGTAAAAGTACAGTGGTGCCTCGCAAGACGAAAAGAATCCGTTCCGCGAGTCTCTTCGTCTTGCGGTTTTTTCGTCTTGCGAAGCAAGCCCATTAGCGGTTTAGCGGATTAGCGCTATTAGCGGCTTAGCGGGCTTAGCGGATCAGCTGATAAGCGGCTTAGTGGCTTAACGGATCAGCTGTTAAGCGGCTTAGCGGATCAGCTGATACGCGGCTTAGTGGCTTAGCGATCAGCTGTTTAGCGGCTTAGCGGATCAGCTGATAAGCGGCTTAGCGATCAGCTGTTTAGCGGCTTAGCGGATCAGCTGATAAGCGGCTTAGCGGCTTGGGGAAAAGGGGGGGGGAAGGAAAAAAACCCCGCAGGAACTCGCAAGACATTTTCGTCTTGCGAAGCAAGCCCATAGGAAATTCTTTTTGCGAAGCACCTCCAAAACGGAAAACCCTTTCGTCTAGCGGGTTTTCCGTCTTGCGAGGCATTCGTCTTGCGGGGCACCACTGTACTGAATAGGTTATTGCTAAGGTGGCTGTTCTTGTTTCATAGAAGCTTAGGTTGTTGTGGATTCCGCTTGTGTGTACACGCACAGGGATAGCTTAACGTGGTAAGCCTCCAGATGTTTTGGACTACAACTCCCATCAACCTCAGCCAGCAGGCTCATGGGAGTTGCAACATAGGGAGGGCACTGTGCTGGCTATCCCTGCAATACCGCAGCCTCCCCCAAATCTGGTGCCCCCTGATTCCTTGGAATACAACTCCCCTCATTCCCAGCCAACATGGCTGTGCTGGCAGAGGTTGATGGGAGTTGTAGTCCAAAGCTTCAGGAGGCAGGAAATGATGCTGTAAGCATAAGCTTTCTCGTTCTATTTATTTATTTATTTATTTATTTTAAAGAATTACTGAACAAGCAGAGTCTTCATATACATGCAATACCAGCAAACAAACATAGAAATTATTGAGAATATACATACAAAAGAACAAAAAGAAAGCAAAAAAAGAAAAAGGGGGGGAGGGAGGGAAGAAAAGAAAAAAAGAAAAGAAATAAGAATAAAATTATGACTAGAGTAAAAAAAATAGTAATATCTCATATTTCAGTCCGCAAAGAAAAGAAACTTCCGACTATACCCGTTGTACTAATTTTCAAATAAACTATTATTTACACAGTTACACAACGTTGTTTTTTTGTTACCTTAATTTAACTTTATCTGGCATGTACTTTGTATTACAAGGCTCATTCAATATCTGCCAGAAAACTTTTACTATTGCAGTACCCTTTGAGTAAGCATTCTCATTTTAGACCCGCCCTTGTGCTGGCAGCCTATCAAACTAAATATAAGGAAGATACCGACTTTTCCCATTGGTCTGGCTAGCCCTGTATTGGCCAACTAATTGGCTCTTCAGGGTCTTGGGCAACTTGCTACCCAAGCTCCTTTTGAACATCACTGCCAGAGATGTCAAGCATTTAAAGGTAAAGGTAAAGGTACCCCTGCCCGTACGGGCCAGTCGTGTCCGACTCTAGGGTTGTGCGCCCATCTCACTTAAGAGGCCGGGGGCCAGCGCTGTCCAGAGACACTTCCGGGTCACGTGGCCAGCGTGACGAAGCTGCTCTGGCGAGCCAGCACCAGCGCAGCACACGGAAACACTGTTTACCTTCCCGCTATAAAGCGGTACCTATTTATCTACTTGCACTTAAGGGTGCTTTCGAACTGCTAGGTGGGCAGGAGCTGGGACCGAAAGATGGGAGCTCACCCCGCTGCGGGGATTCGAACCGCCGACCATGCGATCGGCAAGCCCTAGGCACTGAGGTTTTACCCACAGCGCCACCCGCGTCCCTGTCAAGCATTTACTCTGCCTCAGAGCTTACATCAAACATGGACTAGTATCCCATTCTGAAATGGCACATTTCCCCTTGGAACCAAATAGCTGATGTCTCTTCCTTTCTCTTTTACTGCACAGGTCGGTGACCACAAATTCAGTGCCCACCGGATTGTCTTGGCGGCCTCCATCCCTTACTTCCATGCCATGTTTACAAACGACATGATGGAGTGCAAGCAAGATGAAATTGTCATGCAGGGCATGGATCCAAGGTAATAATAATAATACAGTGGTGCCTCGCAAGACGAAAAGAATCCGTTCTGTGAGTCTCTTCGTCTAGTGGTTTTTTCGTCTTGCGAAGCAAGCCCATTGACGGATTAGCGGATTAGCGCTATTAGCGGCTTTTAGCGGCTTATCAGCTTATCGGATAAGCAGATAAGCGGCTTAGCGGCTTAGAAAAAGAGGGGGGAAAGGAAAAAAAAAACGCAGGAACTCGCAAGACATTTTCGTCTTGCGAAGCAAGCCCATAGCAGATTCGTTTTGCGAAGCACCTCCAAAACGGAAAACTCTTTCGTCTAGCGAGTTTTCCGTCTTGCGAGGCATTCGTCTTGCGGGGCACCACTGTAATAATAATAATAATAATAATAATAATAATAATAATATTTATTTATACCCCGCCCTCCCCAGCCAAGGTCGGGCTCAGGGCGGCTAACAAGCAATAATAAAAAGAAGTTGAATGAATACAACTTAAAAACAAGTTTAAAATACATTAAAATATTGAAACATTAAAATGCAGCCTCATCACAGGAGGAGAAAGGAAAAAGGAAAAAGAAAGAGGGGGAGGGAATCAAACTGGTTCCAAGCCAAAGGCCAGGCGGAACAACTCTGTCTTACAGGCCCTGCGGAAAGAAATCAGATCCTGCAGGGCCCTGGTCTCATTAGGCAGAGCGTTCCACCAGGCTAGAGCCAGTGTTGAAAAGGCCCTGGCTCTGGTTGAGGCTAATCTGACTTCGTTAGGGCCCGGGACCACTAGGGTGTTGCTGTTTATGGACCTTGAGGCTTTCCGTGGGGCATACCGGGAGAGGCGGTCCCGTAGATACGAGGGTCCTAGGCCGTGAAGGGCTTTAAAGGTCAAAAGCAGCACCTTAAATCTGACCCTGTACTCCACCGGGAGCCAGTGCAGCTGGAAAAGCACTGGGTGAATATGCTCCCATGGCAGAGACCCCGTGAGGAGCCTCGCTGCAGCATTCTGCACCCACTGGAGTTTCTGGGACAGCTTCAAGGGCAGCCCTGCGTAGAGCGAATTACAGTAGTCAAGCCTGGAGGTGACCGTCGCATGGATCACTGTGGCCAGGTCGGGGCGGGAAAGGTAAGGGACCAACTGCTTGATGGTAATCCATGGGGAGTTCATTTCGGGGGTGCAGCAGCTTAGAAACACTGAAAAAGGGAACTGATCCTTCTCAGTTGTGGAAAAAAGTCGCCCCCGAAATGAAAAATTGGAATCTCCCATTTACTACTCAATGAAAATGACTTCAAGAATTTGTCAGAAATATTGAAACCTTACCAAAAATTGCTGGTACAGTCATACCTCGGGTTGAATGTGCTTCGGAATGAGCGCATTCGAGTTGCGCTCCACGGCAACCCAGAAGTAACAGAGCGCGTTACTTCCGGGTTTCGCCGCTTGCGCATGCGCAGACGCTCAAAATGACGTCATGCGCAGAAGCGCCAAAACATGGCACGTGCACATGCAGACACGCAGACACGGGTTACGTTTGCTTCTAGATGCGAACTGGGCTCCGGAACAGATCCCGTTCGCATCTAGAGGTACCACTCTATTGGAGAATCGCTTGAAGCAGGAGCCATCCTTACTCCAGATACCAGGAAGTAATCAGCGCTCAGAACGCACAAAGTAAGGTGGGAACTTTATGGTGCTTGTAACCAAGACAAACCACAACCTCCATTTATTCTAAACAATAAAAAGTGATATACAGAGTACAAAACATTGCACAAGTACAGTGGTACCTCGGGTTAAGTACTTAATTCATTCCGGAGGTCTGTTCTTAACCTGAAACTGTTCTTAACCTGAAGCACCGCTTTAGCTAATGGGGCCTCCTGCTGCCGCTGTGCCGCCGGAGCACGATTCTGTTCTCATCCTGAAGCAAAGTTCTTAACCCGAGGTAATATTTCTGGGTTAGCAGAGTTTGTAACCTGAAGCGTATGTAACCTGAGGTACCACTGTACTAGAAAATTTGTAACCTCTGGTTTTCCTGCATTATAATCCATAATTATAATCATTACATAATTCATTATACAGTTACAAAAAAAGTTTTATTGATTTCGGGGTGAGTTTTTCTCCCCAAAACATTTGGAAACGGCAGTTCATTCCTTTGCTTTTAGGCAAAAGTTCATCTAACTAAGCTTACAGGAACATGAGGTTGTAAAGATGTTATAACCTTAGTACATCACAGTTGCTGTTTTCCAGCTTATCTCTGCAATCCCAAGGACCAGAAGCGCAATGTTCTTGTTGCTGTTGAAGGCCTGGAATCCTTGGAATCTGACAAGGGCCTATCAATCAACACAGACCTTGCCCGGGGTTGAACGTTGCTGCCCCTCCCCACCGACCCTCACTCAAACACACACACACACGTTTTGAAGTGGCTTATAAAGTCATGTGTGTGTTTACTAACATCTCATACTTTCCCATTCTTCTCTGGCCCGTTTAGCGCACTGGAAGCTCTGATCAACTTTGCCTACAATGGGCACTTGGCAATCGACCAGCAGAACGTCCAGTCCTTGCTGATGGGGGCAAGTTTCCTGCAACTGCAAAACATCAAGGATGCCTGCTGCTCATTCCTCAGAGAGAGGTGAGGGGGCTGCTTCCAGATAATCTCGCTGCTATGACGCAGGGTGTGGTTTTTATTTTATTTTATTTTTTCAATTTTTTTTATTGATTTTAACAGATAGAACATACAAAACGTACAAAAGAAAGCACACCACAATACTACACAACAAAAGAAAAGAAAAAACAGAAATAAAAACACATATTCTTTCTAAAGTTCATTTTAAATTTCATTATTAACTGACTTCCTCGAATCCCCTCTAACTGAATTTCATTATATCTTTTTTTATAATAATTTTTATTAATTTTAACATATAAATTATAATGCATACCACAAAACTTCACCACTTATACAATCTTTTTTTGGACATCTATCAGCACCTTTGATGATCCACCGTTTTAACCACTTCTTATGCATTTCTTAAATTCATATTGCCTTTAATTATTCTTAACTAACCATCCTCCCCTTTATCTATTTTTGCAATAGTTCCAATAATTCACCTCACAGAACTTCTTACAATGAATTTCATTATATCACCTTGTAACAGTTCTCCAAAATCATCTTTCTACTACAGTTAACTCCTTCAATCTACTATCTTCATCTCTTTTCTTACTGACTTAGATCCATATTAATATACAACATCCTTATTCTAATCCTAGGCCTATTTGGTACTTTCAAGTATTTTCGACTTATCATATTACAATATTTATCTAAATCATCTTTAAATTTCTTCCAATCTTCTTGGTGTTCCTCTTCTTTCTGATCGCGGATTCTTCCAGTCAGGTCTGCCAGCTCCAAAAACTCCAACATCTTCATCTGCCATTCTTCTACTGTTGGTATTTTTGAGATTTCCTTGACGCAGGGGGTGCTTTGTGTGACTGTTTCCCTTATCCCAAGGCGGAATCGTAGGCGCATCAAGATTTCAGAGATTCCGTCCGTCCTCTGCAATCCAGACTGTGTGGCATGCTACAAAGCAGGAAGTGTGTGCAAAATAGAGATAGCTCCTGATACGGAAGTGAGGCAAAATCTTTCTTGCACAGACACACACCAGGGAAAACCCGGCCAGCAGCTAGCATTTCCGGGGGCCCGTTTTGAGAAGAGCTTAAGGAACGGTGGTCCACCACCTTGGTTGCCATTTCCTGAAAGCAAAATCTGCTGTTGCAGCAGATATTGAATTTCCTGAAGGCAAAATCTGTTGCTGCAGCAGATACTGCCACTGTACCAGCCCCCAGGCACGGAAGAGGTGGTCTAAGGGCCCCCCTCCCAACCCCTAAGACAGGCATAGGCAAACTCGGCTCTCCAGATGTTTTGGGACTACAATTCCCATCATCCCTGACCACTGGTCCTGCTAGCTAGGGATCATGGGAGTTGTAGTCTCCAAAAATCTGGAAGGCTGAGTTTGCCTATACCTGCCCTAAGAAGTCTGTTGAAGGCATGGCAGTGGGGATTTAAAGATGTCTCCTATTTCACAGCCTTCCCCCCAAGTTAACTTGAGTTGAGTTAAGAAACTTAAGAGTACTTCGTACGAGAGAACCACAGAGCCAGCTTAATACAAAGTTATACATTTCTGTATAATAATAATAATAATATTTTATTTATATCCCGCCCTCCCCAGCCAAAGCCGGGCTCAGAGCGGCTAACAACAATAAAAATAGCACAGTTTACATAAAATCACAGTCAGTTAATTGCAATACATTCTAAAATCAATTCAAAATCAAATTAATGGTAACCATTGGGCTAGAGTTCTATGAGGATTACAGGAGGAGAGAGGGGGTCAGGCTGTGCCTTGGCCAAAGACCTGGTGGAACAGCTCTGTCTTGCAAGCCCTGCAGAAATATGTCAAGTCCCGCAGGGCCCTAGTCTCTTGGGACAGAGCGTTCCACCAGATCGGAGCCACGGCCGAAAAGGCCCTGGCTCTGGTTGAGGCCAGCCTAATTTCCCTGTGGCCCGGGACCTCCAAGATATTTTTGTATGAAGACTCCGTGGGACATACCAGGAGAGGCGGTCCCATAGGTACGAGGGTCCTAGGCCGTATAAGGCTTTAAAGGTCAAAACCAGCACCTTAAACCTGATCCTGTACTCCACCGGGAGCCAGTGCAGCAGGGAGAAAAGGCAGGTTATAAATACATATATATAAATAATGATGATGATACATTTAAAGCTAGATGAGACTCAGCTCTTCTTCTAGGTTGTTGGGATTGTCCTGTCCCAGCACCTTTGGATAGGTGCCCCGCTGGAGTGAGCCAAGGAGGCTACTGGAAGATGGTTTCTCATGAGCAAGTCCCAACAGTTGAGGTGCCTGGAAATCTCTCTTCACCATTTTGGAACTCCTCCTCCCTTTTTTTTTAAAGAAAAGACCGCAGCTCAGGGGCTGACCAACCTTGGAACCAAAAGCAATAATAATAGTAATAATAATATTATTTACCCCGCCCATCTGGCTTGGTTTCCCCAGCCACTCTGGGCAACTTCCAGCAGAATATTAAAATACAATGATTCATTAAACATTAAAAGCTTCCCTAAAGAGGGCTGCCTTCAGATGTCTTCTAAAAGTCTGATAGTTGTTTATCTCCTTGACATCTGATGGGAGGGCGTTCCACAGGGTGGGCGACACTACCGAGAAGGCCCTCTGCCTGCTTCCCTGTAACTTTGCTTCCCACAGTTAGGGAACCACCAGAAGGCCCTCAGAGCTGGACCTCAGTGTCCAGGTGGTAGAATAATAATAATAATAATAATAATAATAATATTTCATATACCACCATTTATCAAAACATCCTAGGGTGGTGGGAGCTTTGTTGCATCTTAAAGACGAACTAATTCATTGTGGCATGGCAGTCGTGGACTATAGTGTACTTCGCCAGATCTATGAAATGCTAATAAGTAGAACCAAGTGTAAAGGGATATGGGTGGCGCTGTGCGTTAAACCACAGAGCCTAGGACTTGTCGATCAGAAGGTCGGCGGTTTGAATCCCTGTGACAGGGTGAGCTCCCGTTGCTCAGTCCCTGCTCCTGCCAACCTAGCACATCAAAGTGCAAGTAGATAAATAGGTACCGCTCCGACGGGAAGGTAAACGGCATTTCCGTGCGCTGCTCTGGTTCGCCAGAAGCGGCTTAGTCCTGCTGCCCACATGACCCGGAAGCTGTACCCCGGCTCCCTCGGCCAATAAAGCAAGATGAGCGCCACAACCCCAGAGTCGGCCACGACTGGACCTAATGGTCAGGGGTCCCTTTACCTTTACCTAGAACCAAGTTTAGCTTACTCACTCTAAAAAATATGTGGTGGCCAAAGTTACAGAGACGAATCCCTTTAACAACCTATTTGATCTCTTTCCCCATACTTATTTTTAAATACTGATGATTCCTTTGCGGTGTTGCTTGGATGGCTTTAAAAGAGGATTAGACAAATTCACGGAGGATAAGGCTTTCTGTGGCTACTAGCCTTGATGACTGTGCTTAGAATCAGAACGAGCCACGATCAGGAGAATACTATTTCAAAAAGCAGGCGCTTAACAAAAGCCAGACCCTTAATTTGTCCACCAAATGCAGTCCTCTGTAGTAGCATTGCTCCTGAAATCTTTGGTGCCATGCCCCAAAAGAGTGCATTTGTGGACAGGTTAAACAGCCAGGGTCCTTGATGCAGAAAGTGGAGGCTGCCTTCCTCTGCCCCTGTAGGTTGTTCCCTTTCTCTGTAGAGGACGTTGCCTTCTTCTCAAGTTCACAGTAAGGCGCAGTAAAGGCAGAGGGCCCTATCCACTTCCTTGTCCATTTGCATCTAGGGCAAAGGTAGAGTGACCTAGAAGAGGAAATTGCTGAGCAGTCTGGCTTTATAGCTTTTGGACCGGTTTCGCTGGAGAGAATGCCTGGCCGAAGCTTCTGTGGAATGCTGCCCTGTAACTTGGGCTGGGTCAAAAGACATGCACACTTGTTGCCAGTTCATCAGAAAAGGAGAATTTGAAATATCCGTGGCCTGCCAAGAAGCCATTCTCTTCCCCCCTCCCTTCCACTCATACCATGGGAGTTAAGCCGCATCGTTGACGTGCCTCTAGTTAAAGGGTCAGAGGACCAGATGGGTCTGCAGCCAGCAGGGCTGATCTGCCGCTACCCGTATTGCTTGATTTCTCTCTCCCTCTCCCTGATGCAATTGTAAATAAGTGCTTCAGTAGAAGAGAGGACTGTGAACTTCACGTCAAAGCCTGCTTTGGGTAGTCTTTTAGACAGGGTGAAGAGGAACCTTCTTTCTGTTGGCCGGGAGGTGGGGGCGGTAGCTAGCCACAGTCATAGACAGATTCCAGGTGTCAAATCAAAGAGCCAATTACCGTATTTTTCGCTCTATAGGACGCACCCGACCGTAGGACGCACCTAGTTTTAGAGCGGGAGAACAAGAAAAAAAATTACCGTCTTTTTCGTTCTATAAGACGCACCAGACCACAAGACGCACCTAGTTTTTGGAGGAGGAAAACAAGAAAAAAAATATTCTGAATCTCAGAAGCCAGAACAGCAAGAGGGATCGCTGCTCTTGCTGTTCTGGCTTCTGGGATAGCTGCACAGCCTGCATTCACTCCATAAGATGCACACACATTTCCCCTTACTTTTTAGGAGGGAAAAAGTGAGTCTTATAGAGCAAAAAATACGGTATCTCCCTTTCTGCACAGCGCCTCTTCAGCAAAGCGGCAGGAGAAATGGAGCCCCTTCCATTTCTCTGCCTGCTTCGCTGAAGGGGCGCTGCGCAGAGAGGGAAAGCTACGCACTGCCTCTCCAGCGAAGCAAAGCCAGGAGAGCGAGAGGGATCGGTGTGCACGGACCCCTCTCGCTCTCCAGGCTTCAGTGAAAGCAACGCGAAGCCTCCGGAGCGCGGCGGGAGCGCTCCCACTGCGCTTCGGAGGCTTTGCGTTGCTGTCGCTGAAGCCATGGAGCCTGCATTCGCTCCATAAGACGCACACACATTTACCCTTAATTCTTGGAGGGGGAAAATTGCGTCTTATAAAGCGAAAAATACGGTATATAGATTTCCAGAAAAGAAAAGGAGAAAACTGGTGGCTTTGCCAGTATAAGATATGCACACACTGTGCCGAAAAGGTTCCCCCTGAAAGAGACGAAAACCTCAGGTAAATGCAGGCTGCCAAGTAGGGATTTTATTTTATTTTATTTACCATACTTTCCCGTCTATAAGACGCCCCCTATTTTGTTGTTTAGTCGTGTCCAACTCTTCTTGACCCCATGGACCAGAACATGCCAGGCACCTGAACACACCCCAGGGTCAGCGTGGCTGTGTGACTGTGTGAAACAGGGTTTCCCAAACTTTGCTGGTTTTGGACTACAATTCCCATCATCCCTGACCGCTGGTCCTGCTAGCTTGGGATGATGGGAGTTGTAGTCCAAAAACAGCTGGAGACCCAGGTTTGGGAAAATCCTGTTCTAGAGGGTGACGGGGGTTGGGGACTGGCTTTTGCTTAGGTCAGACACTTTCTTAGCTGTTCAACTCTCTCATGTTCATCTGCACCATCCTTAAAGGCTTCACCCAAAAAACTGCCTGGGCGTGCGCCAGTTTGCCGAAACTATGATGTGTGCCGTACTCTACGATGCTGCCAACAGCTTCATCCACCAGCACTTTGTGGAGGTTTCTGTGTGCGAAGAGTTCCTGGCCTTGCCCTTGGAAGATGTCCTGGAGCTGGTCTCGAGGGATGAGCTCAACGTTAAGTTAGAAGAGCAGGTAGGTGCCTCCGAGGTCCCAAGGTGCGTTGGTCGCTCATCGCAAGGTTTGCCTTCCACCATTCCTGGTATGCCCCACGGAGAGCCTCAAGGTGCATAAATAGCAACACCCTAGTGGTCCCAGGCCCTGAGGAAGTCAGACTAGCTTCAACCAGAGCCACAGCCTTTTCAACACTGGCTCCAGCCTGGTGGAACGCTCTGTCTCATGAGACCAGGGCCCTGCAGGATCTGATTTCTTTCCGCAGGGCCTGTAAGACAGAGTTGTTCCGCCTGGCCTTTGGCTTGGAGCCAATTTGATTCCCTCCCCCTCTTTCCTTTCTCCTCCTGTGATGAGGCTGCATTTTAATGTTTCAATATTTTAATGTTGTATTTTAATCTTGTTTTTAAGATGTATTCATTCAGCTTGTTTTTATTATTGCTTGTTAGCCGCCCTGAGCCCGGCCTTGGCTGGGGAAGGCGGGGTATAAGTAAAAATTATTATTATTATTATTATTGAAAGCCAGAAGGGCTCGTGACAGCTAGCAGGTTGAATAAGAGGCAGATTTCAGTACAGGACAAGCGTAAAGAAAACCAGCAGCGTAGCTGCAAAGCGGTAACAAGGAAGGGGGCAAGCAAAACCACCTAGGCGCAGGCTGAAAGCCTCCGGACGGCAAAGAGTATTCGAGAGACAGCAGGAAGCAAGTGAAAGGGTGAGTTCCACACACCCTTCCCTTGAGAGCTGCAATAGAAAAGGTTTATCTTATTTCCGGGGGACGCTGTGGTCTAAACCACAGAGCCTAGGACTTGCCGATCAGAAGGTCGGCGGTTCGAATCCCCGCGACGGGGTGAACTCCCGTTGCTCGGTCCCTGCTCCTGCCAACCTAGCAGTTCGAAAGCACGTTAAAGTGCAAGTAGATAAATAGGTACTGCTCCGGCGGGAAGCTAAACGGCGTTTCCGTGCGCTGCTCTGGTTCGCCAGAAGCGGCTTAGTCATGCTGGCTACATGACCCGGAAGCTGTACATTGGCTCCCTCAGCCAATAAAGCGAGATGAGCGCCGCAACCCGAGAGTCGGCCACGACTGGACCTAATAGTCAGTGGTCCCTTTACCTTTATCTTATTTCCACTGATGGTAACTCCAGCTTCCTAGGTCCAAGTGCAGAGAACCTTCTTGTGCAGGAAGAAAAGGCCAGGTCATCTCGGTGGCCAACCAAATATCACTTGGTGGCTTCCTCTGCGTTGTGGCCTCCCAGGCATCACTTGCCACACACCATCGTCAGATAAAATGCCACCCTACACTGCCTTTTATCTATGTCGCTCTTTGACATGGTGCTTTTGATGACTGCAAGCTGACCTTAGCACTGCAAATCTTGAAGGAGAGTAAGTTGAGTGATCCTTCTGCCCATAAATCATGGGCTCAACCGCTGATCTCCGCGCTAAAGCAGCTGAGAATTATTTGTGTCTCAAGAGTGGGCTTGTCAAAGGGCTATCCTAGCGAGGACAGATGTTTTTATGGGGGTAGATTATCGGGGGGGGAGGTGGGTGTGGCAGCCACAGAGGAAGTGCCTAGATAAGTCGTTTATGTAAGAGGAGGACTTTAGAGCGGTTGTGGGAGTCCAGGGGCAAGTTAACCCTAGGGGTTAACTTCCCGGTCTTCCCCTGCTTAAATGTATATTGTTAAAGTCTTTGTGGCTTAGGACCCTCGTATCTACGGGACCACCTCTCCTGGTCTGCCCCGCAGAGGACCTTAAGGTCCATAAATAACCATAGTTTAGAGGTCCTAGGCCCTAAGGAAGTCAGACTATCCTCTGCCAGGGCAAGGGCCTTTTCAGTGATGGCTCCGACCTGGTGGAATGCTCTGTCCCAGGAGACTAGGGCCCTTCAGGATTTAATCTCCTTCCATCGGGCCTGTAAGACAGAGCTATTCCGCCTGGCCTTTAATGTGAATTCAGCCTGATCTTTTATTTCCCTTCTCTTCCCTCCCCCTCCCCTTTTATGAAGATCACCCGCTCTGAGACCCCACAGCTAATTCTCCCCTGGCCTCCTCGCTGGCCCAAGTAGGACCAATTCAGCCAGCTAGCCCTGGGGATTATCTAACTGATTTTTTAATTTTATTGTCATTCATGTTTTTATACTGTATTTTACGCTGTTTTTATAATTAAGTGTTTTAAAGTATTTTAAATTTGTTGTTAGCTGCCCTGAGCCCGGTTTTTGAACCGGGAATGGCGGGGTATAAATAAAAATTTATTATTATAAAGATACAGATTTTTGTAGCACTTCATTCTAAGCCCTCGAGTTCGGTGTTAGAAACTCGGATATATAAGCTAATCGCTAAATGGCACCTTAAACCTTGGTTACGGTTGCCACAATGGTCTGTCAAGGCACTATTTCCGCTCCCCCCCCCTCCAGTTGTGGGGTTTATTGTTCTTGTTAATTTTATTTCTCTGCGGCTTTAGGTTTTAAAGAGAATACCTCAAAGCGGTTTACAACACATGAAAATAAAAACAAAACATCAGATACAACAATCCAGAATAAAACAAAGTCAAGCTTCAATGAAAACATTGCAGGTCCTTCTCTTAAGTGAGATTTTGCTTCCTCCATATTTATTTGCCGACTAAATTTCCAGAGCTGCCCCATAGCAGACGTTCTCGAGGGAGCCAGTGTGGTTAAGTGGTCAGAGCATCGGACTAGGACCTGGGAGATCAGGGTTCAAATCCCCACTCAGTCCCGAAGCTCCCTGGGTGAGATTGGAGTCAGTCACATCCTCTTGACCTTCCTCACAGGGTCGTTGTAGGGATTAACTGGGTGGCGGGGCTGAACCATGGACTCCTTGGAGAAAAAGTGGGATATAAATGCAATGGGACGCGGGTGGCGCTGTGGTCTAAATCACAGAGCCGAGGTCTTGCTGATCAGAAGGTCGGCGGTTCGAATCCTCACGATGGCGTGAGCTCCTGTTGCTCAGTCCCTGCTCCTGCCAACCTAGCAGTTCGAAAGCACGTCAAAGTGCAAGTAGATAAATAGGTACCACTCCGGCGGGAAGGTAAACGGCGTTTCCGTGCGCTGCTCTGGTTCGCCAGAAGCGGCTTAGTCATGCTGGCCACATGACCCGGAAGCTGTACGCCGGCTCCCTCAGCCAGTACAGCGAGATGAGCGCCGCAACCCCAGTGTCGTCTACGACTGGACCTCGCGGTCAGGGGTCCCTTTACCTTTGCTATAAATGCAATAAATAAGATCTTCAGTTTACCTGCTTAAGAAACTAGAGAGGGCAGCCAGGTGGAGATGTCAGTCGGCAATCTGGCACCCAGAGATCTCTCATGTGGTCGCAATGGACTCCCACGCCAGTCGCAAAACATGCCTGGCGCCTGGATAATTTCTAACACTGCTTAAGTCTAAGCTGGGTTTCAAGCCTGAATGAGTGTCGGTGCTTCAAGAGGACTGATGCTTTCATCTCTTCCAGAGTTTCCTAAAACAGGGCATCATAACCTGGAAACGTCCTGGCTAGCCTTTTTTTATATATTTCCCTCTCTGCTTCCAACAGGTCTTCGAAGCCGCTCTGGCCTGGGTGAGGTACGACCGCGAGCATCGAGAGCCCTTCTTGCCGGAGCTCCTCTCCAAAATCCGCCTGCCTCTTTGCCGACCCCAGTTCCTTGCGGACCGGGTCCAGCAGGACGACCTTGTCCGCTGCTGCCACAAGTGCAGGTGGGTATGCGAGGACTGAGCTGCCTGTAGTAGTTCCAGGAGGGGAATCACAACGAGGAAGCGCGTGGGACAGTGACAGGCGCAGAGCCCCAAACACAGAATCCCTTTTCCACCATGCAGGCAAAAGAGAGAGGGAGTTTTCCTCCAGGTGACCCAGCCAGGTCAGATTGTCCTCCTCTCTCTTGCGTCTCCTCTGTCTCTTAAGCTCAGGGCAGGCAATGGGCTATGTGAGCTTTGTGTCATCCAGTACAGTGGTACCTCAGGTTAAGTACTTAATTCGTTCCGGAGGTCCGTTCTTAACCTGAAAATGTTCTTAACCTGAAGCACCACTTTAGCTAATGGGGCCTCCTGCTGCTGCCGCGCCGCCAGAGCACGATTTCTGTTCTCATCCTGAAGCAAAGTTCTTAACCTGAAGCACTATTTCTGGGTTAGCGGAGTCTGTAACCTGAAGCGTATGTAACCTGAAGCGCATGTAACCCGAGGTACCACTGTATCTTGATGTGTGTTCACCATTCAGACAGGCAGGTGGTGGAATTCTGAGATGCACCACTGCAGACATTCCCTGAGACAGAATTCTTCTGCACATAATAAGTAATTATGTAAGGGAGGAGGTGTGGCCTGGGAGGGTCCCACATGCCGGGTAAGGGGCTACTTTCATCCTCCAAGATTGGGGTTTCCCACTCCTGATTTTACGCTTCCAGTCAGCAAAGCATTCTGCTCAGGTAGGTCATTGCCACGCCCATTTTACTTAAGCTGCTCTGAGGTTTAGGCTGCCGCATAAATGTACGTGAAACGTCATGCGTAATCGATGCTAAATTTCTGGTTTTGAACTGAACCCAAATGTTGTGGAAATTGGGTTGGATTTCTTGGAATGTAATAAAAAGGAAATTGGAAATTTAGAATAGAACGAGCTTGTATCTTTTAGGAAGAATATCAGTTATTAAGATGAGCGTATTGCCAAACATGCTGTTTTTATTCCAATCAATCCCGATAATATGCAATATGGAATGTTTTGAAGATTAGCAAAAAGATATTTCAGAATTTATCTGGCAGTGTAAGAAGCCGAGAATAAAATACAAATTATGAACAGATACTAAAGATAGAGGAGGCTTCTCACTGCCTGATTTGAAATTATATTATGAAGCCTCTTGCATTAGTTGGATTCAGGAATGGATAAAATTAACAAATACAGATAGACTCTGTGCGCTTTGCGCATGTGCAGAAGTGCTCTGCTGTGCCGTGTGCGCACGCAGAAGCGGTCCTCAGGTTACGAAATTTTTGGGTTATGGCCAGGCCTCCGGAACAGATCCCATTCGTAACCGGAGGTACCACTGTATATCATTTCCCATTTGGATTTCAGGGACCTCGTGGATGAAGCAAAGGATTACCACCTCATGCCAGAGCGACGACCCCACCTCCCGTCTTTCAAAACCCGCCCCCGTTGCTGCACCTCTATCGCAGGCCTGATCTATGCCGTGGGAGGCCTCAATTCAGCAGGTATCTTTCAACTCTGTTGTTTGCCAGGGATGTATGCCTAGGAAGCACCGTGGAATTGTAGAATTGGGACCCCGAGAGTCACCTAGTCTAACCCCCTGCGATGCAGGAATCTCAGCTGAAGCATCCATGAGACTGTCAGAAAGTTCTTCCCGATGTTTAGTCGGAATCTCCTTTCCTATAAGCCATTGGTTCGAGTCCTGCCCTCCGGAGCAGGAGAAAACTAGCTTGCTCCATCTTCCCTGTGACAGCTGTTTAGCTATTGGAAGATGGCTCTCCAAAGCAGCCTCTTTGGACCCTATTATATGCTGGCCTGTCATGACTCCCTGCCAAAGGGCAATGTGAATTGTAGTTCGCTGCATGTGCCGCAGTGCTCAGACACACTGAATTAAAGTCCTGTGCTGGCAAGGGGGATTAAGAGCAACGCCTGAACCCATGGTATATCTGGGTTGGTCACCCGGTGATTTGAGTGTCACAATCCTGTTCTGATCCAAAAAGGGGATATGTTTGCATTGGCTTCCCTGATCTCCCTAGGTCGGGCATGGCCAAACTTGGCCCTCCAGCTGTTTTGGGACTACAACTCCCACAATCCCTAGCTATCAGGACCAGTGGTCAAGGATGATGGGAATTGTAGTCCCCAAACAGCTGGAGGGCCAAGTTTGACCATGTCTGCCCTAGGTGAAAAGTCAGATAAAGATGTGTAGCTCATCCAGCTCATCCTCCCTTAAAGAACAATTGCATGCCCAAAGCAAATCACACAATATAAATCATGTGTGGAACAAAGCAGAGTTGGATCAAGACCAGTGGGTTCCAATCCGTGAATTCTCAGCAATGCAAGAGTTGTTGTTTGGGGCCTTTACCCCTTGCTGCTTGCTCTGTGACAAGCCTCGTAAACCCTGGCAAATTCGTCATCCCGTGGTATCCTGCAAGGATCGTTTGGGATTCTAGCAAGGGCACGTAGTCGTAGCTGCACAGAGGAAGGCGAGCCCGGCAGCCGTTCACCATAAATTATGAAAAAGGCCTGCCCTTTCCCTCTGACAGCAGTTTATCACACGGATAGTCTGAATCACTATAAGTAGGTGCAATAAATGCGAAGCTGCTGTTCATGAGTACCGTATTTTTCCGTGTATAAGACGACCCCATGTTGAAAGGTAAAGGGTAAAGGGACCCCTGACCATTAGGTCCGGTCATGGCTGACTCTGGGGTTGTGGCGCTCATCTCGCTCTATAGGCCGAGGGAGCCGGCGTACAGCTTCCAGGTTATGTGGCCAGCATGACTAAGCCGCTTCTGGCGAACCAGAGCAGCGCACAGAAACGCCGTTTACCTTCCCGCTGAAGCGGTACCTATCTATCTACTTGCACTTTGACGTGCTTTCGAACTGCTAGGTTGGCAGGAGCAGGGACCGAGCAACGGGAGCTCACCCCGTCGCTGGGATTCGAACCGCCGACCTTCTGATCGGCAAGTCCTAGGCTCTGTGGTTTAACCCACAGTGCCACCCGCATCCCTTGCAACCCCATGTATAACACGACCCCTATTTTTTCTAACCCCAAAATTAAGAAATTAAGTTTTTTAGCTTTGGGGGGTGGGGCAGGGTAGGTCACTTCCGCCGATCGCTCACCCACCTGCTCACAGCCACTGCCGATCACACACCTTGCCACAGCCGCCAATCGTCTGCCCGCTCGCCGCCACCTGAACAGTATAACACAACACGATGGCCAATAGCAATGGCACTAAGCACTATTTATAGACTAATACAAATAAGCAGAAATTACAACCAAAGTCTCTAAATCTTCTTCGCCACTCACGGTAGAATAATTCAAAAACTCGATATATACATAATCTGTTACCAAATATCGCCGGAAAAGAGTTTCTGGATAACCAGTCTGTTTTGTTCAATGCTTCATCAGCCAATCCTGATCAATTCTTCATCAGCCAGACTTGTTAGGATTAATATGAGAAGGGTGCAGTTCAATTTCTTAACAAGCCGATCTTAGGTAAAGGTAAAGGGACCCCTGACCAGTCGTGGCCGACTCTGGGGTTGCGGCGTTCATCTCAATTTATTGGCCGAGGGAGCCGGCGTACAGCTTCCGGGTCATGTGGCCAGCATGACTAAGCCGCTTCTGGTGAACCAGAGCAGCGCATGGAAACGCCGTTTACCTTCCCGCTGGAGCGGTACCTATTGATCTACTTGCACTTTTGACGTGCTTTTGAACTGCTAGGTTGGCAGGAGCAGGGACCGAACAACGGGAGCTCACCCCGTCGCTGGGATTCGAACCGCCGACCTTCTGATCGGCAAGACCTAGGCTCTGTGGTTTAACCCACAGCGCCACGTGTGTCCCACAAATATAAACAAATACAAACGCTGTAGAAAAAATGCTGTGGATCAGCGCTCATATGATACCAACATATGAAGGGGTTTTTTTGGCAGGGGGGGGAGTAGTTTTAAACATTTTTTTCCAGTTCGTTGTAGATTATTTCCCAATACTCTTTTACCCTTTTACAAGTCCAGTGATGACCACTTTTTAAAACATGAGCAGCAAATTTCTATGCAGGCGACTCCCTGAACGTGGTGGAAGTCTTCGACCCCATTGCCAACCACTGGGAGAAGTGCCAGCCAATGACGACGGCCCGCAGCCGGGTGGGCGTCGCCGTGCTGAACGGGCTCTTGTATGCCATTGGTGGATACGACGGGCAGCTGAGGCTGAGCACCGTGGAAGTTTACAACCCAGAGACAGATTCCTGGTCCAAAGTGGGAAGTATGAACAGCAAACGAAGGTGAGTGAGGTCAATAATAATAATAATAATAATAATAATAATTTATTATTTATTCCCCGCCCATCTGGCTGGGTTTCCCCAGCAGCTCTGGGCGGCTTCCAACAAAGTATTAAAATACAGTAGTCTGTTAAACATTAAAAGCTTCCCTAAACAGGGCTGCCTTCAGATGCCTACTAAAAGTCTGGTAGTTGTTCTTCTCTTTGACATCTGGTGGGAGGGCGGGGTTCCACAGGGCGGGTGCCACCACCGAGAAGGCCCTCTGCCTGGTTCCCTGTAACTTGACTTCTCGCAGTAAGGGAACCGCCAGAAGGCCCTCAGAGCTGGACCTCAGTGTCTGGGCAGAAAGATGGGGGTGGAGATCTGGGATCAGGGATACTGGACTGAGGCCGCTTAGGGCTTTAGAGGTCAGCGCCAACCCTTTGAATTGTGCTCGGAAATATACTGGGAATGTAGGTCTTTCAAGACCTGTGTTATGTGGTCTCGATGGCCGCTTCCAACCACCAGTCTAGCTGCCACATTCTGGATCAGTTGTAGTTTCCGGGTCACCTTCAAAGGTAGCCCCACATAGAGTGCATTGCAGTAGTCCAAGCGGGAGATAACCAGAGCATGCACCACTCTGGCGAGACAGTCTGCAGGCAGGTAGGGAAATAGAGAAGAGGAGTGATGGGATCTTTAAAAAAAATAATTTTGAGTTTTGTGTCCTTGTTTCTCAATGTGATCCTTTTCCTGTATGTTTAGTGGTATTTGATGCATTATGACTTGCCGTTGTTTTTATTATCGTGTAGTAATTCTTTATTGCAATTGTTAAATTGTTATTATTTGCTGATGCACAATTTTACTGTTTACTATTATATTCTAATGGATTACGGTGGAACCTTGCCTCCCGAACGCCTTGGGAGCTGAACGTCCCGGCTCCCGAACGATCAAAAACCAGAAGTGATTGTTCTGGTTTTCAAACATTCTTTGGAAGCCAAACGTCTGTCATGGCTTTTGATTGGCTGCAGGAATCTTCTTGGCTTCCGATTGGCTGCAGGAGTCGGAAGCCGTGCCTTGGTTCCCAAACCATTTCGGGAGTCAAACTACAAGAAACAAAAAAGAACAAGAAAGAAGATTCCACCTAAACATTAGGAAGAACTTCCTGACAGTAAGAGCTGTTCGACAGTGGAATTTGCTGCCAAGGAGTGTGGTGGAGTCTCCTTCTTTGGAGGTCTTTAAGCAGAGGCTTGACAACCATATGTCAGGAGTGCTCTGATGGTGTTTCCTGCTTGGCAGGGGGTTGGACTCGATGGCCCTTGTGGTCTCTTCGAACTCTATGATTCTATGATTCTATGATTAAGTTCAGGAACCAAGGTTCCACTGTATTGAACATTGCTTTATTTGATCTAAGTTGTTTATTTGAAAGTTACGTTTTTATTATGACTTCTTTTTTGTATCGGATCAGGTTGTTACTATGCATGTGATATTCACTGTCTATTTTGGGTTTTTTTGTTCAGCTTGTAAACCTCTTTGTGTGTAGCGATAGAGAAAGGTGGTATACACATTAAAAGAAATGAAATGAAATCTCTGGTACTCTTGCAGCACTTAGAAGAGAAGCAAATCTTTTACAAACATATATGTGCCCACATCTTCCTGTATCTGTGTTAGCAAAATGCTCTGGGGGAATGTAAAGCTGGATTCATTAGTTTAAACTGGAGCCCTTGAGACTCCAGCTCCCATCAGCCTCGGCCAGCACGTCTAGTGGTCAGGGGTGATGGGAGTTGGAAACAGAGCGATGTTTCAAGGGTCACAGCTTCCCCCTCCCCTGGTCTAGCTGGTACAAAGTCCAGGAAGGCTGGTGCTGTCCCTCAGCCAGCCAGGCGGCAGTTCCGGTGGGCCCGGAAGAGGTGAAAAGGAAGGCCTTCAGTGTTTTGTGATTTCCACAAGCTCACCAGACAGGCCAATGGGTTCAGAATGAGAAAGCAGAAGAAACTGGGCCATCGCAATTGGTCCAGGTAGAAGTGGAACCAGCCTGTAAGGAAAGCTTCTTGCCAAAAGCAGTCTTAACACCTGGCGCTTGTTTCAGTGCCATGGGGACAGTCGTGCTGGATGGGCAGATCTACGTCTGTGGAGGATACGACGGCACCTCCTCCCTCAACTCCGTGGAGGCCTATTCACCTGAGACGGACAAGTGAGTACATAATATAATAATAATAATAATTTATTATTTATACCCCGCCCATCTGGCTGGGTTTCCCCAGCCACTCTGGGCGGCTCCCGGCAGAATATTAAAAACGCGATAAAACATCAAACATTCAAAACTTCCCTAAACAGGGCTGCCTTCGGATGTCTTCTAAAAATCAAAACAAAATAAAAAAATTCCTTCCAGTAGCACCTTAGAGACCAACTAAGTTTGTTATTGGTATGAGCTTTCGTGTGCTTGCACACTTCTTCAGATACCTTCTTCGTGTGCATGCACACGAAAGCTCATACCAATAACAAACTTAGTTGCTCTCTAAGGTGCTACTGGAAAGAATTGTTTTATTTTGTTTTGACTACGGCAGACCAACACGGCTACCTACCTGTTTCTAAAAGTCAGATAGTTGTTTTTTCCTTGACATCTGATGGGAGGGCGTTCCACAGGACAGGTGTCACCACCAAGAGGGCCCTCTGCCTGGTTCCCTGTAACCCAGGCATAAGGGAACTTGGCCCTCCAGATGTTTTGGGACCACAACTCCCATCATCCCTAGCTAACAGGACCAGTGGTCAGGGATGATGGGAATTGTAGTCTCAAAACATCTGGAAGGCCAAGTTTGCCTATGCCTGCTGTAACATCACTTCTCGCAGTGAAGGAACCACCAGAAGGCCCTCGGAGCTGGACCTCCGTGTCCGGGCTGGGGGTGGAGACGCTCCTTCAGGTATACTGTGGAGTATGTCTAGACATCTCCTCTCTGCTTCTAGCAGTCCAGATGCAAGGTGTGCTTTGAAGCCTTCACCTTAAATGTGGCTGCCACTCAGTTCCTTTCATTTTCTGGTCTCTTGCAAAGGTGGATGGTGGTCACCCCCATGAGTTCGAACCGCAGTGCAGCTGGCGTCACCGTATTCGAAGGCAGGATATTTGTATCTGGCGGGCACGACGGACTGCAGATCTTCAACAGCGTGAGTTTTTTTGCTCGCCGCACCTCTTACCTTTCCCCCCATCACGCTGTTTCTTTCCTGCCCTCTTTTGAGGGCTTGTGGTGGGCTGTGACATCCTTGCTTTCCACCTTTCCGACTGGCCTGTCAGGTAGGCCGGGCTGGTCAGTAACTTGATCCCACAACTTCGATACTGAAACACAATGCATTGGCTGTAGGCTTTGCACAGAAGCTCCAGGGCATGGGTCGGCAAACTAAGGCTCTGGGGGCTGGATCCAGCCCAATTGCCTTCTGGATCCGGCCCGCTGACGTTCTGGGAATCGCCGCGTGGATCGGCATGGGGATTCTGATCGTTTGGACTGCACCATTTTCCGCCCCTTTCCCTCACACACACACTGCGGTGGCGCCTCCTCCTCCCTCCCTCCTCCTGGCTTCTCCCCGCCCTGCCTAGCGGAGGAAGGGGGCTGGGCTTTGTTGAGTGCCATTTTAAGCAGCCCCTCTCCGCAGCCAGTCCTTACGTGCCGCTCATTGTCCCTCTGCCGCCGCCAGCCCCTGCTGCTCGCAAGGCACAGGTAAGCAGCCACTGGGACTCGTCCGGTGCTGTGGAGAAGGGAGGGAAGAGTCGGGGGGTTCCCCCACAAGGTCTGAGGGACAGTGGACCGGCCCCCTGCGGAAAAAGTTTGCTGACCTCTGCTCCAGGGTCTGGAAAGTGGGCATGACCTATTTTTGTCCTATTGACCTATTTTTGTTCACTTGACAGAGCCAGTGAAAAGTTTCCTTGGCAGCAGCGTTTGGGTCCCTCTCTAGTCTTTGCCCCTGCTGTGCATCGTGACTGTGATCACCCAAGAAGGCTCTGAGCACTAAATAAAACATTCCGCCCCCTTCCATGTCCCCTTCCATCCTGTTTGAATTTGCTCTGCTGCTTTCCAGATTCCAAATCTTTGGTTTTTAAATCTTGGGACTCGGTCATCCCTCACTGCTAGGGTCATTTAAAAATGTACATAAAATATTCTCAGTTGACACCCGAAAAACGTTAAGCTGTGATAGCACCAATCATACAGTGGTACCTTGGGTTACAGACGCTTCAGGTTACAGACTCCACTAACCCAGAAATAGTACCTCAGGTTAAGAACTTGGCTTCAGGATGAGAACAGAAATCGCACAGCATCAGCGGGAGGCCCCATTAGCTAAAGTGGTACCGCAGGTTAAGAACAGACCTCCAGAACGAATTAAGTTATTAACCCGAGGTACCACTGTATATGCGGGACGCGGGTGGCGCTGTGGGTAAAACCTCAGCGCCTAGGACTTGCCGATCGCATGGTCGGCAGTTCGAATCCCCGCGGCGGGGTGCGCTCCCGTCGTTCGGTCCCAGCGCCTGCCAACCTAGCAGTTCGAAAGCACCCCTGGGTGCAAGTAGATAAATAGGGACCGCTTACCAGTGGGAAGGTAAACGGCGTTCCGTGTGCTGCGCTGGCTCGCCAGATGCAGCTTGTCACGCTGGCCAAGTGACCCGGAAGTGTCTGCAGACAGCGCTGGCTCTGGGCCTATAGAGTGAGATGAGCGCACAACCCTAAAGGCTGTCAAGACTGGCCCGTACGGGCAGGGGTACCTTTACCTTTACTTTACCACTGTATATACACAAGCACAACTTTACAAGGTAGAATTTTGTTGTCTGCAGGTCCTTCCTTGGGTATGGATTTGGAGACAACACCTAAATCTGCAGCTTTGTAATGTCTTGGAACACCCCCCCCCCCCCAAATCTAGCATCACTTATCATTATTATTGTGATTAAGATTTGTATACCGCTCTATACCCACAGGTCTCAGGGCGTCGCACAATAAAATCACAATATAAAAACACAAAATACATAATCAAAATAAAAACAACCCAATAATCTCCCCTCATGCCATAGCTGTCAACTTTCAGATTTGAAAATAAGGGATCAGCAGCCTCGCCTGTCCCGGGGACAGCCTACGGGATATCTAACAATAAGGGAATAAGGGAATTTCCCGCCAAAAAAGGGAAGGTTGCCAGCTATGCCCCATGCTGTCCTGGAAAGCTTCATAAAAACATGGGTTCAGAAAATGGAATAATTACAGAGAAAAACTGATGTCGCTGGATCAAGTTCATCAGTTTTGTTGAAATAGTTTCAGCTGGATTCTGAACACCTGTGCAATTAACTGTTCCTGTTTCAAATTTCATTGTGCTATTACACTCGTACCTTGGAATGAGTTTTCGTCCGTTCGACTTCCAAAACGTTCGAAAACCAAAGCGCGGCTTCCAATTGGCTGCAGGAAGCTCCTGCAGGCAATCGGAAGCCCCGTCAGAAATTTGGTTTCCAAAAATAGTTCGCAAACCGAAACAGTCGTTTCCAGGTTTGCGACGTTCAGGAGCCAAAACGTTCGGGAACTAGGCTGTTTGACTTCCAAGGTACCGCTGTACCTTCCTCAGTGAGTTGTGGAAACTGCTGCTCTGAAGAATGAATGAATGAATTTATTATTTCGGTCACAGACCGGTTCCAGCCCACATACAATATCAAGGAAGTCTTTTTTTTTTTTATGGCTCTGAATAATATTTTTCAAAGGGTGGGCTAGGGGGGACTGGGGATGGGTTTGTGAAACCAAGGGGGCAGTGGGCCCCCCCAAAAAAGTTTGAGAAGGTGGCAACAGGTGGTCCTGTGGGATTTGTGCTTGCTTGCTCTCCTAATAATAATAATTTTTTATTATATATATATATATATATATATATATATATCCCGCCCTCCCCAGCCGAAGCCGGGCTCAGAGCGGCTAACAATGGTAAAAATAACACAGTTTACATAAAATCATAATCAGGCGATTGAAGTACCGTATATACTTGAGTATAAGCCAACTTTTTCAGCACATTTTTAATGCTGAAAAGCCCCCCTCGGCTTCTACTTGAGTGAGGGTCCTTTCGGGCTGCTGGTTCTTCCTCTGCCACTGCCACCACCACCAGGTTTGTGGTGTGGTGAACCGGCTTACACTCAAGTCAATAAGTTTTCCCAGGTTTTTTGTGCTAAATTAGGTGCCTCGGCTTATATTTGGGTCGGCTTATACTCGGGTATATACGGTACATTCTAAAATCAATTCGGAGTCAAATTAATGGCAGCCATTGGGCTAGAGTTCTATGAGGATTACAAAAGGAGGGGATCAGACTGTGCCCTAGCCTGACTCCTTCACCCTTCCTTCCAGGTGGAATACTACAACCACCACATGGCTTCCTGGCACAATGTCTCCAGCATGCTCAACAAGCGCTGCCGTCACGGCGCCGCCTCCCTGGGCAGCAAGATGTTCGTCTGCGGCGGCTACGACGGCTCCGGCTTCCTCAGCATCGCCGAAGTCTACAACTCCATGGCGGACCAGTGGTACCTGATCGTCTCCATGAACACCCGGCGCAGCCGCGTCTCCCTCGTGGCGAACTGTGGCCGCCTCTACGCCGTGGGGGGCTACGACGGACAGTCCAACCTGAGCTCCGTAGAAATGTACGACCCGGAAACCAACCGCTGGACGTTCATGGCCCCCATGGTGTGCCACGAGGGAGGGGTTGGGGTGGGCTGTATACCGCTCCTGACTATCTGAGCGGAGGGTGGGAGGTGGCACGAGCCTGCGTCGCCCGAAAGCCAGGACTTCCACAGCCGGGAGCCTCGCCTCGAGGGGGTGATCTGCAGAGAGACTCTACTTCGACATCGTTTCCAGGTGCTTGGGCCATTGTCATTTGGGAAGCGCACAAACAGCCCCATGGATCAGGGCCACGTGGCCGTTGAGCGAGGTCCCGCAGTGTCACGAGAGTTTGGAGATTTCAGGCCGTGTGAATGAAGCCTCACCTGCCTCTTCCTCCTGGACTCTGCCAAGCTCCTTCCGTGCCTCCGCTGATGCTGCCTTGGTCCCCTTGTGATTGTGCCGTGGGTGTAAGTCTGCTTAGGTCAGGTGGGCTTTTCCTAGGAATAATAAGACGCTTCTGTCGTCGTGCCCCTTGAAAGCTGGAAAGGGAGCTTCCCTGTCTTCCAGGGCGAGGATAGTACGTTGGCCAGGAAAACACCCACCGTCTTTTATTTCGTGGTCAACACAGAGGTGCAATTGTTCCCTCTCCCCAAGGAAAAATGAAGTCATTTTCTGCAGAGAAACACAGTTCAGGAAGAGTCTGCCCCTTCCTACACCTGGCCACTAGGTGGCGCAGATGCACATGCAAAGCTCTGTTTGATGGTTTCGTCTCCATTTGCTCCAAAGGCAAGGATAGTTCCCCTTTTGCGTTCTAGCTGCCTGCAGAAAGCAAGAAAAGGCTCTCATGTCTTCAGAAACAAAAAGATAGGGCCACGGTGCAAGGAAGGCTTCGCAGCCTTTGCCACCAACACACAGCTCAGGAGAATGCCATGGCATTGCAGGCTCTGCGGAGCTTTTGGGATGAGGCTTGCATCCCTGAAGTTCCTGGAGGGTTGTATTTTTGCATGCCAGAGCCTGTTGGCCGTGGGAACTATTCAGACGCAAAGCGTTAAGAGGGAGCGTGTAGCATAAGGGGGCCCAATCCTGTCTCTGATGAATTCTGAAACAGCAGTAGTTGGCTTGGCATCGTCAACACATCCATACAATTTCCTGGAAACTAGATGTTTCGGCTGAGCACCGCCATGCCCACAAAGTTGTTCCTGCGCTGCTTGCGGCGACCGTTCACATCAAATCAAAATTCTCATCCCCAGATCTGAGATTTTTGTTTAGACAGGAAATGCTCTTCCGCTTGGGGCGATCTTTGGAGACACACAAGCCTTAAGCAAAAAAGCGTATCTGATTTCTGACAGGGAGGAACTGTGACTACGTCCTTTTGTTCTTGGGGATTTTGAGCTCTCAGATGGTGGCAGTTTGTGCCCTGCAGGCTGTCGGGTGTCTGTTTTGATAGCTGTTGTAGGACATCCATTATCTTGCTCTGAAGAGTGAGAAATAGCAGCTTCTAAGAGTAAATGGGAGGTTTACAGATTTATGAGCGAGGGGCAAAAACAGCCAGGGAGAAACCTGTGAGTTAGGATAAGTATACACAACCAATTCTTACGGGGGCAGCATTTCCTCATGGTGGTCCTTCCTCATCCCACCCCCCCTTAAAATTATCAGCTGTTTATCAGCACAGGGGCTACTTGGTTTTCAGACCAACACCTTCCTTACTCAAAGACTAGCTTCTACTCTGTCCTCCGTCTATGCTAAGCACTATCAGGTTGCCAAATTTCAAGCTGGAAAAAGCTGCGTGTCTTCCCTCTCTCTCTCTCCACCTTTCAAGGAACTGGTAGCATCAAAGCCAAATCGAGGTACTGTCGAATGTGTGTGTGTGTGTGTGTTTTTTCAAAACCACTGTAGTTTAACACAGTGGCAATGAGTTAGCTCTGCTGTTCCGCCTCCATCATTCTTCTGTCTGAACATTACACCGCTCCAGTTTTGCACAAAGATCGAAAGGCCAGTTGGGTCCTCTGAACCCCCCCTCCTTCTCCCCCCCTTAAGTTAAATGGGCTGTGCCCCTATCCGTAGGTAGCTTTTAAATACCTGTTAGAGCTGCTTCCATTTTAAAACGACTCCTGCCACCTACATTCCCGTTGGGGCAAGAGAGATTCCGACACCCGATCTTGAAATGAGACGTTTTCACACAAGTTGCTCAGAGGAACTTAACTCAGCTGCAAGACTTGCGAGCTGAAAATTGCAGAGGGAGGCTGTCGGGAGCGAGTGTTGAATTACGTAGGCTGGATGCGCTTGGGATTTCCGTAGCCTGTGATTTTGTGCATGCCCTTCATCCATGAACAGTATTGTGAATTACCATAACTGCCAGGAGAAAACTGATTTCGGGCAAGAAACTCGAAACGACGACGAGAGTCCTGGATCGAGAAGGGGCTTCTGAACATACCGGCGAGCCTTTCCGTATAAACGTAACAAGGCCATCCACTTGTGTCAATGTGAAATCATGTACTTTAAAAAAAAAGTGTTGTCCGTTCTTGTGGTGGTTGGTGAAATCCGAGGCAGAGTGAAGGTTAGGTGACGATACCTCCGCTCTCCCTAGCCCAAATATATTTAACTTGAAAGAAACTTTGTTTCTCGGCTGCTCGGTCATTCTTTCTTGTTTCGTGAATGTGGCTTGCCTTCGGCGTATTTTGCCTGCGTTTTCTCCCTAAGCCAGTTTACTGTAATCCTTTTGCGGGGTCATTCACACGGGTTCAGACGTCGTAGAAATTACATGGCTATAGATTGCATGGGTGGCGCTGTGGCTTAAACCACAGAGCCTAGGACTTGCCGATCAGAAGGTCGGCGGTTCGAATCCCCACAATGGGGTGAGCTCCTGTTGCTCGGTCCCTGCTCCTGCCAACCTAGCAGTTCGAAAGCACGCCAGTGCAAGTAGATAAATAGGTACCACTCCGGCGGGAAGGTAAACGGTGTTTCCGTGCGCTGCTCTGGTTCTCTAGAAGCGGTTTAGTTATGCTGGCCACATGACCCAGAAGCTGTACGCCAGCTCCCTCAGCCAATAAAGCAAGATGAATGCTGCAACCCCAGAGTCGGCCACAACTGGACCTAATGGTCAGGGGTCCCTTTACCTTTAGATTGCACACTCGTTTTTCCATAACTCCAGGTAAATGAACATTCAGGGCCCTAGTGTACATTCTCCTCTAAGTGTGGAAGTTCATCTGTATGGCACAGCTGTTTTCCCACCTGGTCCTAACTAGGCTTCATCACTGCCCTTGTCCATGTTCCCACCACGACCACCTTGTCCAGTGACACTTGTTCCTGTTTTGAGCGTTCACTCCCAGATGTGGGGTCTTCAGTTCCCATACTGAGTAGCAGGCTTGGTGCCCTTCAAGAGAAGATCTCACGGTGCTACTTCTCTGTAAGGTAAAGGTAAAGGGGGCCCTGACCATTAGGTCCAGTCATGGCCGACTCTGGGGTTGCGGCGCTCATCTCGCTTTATTAGCCGAGAGAGCCGGCGTACAACTTCCAGGTCATGTGGCCAGCATGACTTAAGCCGCTTCTGGGGAACCAGAGCAGTGCACGGAAACACCGTTTACCTTCCTGTCCGAGCGGTACCTATTTATCAACTTGCACTTGGACGTGCTTTCAGACTGCTAGGTTGGCAGGAGCAGGGACCGAGCAACGGGAGCTCACTCTGTGGCGGGGATTCGAACCGCCAGCCCTCTGATCGGCAAGTCCTAGGCTCTGTGGTTTAACCCACAGCGCCACCTGCGTCCCATTACTTCTCTGTAGTGGACCATATATCAGATGGGGTCTGTCAACCTGGGAAGGTATCTGTCACAGTCCGGTTCATGGGCGATCAAAATCCCGGCTAGGGACGTCGGGACCGGGGGCAAGATGGCGGGGTGGGAGCAGGAACGGGAGTCCAGAAGCCAGGAGTCAGAAAGCCAAGAGTCGCAAGGGTCAGAGAGCCGGGAGTCAAGAAGTCAAGGGTCCGAGGATCAAGAGTCAAGAAGCCAAGGATCAGGAAGCAACGATCCCACAGCCAGCTTTTCGCAGGTGTGTGCCCAAAAAGCCAATCCGCGGGTCGTTGTGAAGATACCGTATTTTTTGCTCCATAGGACGCACTTTTTTCCTCCTAAAAAGTAAGGGGAAATGTCTGTGCGTGTTATGGAGCGAATGCCTACAGATGGCGGGGGGATCTGCTGCAGTCGCGAGCAGAGGATCCATGGTTCCCCTTCCTTCCCTCCTCCGTGGCTCGCTTTGAAACAGCCAAGTGGGAGAGGAGCTGCTTACATGGGTGTAAGTGGCTCCTGTCTGGTTGGCTGCTTTAAAGCGAGCGTGCTCTCTTTCCCTCCTTCGCTCCCCGCTCAGCTGGCTGAATAGCAGCAAAGCTTTTCAGCTCGCTGAGCCGGGGAGGAGCGAGAGAAGGAGAGCCCGCTTGCTTTAAAGGAGCATAGCGGGAGAGGAGAGGAGCCACTTACACTTAAAGCAACCGTGCTCTCTTTCCCTCTCTCCCTCCAGCTCAGCGAGCTGAAAAGCTCCTTCTCCACACACCCCACACGTGCTCCTTGTCCCTTCAGTGTTTTTCCTTCCCTCCCTACTTAAAACGTGGTTACAAAGCACGGATCCACATGGATTCTCAGGATTTTTCATTGGGCTACCAAAAACTCACCGTCAAATCACATGTCTGTGGCCACAGTATGAACCACAAAATCATACATCCACTGTTTTGTTCAGAATACTTTTTTTCTTGTTTTCCTCCTCTAAAAACTAGGTGCGTCTTTTTGTCAGGTGTGCCTTATAGAGCGAAAAATATGGTATGTTCATACTGTCCTCCGGTACCAAAACCAAGCCACCCACTTTCAGGCTCTCGCACTCTCCAGGCAACCGTGTTCAGCAGGGATTGGACTGAATGGGGCTTTTAAGAACAAAGGGACTTTGGGAGGAATTGCAATGGGGCGGGAAAGTATTTCTTGTCTAACGCAGCCTCTGACATTGCTGCATAATAAGGAAGCCCGTGACCTTGTAACTCGATGGATATGTCCCCTTTGGGGGTTACAGGTGTAGGGACCTGATGTCTTTACATCAACCACAGGACATGTTGTTGTTTAGTCGTTTAGTTGTGTCCGACTCTTCGTGACCCCCTGGACCAGAGCACGCCAGGCACTTCTGTCTTCCACTGCCTCCCGCAGTTTGGTCAAACTCATGCTGGTAGCTTCGAGAACACCATCCAACCATCTCGTCCTCTGTCGTCCCCTTCTCCTTGTGCCCTCCATCTTTCCCAACATCAGCGTCTTTTCCAGGGAGTCTTCTCTTCTCATGAGGTGGCCCAAGTATTGGAGCCTCAGCTTCAGGATCTGTCCTTCCAGTGAGCACTCAGGGCTGATTTCCTTCAGAATGGAGAGGTTTGATCTTCTTGCAGTCCTTGGGACTCTCAAGAGTCTCCTCCAGCACCATAATTCAAAAGCATCCATTATTCGACGATCAGCCTTCTTGATGGTCCAGCTCTCACTTCCATACATCACTACTGGGAAAACCATAGCTTTTGCTATATGGACCTTTGTTGGCAAGGTGCTGTCTCTGCTTTTTTAGATGCTGTCTAGGTTTGTCATTCTATGTACCACAGTACATAGAATCATGGAATTATAGAGTTGGAAGCTTGAAACCCCCCCCCCGAAATCTTCTTGCCAATGTGGAACTCGAACCCAGAACCCTGAGGTCCATTTGAATGCATTGAAGTGCTTGATGCTGAAGCACGGAAACTTGAGTGGGGGAATAAAATCTGGTCAGAGCCCGGGTGGGGAAACCACCAGGTGAGCCAAGGGTTCAAGCGATGTTATAGGCGTGTTGACATTTTTTTTTAAGTCTCCCAAGAGAATTCCCTAAAAGCAGCAATGCAACCCCAATCTCTGCTGGAAGAAGATTTCCACAGCAAGGAACCATCGACGTTAAACGCCTTGACTTCTAGCCAGAACCATAGCTGTCAACTATCCCTTATTTGGTGGGAAAGTCCCTTATCCCAGCGCCGTGTCCCGCTGCTGTCCCTTATTGATGATGTCCCTTAAATTTCCCGGGTTTCAAAGGAAGCAGCTCCTCTCCCTCCCTCCCTGCCGGCCAGGGAGGAGGGAGGCTCCAACTGTGTTGCTTGGCTGCCTTGCTCACCCAATAAGGAATCTATGAACGACTGGGGGTGGAGCTTGCATGCCTTGTGCCGATCAAATCGGCCACATTGCCTGGGGACTCGCCTTTGCTCAGCGCTTCCCAGCAGAGAGGTTACGGTGGTTTTCCTTGCTGCATCCCCTTTGCTGGGTTGCTGTGCTGTGGGAACCACCTGCTTGAGGCTTCGTTTGGCTGCTGGCTGGGCTTTCTGCCTTTGGCTCGGAGGGGCTCAGAAGTTGAACCTACCTGTGCTCTGAAAATTCCTTATTTTGGCTGCTGATCCCTTATTTCTGGGGCTGCTGGTCCCTTACTTTCAAATCTGTAAGTTGACAGCTATGGCCAGAACCTGTTTGGCTTCCTGGAAATAAACACACGGGAGCTATTTTGTCAAAATGCCTTTGCCAGCAGTTCTGTGCACATGTTTGCGATGGATTAGTGCCAGAGAATGTCCTTTGCAAAGAAAAGGAGGGCAGGTCTTGCCTCGAGAGGCTTACAGTCTAGAAAGAGAAGGATCGCGAAGGCAACAGAGGGAAGGGAGCCTCTGCTTTGCACACGGAATATCTGCAGGTGGAGCCGGGAGCAGGTCAGCAAGAACCCACACAGTGTCAGAGAAATTAACTCTCTTTCAAAGAAACAGGACAACTCGGGAGCACAGCGACTCTTCCCGGGAGATCTTGCCCCTACGAGGCAGTTGGGGGACGACGACTGAAGATGGGCCTTTGGACTGATCCAACACTCAGGCTCTCCTTTATTCCCATGCACAGTCCCAGTCCAGGGCAGCTACTCTCTTCTCGTTTTTAAAAAAATAAAAATAAATAGGCTACGCAGGCAGAAATCACACAGCCAATGTCAGCCTCTAGTTTGGCCCTAAGTTCTCTTGAAATAATAATGATGATGATGATGATGATGAAAGCTGGACCATAAAGAAGGCTGGTCGCCGAAGAATGGATGCTTTTGAATGATGGTGCTGGAGGAGACTCTTGAGAGTCCCATGGACTGCAAGAAGATCAAACCTCTCCATTCTGAAGGACATCAGCCCTGAGTGCTCACTGGAAGGACAGATCCTGAAGCTGAGGCTCCAAGACTTTGGCCACCTCATGAGAAGAGAAGACTCCCGGAAAAGACCCTGATGTTGGGAAAGATGGAGGGCACAAGGAGAAGGGGACGACAGAGGACGAGATGGTGGGACAGTGTTCTTGAAGCTACCAGCATGAGTTTGACCAAACTGCGGGAGGCAATGGAAGACAGAAGTGCCTGGAGTGCTCTGGTCCACGGGGTCACGAAGAGTCGGACACGACTAAACAACAACAACAATAATAATTCCTTCCCCTCAATTCCTTCGTCCAAGTCATTTACAAAGACACTGGGCCCAGGATAGAACCCTAGGGCACACGACTTGTCACTTTCCCCCAGAATGACGAGGAACCATAAATGAATAGATTTTGGGCTCGGTCAGCCAACTGGCTACAAATCCACCTAACCTCATCATCCAGCCCACATTTTACTACCTTCCATGGGTGAGGGCAGGGGAGGGGGCTAATGTCCTGTCTATGGGGTATTATTCTTACCCGCAATTTCCCAAGAAAAGCTCAGCAACTTTGGCTGCCCCCCCCCAACAAAAATCCTGGCTATGCTCATGTCACCTTCGCTACAAGAATATCATGGGGAACTTTGTCAAAGGCCTTCCTGAAATCAAGATACGCTACACAGCATCCCCCTGATCCACCAAGCTTGTAACTCCATGAAAAAGGGGGTGAGATTCATCTGGCATGACTTGTCTGGGATTGCTCAGTCTGTAGTAATAATAATAATAATAATAATAATAATAATAATGTATTTGTACCCTGCCCATCCTGCTGGGTATCACCATGAAACTCTGGGCAGCTTCCAACGAAGATGAAAAATACATTAAAATGTCACACGTTAAAAACTTCCCTGAACAGCAACATGGCTCTTTAAATTGGTGTGTCTCCCCCGCCCCAGGTGAGTAAAAACTATGGGGTGCCAAGGGGGCAGGGGGCAAACCAACCATTGTGGCTTGATTATTTTCTTTCATGTTTGATTTAATGGCAGAGAGGAAATACCACGTGTTTTCTCTCCTTGCGTGAACTCTGCAGACTTTGATCTTGTGTGTTTCGGCTCCGAGGTTTGTTTGTTTTTGTAGGAAGAGGCCCAAAGAGAGGAGCGCAGAAAGTCCTTTGATGCTGACCTCCCAATTTTGGAATTTGTCTTGCAGAAGAATGGAAGAACTGGACCTTCCGCTTTATCAGTGTAATAAACGAAAATCTGCCCTTTTCCCCTTATGGGGTATCCAAGAGCCCATATAGAGTCCTTACGTAGTTTCCCTATTGGTAGAAGAAAATAACAGAGGCCAACCAGAGAATATTGAGAAGCAAAGCAGCTAGTAAGCCTGATCTTTATTGATCTGTTGCAACAGGGTGCTTCCCTCAAACGCAGGAAAGGAGGAGGAACCACAAACAAAGGTTTGCCCTTATATAGACATTTTAAATTGCCCGCCCTGAAGTCCAAGACCACCCCCGGACACATCATACCTACATCACAGAAAGGGCGGTTTACAGCAGAAATCTGAGTGCGTTGTTTATTTCCTGTCTGGCAGGTTACCTATTAATGCTTACTTGATTGGATTGCCTGGGGAGCCTGGCCAGTCTTTTGTAACGATAAATACTTAGTTCCTGAGCCAGGTCACAGGCTCACCCTATTCAAAGACAGACATACCCTTAAGACAGGATTTGTGAAGGAAAAGACAATGGGGAGGCTTTTCCATTTTCCTTCGACCTTGCAGAGAAAACATTTGGTCCGTTTGGGAATCAAAAATGATTTCAGGTCGGTCTTCCTATGCTGATCTATGTACGTGCTTGGTTGGTACATTTACGAACATTTAATATATATCTAAGACCTTAAAATTCTTATCGCAACCTTAAGCTTTATCAGAGAGACCTCGATGTATCTAGGAATGCTCTTAATCTATTCATGTCTCCTAAATGTCTTTTCTCCTGGAAGTTTTTCACAGAATCACAGACTTGTAGAGTTGGAAGGGACAGGGAGAATCGTCGATTCCCACCCCCCGCAACGCAGGAATCTTCCATCCAATGTGGGGGTCAAACCCACAACCCTGAGATTAAGAGTCTCATGCTCTGCCGAGCTATTCTTGTCACAACATAAATATTACAGCACACTCGCAACTCTCTGGGAATTTCCAGGAGCCCCAGGGGGCTCACATAAAAATCAGTTTCGTTTCTGACAATGTCGCCAGAGGCTTGCTGGCATCTGAAATATTTTTGTGTGTTTACAAATATACCCATTGTGGATAACCATGGTCTGGTGGGGGGTCCTGAATCGGTCAGGGGTTCGGAAATTCCCATGATCACCAAAAGCTATTGAAAGAAACATAAAGACGGATGCCAACAAATTGTGGATAGTACTAAACATCTTAAAAAGCAAAGACATCACCTTGCCAACAAAGATCTGTATAGTAAAAGCTATGGTTTTCCCAGTAGTGATGTATTGAAGTGAGAGCTGGACCATAAAGAAGGCTGATCGCCAAAGAATGGATGCTTTTGAATTATGGTGCTAGAAGAGACTCTGGAGAGTCCCATGGACTGCAAGAAGATCAAACCTCTCCATTCTGAAGGAAATCAGCCCTGAGTGCTCACTGGAAGGACAGATCCTGAAGCTGAGGCTCCAATACTTTGGCCACCTCAGGAGAAGAGAAGACGCCCTGGAAAAGACCCTGATGTTGGGAAAGATGGAGGGCAGAAGGAGAAAGGGACAACAGAGGACGAGATGGTGGGACAGTGTTCTCAAAGCTACCAGCATGAGTTTAACCAAACTGTGGGAGGCAGTGGAAGACAGGAGTGCCTGGCGTGCTCTGGTCCAGGGGGCCACGAAGAGTCGGACACAACTAAACAACAACACTAAACAGTCCAACAGACATTTCCAAGTTTAAAAAGTGTATGCATTTATATGCAGACCACCCGAACAGATGCATTTTTATACACTGTATTTGACTGGAGAACTGGATTGCAAAATTCATAGAAATGCAGATTTCAAGGGAACGGCTGTATTCTGGTTCAAATATTGTTGTGAAAAATGCAGATTAGGCCTATTTGCCTTTAAATGAACCAAAGCAACTTTCCCCCACATTACCACAGTCGTGAGGCACATATTGCAGGTTTCTCTTCTCTCACACACATAACCCCACCCTCCATAGCTGTTCGGTGGTTCACAACTGCTTCTAAGTTTCTGACTTGGAACAACAAAAAAAGAGAGATTCTCTGAGCATCTGCAGTTTCATGTTTTTATGCTCCCTGAAATCCTGGCACCATGACAACTGCAGCAATAAAACAGAGTTTCCTTCTGCTGCCCTGATGCTGAACGCATTTACAGCGGTGCCTTGGTTCCTGAACGACTTAGTTGTCGAACAAATCAGTTCCTGAAGGCTGCAAACCCTGAAGTAAGTGTTCCGGTTTGCGGATGTTTTTTGGAAGCCGAACATCTGAGGCAACTCCCGCTTGAGTTCAGGAAGCTCCTGCAGCTAATCGGAAGCCGCACCTTGGTTTTCGACTGGTTTCGGGAGTCCAACGGACTTCCGGAACGGAATAAGTTCAAGAACCAAGGTAACCACGGAACTTGGAAATAAGCTCCATTTTGCTGCAGGAAAGCAGAATGTGTTTCCCTAGTAAAAATAATAAAACAAGCTTCTGTAACCATATACTTGCCCAGTCAACTGCCTAAAGGTAAAGGTAAAAGTACCCCTGACCATTAGGTCCAGTCACGGATGACTCTGGGGTTGCGCGCTCATCTCACTCTATACGCCGAGGAAACCGGTTTTTGTCAGCAGACAGCTTCCAGGTCATGTGGCCAGCATGACTAAGCCGCTTCTGGTGAACCAGAGCAGCGCATGGAAACGCTGTTTACCTTCCTGCTGGAGTGGTACCTATTTATCTACTTGCACTTTGACGTGCTTTCGAACTGCTAGGTGGGCAGGAGCAGGGACCGAGCAATGGGAGCTCACCCCATTGCGGGGATTCGAACTGCCGACCTTCAGATCGGCAAGCCCTAGGCTCTGTGGTTTAGACTACAGTGCCACCCGTGTCCCTATACTGCCTATAAAACATTTTTTCAAATAAGGAGGTACCCTGAGGCCAGCCGGCCCCAGGTTCCCCTTAGCAGGCCCATGCCAGCCTGTTTCCTGCTTGCTGCATTAGATACCACTATGTGGTTATTTGTCGGCCCTCCAAGCTGTGGGGGATGCTGGTGGCGCTGTGGGTTAAACCACAGAGCCTAGGACTTGCCAATAAGAAGGTTGGCAGTTCGAATCCCCGCAACGGGGTGAGCTCCCGTTGCTCGGTCCCTGCTCCTGCCAACCTAGCAGTTCGAAAGCACGTCAAAGTGCAAATAGATAAATAGGTACCGCTCCGGCGGGAAAGGAAACGGTGTTTCCGTGCGCTTCTCTGGTTCACCAGAAGCGGCTTAGTCATGCTGGCCAGATGACCTGGAAGCTGTACGCCGGCTCCCTCAGCCAATAAAGCGAGATGAGTGCCGCAACCCCAGAGTTGGCCACAACTGGACCTAATGGTCAGGGGTCCCTTTACCTTTACCAAACTGTGGGGCCCTGGACACCAGCTCTGAGCTCCACCCCCGAGCTCCACTGCTTTGTGTGGGATCTTCTGGAAGCCTGCAGCTGAGGGAGGAAGGGAACAGATTCCCTGCAAGCAGTGCCCTATATCCTTATTAATTTGGGGGCACCATGTTTATCCTGCTGCGTAAAAATCCCTTTCCAAGAAATTGGCTCAAAGAGCAGAAGGAAGCTCTCTTGTATCTGCTCCTATAGAAACTGAAAGCCTTGCATGTTATCCTAGCTTAGCGACGCATGTTCCCAAGTGGATTCACTGTTTAGGTTTTAGGAGGATGTGGGTGGCTGGAGTTTTCTGCCAAGTTGATTGAGCAAGTTCACGTCCTCCAACAGTTTGGCTTTTGATCTGGGGCTTCTGTCTCTGTCCCGAGAATAGAGAGCAGGGCAGCAGAATTCTCTTGCTCAGGCAGGAAAGAGGATCAGCTATGGAGCTCCTCCTGGTAGGAGCGATTTTGGGGGCCCTAGGAGTCTCCACAGCAACACTCCCAGGCTCAGAATCCCCCCCGGCGCTGCTCCCCCGGAACATAGCCAGGATGGCCGTCGAAGAATACAACCAGGAATCGGGCGGGCAAGCCGTATTCAGGCTGTGGAAGATCAGAAGCACGCGCAAAACAGTAAGTATGACGGGTTCGATTCTCTGAAACGTTCTCCTGTTCAGGGGTGGGCAGATCTGTCACTTTCAGTTTATTTCCATTGCTCATCTTTCCTTTAAAAAAAAAAAAATTATTGGAAATTTTATTTACAACATAACACAAACCCCCCACCCACCCCAATACAGAAATACAATAAGCATAACATACAACAATACAAACAACCAAATAAAAGACTTCCTTTATGCTGTATCTGTCCTCCTTATTTACTTCTTATAAGCTGTTTCCTTTATGAATAATTATTAAGATTTTTCTAATTATAACTTAAATATCCATAAAGTCTCCTGCAGACATTAATCAAAACAAGTCCAGGTTTGTATTTTAGGGCACTGTTTTGTGAAGTATTCTCTGCGTTTTCCCCATGCTTTTTGAAACTCTTTTCTAGTGTGATCTCTAATGACCTCTGTTAGATAGATAGCCAGTTCAATAAACTCTAACAGTTTGTCTTGCCATTCCTTTTTTGTTGGCACAATTTCTTTTTTCCAGTTCTTAGCAGTTAGGATCCTTGCCTTGGCATAGAGGAATATTTTCTGATCTTGCTATACCTGTGTCCGTTATCCCTAGTAGAAAAGCTTCTGTATTTTTCATAAAGTTATACTTAAACATTTTTTCAAGCTCATCATATACTATATTCCAGAAGCTTTTGATTTTTTCACAGGTCCACCAAACATGTGTAAGTGTCCCCTCTGTTTTACCATACCTCCAGCACAGATTTGTTTTTGTCTTATACATTTTAGCTATTTTGGTAGGTGTTAAGTACCATCTATAAAACATCTTGATTAGATTTTCCCTCAATACTTCATAGGCTGTAAATTTCCAGTTCTTTCTCCATAGTTCTTCCCATGTTTATCTTTCCAATCATACCTTCAGTGCTCCAGATGAAAATTCAGCACTTTGGTGCCAATCTTTCCTTATTTGCACATTTCCTCTGTTTCTCATTCTTGCAATAATAATAATAATAATCCTGAAATTTTTATCGTCACTTTAGTGCAAATCTCTCCCAACAAAGCATATTTTGCAAAGCAATTTCCTGTCTTTACAACAGAAAGTGCAAGGACAACATGCAAGCTTGTCTTTCTAAATAACTTTTGACATGGATGTTAGGATCCCAGTAAGGGAAAAACTGGTGGAGGGGTATACATTTGTCTTTGCACTATAAGAACCTGTAGACTTTGGCTGTTGTGGAAACAGCAACACATAAACAGTGTGTTTCCAGAGGGATGGAGGGTCGAAAAAGCTTTTATGTCAACTGGAGGGATTTTATTTCCTCTGTTCCACGTCACCATCCATGTCAGCTCAGGGAATATGGATGCTGTCAGGGAACTGACATCGGAGCCAGAGGCGGAGGCTAGGCTCTCAAGCGATGCTGGAGAAGGGCCCAGCAGGGAGAGAGGCAGCTCAGCAGATGGGGAAGGAAATCAGCGTAACACCAGGGATAAAGGGGGGCAGATGGGGGAATCGGCGAAGGGGCTCCAGGACTCATCACTGGAGACCAGCAAGGAGAGCACGGGTCCTCCGCTACCCACACCCTCCCTGCGCAGAAGACTTCCGCGCAGGGAGAGTAGGAGGAGACTTGGGGTCAAACAGCTTTTATGCTGGAAAAGGTTTAAGAAACGCCCACTGACAGATTCTGCTAGCGACTGAACAGCCATGAAGTGAAGGGCTGTCCAGACAGAAAAGGTTTAACAAGGCAACCTAGCCAGGAGTGGCACCAACTTACGCACGAGCAACCCCTACATTTATTACAGATGCCTTGATTTATTTTGGTGTGTCACAATTTCTTCCTCTTATTACTTACTGTTTGTTTGCTTTGTATCTGGCGTGGTGTAATGTCCTGCTACTACAACTTTGGGTTGTTAGTAATGGTCATTATAGAATCCTAGAATTGGAGAAGAGAAGGGACCCTGGCAGCTATCTAGTCCAACCCCCTGGGATGCAGGAACTCCTGATTATGTCACAAGAAAATTTTTTAAAAAAAGAAATAGGAGTTCAGGGGAAGGGTTGAAGGGGGGGGTTAAGGACGGGAACCAAAAAGCTAATGCACATTAATGGTTTCAAATGCAGAGGGAAGGAGCAATTTTAAGCCGCTAATCTGATCATACCTTTAAATTCAAACAGATTTTCTAATCCTATGAGGCCTTGATAAATCTGTTAAGTGTTCACATCGCCGCATATCTTTTTCCTGCCTTCGCTTTTAAACAGCCCCCGTTAAACTCTCTGTAACTCCACACGAAGAGCAGCAACTGAATTCCTGTTAACACTTTGTTTATGCTGCTTTTATAAAAAATGCAACCATTTCCCTGGCGCTCCAGCGACTGACTCACTAACTCGCTCATTCCCTATTGCCAAAAACTTATGGGGAGATTATGGAGGAAGACTGGCTGGGGCCCAACTGAGGGAAGAAGTCCTTTTCTTGTTCATCTTATGCATCAGCTAGAAAATGCTTCAGAACTTTTCCTGCATCCCTCCAAAAAGGTAGAGGGAAAGACTGTAGATTGCAAGCTCCTTGAAGGCAGAGACCTGCCTCTCTGTCAGGAGCGAGCCAGCAATAAATCACACACAGAAAGTGGAGTTAACTCTTTATTAGAAGAAACAGGATCTGCTCAGGAGTGCCGGGCCTAATGTTGTAAACAAAATCTGCCCTTTTCCCTTATGGGGTATCCAAGAGCCCATATAGAGTCCTTACACAGGTTCCCTAATGGTAGGAGAAAATAACAGAGGCCAACCAGAGAATATTGAGAAGCAAAGCAGCTAGTAAGCCTGATCTTTATTGATCTGTTGCAACAGGGTCCTCACTCACCACACAAAGGAGGGAGGAGGAACCCAGAAAAATGGCATGCAAGGCCTTATATAGACATTTGAAATTCTCTGCCCTCAAGCTCAAGACCACCCCTCCATACATCATACATACATCACAGAAGGGGTGTAACCTAAGACCACCCCCCAGATACATCATACCTACATCACAGAAAAGGCGGTCTAAAAGAGAAATCTAAGTGACTTGTTTATCTCGTCTGATGGGTTACCTGTTTAATGATCACTTGATTGGATTGCCTGCTTACTTGATTGGATACCCTGGGGAGCCTGGCCAGTCTTTTGTAATGATAAATACTTGTTGTTGTTGTTTAGTCGTTTAGTCGTGTCCGACTCTTTGTGACCCCATGGGCCAGAGCACGCCAGGCACTCCTGTCTTCCACTGCCTCCTCCAGTTTGGTCAAACTCATGCTGGTAGCTTCGAGAACACTGTCCAACCATCTCGTCCTCTGTCGCCCCCTTCTCCTTGTGCCCTCCATCTTTCCCAACATCAGGGTCTTTTCCTGGGAGTCTTCTCTTCTCATGGGGTGGCCAAAGTATTGGAGCCTCAGCTTCAGGATCTGTCCTTCCAGTGAGCACTCAGGGCTGGTTTCCCTAAGAATGGATCGGTTTGATCTTCTTGCAGTCCATGGGACTCTCAAGAGTCTCCTCCAGCACCAGAATTCAAAAGCATCCATTCTTCGGCGATCAGCCTTCTTGATGGTCCAGCTCTCACTTCCATACATCACTACTGGGAAAACCAGAGCTTTAACTATATGGACCTTTGTTGGCAAGGTGATGTCTCTGCTTTTTAAGATGCTGTCTAGATTTGTCATAGGTTTGTCATTGATAAATACTTAGTAATGATAAATACTTAGTTCCTGAGTCAGGTCATAGGCTCACCCTATTCAAACACAGACAAACTCTCTCACCCAGGGGTGCCAACTTGAATAAAATATTGGGGGGGGGGGGTCAGGTTAGCCTCACCCTGCATAATCAATCACATAGAATCATAGAATCATAGAGTTGGAAGAGACCACAAGGGCCATCGAGTCCAACCCCCTGCCAAGCAGGAAACACCATCAGAGCACTCCTGACATATGGTTGTCAAGCCTCTGCTTAAAGACCTCCAAAGAAGGAGACTCCACCACACTCCTTGGCAGCAAATTCCACTGTCAAACAGCTCTTACTGTCAGGAAGTTCTTCCTAATGTTTAGGTGGAATCGTCTTTCTTGTAGTTTGGATCCATTGCTCCGTGTCCGCTTCTCTGGAGCAGCAGAAAACAACCTTTCTGCCTCCTCTATGTGACATCCTTTTATATATTGGAACATGGCTATCATATCACCCCTTAACCTCCTCTTCTCCAGGCTAAACATGCCCAGCTCCCTTAGCCGTTCCTCATAAGGCATCGTTTCCAGGCCGTTGACCATTTTGGTTGCCCTCCTCTGGACACGTTCCAGTTTGTCAGTGTCCTTCTTGAACTGTGGTGCCCAGAACTGGACACAGTACTCCAGGTGAGGTCTGACCAGAGCAGAATACAGTGGCACTATTACTTCCCTTGATCTAGATGCTATACTCCTATTGATGCAGCCCAGAATTGCATTGGCTTTTGTAGCTGCCGCGTCACACTGTTGGCATGCACGCACTCCTTGAATGGCAATGGCTATCAACTTTGGGGGGAGCCCAGCCCCCTCAAATATATTATTGGGGGGGGGCAGTCTGGTGAAACGCTCTGTCACAAGAGACCAGGGCCCTGCGGGATTTGACATCTTTCCGCAGGGCCTGCAAGACGGAGCTGTTCCGCCAGGCTTTTGATTGGGGTTCAGCCTGACTCCCTTCTTTCTATGGGACCCTGTATGTAAGTCGCCTCCTTGGCTCTTTGTATCGGCCCCCCCCAGCACGGGTGGCCAGGCTTGGTGAACTTTTAATTCCTTGCCCCTGCTGTTATGATTCATGGGTTCCCACTTAGTTTTATTTTGATTTTAAATGTGGTTCGAATTGTATTTAAACTAATCATTTGATTTTGTGTTTTTAATGTCTTATATATTTGGTGTTAGCAGCCCTGAGGGCAGGGTATTTTATTTTTATTTTATTATTATTATTATTATTATTATTATTATTATTATTATATAAATTTTATTAGTTTTTTAACATACCATTTTCAGCAATAATTAAACATACTTTTACATCTTAACTCAATTTTTTGACTTCCATCAGTCCTGTCTGAAAATTTTCCAGTCTAATCTCTCAGTATGCATTTTCCCTATTACATTTCAAACTCATAACTAATATCTCTATCCTTTTTCTGCTTTGTAACACTTTGTATATTTCTCCTTACAAAACGTCTTGCAGTCCTACTAGCGTAATTTGTCGATTACAGTCGCTCTTCAAATAATTCATATACTTCTTCCAATCTTCTGTAAATCTCTGGTCCCGCAGGTTTCGAATCCTTCCTGTCATTTTGTCCCATTCTGCATAGTCCATTAATTTCGTCTGCCATTCTTCTTTCGTTGGAATTTCTTCTTGCTTCCAATTTTATTATTTATTATTTATTTATTTATTTATTTATTTATTTATTTATTTATTATTCTATTCCATAGAGATTTGACTGGGGGTTTCACTTCAGCATGGACTTCACCATCAAGGAGACCCTCTGTCAGAAAACGGGCAAGTACAGGATTGGAGACTGCAAATACAAACCGAATGGGGTGAGTGACAGGGTTGGGCTCTGGTTCAAATACCGTATTTTTCGCTCTATAAGACGCACCAGACCACAAGACGCACCTAGTTTTTGGAGGAGGAAAACAAGAAAAAAAAATATTCTGAATCTCAGAAGCCAAAACAGCAAGAGGGATCGCTGCGCAGCGAAAGCAGCAATCCCTCTTGCTGTTCCGGCTTCTGGGATAGCTGAGCAGCCTGCATTCGCTCCATAAGACGCACACACATTTCCCCTTACTTTTTAGGAGGGAAAAGGTGAGTCTTATAGAGCAAAAAATACGGTACCTGATGCATGTGGTCCTGCCTCCAGATGCTGCTGTTGTTGCTAAACTGGAACACCCCCCCAATCATTCAGTTTGTAGAAACACGACACACACACACGACATACGAGACGCTTCTGTTATAAATTCGTAGAAAATCAGCCGTACATTGGATCTGTACCGTTCCACTTTTATTTTACACCATGAAGGAAGGGCTATCAAAGGGGGGAGACTTGACACAAGGCAGCCATAACCCCCCAAGCGTACCAACAGGTCCGCAGCGAGCCCTACCCAGTTGGCATGCCAACCTTGATGGTCCTAGACAGAAGATCATTACACTCGCAAAGGATCTGCATATGGAAGTGGATTCAGTACGGACTGAAACCAAGGACAGGGACCAGCCCTTCCCTCTGGGGGCAGGAAACTGCGAACTCCTCTTTGTCCTCTGGAAAGTACTCATGGGGAGGGGGAAAGGAGGAAACGGACAGGTGACAAGACACTCAGGTTACCACCACAACTCCTCCCTCAACCCCTCCTTTTTGTGATGTGTCAAGGATGTAGTCTTAGGGGTGTAGCATGGGGAATTAGTAGCTGATAAAAGTTGGGGTCTTCTTTTGTTTGTGGCTTCCACCTTTTTCCACCTTGTGGCAGGTGGGAGTCCTGTCGCGACAATCTTCAATAAAGACCAAGTCTACTGGCTGCTGTTTTGCTCTGGTATTCCTGGCTGGTGTCCTTGTTTTTTGTCCAAGGGAGCCCTCAGATTTCTCCGTTAACAAAACTATAACTCCCATTGTCCCTGGCCATTGGCCACATTTGCCGGGGCTGATGGGAGTCCAACAGCTTCTGTGGGGGGCGGGCACAATGCATGTCCCTCAAACTGGCAGAGGAAGGTGGGTGTAGACCACCATGGGTGTCATCCCTGAGGAGGGGGGGTAACATTGCCATCCCGCTCCCTGGGATGTTCGCCGTGGGCGGGGCCTCCCTAGGACACTCACGCCGCCCCCAGGTGCACAGCTAGCTCTAGCTCCGCCTCTGGGTCCCCCTCTTTGGTCTAGAACAGGCACGTCCAACAGGTAGATCGTGTTCTACCGGGAGATCACTGGACGTTTGTGGCAGATCACCAGTAGATCACTGTCTCCCCCCCAAAAAAGCTCCCCTAAAAAAAGCTCAAGAACTTTGACCTGAACCCCTAAAAATGGGCCTTCTCCTTCCTATAAAGCTCAAAACTTTGACCTGAACCCCCCAAAAAACAGGGCTTTCCTCCTCGTCCCTAAAAAAAAACCTCAAGAACTTTGACCTGAACCCCCAAAAAGGGGTGTAGATCACTGCCAGTTTTTAACTCTGTGAGTAGATCGCAGTCTCTTGGGAGTTGGCCACCCCTGGTCTAGAAGCTCAGGCTGAATCCTAAGAATCCTGACCCATTTTCCTCCTCCCCAGACCACCAGGGATTGTTCTGCCGAGGTCTCAGTTCATAACTTCATGCAAGATTCACCACTGACGTCTGTGAATTGCCACCCATTGCAGGTGAGCTGTTTGCCGGCTGAACTGGGACCATAAATGGGGTTACTGGGAGTGCGTGGCTAATTTAAGACTGCCATACGCCTGGAATCTTCCTTCCTTCCTTCCTTCCTTGCTTCCTTCCTTCCTTCCTTCCTTCCTTCCTTTCTTCTGCCCTTCCTCCAAAGATCTCAGGGTGGTTCACAACATACAGACCCTCTGAGTGTCCCTATTTTCCAGGAACAGTCCGGGATTTACAGAAGCCCAGTCCCAGTTTCTGAGTTGATCCCGGAATGTCCCTCTTTCCCTTAGGGCATCCCTATTTTCTTTGGAGAAATGCTGGAGGGTTTGAACGTATTGGATGCTTTGATTCAATCCCTGTGCTGCCTGTTTTGTTTGTGTTTTTTATCGCGAAACGGAAGCGGAAGAAGACCTCTGTTGACTCTTCCTCTCATTCTTCCGAATCTTTGCAGGCAAACAACCCCAACAGCAGGAACGCCAGACCCCAAGCGATGGAGGCCGCCCAGCCCAGAATATTTGTGGAGCAGTATTTCCCATCTTCCTTTTCAACTGCAGCTCTGACAGCCCCCGAAGAAGAGTAAAAACACCCCCTTGCCCTCATCCGCCAAGCTGAGCATCCCTCTTGGAGTTCGAACCTTTCCGAAATCGCTTTGGTCCCATGGACATTTGATTTTCCGAGCTCATTTGGCTGGTTAGAATATTACTGTAGACTCGTGCTATCCAAATATTATTGTTATTCTAGGATGCCGCTGAGGTTTCTGTGTGTTTTAAATGCAGTGGTACCTCGGGTTAAGTACTTAATTCGTTCCAGAGGTCCGTTCTTAACCTGAAACTGTTCTTAACCTGAAGCACCACTTTAGCTAATGGGGCCTCCCGCTGCCACTGCGCCGCCAGAGCACGATTTCTGTTCTCATCCTGAAGCAAAGTTCTTAACCTGAAGCACTATTTCTGGGTTAGCGGAGTCTGTAACCTGAAGCGTATGTAACCCGAGGTACCACTGTGTTGCCTGTTAGCAACATACAAAGGGACCGCTTATAGACGCAGACTTTCTTTGGATAAATAGAATGATACTTGGAATGTGGGACGCGGGTGGCGCTGCGGGTTAAACCACAGAGCCTAGGACTTGCCGATCCGAAGGTCGGTGGTTCGAATCCCCGCAACGGGGTGAGCTCCCGTTGTTCGGTCCCTGCTCCTGCCAACCTAGCAGTTCGAAAACACATCAAAGTGCAAGTAGATAAATAGGTACCACTCCGGCGGGAAGGTAAACGGCATTTCTGTGCGCTGCTCTGGTTCGCCAGAAGCGGCTTAATCCTGCTGGCCACATGACCCAGAAGCTGTATGCCGGCTCCCTTGGCCAATAAAGCGAGATGAGTGCCGCAACCCCAGAGTCGTCCGCGACTGGACCTAATGGTCAGGGGTCCCTTTACCTTTACCTATTAGCAACGTACAAACGGACCGCTTATAGACGCAGACTTTCTTTGGATAAATATAATGATACTTGGAATGACTTTATGCAAAATATACGAGCTTATTGATAAAGGAATTTGTATCGGGATAATACAACTCTCTACATTTGTATACTAACGTGTGGAAACGTAACTGAAAATTTTAATTATTTTTATATTCGTTCACTTTTCCACCCTCTTCACCGCTTTTTTTTATAAGCGAAATTCTTTTAATAAAATATCAAATAAAAATCTAAAAAATCATTGATTTTCTAAACTCATTTGGCTGGTAGAATATTACTGTAGACTCTTTGTATCCAAATATTATTAGTATTCTAGGATGCGACTGAGAGGTGTGTGTGTTTTAAATGTTGCATTTTTCCAACACCACTGCAAGAGTTTGACAGTCATTCTGGTTCTCATAGACCAGGGTTTTCCCAACTTGAATCTTGTGGGTCGTGGCCTGAAATAGTGGCTGCTTTTAATCTTAGTGCAATAAATACTTTTTACAACTTTGGGTTTCGTTGGTGTCTTGTAACGCTGCCTCAGTACCTGCAACCCAGCAGCAGAAAGGTTCAATTTTTACATTTTAATGTGGTCTCGGGTGGCAGATCCGATGATGTTTTGCCACAAATTGCCCATAAATTGCTTTGAGTGACGATTACAACTCGGTTTGCAGGCTCCATCAGAGGTTATCTGCAATAGTCACTCATGGAAACCTTCAATAAAAATGAATAGTAATAATAAAACACCTTTTGCAGCTACCTTGTGGCAAACCAGCTCCAAACCCGTTGCCAGGATTAGTTAATAGTTAATCCAAGGTGGTTGTATGTGGTTTGCTTAGTCGAAATAAGAAATAATACCATTGCCCTATGTGTCAATAATGATCCAAGACTGGATCTGGCAACAAGCCAACATTTCATTGACCTGCACAGTGGCAAAATGCAAACTCAGCCGTCCCACAGATACTTGCCACAATGGACTTTATCATCAGGGCAATTAAAAAATATTCAGTTATATCTGACATTGCTTAGGTGACAATGTTTTTAGAGCTTGTGAAGCAATATCCTACAACCAGACGGTTGGTGTTCTTGCTGTGAAGAGTTTTGTAAGTACTGTAAATACTTTGACAAATTCCACATGACTAGGGAGGCAGAGTAAAATTGGCCTGGATTCCTCCGGCGCACTGGTTATAAAATGAGCAAGTCTGCGGTTAAAATGCACACGGTCGACGGGACCCAAAGACCTATGGCAAAAAAAATTCCACATGACAATAAAATGCTGGGTTGAGCCCAAGAAAGATGTTAAATTATTTTTGTATGCCACAACGGCCGCCCAAATATTACTTGCTAAAAATTGGAAAACACAAGAACTACCAACAGTGGAAGATTGGCAGATGAAGATGATGGACTTTTCGGAGCTAGCTGACCTGACCAGAAGAATCCGTGACCAGAAAGAAGAGGAGTTCCAAGAGGACTGGAGGAAATTTAAGGACTATTTGAATAAATATTGTAATATAAAAATTAGAAACTACTTGAAAGAAACAAATAGGCCTAGGATTAAATTAAGTTATAATTAAATAAATGGGATTTAGAATGTTAAGAAAAGTGAATAAGATGGACTATAATTGGAAATTGTTTTAGTTTAATAATGATATTAGAAAGCTGTTACTTTTAATTACAAGGAAACTCAGAAGGGAGGGATTTGAGGAAGTCAACCCAGATGTTTAAAAGGTTGGATTTGTGAAGAATTAAGTTAGTTGTTATTGTTTATATGTTTATTGTCCCTTCTTTTTTCTTTTTTCTGTTTCTTATTTTTTCTTTTTCTGCTTTTGTGTATCATCTTGCTTTGTGGTTTGTGTTATCACGGTGGAAAATCTAATAAAAAAATTATTTTAAAAAATAATAATAAAATGTTGGGTTGCCACTCCAACTAAATTTGGACGTGCCTGGAATACAGTGTCCAGTTCTGGGTACCACAATTTAAGAAGGATATTGACAAGCTGGAAGGCGGGCAGAGGAGGGCGACCAAGATGATCCAGGGTCTGGAAACTGAGCCTGATGAGGAATGGTTGAAGGAGTAGATTTAGCCTGGATAAGAGGAAACTGAGAGGAGATATGAGAGCCATCTTCAAATATCTTTTTAATTTTTTTTTTATTTTCAGTGCAAAATTACAAAAATTACAAACATTGAATCCAAAATAAAACGAGTACAAACAGTCCCAAAAACCACAAAAAAAAAAAAAACACACAAAAACTCACATCTACAAATAAAACGATATCATCATTCTAATCTAGTCATTACATACATATTCACATATTGACTTCCTTCCTTTGTTCTAAGACCTCGAAATTTTTACTCTTTCTAAATTGTTGTGTCTAATGTAGATTACCTCTATCTTTATACTTTTTGCACCATTTTCTCTTTCTTTAACCCTGCAAAGCATCATTCATTACATACCGATATGCTTACTCCAGAACAATGTTTTTTCATATACTCTTTAGCACATCCCCATTCTTTCAATAATTTTTGGTCTGATTGTCCCCTTATGAATGCTGTGACTCTTGCCAGATTTATATAGTCACAAAATTTAATTTGCCATTCTTTCATTTATGGAATTTTTCTCCCTTTCCAATTTTTTGCTATGAGCATCCTGGCAGCTGTTGTCGCATAGAGGAATACTTTCCTTTGATTGTCAGGAATATTGATTGTGATTATGCCTCCGGGTTTTTTACTAAAATATATTTTAAACATCTTTTTGACTTCTTCATATATTTCATTCCAAAATTGTTTAATAGGCCATCTTCAAATATCTTAAGGGATGTCACATGGAAGAGGGAACAAGCTTGTTTTCTCCTGTTCTGGAGGGTAGGACTCGAACCCATGGCTTCAAATTACAAGGAAGGAGATTCCGACTCAACGCCAGGAAGAACTTTCTGATAGTAACAGCAGTTCAATGGTGGAACAGAGTTCTTCAGGAGGTTGTGAGTTTTCCGCGACATTTCAGCTTACAAGGGCTGAAAACGGGCTGTGTCTGTGAATTTCCGAAAATATTGCAACCCTATTTTTAAGCAGAGGTTGGACGGCCAACTGCCATGGATGCTTTAGCTGAGATTCCTCCATTCCAAGGAGGCTGGACTAGATCATAGCTGTCAACTTTTCCCTTTTCTTGTGAGGAATCCTATTCGGAATAAGGGAATTTCCCTTAAAGAAAACGAAACGTTGACAGCTATGGACTAGATGACTTCCAACTCTACGATTCTGTGATATATATATTCTTTTTTGCAAAAGACAGGCCTGCTCTCGTGAAAATGAGTAGCGAGGAAGAACAACAGGATTCAAACAGTGCAATACAGTGGTGCCTCGCAAGACGAAATTAATTCGTTCCGCGAGTTTTTTCGTCTAGCGAATTTTTCGTCTTGCGAAGCACGAAATCCCATAGGAATGCATTGAAATTCAATTAATGCGTTCCTATGGTCAAAAAAGTCCAAACAAAGCCAAATTTGGTACAACAAGAGTTTATTAAGTGCTCTTTAAAGTCACACATACTGTAAAGAGCATTTCAAAAACTGAAGGAACAATAAATTAAGTTTCTAAACATGACAGAAAAACATTTAAAAATCAACAAAGTGTACAGTACATTTTCTAAGACTCTGGGGGACAACTCGAAGAAGGTTCCTCTTCCACTCTTTGCTTCTTGCTGAAGAACCCCCTCCTCAACTGTTCCCCCAGCCACCCACCACACAGAAATTCAAATCCAGATTTTTTTTAAAAAAAAACAGCAGAGTGGCCCAATGGTCACAGAAAATCATAAAAATGCAGAAAAAACCCCACAAGCTTCCAGATTCTTGCAAACCCCTCCTCAACTGTTCCCCCAGCCACCCACCACACAGAAATTCATATCCAGAAATTTTTTTAAAAAACAGCAGAGTGGCCCAATGGTCACAGAAAATCATAAAAATGCAGGAAAAAAACCAAGCTTCCAGATTCTTGCAAACCCCTCCCCAACACCAAGTCCTTGAATTCCAAACACCCCAACCCAAAATCCAAAAACCCCCAAAAAAGTTTTAAAAGTTTAAAAGAAGTTTTGGAAAAGCTTCAAAAATCACCAAAGTCATCAAAAACCTCAAAAAAGGCTACCATACCGCGTTCTATGAGTTGCTCCTCAAAGTCAAGTCGCAACTGTATTAACGGTGTTAAGAAAAAGGAAACAAACTTGCAAGACATTTTCGTTTTTCGTCTTGCGAAGCAAGCCCATAGGGAAATTCGTCTTGCGAAGCAACTCGAAAACGAAAAAACCTTTTGTCTTGCGAGTTTTTTGTCTTGCGAGGCGTTCGTCTTGTGGGGCACCACTGTAATTTATTCTGAACATATTAGGCGGGAATAATTTATTCTGAAGCAGGCGGGAAATCGAAAGCAGGGTCTGAAAGGGCTCCTCAGCATCCAGCAGAAGAAACTGCTTTGCAGGCAAGCGGCCGGATCCTGCCTTGCGTCGTTCCTAAAGCGGGAAAGTCTTTGTCAGGCTCTGTTAAAACACCCATAGCAACAATGGAGTCTTCTCCCTTGGGCGGCAACGTCTCCATCTTCTCACGCTATCCGTCCATGGTGTCGCCAACCTCCCGCGTGGGCAATCACAGAGAAACTTCCAGGCCGATGCTTCCTGAACTTCTTCTTTACTTTCTTTATGAAATTACGAATCACACCCCTCCTGGCACGAATCCGCTAGAGGGAGAAGAAAAGCAGAGTTAGTACAGTGGTACCTTGGTATATATTATAAGTTGTTATTATTGGTCCAGAGATCTGCATTGGCTCCCAGTACGTTTCCAAGCACAATTCAAAGTGTTGGTGCTGACATTTAAAGTCCTAAACGGCGTTGGCCCAGTATATCTGAAGGAGCGTCTCCACCCCCATCGTTCTGCCCGGACACTGAGGTCCAGTGCCAAGGGCCTTCTGGTGGTTCCCTCATTGCGAGAAGTGAAGTTACAGGGGACCAGACAGAGGGCCTTCTCGGTGGTGGCGCCCGCCCTGTGGAACGCCCTCCCACCAGATGTCAAGAGAAAAACAACTACCTGATATTTAGAAGACATCTGAAGGCAGCCCTGTTTAGGGAAGTTTTTAATGTTTGATGCTGTATTGTTTCTAACATTAGATTGGGAGCTGCCCAGAGTGGCTGTGGAAATTCAGCCAGATGGGCGGGGTATAAATTCAAATTATTATTATTAGTTCTCAAAGCGGGACGTGGGTAGCACTGTTGGTTAAGCCACAGAGCCTAGGGCTTGCCGATCAGAAAGTCGGCGGTTCGAATCTCCGCGACGGGGTGAGCTCCCATTGCTCGGTCCCAGCTCCTGCCAACCTAACAGTTCGAAAGCACGTCAAAGTGCAAGTAGATAAATAGGTACCAGAGCCTGGAGAATATTTCAAAATCAAAGTGGCCGTTTTGACCTTAGTCACGCATGCCAACGCCACCAACCTCTCTTCCTCTGCTTCAAGTGTACTGGGCGGGTTTCTCCTCTGAGAAAATCTTATTTATGTGGCACGTGGAGGAACGGCAAAGAGTGCCCTGGCTCTCGTCCCTGTTGTGAAACAAGCCTTGTCCATCTCTGCTACACTGCAAGACGGGTTTCGCTAACCTGAGGCCTGCCAGGTGTTGGACTACAACTCCCATCATGCAGTGACTGGCGCCGATGGGAGTTGTAGTCTAAAATATATATGGGAGACAGGTTGGCAAAGAAGGCTTTCCCAGTATTGTGTTGCCTATTGACATCCATGAATAATCCTCCTAGAACTCTAGCCCAATGGTTGCCATTAATTTGATTCTGAATTGATTTTAGAATGAATTGATTTTAGAATGTATTTCAATTAATTGATTGTGATTTTATGTAAACTGTGTTACTTTTACTGTTGTTAGCCGCTCTGAGCCCGGCTTCGGCTGGGGAGGAGGGCAGGATATAAATAAAATATTATTATTATTATTATTATTATTATTATTATTAAGATCTAAGGTTTTTCATCCATGTGCTAAATTTCCGGTTTTGCGCCTCTGGGCACTTAGGAGAGAAAATCAACCCCACATTTACTCCTGAGGTAAACTTGCCTCCTTCTGACCCACGGTGTCACAACTGAGCTGAACAGGAATCTGCTGCTGGATGGAGAATGTCGCAGAACACTCCTTCACCACCTGCGGAAATTCAATAAATTCAAATAATAATAATAATAATAATAATAATAATAATAATAATAATAGAACGACAAAATGGCTGTTTAGCTTGCCTTGAGTGGAGAAAGGAGAAAACACAGTCCCCATCTGCCTATCCCTCGTAAGCCAAAGGGCAGCTGAGAGCTAAGGACAATTCGGAAAGGAAGTCAACAGCAGCTGCATTGCACGGGGTTGGACTAGATGACCCTCGGGTCCCTTCCATCTCTACAATTCTGTGAATCTGGCTCCCTGCCTTGAGGATACTGCCGTCGACCGGCAAACCAATGCCTAAGGGTTGCCAACTTTCTGCCAGCCCCTTGTTCTGTGCCCTTAGCATGGGCTCCATCTGCAGATCAACAGCAACAGCTTGCTTTGATTTATCTTCTTGCCATTGTGTGTGTGTGTTTTCTGACTATTACGACACAAGAAGTCGCTCTGTTCAGGTCAGCTGGCCAGCTTTTGCCGCCACCCATCTGCAAATCCCCTCAGGCGCTCAGTAGGGATGGGTGGAGCTGTCAATTTCAGTTTATCTCAGTTTTCCCATTTTTCCAGTTTTACGGTTCATTCTTGGCATTGTGTACATTACAAATGATTATTGGAATGAACTGGACCTTAACATAATATGATATTTAACAAAATGAACTCCAAATATCATTAATTTCAAATATCGTTAAAACATAATATGATATTTATCAAAACGAACTCCAAATATCATTAATTTCAAATATCGTTAAAACCTAATATGATATTTATCAAAATGAACTCCAAATATCATTACTGTAATTTCAAATATCGTTCAATATCTTCTTCTTCTTGTTGTTGTTCTGTTTTGTTTTCTACATGGGTACTGTATCTCCTTTTTTGTGTCTTATCATGCTCTGTGCAGTTGTATTTTTGTACTTTTTATTTTTCAATAAAAAATGTAAAATAAAAAAATAATAATTCCCAATATTTCAGCATCAGTTTGAGCGTTTTTTAAGTCAATGTTTTAGTGCAATTTTTGCAAGCAATTTGGCCTAATATATACATTTTTAATATATTATTTCTGTGAACGTGTGCACTCTTAGAATAGAATCATAGAATCATAGAGTTGGAAGAGACCACAAGGGCCATCGAGTCCAACCCTCTGCCAAGCAGGAAACACCATCAGAGCACTCCTGACATATGGTTGTCAAGCCTCTGCTTAAAGACCTCCAAAGAAAGAGACTCCACCACACTCCTTGGCAGCAAATTCCACTGTCGAACAGCTCTTACTGTCAGGAAGTTCTTCCTAATGTTTAGGTGGAATCTTCTTTCTTGTAGTTTGGATCCATTGCTCCGTGTCCGCTTCTCTGGAGCAGCAGAAAACAACCTTTCTCCCTCCTCTATGTGACATCCTTTTATAGATTTGAACATGGCTATCATATCACCCCTTAACCTCCTCTTCTCCAGGCTTCTCTTAATGTACACTTTCACCTAAAAAATGCAGGATCAAGTTCAGATTCTTGCATTGTAGGGGGTTGGAATAGATGACCCTCGGGATCCCTTCAAAGTCTCTGATTCATAACTTTCTCACAGGAGCTACATATGAAACTACCCTGTGTGTGACCTACTTGTTTACATGAGGCAGGAACCACCTAATTTTAAAACAGTTTGTTGGGCTTTATTAAAATTTCTTAAATTGAGAAGCGGGGGGGCTACCCCAAGAAGATTCATACAATAATATATACAGAACATAGTGTCTTCAATCTGACTTGAAATCTTTGCAAAGACGCAACTAGTGTTATTTTTTACCTGTCGATAAATAACTGCTCTGCTTTTTTTTTGCAGAGACATCACCTTGCCAACAAAGGTCCGTATAGTAAAAGCTATGGTTTTCCCAGTAGTGATGTATGGAAGTGAGAGCTGGACCATAAAGAAGGCTGATCGCCGGAGAATGGATGCTTTTGAATTCTGGTGCTGGAGGAGATTCTTGAGAGTCCCATGGACTCCAAGAAGATCAAACCGATCCATTCTGAAGGAAATCAGCCCTGAGTGCTCACTGGAAGGACAGATCTTGAAGCTGAGGCTCCAAGACTTTGTCCACCTCATGAGAAGAGAAGACTCCCTGGAAAAGACCCTGATGTTGGGAAAGATGGAGGGCACAAGGAGAATGGGACGACAGAGGACGAGATGGTGGGACAGTGTTCTCGAAGCTACAAACATGAGTCTGACCAAACTGCGGGAGGCAGTGGAAGGACAGGAGTGCCTGGCGTGCTGTGGTCCATGGGGTCACGAAGAGTCGGACAGGACTAAACGACTAAACAACAAACAACAACAGCTATAGGGGAAATACGTGGGGCTGCTTACCCCATCTTCCTTGAAGTCACAGTTGGCCGCAGTCAGCAGCTCAGCAGCTGAGCATGTTGTCTCTTTCACAGTAAATTCCAGATCCTGAGGCTCTTCGCTCCGGGGGTCCTAAGAAGAAGATGGACATTCCCAGGGAGATAACCGTGAATTCTGGGAACAGCTCCATCTTTCCAGTCCCCGGTGGGGATTAATTTCTGAGCATCACAGCCGGCCGCTCTGCCCAACAGCTCTTTGAAGCTCTTTTTAATTTTGGAGCTGAACCGGTGCCAAGTGGAACAGCTCCGCTTTAGAACCACTGTGAGAATTGGCTTCCAATCAAACTTAGACAAATGCCTTGCATTTTATTATTATTAATTGTTTGCATCGAGGCAGCTCAATGTGAAGGACGTGCCCATTTTGACTCACGACAGCCCAACCTAGAAATTTAAACTGCTGGCATGTTTTGTAGTTTATGGCTGTTTTCTTTTCCCAAAAAGAAAAAAATAAATGTCTTAAATGTTTTGAGGGATTGATCTTGCTGTTTTATCCTTTCTATAAACAGCACTGAGGTTTTCCACGGTTGGGCAGTATATAAATTTTACAAACTGAAATAGAACAAGTTAGGTTGTATGCTATACAGAATTTGTGTGATTTCATGCCAGAGACGTACCTACCCGGGGGGAGGGTTTGCTAGTTGGTTTTTGGGGGTCTTTGACCCGGGTGAAATAAAGCCTAGTATTGGTCCTGTTTGATGCTATTAAAATCATACACAGACACAGAAACATATACATGAGCACTGGCGAGCATCGCAATAATCCAGTGTAGGATATACCAGAGGGAGGCAGGTGGCGCTGTGGGTTAAACCACAGAGCCTAGGACTTGCCGATCAGAAGGTCAGCGGTTTGAATCCCCACAACAGCTCCTGCCCACCTAGCAGTTCGAAAGCACGTCAAAGTGCAAGTAGATAAACAGGTTACCGCTCTGGCAGGAAGGTAAACGGTGTTCCCGTGCGCTGCTCTGGTTCGCCAGAAGCGGCTTAGTCATGCTGGCCACATGACCCGGATGCTGTACGCCGTCTGCTTCGGCCTAGCAAGCGACATGAGCGCCTCAACCCCAGAGTGGGCCACGACTGGACCTAAGGCTCAGGTGTCCATTTACCTTTTAGAATATACCAGAGTATAGTTAACGGGCCCATTTTACAGAAGAAAACCGAGGCAGGGCGGCACCGGTTGGCCCCAAGTCACATAAGGTCCCAAGTCAAGTACTGTTCAGCGGAGCGCACTCTGCACGACACAGCGGATCCAGCCGCTCACTTACCCAGTCTGGCTGTGGCTTAGCTTCCAGGAGCCGGAAGGCAAAAGCCACCTCTGCATTTTGGCTGTAGAGTTCAGCGGTTAAGGAAACGGCTTCCTCGTAGCTGAGCTCCACTCGCTCTGGGGCCAGAGCAACGGCGGCTGCAGAAAAGCCAAGGACAAACAAGATTCTCCAAAAGCAGCTCATCATCTTGAGGGCAGCTTGGCTGCAGCAAGATCTCAGATCTCTTATCTGGTCCCCAAAGAAGGTCCTTTTTAAATGCTGCTTAAATGCTGAGGTTCTCTGGGTAGGGAGTCGGTTTCATAAGTCCCTGGGAAAGCCCTCGAAGGGACTTTCCCAACAGATACCCACCCCTGGTCCTTTCACAAGACACGCGTGCCAGTCAAGGCGTCACCGAGCCAGCAGAGCATCTTCGGAAGGAATTTCCCAATTTTCTCTTTCCTCTGCCAAAAGGAAGTTGCAATAGTCCAGATTTTTTTTGTGGGGGGATATTTCTGCAACTTCAAAGGTGAAGCAATGCATTCCTTCCTGTCTAATGATCCCCACTGATGATTGTTCCTATTTCTTTTAGCTGCAGAACATAAAGAACACCAGCTGTGGGCCTTATTTTTTAAAATTTATTTTAAAAAATCCACACAAACACTCAGTTGTGGAGCCGGCAAAACTGCACAATGTTCCCCAGCCACAAAGCACTCAGGCGTAAGGAAGCAGCAGCAATAGCAGCAACAATTCAAGAGAATTTATGGGGGGGGGGTGTTTCAAGTTAAACCCCAGACCATGCCCCAAACCAACACCATTCAATTTTATAAATATCCCCATAAAACCCACCACAGTTTTGCTACATTGAGTCTTGTTCAAGGTACATAGTATTTGCCTTCCCCTGTAGCAGAAAACCTTCAGAAATTCATATAAAATCAATCCAGTGTTGGATTTACGCCACTCCAATGTTCTCTTCAGAGGGACGCGGGTGGCGCTGTGGGTAAAAGCCTCAGCGCCTAGGGCTTGTCGATTGAAAGGTCGGTGGTTCAAATCCCCGCGGCAGGGTGCGCTCCCGTTGCTCGGTCCCAGCGCCTGCCAACCTAGCAGTTCGAAAGCACCCCCGGGTGCAAGTAGATAAATAGGGACCGCTTACTAGCGGGAAGGTAAACGGCGTTTCCGTGTGCTGTGCTGGCTCGCCAGATGCGACTTTGTCACGCTGGCCACGTGACCCGGAAGTGTCTCCGGACAGCGCTAGCCCCCGGCCTCTTGAGTGAGATGGGCGCACAACCCTAGAGTCTGTCAAGACTGGCCTGTACGGGCAGGGGTACCTTTACCTTTACCTTTAATGTTCTCTTCAGGAAGGAAATGGCTATCAAGCATGGAGCTTGGGACAGCCATATTCCCGAAAGCATGAGCCCACGTACTCAGCAGCCCCTCTGCCTAGGTGATAATCTCTGGCCACAAATCCAACTCAATGGTGTAACGCTGGAAAATGTTGATCACTTCTCCTACTTGGGCAGTTGTCTTTCCACGAGGGCCAACATTGATGCTGAAATCCAGCATCGCCTGAGCTCTGCGAGTGAGGCTTTCTGCCAACTGAAGTGCAGAGGGTTTGAGGAACATTAGCAGGGAAACCAAAATGCTTGTTGACAAAGCTATTGTACTACCAACCTTGCTCTTTGCTTGTGAAACATGGACCACTTATAAATGCCATCTCCAACTCCTCAAAAAATTCCAACAATTGTGTCTCTGAAAATTTTTACACATCACTTGGGAAGACAGGTGAACTAATATCAGTGTACTGGATGAAGCAAAGATCATCAGTATTGAAGCAATGATTCTTCAACATCCACTTCATTGGACTGGTCATGTTGTGCGGATGCCTGATCATTGTCTTCCAAAGCAACTACTCTATTCCGAACTTTAAAATGGAAAGTGTAATGCTGGTGGTCAACAAAAGAGGTATAAAGACTGTCTCAAGGCAAATATTTAAAAATGTAGTATAAACACCGACAACTGGGAAACACTGGCCTGCAAGAGCTCCAATTGGAGAACAGCTTTTCCCAAAGGTGTTATGGGCTTTGAAGACACTCGAACTCAGGACGCAAGGGAGAAACGTGCTAAGAGGAAGACACGCTTGGCAAATCCACACAGTGATCAACTCCCGCCAGGAAACCAATGTCCCCAGTGTGGAAGGACACGTGGATCCAGAACTGGTCTCCACAGTCACTTACGGACTCACTGTTAAGACCGTGTTTATGGAAGACAATCTTATTTGGCCATAAGGGATCGCCAAAGAAGAAGAAGAAAAATCCCTAAAGCATGAGCCCACGTACTCAGCAGCCCCTCTGCCTAGGTCAGGCATGTCCAAAGTCTGTTTCGGGGGCTTAATCTGGTCCGCTGGTCGGTTTAATCTGGCCTCTGTGGCAGTTTAGTTTCTGGGGTAAAATCCTAAAAAAACCCTCAACAACAACAACTTCAATCCTAAAAGAAGCTCAACAACTTTGGGGTAAAATCATAAAAAAAACCCTCAACAACTTCAATCCTAAAAAAAGGTCAACAACTTCACCCCCACAGCCCTTCATTTCATCAAATCTGGCCCTCTTTGAAAAAGTTTGGACACCACTGGCCTAGATGATAATCTCTGGCATCCTGACACCTGGGTGCCAGAAAGGTAGCCATTCTGGAGACAATATGTACTGTATTTTTCACTCCATAAGACGCACTTTTCCCCTCCTAAAAAGTAAGGGGAAATATGTGTGCGTCTTATGGAGCGAATGCAGGCGGGAGGTTCTGCTCAGCACTCCCTTTAAAGAGCTGCATGGAGCGTGTGTGCGGCTCTTGGGGGCTTTTCCCTGAGGAGGGAGAAGGGCAGCCCGTCAGTCCCTTCTCCCTCCTTGGGGAAAAGCCCCCAAGAGCCACACACACACTCCGTGTGGCTCTTTAAAGGGAGCACAGCTCTTGGGGCTTTTCCAGGAGGTGGCGGAAGGGACTGACGGGCTGCCCTTCTCCCTCTTCGGGGAAAAGCCTGCTAGCGCACACACACGCTCCACGCGGCTCGTGAAAGGGAGCTCTGAGCAGAACCTGGGATGCAGACAGGCTCTGCTCAGCGCTCCCTTTAAAGAATATTTCCCCCCTTGCTTTCCCCCTCTAAAAACTAGGTGCATCTTATGGTCAGGTGCGTCTTACGGAGCGAAAAATACGGTATATTGATATTCAATCTTGCAAATCAGACTTGGCTTAAGCCAAGAAAGAGTATTTTCTATAAGATTGAATATTAATATACATATCAAGACTTTGAGATTAGAGCACTGATGAAGCCCGGAAAACCACCTTGAGAGTGTGCTACCTGCAAGCCCCAGTAAAAGGGCCCCATTGGGGACAAACAGCAGCCTCTTGATTACTTGGACTGCCAGGGTGAAACTGGTGCCAAACGCCGGCACCCTGTCGTCTACAACTTCATTGTCTACAATGTCTAAACATCTATCTACAACTCCACTAGCTGGACCATAAAGAAGGCTGGTCGCCGAAGAATGGATGCTTTTGAATTATGGTGCTGGAGGAGACTCTTGAGAGTCCCATGGACTGCAAGAAGATCAAACCTCTCCATTCTGAAGGAAATCAGCCCTGAGTGCTCACTGGAAGGACAGATCCTGAAGCTGAGGCTCCAGTACTTTGGCCACCTCATGGGAAGAGAAGACTCCCTGGAAAGGACCCTGATGTTGGGAAAGATGGAGGGCACAAGGAGAAGGGGACGACAGAGGACGAGATGGTTGGACAGTGTTCTCGAAGCTACCAGCATGAGTTTGACCAAACTGTGGGAGGCAGTGGAAGACACGAGGGCCTGGCGTGCTCTAGTCCATGGAGTCACGAAGAGTCGGAAATGACTAAATGACTAAACAACAACAACAACACAACTCCACTAGCATCTCCCGGTATTGTGAATAACACCAAACTCACCTTTTGTTGGTATCTTCATGAACTTATCTAAAGGACTGAGTTAAGCATTTGAAAAATCTATTGAAACCAGAAATTATAAATACATTTTAGGCTGGGTAGTTCGCAAGTCTCTGTGGCTTTGTTTAATGTTTTATATTTTTCTCAGAAGGTTGATAAAGTATGCATAATTATTGTTCTGTGTATATTAATCGCCAACGTGTTGCATGAGTCGCACAACTTCCATCAGCAGCACAGGTTGCATTTTTCTAGAATTCTGGAGACAATAGCAAACCCAGCTCAAGACAAGAGTGTGATTAAGTTGGCTGGGAAACAGGAACAGTAACAAGTTGGCTGGGAAACAGGAACCTTGTATTACTTAATGGGTGTGAGGTGGAGGTCAAGAGAGGGACAGGGGCAAATCTGATACTCAGGTATCTGTCAGAAAACCCCTCCCAATTTGTGACATGGTTATGATGTATGTGTGATGTTTTACTCAGGGTGTTATGGGTAGTTTAAAGGTAAAGGTAAAGGGACCCCTGACCATTAGGGTCCAGTCGTGGCCGACTCTGGGGTTGCGGTGCTCATCTTGCTTTATTGGCCGAGGGAGCCAGTGTACAGCTTCCGAGTCATGTGGCCAGCAGGGCGAACCAGAGCAGCGCACGGAAACGCTGTTTACCTTCCCGCCAGAGGGGTACCTATTTATCTACTTGCGCTTTGACATGCTTTCGAACTGCTAGGTTGGCAGGAGCAGGGACTGAGCAACAGGAGCTCACCCCGTCGCAGGGATTCGAACCACCGACCTTCTGATCGGCGAGTCCTAGGGTCTGTGGTTTAACCCACAGTGCCACCCGCGTCCCCATGGGTAGTTTAGGAAACTTATAAAAAGGGGAGCCATTCTTTGTTCGGGGCCTCTTCCTGCTTCTTCCATGTTGTGGATGAAGATTAAGTCTACTGGCTGCTTCTTTGGCTCCTATATTCTTGGCTGGCGTTTTTGTTTGGCCATCCCAGTGAGCCCAAGGATTTTCCTATAATACCCCAAAACACCTTTAGCTTAATGGGGCACAATATTTGAGCAGAAAGTGACCTTGGAGGTTAGCTATTGGACACCCCCACATCCCCACATCAAAACGCAGGACTGGGAACGTAGAACCACTTTGCAACTACAAATCTGGTGTGACGCTCAGGTCACAAATCCAAAAGTTTCTTTTAGCATTCTTTACAGCTTTGCAACGGATCCTGGGCCAAGGGGTGGGGTGGAGACCTCTCAGATCTCAGTGCCCAACTTTTGTTATCGTAATTAACTAATTAACTAATTAATTAATTAATTAATAACTTGATTGATTGTTAAATTTCTTGCTCAAGGCAACTCAAAGCAACTTGCAACCAGTTCTTTGCCTCAGTCTGGTCAGACCTTTGGAAGTGCAAAGTTCCAAAAAACCCCAAACTAAGATCATGGCCACTGGGCCCATCATCTCCTGGCAAACAGAAGGGGAGGAAATGGAGGCAGTGAAAGATTTTAGTTTCTGGGGCTCCG